TGTACAGTAAAATATAGCAACTTTTTTTGAACATTTATAGCAAATAAAAGTTTTTATGTTGTGGGTCACAAGTATAGTTGCAGTTGTGTTAGAATGTGTTAGCTACTGACAACTACTTATGAAGCACACTTTATCCTACTATGCTTTGATTTTTAATTAAAACTTCAATAATTATCTTGATTGAATGATTAACCTGTCAACACAAAATGTAAATAGTTTTGTGAAATTCCTGAAGAGCATGCTTCTTGTCTAACCCACTCAAAAGATTGATTGTTCACTTGCATGCCTCTCTGTGGACATATTACAGCCTTTTTGTTGTGTTTTTATGTTATATAACAGGCTGAAATAAACATTTTACCCTCTTTGCAACCCACAAAAGCAAACATGACAATTAAAGACAAGGTTGGTTATTTCTGTATGGGAATATTTGACGATAACTTGATAGTGGGATGAGATTTTTAGTTGCATAACTCACATTACATGGAACAAGCAATGAGACAGGAGGTACCAAAGGGGCACCAAATCAACCATATCGCTCTGAAGAAAAGATCAGTCTTTATTTGTTTCTTATTAGCTACCAAGAAGACCACAAAACACCCAACAGCCAGCTTCTCTGCCTTTTTGTAAAACACTAGTTTCTAGATCACTGGTAGATAAGTTAATCTGGCACAGATGTTCCTCGATTTCGACACAGTTGTCTTCATATCAGTATTTGGAGCCCATCATTCATACACTGTCTCATCTCCCCAGTTATCATCTGTAAATGCTGGTAAGTCTGAGTCATCCTGCAAAAGTTTGGCAACTGTAGTGTCAGATGGGAATGCAGTTCTGAGAAGACGATGTGAAGTTTCAAAACACCAGCACCTTACCCCTTTCCTTTCTCTCGCACCAAAGTCAGTATATAAGCAAGTCACAAGAACCTCAGATCTGTTTTTTTGTTGGATATTATACTACATAGGTTCTATACAATTTCAGTTTTTGTTTTTTTTGTTGCTATGGATCAATTCTTTCAGTAAGGAAAAAATAATTCTGTTTAGTCACACCTTTCAGCTCTTGTTCAGATATAATCTAATACACAACAGAGCTGTTGGGGGGCAATCAGAGAGCTGAAATCTCTGCCATAGCTAAAAAGTCATACATCTGATTGAAATCATCAACCATTATTAAAGTGTGCAAGTTTGAATACTTTAAAGCCACTGTTATTAATATACTGTTTGTGTTGATTTTGGTGCCCGCTGTGTGTTTGCAGGCATGAAAATTGACAACAACAAAAAAAAACTTAATTGCTTTTGTAGCTCATAAATGATGCATCATTATTTATTTCCGTATGTTTCATAACTAGTTAAAAACTCCCTACTGGATCTTTAAAAGTCTTAAAAAAAGTTTAAAATTTCAGAGGTTGAGGAATGATGTTAAAATATGTTAGAGATAAAACAAAACTTGAGCTGTGTTAGTATATTGTACTACTGCAGAACACGAACACTCATTCTTTTTTGAAATCTGACCAATACAATTACTCTGAATTACATGAGAATTAAAGCTTGTTTGTCAGTCTGACTCACATCCTGTCCAAATTTGATGGGCTCCAACCTTGAACCGAGCCACATCCTTCTGAAATGGTCCATGAAAACAGGCCGGTATTTTTCCATAATAATTCTAATGGCAAACATAGCACTGAAACATTTCCTCTTTCGAACTTAGCTCACGCTAAATTTTGTTCTTGATGATGTGCGAAGGACAGAGGATCAAATACCGATGCCAGTAATTCAGATTGTTACTGTGCTTTTTGTTTTTGTTCCTTGCCTGATGGTCTTGAGGGAAATGCTGCTGAAGACCCGCAGTAACTGCTTGTATTGACGCATCAGGGTAAACTTGCACAAAGGTTAGTCTGCATTCAGTTACCATCAGCCATACACCTCCAGATAGCTCGAGGCCACAGTGAAGAAAGTTGCAAGAACTTTGCACCAGCCGGCACAGACTTCTCCACAGGCTGTTTTCATCAGATCTCATCATCAGCACTGCTTAGACAAATTTCCCCTCCTCCTAATTACGATGTTAACATTTTCATATTGATTCATTTCAGATAAAGTTGCTGGCACCAATCAGGCTATTATGAAAATTCCCCAATCAGGGTTCACGTTTCCTTTTTCTCTCTCATTCTCTAACTTTTTGTTTGTGTGAACCATATGTCCCAAATTAATAAAACCAGGCAGTAAACTGAACCCTCTTCACTCTGTCACTGCTTGTCACAGAAAAATTGGCCTCAAACTTATTCCCCCTCTCCCTCTCTCTCTCTCTCTCTCTCTTTCCTCCACTCCCCCTGTATCTCCCTCTCTCTGTCTCCCTCTGTTCTTTCTGTTTTCGCGCAAGTGTCCCAGTTAAGAAATTGCTTACATCCCACTCAGTCTGGGGCTGGATTGAAATTTCCCATAGGGTATGTACCAATATGCAGAGAGCACACTTCGACAGATGCCATCAGAGAACAAGCATATGAATTACCAGGCAGCCTGCCATCTTTGAGTTCAGACAGAATGGCATTAATACCTGATTACGATCCAAACAACAACACAACAACAACATGAAAGCCAAAGCAACTGGGAGCAGGTAAAGGTTTCATCATTTATATATTAATGGATTTACTAACAAAGACTCTACTACCCCCCTCTAAAGTTAAAATGTCATAGACGCAGCCAACAATCAAGGGACTTTGGAGAAAAATAATAGGGGTAAGGATTCAGATGCCGTCAGCAAATCACGTTCCAATAAATTAATTATTTGCCACTGCTGACCATAACTTATTCAGAAGCCATGATAAATTTATGACTACAATTAAAGAAAACATGATGCCTTTAATTTTAAATGGCTGTAAATATTGGCTTTACCCAATTAAGTCACATTTGGCTGTAGTAGAAGTACCTGCAAATGAACCATAAACACTCAACCTTTCAATTCTGAGAAGGAACAAAAGTTTATTAGTAGCTACAAAAGAAAAGAAAAAATGGACAAGCCAGTGTTTTATGAGACCATTATTTTGCTACTGTCATATTTTAATGTATTAATTAAATAATATAGATAAATCACTGCATTTTTACAAATTACTTCCTCAGTGTTTGAACTTTGCTGAAAGTCTCATCTCAACATAACAAATTAACTCCCTCTGCATTGCCAAAAAAGCATTCTGTGTGCAAATCAATCTCACAACAGCAAACTAGGAAACTCTCAAATATTTGAACTTTTTGCAATTGTCATAGATTTTTAAAAAAATAAAGCACAGGCCAGCAAATTAAACACTTTTTAGTATTGTATACCAGGGCCGGTGGCAGCAAGGGGGGAAGGGAGGGTATAGCCCACCCAAACAACATTCAAGGAAAAGGCGTTGCATCATCCAATCAGGGATCCAGTTTACATCTTGCAGTTGGGTGAGCAACCTACATTGGGTCTCATTCATGAAATGTTTGAAGATCTGTAAGCGGATTTGTACATAAAAGTCTTTGATGCTAAAAACCTAAACTGGATTCATAAACACTGTAGAAAACTTGAATTGAATAAGCACGTGTAAATTCATGAATGCCAGTAAATTATAAACGGACAATGACCTATATATGAGTAGCCAAGACTACCGTGTAAGGAAATGAGTTTTGGTCCTGTGGATCAGTGAGCATTACGCAGAGAAAACCCTGTGTCTATTGATGTCAGACTACCCTAATATACAGTGCCCTGCAAAGATGTTAAATACAAAGATAGAGTGTTAAACTGTTTTATAAAGTTATCACACTCTAAAATGCTTAGTTAACCCCCCCCCAAAAAAAAAAAAAAAAAACGACTTTAAGGGAATAAACAACTACGACTTACATTTCAACTGTGAATCAACAGATTGATACAAAAACACCTAATTCAGATCACGACTAACAATGTATGAAAGAAAAGAGAACTAAAACTAAGTGTCTGAGAATGTCTACAAAGTTGAATTTAAAACCCACAAAGAAACAGAGTAATACTTCAAAAAGAAATAGCACGACTGCAAAGACATTAAAAGAACCACAGATATTAGCCAATGAGCTGCCAAGACAAACAGTCAGGTGACACAACTGTGAGTGTTTCTCCAATGTAGGTGGAGTGAGTGAGGGTCCTTTTACATGGTTGTTGACAACACTGTGTCACAACCTGCCATGGCACGATTACATAGATTTCCTTTTCTTTCCTCTTGTACCCGTCGTTTCAGTTGAATCAGGATCTCTGACTCAATATATTTGGTACTTAATTGATAATAAATAATCCTTACTCTTTGAATTGGCTAAAAATGGTCATCCTTGTATACACATCTTTGTCCATACACTGCCAGAGATCCCATTGTAGAACACTCTTTCTTACAAACAACTTAAAGTGATGTTAAAGAGACTCATGGGAAAAACCCTTCAGAGCTGTTTGTTTGAAATCAATCGGCTCAATTTACATTGTTGAAGTTCATTATTATCCCAAAGAAAAATATCCACACATTGGCACTGTGGCAGTAAAGCTCATTTATTGTGGATGGACAGCATTCAGGCTTTATAATATTAATCATTTTGTTTAATCTACTCCATGGAGAATTGGGCGATTTTAACAAATACACAATGAATCACATGAGGAATAGAGTAAGAATCTTTCAATTGAACGTTTCCTCTCTTTGAGTCATTGCTGTGTCAGCCCTTCAGTGTAGGTAAAGACAGATTGCGGTGACTTTGATCGGCCTCTTCCTGCTCTCAGCGCACATCATGATAAATGGTCCATTTTGGAGTCTATAATGGACGCTGATGGAGAAGCACTCATCTCTCTGACATTGAACTGTCTCCTACTCTCGTTCAGACATATAGTCATCTTATAGAGCACTTTTAGTTTCAAATGAGCTGTTGGTTTTTTGTTTTCACAGGCATGAATAAACAGAGTATTTAATATTTTAGGTTTTAATATCTTAGAATAAAGTTGCTTGGTTATTTAAACGAGTGCTTAGCCGCATTTGAAGGTTAGAGTTAGGGTTAGGGTTAGTAAAGTCAGTAAAGTTGAAGTGATTCGACCACCCATGCAGTCCTCAGGCTGTAAAAGTAAAGGCACTCTGATGGTTTTCCCACTTCCTGCCTCAGTTCCCTGTTCTCAAATGAAGGAAACACAAAATCACATCGCGGACACTGATTTCCTCATGTGTCCCTCACTCCAATCTTATCTCTGCTCCTTTTCGTGTGAGGAAACAGTTGCATGTAATATATACAAGACATAATGAGAGTAAGAGAGGGATTGAAGGAGAAGGTAGGAGGGATTTGAGGGCAGATTGGAGGGGCGTTTGGCTCCCAGATGCCCCTTCCCCTATGTATGTGTGTCTGTCTGTGTGCATGTATGTGTGCTGCTGTGCTTCGGTGATGACTGTCAGCAGGCGGTGCCTCGGAGAGAGTGGAGAGCAGGGGGAGATGTTTCCAAAGGGGGGCCCAGTCTGTTACCAAAGGGAGGTGGAGATTTACTATCCCACCCAGTCAAAGTGTTTCACTGGTGCTCTGACACACACATAAACACAATTTCACACACACTCACACGCACACACTCAGACATACTGCAAACTCTCCACAGGAAACTCTGAGCCATAATGCGAAGGCACCTCAGAGCAGACGGGTGCATTGCTCAAACCAAGTGGGATCCGCTGCGGCTTTGATAGTGCGTTAATTACTCATGTGATGTGATACAGATGTCTGGGGGCTTCAGCTGAAAGTTTGCCTGACGCTTTCCAAGGGGGCCAGGCAGACATTTTAGAAGAGGTAGGTGAAAACCAAACGTATTTATTATTTATGGATGGATCAGTTTGCGTGCTGTCACAGATCCCAGCAGTGTCATGCTGATGCTAAACTGTGATGCTACTTGAAGGGCTGGCTGCTAAATAGTTCTTTGTGTACTTGGTGACAGCTGGGACTCTGAACAGGAACAACTCTGGGCTATAAGAGTTGCCTGTGCTGTGACAGGATGAAAAGGGCTTCACTCTGAATGTGACAGTTTGAAACTTTATCTGCTCTTTAGTTGGAGTTTAGTGGAATGAATTATTGTGTTTGTCCTGAGAGTTTGTAAGGAGGCAGTTAAGGTGAGGAAATGTGATGTATTTATCACTGAGAACCAAAGGATTCAAAGAGAAATCAGAGGTTCGACTACATCTTTTACTTTCCAGATTTAAATCTTTTTGCTTTGAGTCCTAAAAATCATCCCTGCAGCCTTTCTCTCGTGTAAAATAATCTCGCTGTCTTGATACCACATGTTTAAACCTTTCCAAATTAGAACCAGAGGAAGAATGCAAAACTGAGGAAACCAGAGGCTCTATATGAAAACAGCATGTGGACGCACAAAGCCTCCCAGTGTAGATGCAGCATTATTGATACAAAGACATAACTAAAGGCTCCGACTTCCAGAAATGACAAACAAGATGCCCATTACACTCCGATGATGCCCCTTCATTTGATGTTTGACTGTAACCAGTGCTGGCACCACCATCTGTGCCCCCTCTGTGAAACCTTTTTGAAGTCTTGAAGAGGTTGTTTTACCACCCCACAGCTTTTGAAAGGACGATTTAACTTCTCTGCCTCTGATGCGTTTGTTTCTCTTTTGTGACATTGAACAAGAGGAATATTGAGGAAGACCTAAAAAATATAGATGTTTGCCGTTAGTGTTTTGTGTGAAGGATAACCAAATCTTCCTTGTGTTGTTTTCTTCTCTCATCAGTGAAATATCGGGACAGTCTTTCAATCAGTGAAATCAAAGCGCCAAATGTGTTCCATAATGGGCACTCCAGCTGTGCATATGTTGCTGCTAATGGCCTGTATGGCAGCCAGAGGAATGTGCCAGACAAACAGAGCCGAAGCAGAGGAGGGCTCCCTCGTCCACTCCACCCTCCACTCCCCGGCTTTCCACAGCACCACCAACCGTCCCAGCACAAGGACGGGCCTCTACCTGAGGGCTCGAGGGGCTGGTGCCAAGCCTGTTGTATCTGGAAGTGGAGGAAATCAAACCGTTGGAAGGAAATCTCTTCCAATGTGCCTTGAAAGGACAACTATTAATAACTACTTCAAGTACATCAACACTGTAATTTCCGTTGTGGTGTTTGTGGTTGGCCTGGTTGGAAATGCCACCCTGCTGAGGATTATTAACCAACACAAGTGCATGAGGAACGGGCCCAATGCTCTCATTGCCAGTCTGGCATTAGGAGACCTTATCTACATTATCATTGGTATACCCATCACTGCATACAAGGTATGTTTTTTTTTTCCTTTTGAGTAGAGATTTCTCAAATGAAAGCATCTGAACGACAGGTCAATGTGTTGATTAAAAGAAATGCAGTGACAAAGGAGGTGATGCATGGAGATAAAATGGTAAATCACTGACGGGAAAAGGAGAGAAGGGGGCTAGGGGAGTGTGCACATAGACGGGAAAGAGTAATCAGTTGGATGCTGTTATCATCCTTGTGTGAGCAGATTGGTGACGAGAGGAGTAGGGGGGTATGGCGAGCTTAAATAAACAAAGGAATCAGGCTGGAGTCACACATGCCAGCAGCTGCGTATTGACCCAGGACATTAGTCATTATCTCCTATCCACAGACCTTATTTTTTATCTACAAAAAACTCAGTTCTTCACTGAGAACCCATTAATTATAATTGATCCAAATCCAAAGTGAGATTTAAAAAGTTTGACTGATATTGTGGTATAACTGGAAATCTGAAATTGTTCATTCGATAAAGAAATATATTTTGTATATTTTGTGCATGTGTAAATTGTGTTTTAGACAGGAACGTTTTCGTCAAGATAATTAACAATTTTCATGTAATAAGTTATCTTTGGCCTCATTGCTCTGTTTTGAGAGATCCCTGTGCAAATGGTAGCCTTATTTTGGGGAGAGTACACTTCCCCTCTGTTTCATGTGTATACACAAAAAGCCAAGGCAGGGAGAGCAGCAGCAGAGACTAGCAGGGTACAGCCCAGAGAAAGAGTCAATGGCAACCCATATAACACAAATAAAATCTGACACCTTATGAAAAAGGAGGAGCTGGAATAGAGGCGGTTTGTGAAGTGGTTTGTGGAGAAGGCAACAAGATTGAGCAAATCACAGCATATTGAAGCGTTCTGACTGGATGTGTAGAAGGTAAGTGGGTGAGCTATCAGCTGATAAGGGCGTTTGAAGCAGCTCATGTGCTGTGGACTATGTCTGACTTTGCAGCCCTGCCTAAACAAATGCTACCCAATATCATTGAAAAGCTTTTGAAAATCATAAGGACAAAATTCAAACAGGTTCACAAGAAAATCACATCATCATTTTTCATATGTAGACGATACCCTGCTGTATCTGAGGAAGACTGATAAACTAGTTCTTCAGAGCTCAACAGATTATACGTATATTATTCAACAGATTGATACAAATACCCCCCAAGAGCATCAACAGGAAAAGTCCCTACACCATATTTCCCACTGTCTTTATGGCAAAATGTGATAAGACAACAAGATGAGATATTTTTTTTTGTCAAGAACAAAGATAGTTGAAAGTACAGTACTCTTTGGCCTCTGTCAAGTTGTGAATATTTTCTGGACAAATGCCCTCACTTTCTATTATTTACTTGAGCCAAGATTCAAGTACATAGATATTTTCTCAATCACATGTGGTCGAAATACCAAAATTTCCCTGTTAATCAGTCTTAAAGTAACTTTGCGTCTTCATGTTTGTGGCAGAACTAATGTGTTTACCTTTGCACCATGAACTGAGCCTTTAAAAAATGAGGCGTTTAATGATGATAGATTATGCTCTGGGCTGCAGCCTTGGGTTGATTAATACCAGTAAATAATGTCCTGCTTTGCTTAATAACTAAGAATGATGGCAGGATAGAGCGATCCATCAACCACATCTCTCCAGAGTATTATTGGACGCCATTTTACCAAAGTAAAAATGAGAAAGCCACTTGGTTAGAATTAATGTAGGACTTCGATGGTGGAGCAACTTTGTAGTCTGAGCAACACATGTGCAAAAGGAAACAAAATCTGACTGGGGGGGGGAGTTATACACAAACAAAGACAGAGCCACGTCTACAGTGTTGAGACCACGTTAAGGCCCCTTGTTTCACATCCTCAGGGCCATGACAGTTGTTTCCAAAAATAATCAGCTACTTATACACCAAAGACAGTGACGTGGGCCTCTTTCCTCCGCTGCTTCTGGGAAACTTTAACAGCTTGAGTAAACAATAGAGGGCCAGGAAGCACCATAAAGTTGTTCCTTTTGCTTCAGCTTTTAGACACTCTTTCAGCTCAGGTTGTGTTATAACGGAGGTAGCATGTCAAGTCCACTAGGCTGGGAACAAAGATCCCAATTCACACGGCCTTGACTTGATTTCCCAGAGGAAGTAATATGATAAGCATTTGTGGAAATGGCTCTGCTTTATATGTATTAGGATGTTTTTAATGTTTGCAGGAGATGTTGATGTTTTATCAGCCAATGAGCTCAAGTCTGTGTCTGTCTAAACTTGCTCTGGCATTTAGATGACGTTGAGAGGTCTTTGATGTGTCTCAGTCTGCATGAAAATTGCCCTAAATAGATTCTTATGTTGGTCAGAAAGAAGCCAGCAACAAAAGCAAGTGCAAAAATCAAACCCCCAAAGACTTATAAAACCAATTATTTACTTACACAGCCTGACAGTGTTTTCTTGACGGATGACAGCGACTGTGAGATAAGTCTTTCTCAGTTAAGTTGTTGTGTGTGTTTCTTTACCAGCTCCTGGCAGGAGGTTTTCCATTTAATGAAAGTCCTGTTGGCCTGTATCTGTGTAAGCTGCTGCCCTTCCTGCAGAAAGCATCAGTGGGAATCACCGTTCTCAACCTGTGTGCCCTCAGCGTGGACAGGTCAGTGCTTTTACACTCCATGATATGACTTTGTGATAAAGCATTGTGGTCTTTGAAAGCACACAGAACAGGCCCCAAAAGGAGTTACAGTAAAAATCAAACCCTTGAAACTTTGCTCCTTCAGTATATTAAACAAGAGGTCTTTTCATGCATTAGTTTGACATTTTGTTACTTTGTGTTTGAAAAAGTGCCATAAGAACGAATCTCAACCCACTTACATTTACATTTGATTGAATATCACCAAACATCGGAAGTCGAAGAGATGAGCAGATCAAGTCAGTATTGGGTCGGTCCGTCAAAGACCATATCTAGACATCAGTGTGACGTGCAAAATAGGTTATAAATTTTGACGTCCAAATTGGACCTTTTTTCAGACGTTGCTCTGACGTTTAAAATTTGGACGTCATCTGAAGACCAAATCTAGACGTCGGCACAACGTGCAAAATGGATCCAAGATTTGGACGTCATTACTTGACGTCTTTTAGACATTAAAATGACGTCCACATTTGTGCTTCATTGTTGAAAAAAATATGTTAAATAGATGTCATTTTGACGTCACATTGTGCAGCTGACATTCACTCTCCTGAATGCCTTGTGATTAACAAATGCTCCTTTCTCTCGTAAAAGTTTTACTCATGTTTTTATCATTCCACTGAAACCTATAAAAGAAGCACTTTTCTGCTAAACTGGGACCCGTGAGGCAAAGGCAGAGATCTTGGTTTGTGTGGAAGTTGTGGAGTAAACTTATCGAACAAGGAAAGTGAAGCAGCTTTCATCGGCAGCAGACGCTTGACAGTAAAAAAGGAAAAAAAAATAAAATAGGATTAAAATGAGGGCCACAAGCCAAGTGCGCCAGTTTTGTTTCTAAGTTGTTTCTCAATTTAGTGCGCAAAGTCCATGCCAAACCAGATGTTTAAACTTTCTAGTTTGTACCTTAAGCTGTGTCAGCTTTGGTAGCACCATGAAGGATTCATCGTAACTCGTAAATAGCATAGAAAAAAATTATGATTTAACTTCCTGTGTCTAGTCACTGAAAAGCACTTTTCTCTATGGAGTGTTGGTTACAGTACTTGTTTGTATCCAGACAGGCTAACAGCTTGAAAAACGGCAGACGATTCCTTTAATTGGCTAACATAAAAGGTTGTCCATGAAAATATTCATGAAAATCTCTGTTTATGGAAAAGCAAAAGTGGAAACAATTCAAGGTGAATTTACAATTATTAAGAACAGAAAGTAAACACAACAGTGCTGCTCTGATTATCTGCTCCTCCTCAATTTCCCTGTTATCTCATCTTTCAAAATGATGTACCATGACAGCCAGTCTTGTAATAATGATAATAATAACACATTTAATTTATGGACCCTTTTCAAAACACTTAAGGTCACCTTGAAGTAAAGTTAAATATGAAACTTTTTTTTAATGTAAAATGGATCAGAGTACATAACACCTCATTTTATTTATGCTTTATTTATCATTTTTATTTTTGTTCGGGTTTTCTCTTCAGGTGAGGTTTGAGTTAAGGTCTTTCTTCCTCACCAGCACATGTGATTTATTTTACAATACACCAAAAAAACAAACCAAAACCACCTACTCAAAACTAGGGGTAAATTTAAGATGCTAGTTGTGCCTAACTGGACCTAAAATGTAAGTAGTGTGTAAACTAAATTGCATTTGAACTTGTACAAAGCTGCTGCATCCTGGAGCAGATGCTTCATTGGAAGAAAAAACAGCCTATAAAATGTACAAGATGCTATTTCATAGTCGGAAACAGATACTGTTACATAACAGTAAAAGCAGTGGTCGAATCGGCTGAAGAACATAGACCCAGAAAACAAATTTGTATATTGATGCAGTTTCAGATCATCAGCATGAAGGTGTGTTTAGTGGAGCTGATGATGATGATCTCTTTCAGGAAGGGTCAATACTGATTTTACATCCTTACCAGGAAGTCATTTATCTATAAGCTCTTGAGTTCGTCGAGTCAGTGCTGAAAACTTTCTGGATGTACTTCTTTAATGGAAACATTAAGAGTTATTTATTTTATATACAGCATTACAAGATACAAGATATATGCACCGTATAACATATGTACTGTTAATATCAAAAGCTCTAATATCTTATATAACAGTACCTTAATAGAAATTCCCCGATGAATAAATGATGATTATGAAGTGCAGAAGCTGAGTGTCCTCTTACTTCATGCACTGCAGACAAAACTTAAGAGATAAGAGCCTCCGTAGCTCCAAGGTTCAACCAGGCAGACATATTTAATGACCACTATTATGAGAAAAAGACTGCAGGGCTGTGCAGTTGTGTTCAGGAGCAGATGTTTGTGTGTGTGTATTATTGAAGGACTTGAGACTCTTTTGTATCTTTTCAATGTTGGAGGAAGAGAAAAAGGTGGCTACATTACCACTTAGTAAAATATAAATGCCGCCATGTTGTTGAACAGAGAAATTCAAATGTGTCATGAAAAATATATTGTTTTTGCCATAAAATCTTGATGCAGGATTTTACTAAAACATTTCGACAAGTGGTTTCCATTAATGAAACAAACAAGCAAACAAGGATTCAGTGCATGCTGGGAAACACGAGCCAACAGACAGATAGACCCCTCTGCCAACATGGGCCGCTCTGTTTGGAGGCTTCACAAAAATATAAATATTAGATATTTAAAATAAACAATTGATCATCTCTCCTCATCAATTCTTAACCTTTTGATATTCTTTGCTGACTGAGCAGTTTGTTGTGTTTGGTGTGCTGCCATGCATAGAGGAAATTTGTTGTTAGCTTTGTCAGTCAGGAGAGACAGTGAAAATAATGACTCTGATGATATCTTTTGAAAGAGGGAACTCAAGCAGCCGAACTGCTGAAGCCTCTATGTCGGTTATTAAACCGCATTTTGTTTTCATATCTTGGTAATTGTATATTTTTTCACTTTATAAAATTTCCTTGTTTGCCATCCCAAGAGGATAAGATATCACTTCTGCTGCAGTAACTCACTGTCCCCCTGGCAACAACAATTCAATTTAATGAATCAGTTTTATTATTTAATACAGTGAAAATGTGAAATCAGTTCAAATGCTATCTAAAACAAATAATAGATGGATAAGACAGTCAAAAATAATCTAAGATGATCAAACTAATGATGCACAAAAATAGGAGAAAAAATGAATGTCTATGGTAAAAAAAAATGACATTGGCATTGTTGTAAACCCGACTGTGAACGTGTGTAGAGATTGCATGATACAGGGCTAGTCAGTTTACATCCACCAGGTATTGGCATCTTACCTTCCAAGTACGCTGCTGTAATCCTTGGTCTTCTACATCATAAAAAATGTGCTGTCATGTATGGTAGACATACAGATTTTGTCATTTGTTATATGTCTGTCTAATCTACACTGTGGCACATGGTGTTCTTTCGGTGCCAATGCTAGCTGCAGCTAATGCTACTTCATACAGAATTTCTTCACTACATCTCTGTTGTGATGATTAATTTCCAGGTAATTTCTAAGGTCAAAACACTTGCAGCAGTTTTGCAGATTTCAATGGCGTTGTCCACCTCAAACAATGAAAAACATCCACACAGCTGACACTGTGTTTATATTTTGGCTCCTTCTCTTTTTCTCTGAATGTAAGGATGGATCGCATACCTCCAGCTACTGTGAACGTGAGCTTGATAATGAGTAACTAAAAACTACTTTTAAGGGTTGTTTGAATTTATTAACAGAATAAACAGACAAAAATCCAAACTCAAAAACCACCTGTTCAGATTAGCACACTCCTTATAATTTACCATTTGTTTTATTGTTTCATACATTGTTTCATACTTTATTTTTTTTTTTTACCTATTTTGTTTTGTTTTCTCCATTGTTTTTATCCTGCTGTTTTTACTCTGTAAAGTGTCCTTGAGTGTCCAGAAGTGAAATATATTAATATCATTATTATAAAATATTTTCTGTAATGGACTGATAATCCATCTACACAATATATTGTACATCATTAAAAAACAAATATTTAAAACAAGCAAAAAGAGAAGAGGGGAGAAAGCAGAGTTAAAGGGAGTGTAATTCTCAGGTCTTACAGATAGTGATAGAGAGCCCAATCTAATTTAGAGTTACTGTGAAGAACTTTTAGTTTGAGTTGATTTTGGTGACCCCGTGAACTAAGGTAACCCTAATCTTTTCGTTTATCTCACCAAGGGCAAGTTCAGTGAAGTATTTTCTACATAAAACTCGTACTTTTCCTGTAAACTGTCAAACATTTCCTGGAATTTTAGATATGGACTCTTATTCGACTTATCTATCTAGTTATTTATCTAACCAGTGTTCATTTCAGTCTGTTTAATGAGCAGCAAAAAAAAATCCTCATTGTGTGTTTATGTCTGTGTTGTTGGTGAGGGAGTCTTGAAGGAACTGGCAGGGGTCAGTGTAGGAGGTTTAGGAGTGAGGGTAAATGTTTGATACCTGAACTCAGCTGCAGATAGAAAGAGGGTATTCAGAGAGAGGGTCAGGTGAGCTTGGTCAAGAGTCGAATCCACTTGAATATTCTCTAATGCATCTCTTGTTTTTGCCCCTCACAGGTACAGGGCTGTTGCATCTTGGAGCAGGGTTCAAGGCGTGGGCATCCCTCTCCTCACAGTCATTGAGATTCTGTCCATCTGGGTGCTGTCACTCATCCTTGCAGTGCCTGAGGCCATCGGCTTCGACATGGTCGAATTCAACTACGCGAACCAAACCATCCACACTTGCATGCTCAACCCTAAGACTGACTTCATGAAGGTAAGCTGTCATCCTCTCTTTATCTGTTTGAGATTAGAAAATACTGTGTCGTGTTTTTATGTCCCAGGGTTTGTTGTTCTTAGTCTAGGATGTGCTGTGCAATGGTACACAGTGTGAAGATACTCTAATGGATAGGTCGATTTTTGCATTGAGACATAACACGACCAGACCAATGAGATAAGAAGCCCAGCTGCATAGCGATTACTGAAAGTGAAAGTACAAGATCAGCTTCAAATTCCACACTATCTTAAGAGGATTTATGTGTGTTGTTTTTATGGTCAGGTGATTTATTTTTGACTGTGAAGGATTTCCAATGTGGGAACTGATGCTTCATTGTCCATTCAAATTAACCTTTAAGCCACAAAATGAGTATCTGATATCATAACTATTTAGAGTGGAGTAACCCTTTAATAATACACCTCCTTTACTTACTTAGCCTTTTCTTTTTTTACGACCTCAGGGCTTATAACTGATTGCAGGCAGAGTGCAATTACCAAGACTCAAGATTTGGTTGCTCAAGCTGAGCTTTGTGCTCAAAACTGGCGTAATCTTCCTCAGATATACACAATACCAGGGTGACCATACGTCCTCTTTTACCCGGACATGTCCTCTTTTTTGGGGGCTGTCCGTGCTTGTCCAGCCTTGTCCATATGTCCCTGGTTTTGTACGAGAGTTTCGATTTTGTGTTATGTTGACTTACTGAGTTAGAAGCACAAAAAAGACACTCCATCCGACCCAAAAAACTCTCAAAATTAACTTTGTGCGACTCTGTGACTCCGCCCACATGTAGTCGCGTCCTCTTATTGTGAAGTCAGAATATGGTCACCCTACACAATACAATACTTGGACTCTTTCTCCAATAAAATTAGGACTGAAAATGTCATTTCCATCTGTGAATGAGTCCCAACATTTGTGGCAACATTCTGCCAAAGTTCAACATGAATTTGAAAACTTTCAATGTGTTTTTATTTCTCTTAGTTTCAATATGAAACAGAGGTCATGAAAATGTTCATGATTTCGAAATTGTGGAAAATCAAGTGAGAACACTTAAAACATTTGGCACAACCACAGAAAGCCGGATGCACCACAAGTGGCTTTTGTCAAACTTGTTGCACTTCAGAGAGACACATGTGGGCCTCACATGGATCCCATGATCTGGAGTGCAGGGACAGTCTGGAGGTGGTCTTTGTCTCATTAAGGTTCAGTTATACAGTTATAGATAAGCTGCGTTCAAGTGCTTGTTGCTTAGAGAATGTTTGTCACAAACATTAATGGAAAAGCATACAACTTTTCTCTTATAGGCAACCAATGAATCATCCATTTCTTCATGCACTTATGTCAATGAAGTATATTTATTCTTTTAACTGTGCTTGTACTCTTTAGTTCTACACAAACATCAAGGACTGGTGGCTGTTTGGCTTCTACTTCTGTGTACCTCTAGCCTGTAGTGCCATCTTCTACACATTGATGACCTGTGAGATGCTCAACCACAGAAAAGGCAGCCTGCGTATAGCACTCAGTGAGCACCTCAAACAGGTAAGTCTGACTTACAGTGAAAGAATTAACCCTTTAACTCTCGTGAACACCCATCATTTAAGCTTTTTATTTCACTAAACGCACATAAATGTCTGTGATTTGTGAACATTTGCAACTTTTTGAGGACTGTGGTTTTAAACTCTTATCTTCCAGTATTCAAACTTCTTAATCTCCTTTTAAGCGGTGGGCTAACATCTTACCTTTCTTTTGCAGAGGAGAGAAGTGGCTAAAGCTGTCTTCTGCCTCGTCCTCATCTTCGCTCTCTGTTGGTTTCCGCTGCACCTCAGCAGGATCCTTAAAAAGACTGTTTATGATAAGACTGATAAGATGCGCTGTGAGCTGCTCAGGTGAGGCTAATGGAAATACTAATGGTCTTTGAATTACAAACCCAATCGAAGAACAGTTGCTAGCATTACTGGATTCCTCCGTGCATGGTACAGTTTTTAACAAACATGTGTTGATGCAGTGACAATCAAGGATTTTAAGCCCATGCAGTGATTTCCGCCAGAGTCGTGTCTGTTTTTAATGCGGGCCTTAAGTATTTGTTTTCAGACTTTTCCCTTCAGTGCAGACTCTCTGGATGAAATCCCCAAAGTCTTTGCAATTTTATGCCAAAGAACTTTATTATGAACTTGTTAAACTGTTTCCTACGCAGTTTCTCACAGAATGGTTTCCTGTTCCCATCTTCACTTCAAAGTGACTCAGTTTCTCTGGAAAGGCATTTTTATATTTATACTGAGTCATGTTCATAATTGGTTACAGAAACCTCTTCAAAGAGTTTTCTAGAAATGTTGAACCAGGTCTTTTTTTTTAAGTTTTTAAATAAGTGGACTAAGCTGATTTCCTGTGAAGTCAGCAGCATTAAATGGTTCAAAACGGATTGTTTTTCTCATTACTTTCAGTTTCCTGTTGGTTCTGGATTATCTCGGTTTCAACCTTGCAACGATCAACTCCTGCATAAACCCCATCATTCTCTACTTTGTCAGCAAGAAGTTCAAAAACTGCTTCAAGGTACAGCAGCTCCCAACAACAGATGGATATTAATGAATGCAACACAACCCAAACACTCACTCTTAATCCCCTTCCCACTAAACACTCACACATACACACTCTTGAGACTCAGTCTGGCCAGTAAAGAAAACAGTGAACTCAGGCTTTTATCACTGCGAACAACACGTAAAAGCAGCTCAGTGATGTATGTATACACTCTGTATAGCAGAGGTCAAACAATGTCAACGTCTGTCAGAGGGAACCGGGCTTGAGATAAACCAGGTCTCAAGTTCACACGTTAAAGAGTTGGTAGAAGAGTTGGTCTGCAAATACAAGACATTGACACCATATTCACGTCTGTTAGACAAGTACAAAAAAGCGCAGACGAGATTTTAAAAGAAAAGTTAAATGACTTGTTAACTATGACAGCATATTAGGGCCACATTAAAAAAAAAGACTTTGTAATTATTTACAAGAATAAAGTCATAATAAAATAATTATTTACGAGAATAAAGTTGTAATAAAATAATTATTTACGAGAATAAAGTCGTAATAAAATCATTACTTATGAGAATAAAGTCCTGAAGTTAATGAAGTCTCAAAGCTGGAGGAGGATATGGCTGGAACTGGTCAGCTGCAGAGTTATCTGAAGGTGCATCAGTGGGTCATTCAGAGCGCTTTTGTGGTTTCTCAAGAAACAATCCAACTGATGATCAACATTTGCGATTCAGTGGGAGTCGAACTCCGACGAGCGCCGTGTCTGTCTCTGATGCCGGCACAACACCGGCAGCAACCTACACCTGCAGAGGCACCAACACCGTATGGTGTATAGATTCATACGATAAACTAAAGCCATATGCTGTTGCTGTTGCTATAAACGGCTGCATTGAGGGATTTCGCCTCTGCACAGCCATTTCCAGCCATTTCCCCCTCCTCAAAAACAGCGATTCCCTACAAGTCCACCTGTTTCTTTCTGCGGAAAAGATGCATTTCTTGAATATGTCCTGATATTTACAACAATGTGATGCTGAAACACCAAAGGATTTAGTATCTCCTAGTTTGTGAAACCTAGCTACTGAAGTTTAGTTCATCGAAATACTCCACAGCGCTCATTTAAACAACTAACAACAGGTTAGAATATCTATTAGCTACGACTTTATTCTCATAAGAAATTATCTTACTACGACTTTATTATCTTTAGTAATGACTTTATTATGATTTTATTCTTTTATTACCACTTTATTCTTGTAAGTAATTCTGAGTAATAATAATTGTTTTTCTTTTCTTAATGTGGCCCTAATGCTCCGCCGTAGTTAACAGTGGTAAAAACCACCACTGGAAAAAGGTTAAGAACTGCCCCAGCTGCATTATCCAAATAATGTTCATTACTGCTACACCAGAAAAAGAACTGAATTTACCAGAATATGAAGCTAACCCTGTCAATTTTCTCCTCTTTGGTTTTCTTGCATGTTTTTCCAGTCATGTTTATGCTGCTGGTGTTACTCTGACAACCAGCTGAGCAGCATTGGCCCCATGAATGGAACCAGTATCCAGTGTAAGAGCCCGGAACCCAACAACCTGAATACTGACCGCAGTATCAGAAAAGACAGCGATTGATTTCTCAACTGGGGAACACCTGAATATTTCAAGCACTCCAATAAACGCAGTCTACGCTCATTTTAAAATAAAATACACCAAAAAGATCATTAATTCACACCCTAAGGACCACTGAAGCATCATATGAGCCCGGCAGTGATGTCAGGAGTCAAAAACAAGGGATTTGGTTCACAATGCTCCGGAGTTACCAAGGCCTCTCAGCAGGCAAAACTTCCTTGTACTCTTGCCAATGACACTTAACGCTGTAGCGTGAGAGAAGAAAGGGGAGAGCTGAATGAGGAGGACTACTCTTTAACAGGATGCAGCTGAACAGTGACTATAAATTACCCCCAATCAGTAGCTGAGCATGCTATTCCTGTAAAGGGCAACACTCCTGGGAAGGATGCACAGAGCTACAGGAAGGAAAAGCAAACTGCTTGCTGTCAGAGGGAATAGTGGAAGATGAGTATGTTCTGTCCTCAAGAGTTCACTTTTCATTGTTGGTGGAAAACAGGAAAGTATGTTACAGACCTAAGCCAGGGTTAGGTTTCCCATCAGACATGCTAGCCTGTGTACGGCGTATTTTAATCGCACTTACTATAGCCTACTAAAACTTCTTTATGGTATGATGAGGAGATAAATTTGTAGTTTTTCCTTCTGTTCAACACAAACTTTCTCTGATTCGTCAGAGAAACTGGTAAACTGACAGTTAAACTTTACATCTAAGAACCTAGCAATCTTTTGTAGATGATCCACAAACTTCTTGTTAGTTATCCATAAATGAAAAATCTCATAAAAGAATAATGTTCAGTGTCAGAATAAGACAAATTGCGCTGGTGCAAAGCCAAGTAAAAGGTAGTAGGTTCAAAAACAGATGGGGCTCAGTTTTGTGTTATCATGTCGTTATGTTAGGAAAGTTCTGAATTATGACAGGTCTGATATCAAGTTAGACCAAAAACTGTGAAGTTTAATCAACACGGATTGTGACTTAACTGCTTGTATAACCAATGAAATATCCATATATATATATAGAGTCCACTTTTATAAAGTGTTTTATTGCGGTTGTAGTAAGTATTTTACTCAGGCTACATCACATGTGTAAGACTGAGTTTTAATGTTGGTTTATACTCCAAATATAGAATTTATACCTGCTACCTGGAGCCCATCTACAGCTTTTCAATTCATCATGATTAAGAAAATTACTGCACAATCAGTAGCTAAGTAGCAGCTGTCTGTAATTGAGCATCATAAACCAATAACAAGATTTAATTTTCCATTCTTGATGCAAGCAGCGAATGTCTGCTGGCAGTAAACTTCTATTTCAGAGCAAGAGAAGCAATTGAGAGCTGTGTCCAAAAGTATGATTAACTATTGTTTTTATGCAGAGATCGTAGTCAGCTACCAAACAACTATACTGTCTTCTGCTATATGACATGTAAATAGAAGTAAACCTGTGTGAGACTGATGTGTTCTATCATACGTGTTAGCGCTGTGTGTATATTTAATTGCACTTCTTTGGATGGAGTGTTTTGCACACTTGTGTACAGAAGAACAGGCCATATCTGTACAGTATCATGTAACCACTATACAACTGAGCTATTTCAAGTAATCTGTTGAAATTCATATCTTTTTTGTAATTGTTTTACCATGATAATGCTGCTGCTTGAACCAATAAATCAATTCCATCTCCAATGTTGGGAAAAAGGAGGTATTTTTTTTTACTATCTTCCTAATATTGGTTCCTATGGGAAGTGAAGGGGGCCCCTTCTGTTTTTCATCTGCGTCTGTGAGAAAGAGGCGTCTGGGAGTGATTTGAAGCACACTGTGACCTGCTTGGCAACTGAGCCCTTAGGGTTGCTAATGTCAGCGGAGAGGATGTGAACAGCTCAGATGGTGGGAATTTGATACTTATAACTCAATTCTCATCTATGTTGCCCAAAGAGGATGGGGGGAAACACATCGACCATTACTAATCCACGTTTGAGTCATATATTAGCCTGGACGTGGCAGGAAAAATACTTCATGATCGTCTCTGTGAAAAGTTTCAGCAGGGGGAGGCTGTTAGTGGAAGACACATGACAAACTCATTCAGATATATGTATCTATAATGTCCCGAACCTTTTTGGTCGCTATTCTTTAACTTCTAAATAAAACATTTTCTGGCGACTACAATTATGCTGCTTTCAAAAAGCTACATTATCCAGAGCCATGCAATTCTATACACAAAGCTGCAAAACACCCAAGATCAACATAAACGCTGCAGCAGCCACAGCTTTATCTGACACTGGTCTGTATTTTTTCACCGGGTTGGCGATACGTCATAGCTAGGTCATAAACTTTATGAAACTGGTCCATGTTCCTCATATGAAATCATCTCACTATCAGGTTACAATCACTCTGAGAAAATACAAAACAGCTCAAATCTGTGTTTACTTTGATTTGTTATTCCTTGAGTCTATGGCACTGAATTAAACGAATAATATTAGGGTGGAATATTATATTCATGCTTTTTGAGGGGGAAGTAAGAGAGAAATCTAAGGGTTTGAGAGAAGTGAGAGGGAAACAGAATAGCTTGGACTCTGGAATCTGGTGGGAACCTTGGTCCTTGCCAGCAGTGAATTGAATAAAGCTCTAAAACAAATAATGGAGGATCTCAAAGGTCCAGGAGCTTCTCTCCGGAGAGCTTATACAGATTTAGTTGGCGATATAGAAAAAGTGGCTTAGAGTGCTCTCCCTATCAGGAAATGCGTGACAGCGTGATTTTAGCTTAAGCTTTTTGGTAAGAAATCATTTTCAACAAGGACAGGAAATTTATTACTATGGTTATGAAGGGATTTGTGGTGAGCCAGAATAATTCAAGTAACCAGCCTTTGTTTACTTTTCCTAAAACTTCAATATTATCTTTTTAATTGTACCAGTCAACATGTGCTTACAACATAAAAATTACACATCTTTAACAATCTCAGTAGATTAATTAGATATGAAATCAGTTCTCCGGCCCCAAGTTTCTCAAAGTCTTACAAGGCAAAAGGTGAGCTGGTCAACTTCATACCAGATAAGCTAAACTTTCATCTCGCTCATAAACAACAGTGAGAAAAGGAGCTTCTTTGCAAGCCCTGTCTAAAAGATCAGTGTGTGAAAATAAAATTGAGACTGTTATCATTTCAGTTTTGTGCTTCTATAGTCTGCCTTTTATATAGTTCAAAACTGAAGAGTAAAAGAGTGAACTAAAAAAAACTAGATGTAAACAATCTCTTAGGTCTGTTCTGTATTTCCTCTGTGAGACAAACAGCGCTCTCGCATCAGTCACTTGGTTCAATGATCTCCTGGCACATACTTATAATCAAAACATGAGGTTCACACTCCTGTCAGATAAGGTCAGAGCGTTTGGCTCCACACACGAAGGCCTCATTTGGCAAATCTATCCTGCTGAAAGGGTCTGGTGGTGAGCCTGCACTGTTGCACATCCTGTCGGTGCTTACTTGCTGAGATTATACTTTCCACTTCACTGTTGTTGTTTCTGAGTGATGTAAAAACTCCAGCATTGGGAGCCAGAGCACTCCAGCTCCCCTAAAGAAGGCAGTGACTAAACAAGAGGGCAGCTTGAATTGGGACCTGGAAACACCTTACTACCAGGTGTCACTGCTAACCAGCACACCTGCAACCTCGCAGCTTTTGCTTGTGTATCTGTTTTTCTTTGTCCAGTGCCGGCCCAAGCCTCAATGGGGTCCTAAGCAAAATTTGATTTTGGGGCCCTCTATTTGTGCCCGTAATATTGATTTTTGATCATTCACACACCTTTACAAATGTCTTTGATTAACATTTCATGACATGCAAACATACCTTTACCTGGATGCTTTTTTCTCCTCTTCGTCTTTCTTCCTCTTTCTTTTCTCTGCTCATGAAAGATATGTCCTTTTTTGCGACATTGTTTTGCACCACATCTACCTGCGCTTTGGATGGATCAGTGCACACAGCAGAAGGCACATAGCGGAGCTTGACATATCGGCAGTAAGAATCATAGGCCTACATCTGCAGCAACTGTTTTTACTTGTTTTTTTTTTTACAATAATATATATTTGACCACACAGAAAACATCACTTATAAATGAAAAAATAAAAAATATTTAAAAAACATTTTTTTATTGCTCTTGGGGGGCCCCTATTGGCCGTGGGGCCCTAAGCAGGCGCTTAGTTCGCTTACGCATTGGGCCGGCTCTGTCTTTGTCCATTACATCACGATGATCTATAACTGTGATCCAACTCCACTGAAAAGAAGCGGGTATTTTCAAGCATAAATACTACAAAAGGCTTAGGCCAAGTTTCTGATTCAGCACCCTCATGGTGTTGAGCTACAGTCCTAAGGGGTTGCTTTAACAGTCTTCAAATATAACTCTCAGGGCCACTGATCATGTTGCTCTCGGATATGAGTAAATACTGAACAGACACTTTCAACATACACACAGTAGTCCACAAGATAAGGCCCTGTGATCCACAACAGTGGTAAGCGTAAACAGCAACACGCCTGTCTGCAGGTGCACCTTATTCTTAAGAGAGATGAGAGCAAACACACTGATTGATCTTATTTATATCATGCCCAAAACACAACTAAGGATGTTGCTCAACATTAACACAGACTATGTGCTGTGTAAACAGGAAAATGTGGTTGGACATGCCCTGATCCACTCTGCGTCAAACCCGTCTCACTGTTTGTTTCAGAACGTTTAGATAGGACTCTTAGTCATCCGGGGTCACGGTAATCTTGATCTTGATCCCAAAAGGGAATGCCCACCATTTAGTGATCTAAGACTCATGAAGGCTCATACAGAAGTTGGATCAAGATCTGGAAGACCTGATGTATAATGAAGGTTAAACAATAAGAATGAATTATTAACTGTAGGGCTTTTGAACCATTTTTAAGCATTTAGCAGGTTTTTAACACTTTTATTTTTTAGATTGTTTTGTTTAATCAATTTGTAACCTGAGATTATCTTCTTTCCCTTTATTTATAGATCATCTTTTTTTGTGTTTCAATGTACCTTTATCTCTTTCTTTTAGAAATGTAAGTGTTCCTGAGTTTGCCTGTTTTTTGACTTTGTCTTTTGCCTGCCCCTTTGGATTGTTTGCATTTCTCTGTAACTCCGCCTGCTCTTTACTCTCCCCCTCATCTGAGTCGTAAATTTGGATTCATCCTCAGTATCCTTTTGATTGTTTCAATGTTTTTTTTAAACCTTGTTGCGTATCTAAAAATCAATTAGGCCAAGAATTTGTTGTCAAGTCAAGTCAAAGTTTATTTATAAAGCACCTTGAAAAGACAGCTGTCAAACAAAGTGCTGTACATGAGATAAATAAAAGAAGTATACATATATATAGATAACAATAAAATATAAAATTGAAAACAGTAGAATAAAACACAGACAGTAAAAGAATAAAAGCTACAGTGTCTATGTTGTACTTTTTAAATTGGTAAAATCTATTAAAAGTCACATGGACTTTCAGCAGAATATCCTGCAATAAGCAGGACCAACATCTTCTTTGAGAAATTTTTAGGGCAAGAAACATTTACCAATTTAGTGCAATTTTTTTAGGATTTGTTGACAATCAAAAAACTAAACTGTTACAGTAATTCACCTTTTAAGGGACTAAAGTGCGACGAGCAATAACCTCTCTTGTTTCTGCACAAGTTCAGATAAAGCTGTATGACTCTGAAGACTTCATCTTACGTCACTAATGTTGTTGTTGAGGAGCAGATGAACTGAAGTGAACACCCTCAGAGAGTCTGAACATTTCCTGACACAAAGGCCTGTGGCTGACGTACTAAGATAAATTAGTAATAGTTGAACAATTTCAGACTTGTGTATTCCTCTGATAAAGGAGGTGCACTTTGGCTGATACATTATATCTCAGGAATCAGACAGTACGTCTCCTCCTCTGCTGTGCATTGATTATTACAATTCTTCAGACCTATCCATTCTGCTTATCCAGTCTATGTCTGCAAGGCTCGCACTGTTCGGGTAACTTCACCCTACAGTAATGGCTATGATTCAGAGAGACATAATGGACGCCACATCCTTTATGCTAAAATCTGTTTTGGGTCTGATCAAACACAGCATATGTTTATCTACCCTGCCCTTACACGGCTGTACCCTGTTTGCCATTTTGCTTGGCAATGCCTCCGAGCTATCCACCATGGCAGTCGCTTAGACGACTTGTGGCAAAGACTATGTCTAATTCATAAAAGCCAAAAGGACCAATTCAAAATTCATGAACAATCTGTCCTGCTACAACCAGTGATTTCTGTGACTGTGGGGCAGTGGAGACACGGTGCCACAGAAAGGGAAGTTCTGCCTCCCCTCATCTTACAGGAAGATACACAGACACAAATATAAACACACATAAGCACAAACACACACACAGGAAAGGTCTGAAGGAAGTTTAGATGAGCATTTTGATTACTTTCTTAATGCAGATTTAAAATTAAAACTAAACAAACCCTAAAAACAGAAGAATAAATTACAAATGGAATTGATGTTGTTTATTTTGTGTTAATACTCCGTGAAATTTCATCAATTTTTGTAAGGCATCAGTAGAGCTTTTTTCCCATAAATTTAGCTAAAAAACAGAACCATTTATAAAAATGAAATATTTAGCAAAAGCCACAAAAGTCAATGTGTCACAAGATATCAGCCTAACATTATGTGTTGTAAATATGACATATTAGGGTGAGAAAAGCACTTTTGTAAATAATATGGAAGATGACTGAATTCTGTTTGGCTGCTCAGGTATCAGAATACATTTTGATAATTAAAACAACACACTTTTTGTTCCATGCCACAAACATAAGAGCTTGCTGTTTTGTCACAAAAACAATGCCATTTACAGTACGTGAGTATAGCATGGCACATATCAACAAAAAATATTTATTATTAAATTGAAGTTTTTTTTGTAATTGATACTTAAAAGCAAAACCCCTTAATGATTTCAAGTTCTGAAAAATCAGGGTCTATCTGTGCAGAGAAGACTAAATGGAAAAGATAAAAATAACACACATTAGATATTATTTTGCATACAAGTTTGTTTAATAAGTCTTAACGAATGAACTTCTATACATTTAAGGGGACAAATCTATTTACCTTTTTTTTTTTTTTTTTACTTTTTTATCCTATGCCTGTCATTTTGATATCCAACACTATCATACAGTTATGTTACTTGTAAAACATTTAAGGATGTAACCTAAAACGAGTCTAGCCTTATCTATCTATCTATCTATCTATCTATAGTATATACACACACACACACACACACACACACACACACACACACACACACACACACACACACACACACACACGGTGATACGGTTGCCGTGGTAACTGTTAATTCACATTGCCATCTGCTGGCGGGTACGTAAACTGTAGCCAGCGACAATGCAGTGCAACCAAACTAGTCACATGAGTTAGGTTGGCTCACAAAAACTCTTTCTTGATTGGCTCGATGACTCGATTCCCCCAATCACGTTCTACACAGTAGGTGGGAATACATCTGATCCAAAACAGGAAAAACAAACTCAACAAATACTCTTTCGAAAACTTTTAAGAACTGAAATCTCCCAGCAAATACTCCATGTATTTCCAATGAATTAAGAGGCGGAATGATCATTTTACGGGCTGCTTCTCCCGCTGTGGATAATGAGATAGATTCAGCGGTGTTTCAGTCGGGATGGTTCACCTGCTTTGTTTACATGGTGAAACAGCTGAGAAGCTAACGTTAGCCACCTAGCTTGGTCAAATCAAGTCATATGAGCTGGTAATTATCCGGGAGCTTTGCCCCCATGAATGAAACTTTACGTCCGTGTAAGAGCCGACGTACATGTACACTAGTGAAGTGGTTGATCATCGTCCTGCCTGTAAAAGTGTCCTCCTGAGAAGCTAACCCTGAATGTGTTAAGAAGCGTTTCTCACAGTAAGATCATCCGGATCATCCTGCGGCCGGTCTCAAAGGCCTGCCGCGTCTTCATGTCAACATGCCTTGTTCCTGTGGGAACTGGAGGAGATGGATTCGGCCGCTGGTCGTAGTGCTGTACATTCTGTTGCTGTTAGTTGTCCTGCCGTTGTGTATCTGGGAGCTGCAGAAGTCAGAGGTCAGTCCCAGCTATCAGTGTCTGTGATTCAGATGTTGCTGGAGTTTGATGTTTGGCTCCTGTGTGTCTGACTGTCGTTAAGTTTGATCTAGCATCTCAAGGTTCTTTTACTTTACTGTGCTAACGATATTCATGCTGTATCATGCACACTGATACACCCAAACACTCCTAGGCTGCTACTTAACTTTGATCTCCTTGTAAGTCATCTTGAAATAGTAATGACAGTCAAAGACTATTACACAATTGAGTTTTCAAAGTGCTGTAGGGGAGAGTGGTGTAAGTTGAGCCACCCCCGTTGCTTGGAAATGGTCAGAGAAATTGATCATGTGACCAAATATTTAGGAGTCTGTGAAGGTTAGAAGCACATGGGTGAAGGGGTTAGACATTTATTTCCAAAAAATCATTTTTCACTCTTGTAAGTGAATTTAGTCTGTCATAAGTTTTATTAGAATTGTGTTCAGACCAAAAAAGATCATTGTAAATTTGTTTTATACATCAATTGTGGTATCTATGAGCTACAACATGAGATCAAAAACCTAGAATAAAAGTCCACCATTTAAGCTTAGAGGACTAATAAAGTCATAAGCCAGAAAGTAAAGGAGTCTGATGAGAGGATCAGAGTTTCAGTTCAGATTGTTGAAATGTGTTACTTTTTCCTTTCAAGAATACAGCTGTGAATGTTCTGAATCACTAATCACTTTTGGCATGCTATATTATCAAGACAGTTATGTTTACACTCATTCTGTTAGTTTGCAGGGATGCACAACATTTTGAAATATATGCAGATACACTAGTTAGAGACAAAACCATGATTGCCTTGATGTAGTGATCTGAAATATGAAAAATGGCTCATCTTAACCCACTCTCCCTCACTCATATTTTCATGAACACTGGGGGCACTAGACTTATTTGATTGGGGTGACCAAGCATTTACTTAATTTTTTTACAGAACAAATCCAAAAGTCACTTTCTCTTTGTTTCTCTTCTCTAAATTTTAACTTTAAAAAGCACATCAACATAGTGGCAACATTCAAATCTATTGAAATTTAACAAAAGATCCATAAAGAAAACTTTTTCACAGTCACCATCTCAAGTAAAGAATAAAACAAAGAAAACTGAGAAAAGTTGGGCATGGCTACCCCTGTCTCTGCCACTGTTATAAGGTCCAACTTTTCTGTAATTTAGGCCGTGAAATTCTAGGATATAAGAAAATCTGTGTTGAAATACTTTATAGGGAATAACCCCTTGAGATGAACCATCTCGTTTTTGAGGGGATCCTCAAATATAGATACGTAAAAATACATATCCATGGAAAACAAAACAAAGCCAACAATAACAAAACAAAATAAACAAAGCAATAACAAATAACTGACACAAAAGAGAAAGTAAAGAGTAAACAGATAACAACCAAAAAGTAACACAAAATCTGATTGTGCAATAAGGTTATTTGAAATTATTTCAGTTAAAAATCCTCTTTGGCATGTTTTTGTTGTAATGCAGTGCAGATGAATGTGATCTGTGTGGACTGTTTCTTGTAATAACAGGTTGGCACTCATTATAAAGCATGGTTCATCGCTGGGATATTTGTCTTCATGACCATTCCTATATCATTATGGGGTATCCTCCAACACTTGGTCCACTACACCCAGCCTGAGCTCCAGAAACCTATCATCAGGTGAGAATATCAACAATCATGTCATCCATGAACATTTGTCTGTCACTGGTTAGATATTTTTAGTGTTTATGACCTGCTTTTCTCTCCTCACCTAGAATATTATGGATGGTCCCAATCTACAGTTTGGACAGTGTGAGTAGAGTATCATTAAAGCTGAAAATCTAAGTTAAATGTAGTTATCCTTACACTTCATGCAACCTAACCTATTCTTAAAATCTTGCAGTGGATTGCTTTAAAATACCCTAGTATTGCAATCTATGTGGACACATGCCGAGAGTGCTATGAGGCCTACGTCATCTACAACTTCATGACCTTCTTGCTGAACTACCTGGAGAATCAGTATCCGAGCCTGGTATTGATGCTGGAGGTACAGGAGCAACAGAAACACCTCCCACCTCTGTGCTGCTGCCCGCCTTGGCCTATGGGAGAGTAAGTCTCCTTCAGAATTACTCCTCTTAAAGCACAATGAATTATGTACATAAAACTCAAGGGGGATCCTTTCAGGCCAAAATTAATGCTTTGGTTCCAAAAAACTTTTATTTTGTTATGGGTCAATGTACAAATGCTCAGTCTGCAGTCAACACTAGACAAGAGCCTCATGTAAAAATTAATGATTGTCCTTCATGCAGAACTTTGACCTGGATATGACACTTAAAATGACCATAGTCATGTTACCTTACAAGCTTCTTTTATTGCCCAAAACTGGATATTCGCCTAACATCTATATCATTGTACATATTTCAGATTTATATTGATTGTACTGTATAAGCAGAAGTTTGCAACAATCAATCCTTCAGGTTTCACTTAGATGATGATAGTTTAAAGAAAAGGAACAGGGAAAATGACCCAAGATAGGGATGTCCTGATCAGCCCGTCTGGCCCCAGATCCTGACCCAAGTTTTTAATATTGTCTCCTGATACCATGTCCTCATGTGATACTTGTATTGCCAACAGTTTTTAAAAAAAGATAACTAGAGTAAACAGCATAACTAAATAATGTCTCAGGCTTGTTCTTTTTTTACTTAGTTCAGCTTGAATTACCCTAAAACTGACAGATAATCTATTTTACACACTCTACTGTGTAAGACCCATAAACTGGTGTGCTAACTCACCTTTCTTACATTACATTGCCCTTTGTTCATCACTGTCTTTTTCATAAACTGGTTTATAATATCAACTGACCTGAATCACTTTAAAATGGACAGTGGAGGAATGACTACATTCTGCAGTGAGGCTCAGTAATGACCTTAGACAAAGGTCAGAGCTTTGGATGTTTGTTATAAACTGTTATTTTCTTTAAATTTGATCAAGGAACAAGCTTGTTTGAGTTTGTCTCCTTTTTGATACACAGCTTTAAAGAATGTTTCGCTCCCAGCATAGAAAACAAACGGATCAATAACAGTCACAAGCTTCTAATCAGCCTCAGTGCAGCAACAACTGTAATTGGTTAACTTGCCCATGTGCTGCTGATTTGGTTAACAGCTGCTATTTTTACACAAGAATCAGTTTGTTTTTTTCTGAGAACTGAGTTGGAAAAAGAATCATTTAAGACTTACATTTAGGTCAGAGGCATCTTTCTTATTAACTTATATTCATAAAAGTGCCCATTATAAACCATTCAGCCTCAGACAGTGTGATTTCACTTTGCAGGTACTTGGTGTAAGTCACGATAGAGCAATTGTTAGAGAAAACAGGCCGTGAAATTTCAGAAATGCTGTCAGTGCACGGTTCAAGGAACCACACCTTGAACGCAAAGCAACCATGTTCACTTATCATATCGATCATATTTTTCTCTGCAGGGTTTTACTGTTGAGATGTAAACTGGGAGTGTTGCAGTACACTGTCGTCCGACCGGTCACAACAGTGATTGCCTTGTAAGTAAACTCTGCTCCTGATGTGCTCAGTCTTCTTCTTTTATCCTCTCTGCTCTGTTTCACTTTGTGATTGTTTACATTTCTTTTTCCTTCTAGGATCTGTCAGCTGTGTGACGTGTACGATGAAGGAAATTTTAGTTCAACAAATGCGTGGACGTACCTGGTCATTTTCAACAACATGTCTCAGCTGGTAAAATTGTGTTGTTTAGTTAAAATGCAGCTCACTTCAATGAAGAACTTCATTGTACAGTTGGGCCCTGGATGCATGTAAGGATTTCTCTTCCTGTCTTCTCTGGATGTAGTTCGCCATGTACTGCCTGGTGTTATTCTACAGAGCTCTCAGGGAGGAACTGAGTCCAATCAGACCAGTGGGCAAATTTCTCTGTGTCAAAATGGTGGTCTTCGTCTCTTTCTGGTAACTCTTTACTCAAAGAAACCCACTTGTATGAGCTGATTTTACCTCACTTGTATAGACAGCAAACATTAGGGAGGTATGCCATGGATTTATGTAGACATTGCATCATAATATGTCCAAGCTATGGATAATTTTTATGTCTGTGAACTCTTTCAGGCAAGCTGTGTTGATTGCATTGCTGGTGAAAGTCGGTATCATCTCAGAGAAGCACACGTGGGACTGGAAAAGTGTGGAGGCTGTTGCTACTGGATTACAGGTAAGCAAAATCTAGGAACTGTTCATGTTTGACGATAAGACAGAGTATTGGAACACGGTGCAGAAGAATAAAGTAAATTTACAGGTATCAAGTCGAAAATGTATGAGAATGGAGTTGTAAATTTACTTGACTTAAGTTAAAAATCAGTAAGGAAAGATCATAATTTGAAGCTATGATTAGTCCATGTGTTTTTGAAGTGGAAGATCAGCTACCTGTGCGGAAATGAGGATCATGGAGCATCTTGTTTCATGAATAATTTAGTATTCAATCTATCAGCACATCAGCACCACATTGTCATAAATATCAGGAGTCTAGAGAGGGTCTATCTAGACTGTGCAGGCTTTAGCAACTGCTGTTTGTCTCATCCCTGTGTAGCACATATATATGTAGCCTAACTTATAGTTTAACTGTAGCCTAGTATAACAATTTCTCTCCTATTAAAATTACTTAAATTTTGCAGATTTTAAACTTCATTCTCATAAATATGCAACTTTTTTTTCTCTTAATCTACAACTAAAATGTGTGACTTCTTCTTCATAAGGACTTAATCTCTTAATAATATGATGCTATATCTCAACTCTTTTTACCCTAATATGGGCCGGATCCTCTGTCTTTAAATAACTGCATGTGCTAAATGTAGTTATTGTACCAATTAAGGTAAAATTCATAACCAAATGGATATGCATTTGATAATTTTTGTTGTTGTTGATGCATTGGGACTTTGAAAAAACATTCAATCACACCCCAAACTTTTCTGTTTTCAGGATTTCGTCATCTGCATCGAAATGTTTCTGGCAGCCATTGCTCATCACTTCAGCTTCACCTATAAGCCTTATATCCAGGAGGCAGAGGAGGGTTCTTGCTTTGACTCTTTCATGGCCATGTGGGACATCTCAGACGTCAGAGCAGACATTTCTGAGCAAGTCCGAAATGTTGGTAGGTGCAATCTGGTTACGAGGGGATTTTTTTGGACCCCATTTGGTCCCCAACTTTGAAAAGAATGTTAAGTATTTTTGTGTTTATTGACAGGGAGAACAGTCATGGGTCGTCCGAGGAAGTTCTATTCTGGTGAGGAGGGGAACGCCAGTGAGCGTTCTGGCCTTCTGTCTCCAGGCTCCCAAGATGTTATCACAGAGGCGGCATCCAACCCTGTGTCACCTAATGGTCAGTACCAGGGCCTGGGCAGGACCATGACGCCGCACTCTTTGTCGGCTCCCGCTGGGCTCAGCTCAGCGCCTTGGGATGAAGGATACGAGGTTCGGCCTGAAGACACCCCAGAGGAAGAGGGATCTGACCAAACCAAAGAACCACCTGAAGGAGATCTTATTGTGATCACCTAACTGAACATTCAGGCTTAACACAGACTCTACCAGACATGGTTGGGCAGGACCCAAACACAGACTTGCCATTTTTCAGTGAGACATTCCTGCACTGATTCACTCTGATTCAAAATGGCACGTGATCCGATTAATAGTTGAAATTTTCCGACAAACGCTAAATCAGGAGGACCTCTCTGCCAGTGACAGCTGTAAGAATGTTAAAGTGAAGTTATGGCACTAACTGGTCGTGGGCTGGAGTGCTATGTGGCTCAGTATGCTCTGCCAGAATGGTTTTAAGTTCATTTTAAATGGGGAAGACATTAGAAATTATTTTTCTCATTTTATTCATATCACGATGTCAGCTGGGACGGATGATAAAAGAAATATGCAACCTTTAAACTAGTTATCTTTATCTTGGTTTATAGTTTTTTTTAGAGGACATTATTGAAAAAATAAATAGTATGTAAATCTACAATTTTAAAGCACACTAAATGTCCACATCTTAATGTCTTTTTTTTCTGAAGAGGGTAAAAAAATGCATATCCAGGAGGACGGGAACTAGAAGAGCCGGAGCAACAAATTCCTGAATTGCACAATTAGAATGAAAACAAGCAGGTTGGAGTGTTGCACAAGAAGTGTTGAACGGTATATCACCACGGAAGAAGTACTGATCACGTTTTTCCTTTTGTCTGGTATAAGCAGAGTATCAAACAGTGTTCATAATTCATTATTAAAGGATACAATCAGCACACTGTAATGAATATCTAGCAATGCTTCTCTGCATTAAGGCTCACTCTCTCGTGTTTTGTTGAAATTTATTAACTAGTCTTCTCAGATGCCTTTTTACATGTGCAGTAGAAATTTTCTATCCACTGCAATAGCATTAATATTTCAGGGTCAATTACTTTTTATTTGCATTATTCTCCATTCTTTTTAGCTGTTGGGCCAAACTTTGCACCCGAGCCGTTTTCTTTTTCCATGAGATCTTTTCTGACCTCTTCAGTTTGTGCAGGGAAACTTTGTGGATATCAGTTTGTAAACATATTGAATCCGCAGCATGATCTGCGTCACGCCCAGCTAGAAGATGGTGCATTGCCTTACATGATTTTATTTTTCTAAGTAGAACTGACAGTATCACATCTGAAAACTGTAAATGTTACACACTTTATTTTAATCCATCCCTGACAGTCTGCTCAATAAATCAGATTAACTCCTCACTGATTTACTTTTTACCTTGAATTTATTGAGAAAATGTCACATTTGATGATCAAACTTTTTTATTCTTTGTGCTAACAAATGTCTTTATTGAAAACAGCTTTACACATAATCAAGGAACATCTACAATATACAGTGGGTAAAAGAAGTGGTGAACACGTCACTATTTGTTTCATTTATATAACATATTTGTAAAGGTGCTACTGACATGATGTCAGGGAATTTTCCCTGTCATTTCATTTTTCAACACATAACTTATGGCCATCTAAAATTTGACTTTAAATATACACTGAAAACAACAATATAAATGCAACACTTTTTGTTTTGCTCCCTTTTCATGAGCTAAACTCAAAGATTAAGACTTTTCTTTTTCTGTATACAAAAAGACCCATTTCATTCAAATATTGTTGACAAATGTGTCTAAATCTGTGTTAGTGAGCACCTCATTCATCCACCTCACAGGTGTGGCATATCAAGATGCTGATTAGACAGCATGATTACTGCACAGGTGTGCATCAGACTGGCCACAGTAAAAGGACATGTAAGGTGCAGTTTTATCACACAGCACAATGCCACGGATATCACAAGTTTTGAGGGGGCGTGTGATTGACATGCTGACTGCAGGAATGTCCACCAGCGCTGTTGCCTGTGAATGAATGTTCATCTCTACATCCAACCGGCCTCACAACTGCAGACCACCAGCCCAGGACCTCCACATCCAGCATCTTCACCTCCAAGATCATCTGAGACCAGCCACCCAGACAGCTGCTGCAACAATTGGTTTGCATAACCAATTTCTGTCAGAAACCGTCTCAGGGAAGCTCATCTGGATGCTCGCTGTCCTCATCGAGGTCTTGACCTGACTGCAGTTCGTTGTCATAACCGACTTGAGTGGGCAAATGCTCACATTTGATGGCGTCTGGTACTTTGAAGAGGTGTTCTCTTCACGGATGAATCTCAGTTTTCACTGTACAGGGCAGATGGGCAGATGGCGTGTTTGGCGTCATGTCAATGTTGTGAATTGAGTGGCCCATGGTGGTGATGGGGTTCTGGTGTGGGCAGGCATATATTATGGACAACGAACACAGTTGCATTTTATTGATATCGTGACGAGATCGTGGAGTCTATTGTTGTGTTTTACTGTGGCCAGTCTAGAGCACACCTATGCAGTAATCATGCTGTCTAATCAGCATCTTGATATGCCACACCTGTGAGGTGGATGGATTATCTCAGCAAAGGAGAAGTGTTCACAAGTGTGCAGATTTAGACAAATTTGTCAACAGTATCTGAGAGAAACAGGTCTTTTGTGTACATAGAAAAAGTCTTCGATCTTTGAGTTCAGCTCATGAAGAATGGGAGCAAAACAAAAAGTGTGAGGTTTATATTTTTGTTGACTGAATTTACTGAGCAAAATGTTGACGTGGCCAATACTGATTTCCCCCACTGTATGTCGAATAAATTTATAATTATATACATGAATAGAAATGACTTTTGTTCCAGGATATTTTCAGATACCTCATAAAAAAACTTTGACAAGTTGTTTGTTAGCATTAAAACTTAGCCTCTGGCTGTTGCTGAAAAGGTGCGAATCAAGCAAGCTTTAACTTGCATGACTTACTGGTAACCTTAAAAAAAAAAGGTCCAGCTTGTTAACAAACACTGAGATATTTGAGAAGTGGCATCATAGTGATAAAAAAATAATCACACTAGAAAAGGTAAATATTTTAATATCCACTCATTTCACCATGTGCCGGTTGTCTTTAAATGACTGAGGCATAGTAAAACATAAGTTAAACTAGTTGCAATACACCAATAAACTACATTATTACATCATTGGGCTAGGGTCATTCTGTATATGAGCTGATATGGAGATGGTGCTCTTGTGTAGCTTCACAGCCAGTTGGACCCAGTCTCCAGCTTTCACCTCCAGCGGCTGCTGCAGCACAGCAGCTGCCTGCTTCCAGTGAGAGTTGTGGCTGAGGGTGCTGACGCTGATCTCGGGGTCCAGGTAGATTTGGTACCAGAAGGGAATAGCAGTGATTCTTCCTGCAGTTGTAGCCCGAACCTGGGAAAGAGGAAATAAAGCTTAAGCTACTTGATGCTCCAAAAGGAAAATCAACAGAGCCAATAATCTTTAAATCATGAGTCAATCATGAGGCACTTCAACAAAGTGGTTGAAGAGGTTTTGATTAATGTTTGAGAGAAACATTAGGCTTATCCGTGCCTCACCGTCACGTCTCTGTTAGTGTAGTTTGCGCTGGCATCCATCAGGTCAAGAGCAAAGAGCTCCACAGATTCACTGAGATGTCTGCACTCCAGTGTGGAAAAGTCCAGAAACACATGGACCGGTACCTGAAGGGTGTAAAATACGAACGCAAGTTTTACCAATGATGAGCGACACATTCTGAAGAACTAAAAACAACCAAAGAGAAAGATCAGACAGAGATGTAACCAGTAGCAGGTGCTCCAGTTAGAAACGACTTCCCGTAAAAAGAGGCACTGGAATTCCCCTCCGAAGAATAAACGCATGCTGTTATATTTAAGTGTTAAAGTTAAAAAAGGGGTTTGTTACTGAGGATGTATCATTCTGACGAGTGCACTGTTTCCCACAGATGTTTCATTCTTGGTCCTAAACCCTTCGCATCCACACCAGGTTTTCATTTCTTGTGTCGGTGTATAATCAGTCAGTCACTCATTGATGTGAAGAGGCCAGTCTTCCACCTAAAACTCTTCAAGACTTCGACAAAGAAACCACAGCTGCAAGGCTACCAGAGCAACCGGTAGTGGCAGCATGAAAAAGTGTCACGATTTCCTTTAACTCAGAACAAAGAGTCTTTCCTCCTCCCTGTCACACTTGCAGACCTCAGAGTCTGCTGTTTGATGTGCTTGATGTAATGAGAACTGATAGATTCAGGTAGGAATGTGTTGGGCCGGCTGTGTTTTTGTGTGACAGTTGTGCCTGAAAAGTGCCATCCGCTGAGACAACATCTGTTCAAACAAAGGACCCGTGTCGCACTCCGGGGCCGGGCAGAATTAGAGCACAAACACAGTGCAGAAAAAAAGCCTAATTTCCAGACCAAATAAAGAAAAAGGATTCAAAGGGACTGAGCAGATACTTGAATTCAGAGGGGGAAACACGCTTCAAAGCAGAGCGCACAAAAGAAAACACCGTCCTAGACTTTGGTATTCTGGGAGAAATACCTTGTTAAACTTGAGACAACCTGTATAAAGAAGGAAACCAAACAACTGGATGAACAGCTGGGCTGACTGAATAAGACAAGAAAAATCTGTGCTCATTTCTTTTTGTTTTTGTTTTATAGGATTGCTCTAAATGTCAGTCATATTTAACAAAACCCACAGGCAACTGATTGCAACTAATGTGCCCACTTTGTATGTGAATGATGCAAGCTTACAAACACAGCGTACTGCATGTGAGAACTGTCAATATTGACGGTTGCATCAGAAACATGAGACAGAATAAAAGATTGGAGTGGTCTGAGATGTACAAAAGGAGGATTTTGCAACTGGATCGGAGAAGAGAGTTGAAGTTTCTGTTTGACAAGGTGGTTTCGTTATCTTCAGTAAGAATTATTTTGAATTCTTACAATGGGATCAGTCTGAAATGAGCCGAAAGCACTTATGTAAACGGAATATTTACGTTTGTGAGCTGACAGAAAATTGTGTTGCTATCACAACTCTATCAAGTTAGATGCTCATTCAGCTTCTGAATCCAGAGCATAACCTTGGATATAGTTGTTATTATTGCATGCATCATGTTTAAACAGACAGGCAGAGTGACTGCCAACTTAAAAGAAAAAAGATGAGACCCTAAAGAAAAAAGATGAGACCCTGGAGGACCTTTCCAGTGCCATTCTGCAGTTAAAACAGGTGTGGCACACTTACATGTTAATATATTTGTTTTATTTTGGAGCTAATCCTCCTGAATCAGCTCCTCTTCTCTTTTTCCTTTTCATGGTTTAAATTTGGACGTGAATGCTGCCGTAATTGTTGTTAACTCTCACATGAACAAGCAAATCCATTACAGAAAAATGGATACAAAGTTGTGTAATATAAACTGGACACTGTGGTGTTGATTAAGTATTCAGGTGAATCTCAGTCAAAGTGCCATTTGAGATTTAAGACCCTCCACAAGCTCAGATAAGACTTTTTAAAACATTCTATAAATCTTCTTACAGACTTTTCAGTGATATACTTGCTGTACTCTCAGAGTAACGATGTATAGTTCAACCGTTTTCTTTTAAAACCACTATGAGATTGACATTAATGTATTGTGTTTCAGTCCATATGGATTTACACTGAAGTAAAAAATAAACTTGAACTCTTTCAGGTGGAAAACTAGTGAAACCATAAAGCCAAGTAAACATCACCTGATTTTTTCACCTGGAAGCCTATAAGCCAAAACTAATCACAGATTAACTGCTTTTTACTGACATTTTACAAACCAAAGTTCACAGTGAGATTCTGCACAAAGGCTCTTAAAGAGATTTTGGTAAGATGCTTTTTGCACAGGTCACTTCCCGTCTGTGTAGCTTACACAAAGTGGAAATTCCTATGAAAGCCAGTCAAAGTGTAGCAGCTCACATGGAGAATATCACAGTTATGCCTTTAAGTAGTTTTCTGTCTGTAGCAACAGACTCTGAAAGGTTTTCTAGAGAAGTTATGCCCATAATGATGATTGCAATAATAATAAATGTGTTTTTTTAATACTGAAAAACGCTTCATTCGAATCATATTTAACAATTCAAAACAGACAAACAAAGGTTGTGATTTGCAACCCGGTGCTTTTTGTCTCACTTGAAGCTACAAAGTTTAACACTATTTCACAGAATTTTCGGGCTACACACAATATGAAGGAAGAACTTTGATATCTTTTAACCTGGGCACTATTTTCTCATGTATTTGTGTGTACTGGACTGATGGAGAGAATGATTTTTGAGATTGGTCCAATATTGAGGGAGAAGCTGAGCAGTCGGCAGCCACAAACTGAGCTAAAATGTAGTTTGACCGGGCAATAGTGCATCATCGAACAAGTGCTTAATTTTACCACTGACAGGCTCAGATTGTTAAAACGAGTCCCAAGGACAGAATGGAAAGGGTTTGCCGTACTTCCCTCTTTGCTTTTTTAAAGACCAGCCTAGCTTGTGTTGGTTTACTTACAGTGAACTGGTTGATAAAAGGAGCAATATTGAATCCCAAAGTCGGCTCCTGACCCTGGACGGCACTTTCCAGCAGTAACGTGTCAGACTCCACCAGCATACCATAAACCACGATCTTTTCAGGGAAAATGCGTCCTCCTTCCTCCAGCAGACACCTTGTACAGTTCATAAGAATACAAAGTTTAAAAATGCAAAAGTTCGGCTCCAAGATGACGACAACATAAAGCAAACTAAACAAAAGTAGTGGAAATGTGCCTTTACCTGGCTAAGGAGGCCTTCTCCATGAGCTTCTGTCTAATGAGACCACAGGTCTCCACACAGTCCAGGAGGATGGCGCTCCACAGCTTCTCCCTAGATGGCCTCTTCAACATCCCCTGCTCATCCTCCATGTGGTTGAGCCAGAACTCTAAATACTGCTCTGGAATGTTGTTGGAGCGCGCCAGTCTCTTTAGGACTTCTTGTTGCTTGTTTTTCTCCACAGAGCTGTACGCTTTTACACGACCATGACTGGCTGCGATGAGGGAGAGCAAAGAGAAGCCCTCCGACACATCGAGAACATAAAGGAGGTCATGAGAGTCTGTGGAGTCAGACTGGACACCTGAGCTTTGCTCTGGGGTTTGGTATCGAACCTTCAGCTGAGAGATGAGTTTACCCAGAGCTGTGTTAAAACTCTGGTGGTAGTCCCGATTATTGAGGAGCGCCATTTCTGCACATTCCAGCATGTAGAAGTCTTTGGTTCGGTTCTGGTCCGTCTGAAGGCAGGCCAGTGCACTGCACAGCTCTGCCTCTGGGTTCTGTGATGAGATGGGGTTTCCAGGATCCTGAGAATCCAGACGCTTGTCCAGACGGATTTCGTGCCCGTTTCTCACCACGGCCACACTGCTGAGTCTGAGGAAGGCATCTCTGCAGGAGACTTCAACTACCAGCTCATCACGAGGTTTCAGGACAAAACCTGCAAGAAAACAGTGGAAGAAAAATCCCTCATGGCCTTTTTTTCACTAGAACTGTCTGAGACTACATCATAAATGGCTCTGGGGATGTCTGCTTAGGATTAGTTTAATTTCTTAATCAAACAATATCATATTTAAACCGGAGTTTTGACTGTCCAAGAGTCTTTTACTTGCTTCAAGTGGCGATGCAAGTTTATTTACAGTACATTTTAGCAACACTTTGATTCCGAGTGCGTCACACAAGACATCGACCCATTTCAGAGGGCAGAAGAAACACATAAAGACATTTGAAAATCATCAAAACAAGTCACTCAAAATCAAAGCCAATGAGGACGAAACAGGAAAAATAAAGGTTAAAATAGAATGAGCAAGTGTTGTATCATAAAAAAGGAAAATAGGATAATTTTATAAAAGGTATCTGTATTCAGGTGAGTCTTCAGAATTAATCCAAAAGACTAGGAGGTTCAGCAGACCGGAATTCTTCTGGGAATAAGCTCCACATACTGGAGCATAAAAACTGAACCCTGTTTGTTTCTGGCTCTTTAGACAGAGAGTAGACCAGTCCCAGAGGACCTGATGGGAAGATCGCTATTTTGGCTTTACACAACCTAACTCTTTATAAACCAGCATAGTTTAAAAAAGAATCTCTGCCCAACTGGGAGCCAGTGTCAGGAGCTCAGAATTGAACTGATGGGATCCACTTTCTTAGTCTGTGTGGTTTTAGGCTCTGGTAGTCGCATTCTCAACAAGCTGCCTGTCTAGACTTATCTATTAGGGAGACCGGTAAAGATGCTGTTACATCAACAATTTTGTCTGAGCGGATAAGTGTAAAGACGAGTATAACCAGAACCTGCTCAGGATGAGAACACTTTAATCCTCGAGATATCCTTCAAGTGAAAGCAGACTGACTTTGTAGCTCAAAATCCAGATGACTTAGTTTTAGACTGTAATGACTGAAGCTGCACACTGAGTCAGCCACAAGAATACAGGATAACATTTAAGAAGATATTCTAAAACATCCAGTACAACTAACAGAAAAGGTAAATATGAACAGAGATGACTAAATTGAAGTGCTTTTTTGAAAATATGAGGCTTACTGGGATGTTGCCACAAAAGTGCTGAACTGGCTTTAAAGCTTGAAATGAAACAAACCTAAATGGAGGAAAAGAATAACGCTAAAGAGACGAAGAGACAGAGATCTAAAAGGAACAGGAGGTGTAAAGAGGGAGAGGGGGCCCGAAGGAGAAATGAGATTCAGGGGGACGGGGTGCACTGAGAGGGGAGGGGGGGCGATTCCTGCAGGAATAACATCTGTTCATGTCTCCTTGTCAGCGTGTCTCGTCACAGGCGTTTCAGAGAGATGCATATTTATTGCCTATAAGAATTTCATGAACACTAAAGAGTGTCACAGGCGATCACGGCGCACAACGTCACAGCGACCAGGGAAACGGATGTAGGTGATCACCGGGAAAGGTGACGGCTCCCTCAACGCTGCCGTCACCAATTAGCAGAGCGGTGAGACGCTGCTGAGCTCCATCTGACGGATGATGAAGTGCAATGCCAACTGGAACATGTCACCTTATGCCGCTGTTTATTAAAGTCACTCTGACCTGCTATCAAAACAGTCAAGACGAGACAGAGCTCTCAGGAACATTTGCTAGACTGTTGAATATTTAATCACAACGTACTTAAAATTTTGTCAAAGAAAACTCTGCCTTTGTTTAGTTTTGGTTAATTACTCAAGTTTATAAACAGTGTCTGTTTTTAATGACAGTTTAATATACTTTTTCATTGGTATACTATCATATGGTGATATCTAAGGTGATAACCCAGTAATTAGTGTCAAGTGTTCCAGTTCTCTTGGAGTTTTATGTTTATGCACTATGACCCAGTCATAACAGTAAATTATTCTTGAGATTTCCACAAAGAGGTCAGCCAAAAAAGTCTGACACTTTGAACCACAATGAAGTGAATGCTGCAATAAGTTTATAGAGGGCTTTAAATACTCGAGTGTTGCCAGCTCTAGTGGTATTACATGAGTTAAAATGTTAAATACTGCATGAAGTTGAAGGTGCACACTGCCCTCATCTGGTATATCATGGAACTGCAAGTCCAATGGGGGAAAAAGACAAAGCAGAGAAACACCACTGAGTCAGTTTTAGAAATAAAACCCAGAAAGAATTAAAGTCAAATTAAAATAAAAATATGACTGTGACGTTTAAAAAAAATGAAATAATGTTACCAAAGTCCCTCCACACCGTCTCTGCTCATGACTACAGGGGTCTTACCCTTGGTGATGTGGACAGGGTAGATGGCTTGCTCCCAGCAGGTGTCCTCTTGTGGTCCAGTGGACAGACTGCTCTCCTCGTCCAGGTGGAGTTGGAACCACACTGCTAGAGCGTCCAGCTCCCCCTCTTGAATGACAGGCAGACGTATCCGCTGACCCGGCCTGGAGCTCAGTCCCTCCAGTTCCTTCAGAGCAACAACACAAAGACGGTTAAAAAAAGACAGAAGTAACCCAGAATGAAAAGAATCACATGTAATCTAAAAAGCATTGTCATTTTTTGTATGGTATAAATATACAAGATAACATTAATTCAACCAGATTAATGTGCACTATAGAATTACGTGCATTAAGCAGGGTTCTCGTTTCGAATTAAAGTATTTGTTGCGATACTTCAATCCTTCAAATGGAAAACTGCATGAATACAGAGAGAAACTCTTCATTTGTCATATTCCTGAGATTGAACACATTAACATTTAAGTACATCACTCATTTCTCTTTTCGATCAAGCTGAGGTGAAACATACAACCCTCTCTTGCCTCACTTATTCTAGACAAACTGTCATTGCTCTTTAATCAGAACAAGTTTTTTTCCTGACAGAACCAACTGCACAAATTAATATTCTTAGTGATGAATATGAAGAACTTTTCCTGCAGCTAATGTCTGGATAAACACCGTCTCTCTCCAGTCTGCCTGTGCCCTGCCACTTTATAAATCAGGCATCAATCCTGCGGATCTGTAGCTAAATAATGAGTGACCACTGATGTGCAATGTTTTATTCTGTGAGGCGACAAACATCATGGTTTCATGGGACCAGCAGACATTTGGTCGGGTAAAGTAACTATTTCGCTAATTACATGATGCTTAAAGGCAAAAGATACACTTTTAATTCAGGGATTTCTCAGGTGGTTGTGCAGGTGACAAAACAAAAACAAAGAAAAGTTATCTTCCTTGTTTGCGCTCACCTGCACGTTGTTGAAATCTATGTTGAAGGCTGTGAAAGGCTCTGTTAGAGCTTTGTATCCCCCCGGCAGTCTACTGAGTCTTTCTGTGGTGTACGGCTCCATGGACTCATCAGGCTCGGAGGTGCAGCTGACCGGACTGCAGAGCTCCCCAGCTGCAGCCATGGACAGACCCCCAACCTCTGACACACAGAGCCTGTAAAAAACAGAGTTTTATTGTAGGCCAGCACCTCCTCCTCCTGCTGCTGAGTTGAAATGCACTTTCTTCTGTTTGCCTGCTCATGGGTCTACCTGTGGTGTCTGCGGATCTCAAGGCTTTCGACAGCCATTCCAAACACGGTGGCTCCGGCTGGAATGACTCGCCCTGTCGCTGACTGTTCTTGGGACTCATTTTCACCTTTCTGTAAGAGAAGAAACACAGGCTTTTCATTAATAACTGCAAAGCTAAATTTACCATTTGGAGTCCGTACTTATAAACCATTACATGTGACGTGACTTCCACGTAGTTCCATGATCCCAAAACTTAAAGATTATCTTCCTTTAGTTTGCCAGTGAATGTGATATTTGAGTGATAGACTGAGACTTTCTTTGGTTGAAGTGTTTCCAACTTAGTACCATTGTTTTTGTAGCCTTCTTTATTTTTCTTAATTTAAATTTCTTGTAACATAATTTATATCCTTATGAATTTAAACATTTTCCCAGATATTTTTCTCCTAAAATACACAACTTACTTCAAAACCCTGGAGATTTGTAACCTGATAACCTTGGCGATATGCTGGCTCTTGCTGCCTATCTCACCCCATCTATCGTCGTACTTTGGCTCTTTATACTTTTAGTTTTTAAGCTTTGCGACGACTTCTTGATGACCTCCTAAACTCAAGAGGCCCTAGACTTTGAGTGCCAAGAACTCAAAGAAATATTAAAGAGGAACAAAGCTCTGTTTGCTGTTCTGGGTTTGTGTTGAATAATGTAAGTTACCTGTGGAGGGAGCAGGAGGTGGTGCCATGCGTGAATCAGACTCTCGATGATCCCTTCTCCAAACAACCCTGCATCCACTGTCTCTGTCACAACTAGGGACACTCTGAAGAAATCACAGTGAGAAAATAAATCAAAAACACGACTTAACTTCTCATACATAAGCATGAATTTTATGAAAACACAAACAAATGCTGTGATATTAAGGTTTTTAGGCGTGTGTTGATATATTCTGGTGCAAGCTGTACCTGTGTGGGATGTCTTTTGGCACCTCCATCTCCAGAGATTTCATATGGAGGATCTTGATGCTCCCATCCATTCCATTAGCAGTCACCACCTCACAGGCCAGTTCATACATCGTCTTTGACAGCTCACAGGCGTACACCTCAGCAGCCCCTGCCTTCTTGGCACACATGCTACGCAAAGAGAGAGAGAGAGAGCAAGGAAATCAGAATAAAACTCACACACAATGAAATACAGTTCCCATTTTAAAGCTTTTCTTTGGATCCAAAAGTTAAATACTGAAATATTACAAACATAACAAATTCTCTTGTAAAATATCTCACCCAAGGATCCCTGTGCCAGTACCTATGTCAAGTACAGTGCTGCAGCCATTCTGAACAGCTTTTTGAATGGCTTGTTGGTACTTCCGGTTCCTCCCGTGGTCATTGAGCATCAAGAAATGCCAGCGCTCCACCAGCCAGTTGGCCACACGGTAGAAATTTTCCCTGGCTTCTGGGTAGTCTGGTCTCAGCTTCAAGGCTTTGTGGAAATGACCTGCTGCTTCATCTCTGAAACCCATTCTTGATATGAAAAAAGAACCAGAACGAATTAAAAAAACACTCATACAACACTACATCTTTCCCAGCTACCACTGGAGTGGAGTGGTAGTACCTGAAGAGATGTTCACCCATGCTGTTGAGGATAACCTCATCAGCAGGAAACAGCTCCAGTGCCTGTTCATAACAGTCAAAAAGGTCCTGAATGCGTCCCACAGAATCCAGCTCTTCTGTCCATTTGAAGAGAGTGAACCTGAAAGACTCCTAAAAAAGAGATAACGAAAAATTTACTTCATATCAGTGCAATCTTTAGCAATGAATAAAACAGAAAGTTTTTCAGTGGGGTGCAATCAGTCATTACCTTGGCAAATTCTTTAAACACAGGCGCAAGGTTAAGGACAAGAAGGTAGTGCACAAATGCAGTTCCATAGTCCTGGTTGAACAGGCACTGCTGGGCACTTTCTAGCGAACTAGAGACAAGCTCATTTCTTGCAGGGTCCTCTCTGCGGCGTCTTCGTGTCCTTCTGCCATGCTTTGGACGTGCACTGGCATTAGGCATGCCTAGCAAGAAACAGACAATTTGTATTAAATGTGTTTAATAACAAAGATCATTTGCATTTTATGAATGACGAACACTTTATTACTGATAGACTCCTGCTACTGCAAGAAAGAGACCAGAAATTGCAAATTAAAGGGATATTTAGGCGTAAAATTCACTTAGGGTCATAGGAAGAGAGTGGGTGAGTTGTGTTTAGTCTCTTTGCTAAATAAATCAGGCAAAGTTACAAAGATGTCTGGTGGCTAGTGCTGTGGCTGAGACCCTATATGTACTGTTGATGAAGTTCGGTGCTGTTCTGAGCATTATTTGTTGCTATAGAGTGGCGTTGTGGTTGGGTGTGTGCGTGGCTTCTGAGACCACTCTGTATTGCTATCGTGCGGTCATTACTAAAGTTCATATAACTAGGGAATTTAGCAGTCAGCAACATTAATCTCTTGAGGGGGTGTCTAACTCAGTGTTGCGGTGTGTTTGACCCTAACTTATTTGTTATGCCTGAATATCCCTTACAGCAAATTCATGTTCTTTTCAAATTCATGTTGATATTTTTTTATGATATGCAAAAACAAACAAACCATAAACAAAATATTATTTTGTTTTATTTTTATTTTAGTATTTTTAATATCTGTAACTGGTGCAGGGATATGTGTCAGCAGGGCAGCTGCAGAACCAGCTCTTTTCTACATTATCCACATCATATATTTTTATTGACCAATACATTTGACTGTCAGAACTGGGCCGGATGAGATATTTTGTCTGAAAACATCACTTAACCAAGAAATAAACAAGCAAGCACTGCTTTTTCTACATTTATCGCTAACTCAAAGTTACTTACAGGAGCTTTAACTGAAGAAAATGTTAGACAAGCAGTGCCCCCGAAAATAAATGTTGACTTACTGTATGTTGGTTTAGGTCAATGCCGTGATACAGGACAGGAGAGGTCACTGCTGTTTCGTCGGAAAGATGACACTTTTCTTGGTATAAGAGGTTAAAATATTCGCTAAAATTTGTTAGCATCGTTGTGAGCTCGTTTTTACAGCAGCATCCTGACTAGCCTGTCAGCCAGCTAAGCTAACATAATAAAAGCTGTTCTGTTGGTCGTAACAATAGTTGAACAGCATATAACGATTTCCTCATACCTGTTTTCATCTGCTTTGTGATGGCTGACAATTAATAAAAAAGATATAAGTTGCGTCTCGGCAACAAACAGACATGCAGATAAAACGTTGAGGACGTGTGCGTGTGCAAAAGTACTCGGTAGGAAAACTATACCAAAGAATGGTTCCACATGCACAATTGCATTTAATTATACATTGTTAAAAGTTATGCGTGGGTGGTTTTAATCTGGTAAAACTGTGGAAATACTCCCTTTAGCCGTTCATTTAAAATAAAGTAGCAACTGTCGTTAATGCTTCATAGTAGCCTTCGGTGGAACCATTGAATCCTGAAGTAAAATCAAAGAGCAATACACCTCAAGATAACGCCCATGCATTAGCGCTGCGCTGGAGCATTAAAAAAATTTTTTTGTTTACTCAGGCTAAAAGTTCAACTTACTGGATATAAAACCACATTTTAATCAAATTAATATTTTAATTTAAAAAGATTTAAATGTTGAAACGTTTTACTATGAGTACGGATGAATATTACTGTTTACTATACAAAAATAATGGGTGAGTGTTGAGATAATAAATAAACCCCAGTTCCATGAGGCAGTAGCTTTTTCTTTGTTAATAAAATATAGGAACTGTATGATTTTGTCAATACAGGAATTACTTTACACAAATAAAGAAGTTTGAAAAGATACAGATATATATATCACTGTCAAAAATATTTCAGTTTTAAACTTACCCAATTCCACGAAGGCTGTGTAAAGAGTTGAAAACAGAATGCAGTGGTTCACAAACCATTGAAAAACTTTATCTACTTGAATATAGTACAGAGACAGTTGTAAAATAATGTAATTAGTTTGGGTGGGATGTTCCTCTAGATGTTTCTCCTTCTTCTTCTTGCATTTCACACCTTTTCCAGTTGTATGTCTCTGTAAGAACTGTTTAATAATGTCTAGCTGACATAAGATTTGAAAGTACACGTGTTTTTTCCATAAAAAAAAAACAGAAAAAAAAAAATCATTTTTCAGTTTTAATGTTTAATATTTGCACTATTTTCTATTTGAAAAGTCTTTTGGGAATGTTCAAGCAGTCAAATAGTATTTTTATTTTCATTTTTGCACAGCTTCCCAACTCTTATAGGACTGAGGTTGTGTTTCACTGCATCATTTTAGCTTTGATATATTTATTTTATGTTTACAAAGCATTCTGATTTTCCATTTGATGTAAGTTATTCCAATATTTACTTATTCATGAACTTAAAAAACTAATAAAAAGCTCAGCTCATGTTTTGTGTATATTTGTTACCATTTTCAGCGATATAACCATGTATATAAAGAGTTTATCCCTGTGGAGGTGATGTGTTTATTTACTTATTGATAAACTCATTTAATAGATAAAATAATAACTTGATATGTAAATAAAAACAACTGTCAAATACATGCACTAGCAAAGACAATGCACTGCAAAAAAATGTGTATCCAAGTTGACACAAAAATGCTTGATGTAATACCAAAGAGTAAGTTACACATGCAGTTTCTAATATGCAAAATGAAGATAATATATTCAGAGGCTTTTTAAGTACTTTAATCAGATGCTTAGCTCTACATTTATCATGAATTACTGTTGTACAAAAGAGTGCTCCAGTCTGACCTTTTTTCAAACATGGGATTGTATATCTCATGTTTAATGTTGACATTTCTTGTCACTATATAGAGCAGAGACGATAAGCGACAATGCTATAAACCAGCTATTCCCAAGTGCTACAGTTGTTAATAATCTCAGGACTGTAACATCACAAACATGGATGAAATTCTTCCAGTACTGCCTGCATTGATTTCTCAATGACTACATTGAAACCAATCACTAAACCAATCATATGTGACCAAAAAGTGCCACTTCTGTCTCTTCCAGTATTATATTATTATTAAAAGGATATTCCGGTGTAAAATTAATTTAGAGTCCGTAACGCCGTAGTATCAAGTTAGACACCCCCTCGAGAGATGAATGTTGCTGACCGCTTCCTTTTGTAGTTATATCAACTTTAATAATGACCGCAGATAGCAATACACAGCGGTCTGAGGAGCCATAAACAAACCTCAACCAAAATGCCACTCTATCATTTCTTCATGGAAATGCAATCAGACTGAGACACTAAGGCAGAAGAACTACCGTGTCTGCAGTGTTAAATGATCAACATGGTGATTATTACTATAAGGAAATTATAAAGAAATTATGATAAATGTTCTTCCTTGAGCTGTGTCATCCCGCTGTAGTCTGTAATGGACTGGCCTGAGGTCTCGCTGCAAACAAGCGGCTGCTGGAAGAGAGTAGGTGAGTTGGCAAACCTAAAAAGATGTTTGGTGGCTAATGCTATGGCTGGGACCCTATATGTACTGTTGATGAAGTTAGGTGCTGTTCTGAGCATTATTTGTGGCTATAGAGTGGCTTTTTGGTAGAGGTGTGTTTATGGCTCCCCAGACCACTGTGTATTGCTATCGTGCGGTCATAATTAAAGTTGGTATAAGTAGAGAAGCAAGCGGTCTGCAACATTCATCTCTCGATGGAGGTGTCTAACTCGGTGTTCTGGTGTGTTTGACCCAAAGTTTTAGTCACATTTCCAATATGTCAAACCGGAGACAACTCAGGCAATAAAAACGGTTTGTCATTTTGAAGTGGGTGATTATAAGCCAAAAAAAGGGGTAAAAAAAACACTATTAGTGCAACTTTGTCTGTCTTTCAAGTCATTTATCAGCGTTTTCTGGGGGTCCAACCGAGGGGGAAGTCGACATGAGTGAACCATCTCTCAGGCGCCAGATACTCTTTGGCTGAAGTTTGCTACACGCACACAGATGTCAGCAGAGTTTCTCAATCTGTCACTTTGCTAGGTGGAGTAGGGCTGATGGAGGAAGGAAAATCGGACACAGCAAGCATGACTCTCTGACAACTTCTGTGAACCGGTTTTCCTCTGAGTACTTCACCCGCCGGTGCATCGTTTTCACCTTTTAACCGTTTTTACCTGCCAGCTCCTCGCGTCGTTATTTGACAACTGTGGAAACACCCACGCGCCCGAGTGTCAGAAGTTACCATGCTAACCACCGTTAGCCACCGCTGCTACCTGACGTAGCTATGGCTCTCCGTTAGACCTGACCCTGCCTGCGAAAGGAGCGGTCATTTGATTGCAACTGCAACTCTTTTTTTAAAGCCATACAGTGAGAGGCATTTTGACAAGTTTTTTAAAGTTTCAGCAGAAGAAGCTATCAATCTGTCACAGAAATGGGACTACACGCGCTGGAATTCAGTGAATGCTATCTGGACAGCCCCTGCTTCAGGGAGAAAATAAAAGCACACGAAGCAGAGCTGGAAAAGACCAACAGATTCATCAAAGAGCTCTACAAAGATGGAAAGAACCTCATCAATGCAACAAAGCGTAAGTTTTTCAAGAATTTAAAACAAGAACTTTGAGTTGAAGCATGCAAGAGCTTTGAGAGGAGGTCTGGGGTGTCCCAACTTTTCCCTCAGATTGATGTCCTTCCTATGTTGTGTTCAACAGGACGATCAAGGCATTGTTCATCCACACGGAATATTACTTTATTTAGGGGCCAATAACATGTTTCCCTGATCCCTGATATATTTGACCACCACCCTCTTGCTTTGTTTGTGCTCAGTCACACACACACTTCAGCTGGGTTAAACTCATTACATTGTTATCTCTTTGAACTCTAGTCTTGTGGGTTGGGCTCTCCTTCAGGCGCCCAGAGTTGCTTACAGCCACATTTCAATACAAAGCCATTAAAGCATAGTCTGCTCACATATTTATGTGATTTGGAAATAAATCTCAGCTTTATCTTTATGATTCTTTCCTTACAGGCCCTAATATATAGATTTGACAGTTGTTACAAGTGTTCTCAGGGATAGTTTGGGAAAAGCAGTGGAGATTGGCAAAGCGTTTTTACCCTGTGCAGACAATATATGAAAATACTATTTATTTTTAGTAAGTAAACTTTATTTGTATAGCACTTTTCACAGACAAAAAAGTCGCAAAGTGCTTCACATAGACAAAAATAAAAATGTGCATACAAATTAAAAGGCCAAGACAACAACATGAAACAGTCACAGCAGCCCCAAAACAATTAAACAAAAGTCTGAGCAAATAAATACGTTTTTGTACACATAAGTAATATCAGTGGACTGGGTGATCAAACGCTAACAATATATATTGAAAATTAATTTCCCTCTTTCGATATAAAACATGGTCAATATGCTTTTCAATAGTCGTCATTCTGACATGTTTTGGTAGACTATACGAAGAGCCAATGAAAAGGGGAGTTTCTGTGGGTCCTCTTTACGCTGAACCAATCATGTGCTGAATTTAACCAAGTAGTAAACAACTGCGTAGTAGCAGGCTGCAGCTACTATAGCACTTACCAAAAAGAGCCGATCATTCAGTCCGCTTTCTCTAGCACAATGCCTTTCAGCAAAACATCAAAGAGACACAAAGACCTCACAGATGCAGTAACTGATTGTATTGCAAAAGACATACTACCAATATGTACTGTTAAATTTCATTTTTTATGTCGTGATATACTTTTTGCGTGATAAACTTTTTCCCATATCGCTCAGCCGTAATCAGTGCTGTTATGTTGATATGCACCAACCAGCCAAAACGTTATGAACACCTGAGCACTCTATTGCAATCCAATATGAATTCTTCTGTAAATCCTACTTATCTGAAGCTGCTGTGGTGTCAGTTTTATTTGGCATGATCAGACAGGCACTTTATATTCATTATTGAAGACTCAGTGGGTGGTTGTGGTGCACTAGAGTGTGTTTTATTGAAAGGTGTTCCTTATATTTTGTCCACTTTATTGATAAACATGAGAGGAGACAAGAGGTTTGGAAGCATTTTCAATATGACACCAAAAACACCCACTTTACAGCTCCAAAATTTAGCTTAAAGAATAACTATCACCCATCTTATTATCTCAACAGTGTATCAGCTCCATATAAGCAGAATTGAAGGTAGAGTTGTTGAACTGGGTTGCTCTCTGTGTTCATAATGTTATGGTCTGTCAGTGTATGTAAGCCTAGGCCTCATTCCAGCAGCATTGCCATAGTTGCCTAGTGATTTGAACTGTCGCAAAACATGTTTTTCTTCTCCCAAACCTTCACACATGCCTACTTTTACATGGTTGTTCGTAGCGTGTATTAAGTCATGTCTTTCGCTGAGCCTTCAGGGCAGTCGAATCCGTGAAGGCGCAGATCCAGCGAGGTCTTACAGCCAAGACTTCGAAGTGATCTAAGTTCAGGCCAGGCTTACTTCATGGTGTCAGCAGTTTTTGTGGCACAATTATGATTCAGAACAATTTGGTATTGAGGTCAAAACTCCAGTTTGCTTGTATAAAAGACAGCTTTATTCTAAGATAATGATGTTTTGGGGTTGTGGATATTTCCTTCCGTCTTAAACTCAGTCTTAAAGTGGGTGAAATAGTGTCAAATACAAACTTAACAATTTAAAAGCTTTTCCATGTCTATCCCAAACAGCCTTTCAAATATTGCTACTTAAGGCTTCATGGTTTAAGTAGTGTTATGTATAATGTGGAACATGTGCAACGGTTATTTGCAATTTGTTGTCAGTGGTTGTTAGAGGTATGTGCCGTTCTGTTTACATGTGGATCTCCATTGTTACATTCTTTATTGTTTTGTTTATATACTGTGGAGGCCACTAAATATATTGCATGTAGCACAAGTCCAAGACTCAGTTAGGGATGTCTCAATCGGCTTATTTGGTCACTGATTCGTTTTGTTTTTATGTTGCGTGTTTACTGTTAGTCAGACCGGGTGTCCAGTTGATGGCAAAAATCTGTATTCTCCACCACAGAGAGGGGCTCGTCGTCCAAAGCGATGACCTCATCCACCTTTTCTGTAATCCTTTTGGCCTTTTCACTCTCTCGAGGATGTTTATCCTTCCTCTTCGAGTCCAGAGTTTGTTGCTCTGGAGCAGCAGCCTTTCCCTCTGACCTGTTGCATGCCTAGTTTTTAGCTGTCATATTGGTAGTGTTAATTGCAGCTCTTCTACAATCGCAATGAGTTGCATTGCATATATTACAAGTGTTTATGTTTAAAATATTTCCCCATTGCTGACATTTTACCCTTAATTTGTCAGTGCTACGCTGAAAGACTCTTATATAATCTGTAATTATTACAGCAAAATACTGTAAATGTCAGTTACAAAAACCGACTATATTTCCTTTTATTGTAAAACTATAGCTTTAAACCATGTGTCACTGGAGGGTTTCCATAGGCTGCTGAAAATCAGTTGTAGTTGTCATCTGGCTGGCTGTGTACACATATGTTCACCAGAGTTAAGGCAGTACATGGAGCTCCACAGTGATGTCCTGTTAACCATTTTCTTGTTGAGTTTGGGTAAGCCAGTCCAAAATGCTTGGTTACACTATGCAACAAAGTCTCTTGTGTGACAGCTATATATCATATATCATATCATACTGCAGTTTCCTATCAAATCATATTGTATCCTATCCTATCAGGTCCTATCACATGAGACAAAATAAGTATTGTGTCTTACTGGGGACGCTGATGGTTCAGTGCCCTACATTGAGAGGCTGTGGTCCTTGTTGAGGTGGTCACTGGTTTGATTCCTAACCACGACCCTTTGCGGCATTTCTTCCCCCACACTCTGCTTCCGACACGTCCTGTCTCTCTTCAGCTGCCCTATCTAATAAAGGAAAAAAAAAATTTTTTTTAACTCAAATCATTGTATCTAATTTGATCATTTGTGCTGTTGTACCCTATCATACAATTTTAAATTGCATAGTATTGTGTTGTATCTATTTCTCCCCTCCTCTATTCTTTGCCATACCCTACCCGATGGTACTCTATCATATCAGATTGTATAGTACCATACCATGCTATTATTGTACTGTAGTGTACAGTTTCATGTTGGATTTCACTCTGTCTTCTCCTATCTAAATGTAGCTTAGAATACTTAAACTTCAGCTGTTTCATGAATGATTTAGTCGTGTTGCTTTTCTGCTAAGAACTCAGAATCTGGTGACAATTTCACCTTTTTCCCAGTATTCCAGTTTTTTAGTTTAATTGTGTATTTCATTTTCACTGTGGCGTAAAACATTTCCTTGTTATAATCACCTGATCAACTTACAGTTGGTTCGTTTCTTCGTTGTGATTTCAACAGTCCTTTTCAGCCCGAGGCAAATCCATTGGCTCCCCAGCTTAACCCTGAATTAGCTTTGTTTTACTAAGAGTGAACAGTCGGGACATCAGTGCAGGCTTCTGGGAAGAACTGAAATATATATCAGTACTTAGAGTGTGTTTAAACAGCAGCTATGTCATGATTTAGTTTAATGTACGCACTCAGCATGAAAGGATTCACCAGCTTTGATGTAATGTGTAGGTAAACTGAAGCAGCAGGGGTAATTATAAGGCGACTTAAAGGGTTGGAGGAAATTTTCAGCCTGCAGTGTGGATAGTATGAAGCGTCTTTTCTCCAATCATTTGAGGAGTCAAAGATTATATCTTTCTCTTTTTCCTCTTTTCAGATTTCTATACATCTGGACTTAAAGGGACACCAGAATAATAATCATGTGCTGGGTACCATTACCTTGGAGGTCACTGCTCTTTTCTCTGACCTTTTTAATCATGAGAAAATGCAACCCCCAGAACTGCAACCATATTACGTTTTGTCTCTACTTGTTAAAAAATCTCCAGGAGAGCAGAGAAATAACACTGATTTTCATGAATCATAACTTCCTTTTACTTAAAGCAGAAGAGTTACATACAACTCTCTGAAGTCTGGCTCTTGTTGCCACGTGTAGTCACTTAAGAGAACTTCCACAGAGCAGCAGCGTGGTGAACTCTGGTATTCACTCTCGCTCGTGTTGCTCACAGTTGAGGTGATACTGATGCTCTGCTATGTTGGTGCAAGCTGATACACCGTGTAGAGTTTCATAAGGATACATCATGTCTTTGGTTTCATGCCATGTGTGTTAGTGACATCCATTGCTTTTTGGATGTTGGCTGTAACAGTGCTTCCTATAGAGTGACATGAAATTTTACACCGAGGGTTTGTGTGATGAGAATATAATGAGGATTGGGGAGCCTGATCAAGTGCTTTTAGCCAGTTAAACTCTCAGGAAGGAACTGATGGTCAAGTTTTTATGTACTGAAGATCCTGCAAGATTTAAGCCTCAGTGTTTCATGAATCTTTTTTTTAATACAGCCTATTCCCTCTATATAAATGTGAGATGACTGTTTGTATCACCCTTATATTGCTCTCTGTAAACATTTGGTGTACATTCTCCTTGTTGAAAAGCACAGAAGAGGATGTTCCTTATCAGTTTAACGCCAGTATTGGTTTAATCATGCTTTTGGTCTGCTGTTTCTATGTACAAAGGGTGTTTTCCAGCTTGATATTTGATTTATAGCAAGGCCAATAAATCCAAACCGTCAACTGGATGTGTTAATATAACAACACCTCTGTCACAGACAGAGTTAAAACAATAAGTAGATCGATGTGAAAATGAAACTATATTTGTTTTCATAATTAATGAGGGTTATTCTTTAAAGGAAAGTTCTTAAAATTAGCCTCTTAGATGTGGATATACAGGAGTTTCATTTGATCTTCAGTAACCGATGTATTTTTCAGGTCTTGCTGCAAAAAAAAAAAAAAAAAAATCTCCTGCACCTGTAATCTTTCGAGCAATACTTAATTGTGATTAAAACACAGTATCATACTGTAAATTCTAATGTCATTTCAAATCTTTCAGCATGTTCATTTATTAGAATACAGATTAGTCTTCCAGACATTGAAGTATAACCCCATCGAATTTCCCCTCTGGGATAAAATGAAGTTAGTGCATACCACACCGATTCCAAGCTTTGTCTGCTATCTCTCCCCCTCATTTTGAAGCAGGCGCTACAACATCCACTGTATCCCAGGGTGGGGCTCAGCACCAGCCTAGCTCTTATTTCTTGGACATCACTCTGATAATCCTGTCTCATGAGAACGTGAGCCTCTTGTGTTTTCTTCAAACAAAAACAACAACAACAACAACATAAATAGACTGGCTGCGTTTTTTTTTTCTTCTAAATCTGCCTTGTCTGTGATTTTCAGCTTTGAAGAAGATATGGCGGCCTCGCTGGAGGAACTTAAGAGCGCAGACTCTTGTTTTTAATAAATGGTGATGATTTGTGGTTGTTAAGCTCAGTAATCTCCTCTATATATGATGGTTTCTGACAGCCTTACAATAACATGTCAAACTCAGCTCGGTTGTTTATCTGCTGAATACTTAGAGATCGGGTCATTTACACAACCTGTAGTAAATAATATGGAAGAAGCGGCTGTGTCAGTGCTGTGTTTTGACCTCAGACTGATCTGCTGTGTTTGGACTGTCTAAAACACAATAGTGGATGTGTGAATCCCAGGCCCTCCTCAGCCTCAGCCTCCTGGTGACTCCCTGCTCTCATCAGCTGGGAGGATGTCCCACTACGGAAAGTCCTTGGTTCTGGGAGGAAGCTTTACAGCGGGGCCCTGAGCCAGAGAGCTCTGACATGGAAGTGCCCATGAGAGGAGCAACATGCAGATGTGCTTCTGTTTCACAGTGTTTCCTCCACAGGAACTGTGTCCTGTCTGTACCCTCTTTCCCACCCCTCTCTGTTGTTTTTGAGCCATCATATGGATTTCTCAAACCAGCAAAATAACTTGTTATCTGATCTTGCTTGTAATATGAACATTTGCAAGAAACAAATTATCTGAATTTATGGAAATAAAAAGAGAATCATTTTATGTGAATAAGTCTCCCCCCTAGCATCAGTACATTTTACACTTTGGATGGAGGTTAAATGCAAATGTGCAGCCATTCCACCTTTGGCAACCCCTTTAAACCGTCCATCGATCGTGTGTACAGGTCAGCCAGTCTGCTCCTGTTCACAGGCTGCAGATAGTCGGTTCAAGATGCATACGAAGGATAGTTTTCCCTGAAGCTCAGCCCTGCCCACCAAAAAAAACTCACACTGTTTACTCACACTAAACGAGTCTATAAAGCAGCTTAAATGTGGACTATAATTTGACTTTTCCATCGCTTAATATTATTATCATCCCCCTCCTGTATTCACACATCAGCTCATGCAGACATCTTGGATCAGGGGTTCTGGGTTAGGAAATGTCACTGGTGTGCAGGCAGGACAAACTTTCACACATGCACCCCAACCTGAAAAAATCCAGGTATTTTTCCTGAGTAAAGTGCATGTATGAGTTCAATAACAAACAATTGTGAGTTTAGGCTCTTACAGTGATGTTAATACAGTACTGAAAGAAGCAGTTTCACACTGCATGGTTTTTCGCAGCGTGCCGCTCTCTTTAGCTTTTGTGGGTTCATAGTGTTTCCTGCATGTTTTGTAAGTGCTGAAACTGCATAAAATTTGAAGTTGCAGTCAGGTCAGGTACGGTCACTCCTACAGCTGGACTTCCTCTGTTGAGCGTAATCATAACGACATGGTTTGTATTTCTTTTCTTCACTTTCAGTTCCGCTTTGACACAGTTGTTATAAAGTCTTTTTATTTCTCTCTCCCTGGCAGATCGGTTTAAGGGTAGCATGCCATTATATTTGTTCCTTGGCACTCTGCTGCTCTTTGTAATCACATTACTTATTCTGCCAAAGACAGGCATCCCAATCTTTCATTAAAATCGCATTAGAAGTCATGTGGGAGGAACGCTTTTTCATCCCTAAAAAAGAACAAGGCCTTTCATAATGTTGACAGTGCTTTGCTTGATGCCATAAGTTTGCTTCCTTTTGGGTCCTTTTGCTGCGAATGGCAGATTTCCAGGACAATTTAAAGTAACTCTGACTTTGTGATAACATTTTGAATATTTGCACTCAGAATACCCACATACTGATAAATCACATTACCATCTTCGTCAACATCGAGAGGAAAATGTTGCCACAGATTTGTTCTGAGGATCAGGAAATTATGAATGAAGTAATGCACGCTCTGTAGTCAGGGAGATGGGCGGGTGGGGGACTGTGGGAGAGGCTGGGTCGAGGGCAAAGGTGGTCTCAGAGTGTGGAGCAGGGATTCCAACTGGAAAAGACGTAACAGTGGAACAGGAAGGAGAGTGGAAGGGTGCAGCATGTAAACCCTGGACCAGGCGAGCTTTGACCTAAGTGGCACATCTGATGAGACCATAGAAATCATAACAAACAACACTCCACCACCCGCCAACCAATACACCGAGGACATCTTCAGCAGATGAACTCTGACATATACATACCTCACTGGTTTGTTTTGGGGAAAACTTTGGCAGGAGCAGCCAGAGCATAAAATGTGAAGTTTCCTGAACAGAAACAAACTCAGCATAGTTAAATGTGCTTTTAGTGATATTAAGCTGCATGGCTATAATTAATAAGTAAAAAGTTTTAAAAGAAACATTAAATATTAAGTGTAGATTGTTCTTTTATAATGTCACTGTAGCCTCGAGTTTTAAGCCGCTGTGTTATTGCTACAAGAACTACAACAGACGAGTCGATCACCGACTGCAGCAGATCATTTCCATGATGTAATATTCTTCCTTGAGCTGTGAAACTCCGCTGCACTCGATGATCGACTCATCAGGGCTCCCTAGCAAACAAGCAGCTGCTGGAGGAGAGTAGGTGAGCTGTGTTTGGTCTCTTTGCTAAAGAAATCAGGCAAAGTTAAAAAGATGTTTGGTGGCTAGTACTGTGGCTGTGACCTTAAATGTACTGTTAATGAAGTTAGGTGCTGTTCTGAGTATTATTTGTGGCTATAGAGTGGCTTTTTGGTTGAGGTTTGCATGTGGAGACATAGACCACTGTGTATTGCTATTGTACGGTCGTTACTAAAGTTGGTATAACGAAAGAAGCAAGCAGTCAGCAACATTCATCTCTTGAGGGGGTGTCTAACTTGGTGTTTCGGTGTGTTTGACCTTGACTTAAATTTACACCGGAATATCCCTTTAAGTATTGGCATGTATGCCACTCAACCTGCTGCTCTGATACCATGACCTGATCGCCTCAAAATCAAATGGTTTCAGTTAATCCATCATGTGACACTAACAAACAAACCTGTGAGAAGTTGGCTGCTGTAGTAGAGAGTGATATTGTTACTTTGTATTAGTGAGTCTTGGCACAGGAGTTAGCAGAGGTTAGCATCCTGAGGTTTTGTTAGTATTGAAAATATGTGTTATCTTCAGTTGGGATTGGCACCAAAATGAGACTACCTGTGTATGTTGGAGCAGCACAAACAGGCTTTATGGGAAAACAAGTGCGTTCAAATAAATTCATGACCTTTTAATACTGGCCTTATCTAGCTCTGAGTTGAATAACAATTTTTTTTTTTTTTTGATAACAGATTTTCACTGCCACATTCTTGCTTCATGTCAGAATAGGCCAAGGGAGTTTCCTGTTGGGGTTTCATATAGATGTCCAATCTCTGCTGCTAACAGTTGAAGAAATAAAAATCCTTATAGCATCCGCAAGTTCTCCTGTGACAGTGGTGCCCCCATATCTCAGGATACTTAGCATATATTTGGCCTCTATGATTTTGGATGACTGTGTTAAAATTTCACAGTGTAGTTCCTGAGCTACTTTGCAACACAAACAGATAGACCAGAGACTACCAGAAATGGCCTGTAGTTCTGTAGTTTTTGCTGCTTTATGAGCAATAGGAAACACTTGAAGGAACGCGGTTGTTTTTCATTTTTATGACCATAACTGATGAATGGAGATGAGGTCAAACATTCTTTAGTCAAGGCTGATAGTCGTGATAGCAAAGTATTGTCAACAGTGCCATCAAAGTATGTGAAAAATGAAGTGATTACTTATAAGAGTGAAGTACTTATTTAACATCTGTGAGCCAAAATCAGTTTGGATGACCTGCTTACCTTCTGAACTTTAGAGTTATAGCTATCATAAAACATTTTTGACTAAAGGGTAAACGCACAAACTTTTGAAAACTGTGTAACAGCAGTCTGGTTGAAAAAACTCTAGCTTTAGTTTGTGGTGCTTCATAATAAACCAGCCCCTACGATTGACTGTGTGTCCTCCCTATTGTGTCGTCTTTGTTTTCCTTCCCACCTTTTCTGACCAGGGGCACTGATGTTTATGTCACAGAGCTGGGCAACAAATTTTTTTTTTTTCATGTTTTTTTCCTGCTACAGAAACAATCTGGCCCGTAGCATCAGATTGATGTAAGGTGGGGTCTGTGTGACTCATGCACTAAAGCCAGCAGACTTATGTCTCTGGCTTTCTGCAGAGAAACTAGCCAAGTTTGACAGTTCCCAGGTTTGCTCTGAAATGCCTTTCTTTAAAAGGCAAAAAGCAGGAGAAGCCTTTGCCCTTGTGTGTGTGTGTGTGAGGTATTTCAGTCTTGTGATATAGTTCTTCCCTGTCAGACAGCTGCTATCATTTCAATCTGTTTTACAGACCTCTCATCTGACACTTTTGTTTATTGCCTTCCTGGTTGTATCCATTTGATCTCTACTGTTGTGACTTCAATCCATGGTGCACAGAGACACAGATGCTGCTTTTTTCCCCCCTTCTTTTCCGCATGTTGCTGTCTGTCGTCGATTAATGCCACAGCGCCGTGTAACTTGATATCATTCATTCTTCATGTTTTATGTAAGAAAGTCCACACAGCATGGCCTCATATATATTCCCATGTTAACTGTCCAGTCTGCAGCGAGTTAAACATGGTTGCAGTCTTTGTAATCAGATTGTAGATTTGTGCGATTTGTACTTTATGCTCGCATATGGCTCCAATAAAGAGCCTGCAAATCTATCCATTGACATCATTGTTCTGGGAGTACACTCACTAATTGTCCGCAGTGACCTGAGGCCTTGATGCTGCATTTTACTGGGACAAATAAATGTTGGCCAGAAAGTAAAATGAGCAAGTTAAGAATTGAAAATTTGGTTTGGGTAATTAAAAACAAGGTCAGCATGCTTAATTGAAGAGGTCAATTAAGATCAGTGCTGTGTAAAATGTTGATTTTAATGCTTTGTACATCACTTTTACCCTTTTTAAAATTGAAAATAGTGCAAAGTCAACACACCAAGTGTTGAAACACATCTCTCTCTCTCGTTTTGTTTTATGAGAATTATTTGCTCATTTTAATTTTGTTGCCAGCAACAGCTTTGAAAAGTTGGGACAAGGACAACAAAACACTGGGCACAAAAAGGCATTCCAGAGAGGCTGAGTCACCCAAAAGTAAAGAGGAGAAAAGGTTCACCACTCTGTGGCAGCTTCAGTGCTGAACAATATTATACACAGGTTTTGGGGTAACATCTACCATCCAGGCAATGTTTTATTTTAAGAGAGACCTAGCATAATTTAGAAAGACAAAGACAAACCCAGATCAGTTGAGATTTCAACAGCTTAGAATAGAATAGCCTTTATTTGTCATTATGCAGGGTTCATACACAACAAAACTGGAGAGGCTTTTCTGCAGGTGAGTAAAGACATAAATATATTTGTCTGGTAAACAATCTTAAAAAAAAAACAACTAACAACCAGTCAGCACTACATAATATTGCAGTGTCTCCTTAGTAGAGGAGTACAAGTACTAAACTGGTCTGCCAAAAAACCAAACCTGCCATTCATGAAAACCTCTACCATGTCATAATGAAAAAAAACAACCACAAAGGAAACCCTGGACTGCAGAACAGCTGAAATCCTGTGTCAGAAAAGAATTGGACAACATTTCACTCTCAAAATTTTAGAAACTGGTCTCCTTGGTTCCTACACATTTACAGTATTAAATGAAGATGATGCAACATAAAGATTAACGTGACCCTGACCAAGCTTTACAGTACTTTTACTTCACTTTCAACACTTGATATATTGTCTTTGCACTATTTCCAAATAAACATAAATTGAAAAAATCAAGTTAAAGAGACAGCAGCTAAAACGAAGCGTTTTAGACAGAGGCTAAAATAATGAGTGAAAAGCAGGAGGCTTCTTTATCTGAATATCAAGTAGAGTTATTAAAGAGGGATCAGAAAGGAAGTATTAAGTCTGAAAAAAGCATAATATTCTCTATTTGATGAATTCTTGAGTGGTATTAATTTCTTTGTCCTAAAACCATCAGCTTCCAATTATCGTTTACAATACACTGGACACCTTTTTCAGACATGCTGCAGTACATAGAGGCTTTGTTAAGGTGTGTCAAGGTTCAGTGTTGTCAAAACATGTTTTTTACCATGTGGGGGAGCTGCTGAAGTTTCCACTCCACATTTATGTGTGTTTGGGGATAATCTCAGTGCTGCAGCTTACCAAAAACTGACTGCAAAAGAGCCAGTGATTATACATTGTTAACATGAGTGAGGATTAAGGTTTACATTATGATGTGTTAGTCATTTTTGCTTCAAATTCAAGCCTAAAAATATGCCAACAACTGATGAAATGAACACACTTTTATTAATTTATGAAATACATGCTGTGGATGAAACTTCATTCTTGGTTGGTAAACAGCTGAAAAATGTGTCAAAGCAAAAAAAAAAAGTATTGATAAGAAACAGAGCTGGAAGCACTTAAAATACTGTGAGGAATATAGAATGAGAATAATGTCCAGGCTCAAAAATAGTTTCCTACCTAAAGTTTTAAAGCTTGAATATGAATAATTACTGTCAAGTTACAGCAATTAAATGTAATATATCTGTTCAGAATAACGGCGTTAAGTGTGGGACTCAGTGGATGGAAAACAGTGAGCGTTATTGGATCAAGATTTGAGAAAGCCATCATTAAAAGGCACTAGGGATCGAAGAGGAAATATCAACAATCCCAACAAAGAATTAGTTTCTGTTCCATGAGTCAAAGAGCAGTAAGAGATTTTTTAGCCTTTGGGGCAGCAGAGCGATCTTTAAATAGACCTATGTCTGTCTTCATCTGGATTCAGATTTCTTTCCTCCCCATATTTTAGCCTGTTAAGGGCTCTTATCACTCCTGAGAAAAACTCTGGCTCTTAAGCTGCTAAACACTCTAATATGCTTTTATAAGTTAGCTTATTTCTCTCAGAAAGCTGCTCTCTTCTGTGATTCAAGACAACCCCGATAAGAGCGAAGCCTAAAGCAGTTAAACAAAAATAATGTGCTGAAAGAGGCAGTAATTCCTGTGAAAATAGCCTCTGGTAGCTGACTGTGTTAGTGTAAATTTTGTCTGCAGAAGTTATTTGTGTTTAGGTGTGGTGAGCTTTTTAATGAGCTTTTATAGCCCACTTCAGGATTTGATATGATTACAGGTATAGTTGTTTAAACATGCCATGAGAAGCTGTTATAAACATGGAGTGGAAATAAGAAGTGGACATGGTTGCCATGAAACATCCATTGGGTTGTTGTCAGTTGTTCTGGGGTTTAGGTTTGACTTCTTTTGCTGTGGTGTCTTGTTTTTGGAGCCAGACTTTATCTGGATAAGAGGGTGGACACACATAGAGTTTTCTAGGGGTGGGAATCACCAGTGGCCCCGCGATACGATAATATAACGATACTTGGGCCACGAAACGATATTATTGCGATTTTTTTTTAACATTTCGCAATACAGTGAGCATTGCGATACAATATATTGTGATAAATAAAATTTTTTTCAACTGCTTAGCTCATTTGGCATTTGGCTTCTTTTATGTTTGTTTTATGTACACAGTATTTTATTTTCATGTAGCACATCTTTCAAACCTTATATAAATTTGTTGCAGTAACTTTCTCCTGCTCTATGAACTTCACTGGACAAACAATTTATTTTATTTTTCCATTATCATAGATTTGACTTCATATTACCAATAAATTTGAAAAATCGATTCTTGGTCAATGAGACGATACGATATATCACCAGACAAAATATCGCGATACTATGCTGTATCGTTCTTCTCCCACCTTTAGCTTTATCCTGATGTACATGATAGTTAGACGTTTGTAAAAATGGAAAAAATAACACACCAGAGTTAACATTAATTAAAAAGTTGCCATCATGCTTTATTGAACTCGGCTTGAACAACTTTTCAAGTGCATTAACACATCAGAAAACACGTTTCTCAAGTATTAAATCAAGTGGGGAGAAGTGATGTATACTCATAGACCTCCATATAGTCAACTGTTGTTGTAATCAGTGGCATTTCCCAGATAAGTAACAAGTAGTCAAAAAGATAGGTAGTCCAGAATAAAAGGCATTAAAATGAAATGTCAGATTTATAAGTTTTTTCATGGATGGTCAGGAGTGTGTGCTAGGAATTATATTCTCACCACAAGACGGCTGTACTCCTTATTGTGTTTGACAAGTGGACAATAAAAAAACAAGCAGTGGTGAAATATGATCATAGAGGTGCAGTCAGCGCTGTTGGCAAGCATCCAGACATTCATCCACAGAAAAGAGCTATCGCTTCAAACTGGACTGCAGTTAAAAAGAAGTGAGATTCAATTTTATGTTTTATGTTTCTCTCTGGTTTTATAGAATTGTAGAGTTTGCTACAGACAGTGCCAATAAAAGACCATCTTCATTGTCTTCATCCAGTCTTAAGTGCTGCAAATGAAAGGCTTTCCTCTTGCGCACATGAAAGTTACCATTTACAGTCATCTCAAAGAAAATTGCTATGTCCAGTGTTTGCTCCCAAAATACGGTCCAGAAGGATTATATTTGCCATACATTTATTTTGAAAATGTTCCCTGAGTAGGGTCTAAAAGGCTTCCATTTGTCATGCTGTTATTTTGAAAGTAATGTTCGTAACCTGTACTTGTAAACTCCCATAAATCAGGTTTGTGTACATCAGTTAGAAGTCACCTCATTCCTAATACCGAATCAATAACATGAGATTCAAAATGAGTTACAGCGGTTGACGTTAGTTTGTCATATAATTTCTCTGAAAACTCTAAACTGTTCTCTAATAAATCTTTGTGGTTACTGACACAATTTAGCAAACCATGATTCTCCCTCCTCCCGTCTCGCCTGACCTCAACAAAACACTGGTCTGTCTTTTAATGTTGCTTTTTTTGTCCTTTGTTTGCCATGTATAGTTGGTATCTAGGAAATGGACAAATTTAGACCCCCTTCAGTCCTGGTGACTGATATACTGCTAGGGCTGTTCTGTGAGTGTGTCTCACCCAAGAAAAGAGCTTTTTTTGAATCAAAAACAAGTCATGAAATATTTAGTTTGGGAGTATCTTCAATCTATCTGCTTATAATGGCTTTAACGGATGTTTCTCTCATGTACTTTAATTTCTAGGACAGTTATTACCTCATCTGCAAGAAGCAAAAAAACATTTCCTCCAAGTGCTATATTTAGAACGAACAATCGTTAAATACACAGCTATACACAGCTACTCTATTGTTTTGTTTGCATCTCTTAGTTTCCTGTGACTTGACCACTTCGACTAAGGGAATCAACCACAGGTGCTTGGTGTGCTCGTTGTGTCTGTGTGTGCCTTTAAATTGTAAAAAAACAGTTGTCAGAGAGCTATAGGAATGAGCAGCAGTGGATTTTCAACTGTTTAGATTAAGCTACTAAGGTAAAAGCTTTACCCTTTGTGCTCAGCGCAGGCAGAAATAGTCCAACACCTCTCACATGTCTGGGCTTTGGGCCTAACTGCAGGTTTAATCCATAGCATGTGTACACACACACGGTTCTGACGGGCTGGAGTGTGTAGCAGCCAAAAAAAGACAAGGCAAACAGCTCAAAGATACAAAGTTAGACAGTTATTGTGCTGGATTGTTACACTGATACCTTAATTTATACAAAAAAATAAACAAATTGAGTGTTTGGCAATCATCGTGGTCAGGGCATTGGCAGCTTTCCTAAAGAGAACAGTGGGTAGCTTCTTTCTTTAGAGTGTGGAAATATATAGCCTATCATTTTTTAATCATTTAGTCCTAAATTCATTTGGTTAAAATCTGTTAAACATTCCAGATAATTCTTGGCACTGTAAGCATTTTTCTAACACAACAAAGTGAAATAATAACGATCAAAATAAGCATCAGTTGCAAAAGTGTTAGAAGTCAGATGAGAACTTCTATCGAGTGTGAGCTGAATCATTGGTGTTGTGCAGCTGATGATGTTTTCCTATATGGTCCCAGCAATCTCCTTCATCCAATGACGCTGCTCCTGTGTATACAGCCCAGAGCTCCGTTCTTAAAATACCCATGCTGCATTCTGTCATGCTTCCCCAGGGAGACTGCTGTGGGTCAGAGATCCCACCGCGGGGAATCTCTCCACTGTTTGGAAATAGATATGGTTTGCTGTGTTTACTGATTTGCAGCAGTGTACTTGAGGTTTGACTTTCACAGCACACTCTCTGTGCCTCTGAAAACAACAAATTTCTCCTGATTAAGAATAAAAGAATGAAGATAATGCATTTGTCATTTTACTCCATAGTTTGACGTTGAATAATAAGACATTACCTAATCATACACAGACCATGGACTGAATAAAAGGGTCTCAGTGATGTTGTGTAGGGCTGGGCGATAAACCGAAAATTTACTGATACCAAAATTTACGTCAATAATCGGCATCATTCTGCCCATATCGGTATATCTGGTGTCAAAATAAATAAATAAATAAAAGTTGTTTTTGGATGTGTGTAGGTAGGCTATGGTCTCATGTCCCTTTAAGACGCTGTCCTATCCCAGAGACGTGACTCCACCCCATCCAGTCCGTAACAAAGACGGAAAGACAGGTGAGGAGATGGAGGACAGTTCAAAAGTTGTAGCGGCTGGAGCGGCGGCTGAAGTAGACAAAGTTAATGTGGGAGGGGGTGAGCAGCTTGTGGAGTAGTTATCGAGGTGAACTGCTCAATGTATCATGATATTGATTTAAGGCCATATCGCCCAGCCCAAAGTCGCATATGGGTTTGGCAGTACGCCAAATCTTGCCTGAAAAAATAGATTCATGCACAAACCCACGATGTTCATGGGCAAAGATGTAGAAGAGCAGCACTTACAACTTGAACAGCCATTGGAGAGCACCTTCACTTACATTTCTCTGCTTGAAAATAAACTTTTGCAACCTGTGAGGAGAAAAACACCTTCCAAGTGCATGCATAATGGAGTGTGTCTATGATTGTTTTCCCTGTGCTCTTCCGCTTGCGAAACTTTGACCTGCATGCTTGCTAGTTTTTTTTTTGTTGGTCCAGTTTTGTCAGTGAGTGGGTGGATACAGTCACAGTGGTAGCTGTGAATATAACAGGTATGATAATACTACCACAATGCTTCACCTTTGGGAGTAGGTTATTTTATTGTTGTTATAGCAATAAATACAGATCCAGGACCTTTAATGTTACAAAGAGTTTTATTAAATGCTTCTTTTCACCTATGTTACGGCTCACTCAGAGTTCAAACTTTGCTTTTATTTATAAATTGTCACCTATTTATTGTCCATCAGACAACGATTCACTGGCCATTCATTAGGTGTTTGCAATGGTAACATGACTCTGTTTCCTTTCTCTTTCACTTGTGTAAGCTTAAAACACACCGATGATTAAATAAAGCTGTCTGTTTGTATGCGCTTGGTGTCTGTGACACCTGCCCTTCCAGCACACCAGGGTTTGATGTGCAACAGGATATAGCATACCATAGACTGCCAGGATGTTTGCTGAGCGGTTATCTTTGTGTGAAGCGCCAGACCCACCTCTTAAGACAACCTGTATTATGTCAAGATTTTGAATTGTTTGTCTCTCTATTTTTAAAACGAAGATTGTAATATAAGGTTGTAAAGCAGAGAGTGAGTGTAATGTTTGCAGTTGAGTTGTTGTTTCTCAGTAACACTTAATAAAATGGAAGATCCTGCAAAAGAGCAATAAAATCACATTGAGCAGCATTCTGTTTCATATCAAATGCACTGCTTGCAATAATTTTCAACTTAATTTGATTTCTTTCAGAGCTCGGCATGGCTCAGCGGAAGTTTGCCCAGTGCCTGGGAGAGTTTCAGTTTGAGTACATCGGGGATGCAAAGACAGACGATGAGAAATGCATTGGTAAGTGTGGGTTTTGTCATCTCACGTGGCGGAAACTAACCACTAGTTTTGCTCCAAAAAGCACACACAGGTTCTGTAAATGTTTGTTTATGATTCCTACTCTACCAGCAAATTAAGCACTGCTTGTGGTGTGCAACTGTGGTGGGAACAGCTGATAATTATGATGTGTTTATAGCTGCTGTGTGTATGTGTGTGAGAGAGAAAGAGTTAGGAGGAAATATATCATTCATGTGCTTGCTTTATTTTCTACAGATGAATCTTTGCAAGAGTTCTCGTCATTCCTCAAGAACCTAGAAGACCAAAGAGAGCTGATGGTGAGAGCAACCAGTCAGAACCTGCTTGAGAGCAAGGGAAAATACCTGCGTGTGTGTCTGGCTGTCTGTGTGGTGTCTTACAATTGAATTATTATGCTGTGTATGCCCGCACAATGTGCACTTCCCCTGGCCTACATCTAATACTGCCCATATTAGGTCGTTGAATCTATTAGCGTCTAATTCTGTCATGCACCAGAGATCCGGCTGGTGCTCCTAATATGATTTTCTTTAATGTACAGAACAGCCACAGCATCCAATAATGCAGAGCAAGACCAGTCCTGAGGGCGGATAAAAGCTGATATTGTTCTGGCAGATCCTCCTCTTGTCTCTGTCTAAGGGTCACTGTCACGACACCTGCCTGGGAGTGGCTGCACAGAAGACAGGAGTGTAAATTCACATAATTACAACCAAGCTTTAAATACCAAGAAAGATTCACAGCTCTTACTAGCAACAAGGTCCACCACGGTACAGCTGGTTATGACACACGACCATAAAACTAGCTTCTGTACAGAGCAGCCTTGTTAAAGTTGCTAGTTTATAAACCACCCACAAATCACACTTGGATATTGTGGAAGTTACAACTTAATGGAAAGAGGAGTGATTTGAAAGGTTACAGTGGGTCATGTACTGCTGCAATGAAGTGCTATAAGTGTCACAAGATGCATGACCTTGTTTAAGGATGTATTCTGTAGTTAGTAATAAAGCTTCTAAGGCTTGATAACCAGTGACTTGTTAGGAAAATACTTTTAAAAGAAATCACACCAAGACATAATAGGGAAACACATTTGAGTGTTTGCCACTTTCTATAAACAGCCATTGTCTTGTAATGTCTGCCTGCCGTGTCTGAGGTTAGGGAGTGGGCCCATCATCAGGAGCTGACTGAGATGACTGTTTTAGTCTTAGGCTCAGACAGTAATGATAAACAGTCGGATCAGCGTTGCCCGGCATCGTGGAATGACATCACAGTGCAAAGTAAGGAAAAAGTAGGACGGGCGTGCAGGCCCAGGCGTGTCCCGCAGCCAGCACAGCTGAAGCTCCCGAGGAATGAGGGAAAACACAATGACTTTATGAATGCATTAAAGGCAAAGAGAGAGATACTTTAAGGTCTGCAGTTGTGTAATGTCAGTTACGTAACACAACATATCGAGGTCAGTGTGGCATCGATCGTAAAGCAGCACCCCTAGAGGCCAAGATACCGTTTACATCTGTAACTCATCACTAAGCCAGCACACACTTAGGCTGGGAAATGTGACTTACCAAATTTCACAGGGGTTTGTCATTGAGTTGAGCAATAAGGAATTAAGGCTTTATGTCAACTTCTCTTTTTGTCTAGATGAGGAACATCACAGAAACCCTAATGAAACCCCTGGAAAAGTTCCGGAAAGAGCAGCTTGGCACAGTGCGGGTAATGTATGACGCTTCTCCTTCTAGCACTTGATCTATTTTTAGCATGTGCACTCTAACAATTGCAAGATAGGTCATCATTTTTCAGTTTAATGCTAATTACATTTAATTCATTACATATCATTAAACCCCACGAATGTAATTCTGCTCACGTTTCTCCACTTCCCACTGAACCTCCTTCAGGCGGAAAGAAAGAAGTACGAGAAAGAAACAGAGAAGTACTACAGCTCTCTGGAAAAGCTTCTCAACATGTCAGCAAAGAAGAAAGAGCCACAGCTACAAGAGGTATTTATCCTCGTCTGAACTCCACCGACAGATATGAAACATGTCGATTCATGTTTTCATAAGGAGAGCAAAGTGGATGAAAAGGGGTGTCTTGTTTGGTTAGAGAATCCCTGTTTTTGGTTGTAGCGTTTTGTGCCAAAGGGGGGGAGAGGCCTCGCTCGCTGTAAAGCCTGTTGGACCGTCTGAGTTTCCACTGACGTGCCTTGCAGCAGCAGTTTTCCTGGCTTGTTTGGAAAGGAAATGTGTACTCACTTTTACTGTACTTCCAAGGTTAAAGCTCATTGTAGTAGTTTGGGGAATTGCGGTATCTACTGCAGTATCATGGCACAGACTGTTCGAACAAATGTATAATATAGCAATCTCTCGTTAAACTGCCTTAATCTTTTCCATGATACCATTTAAGACCTCTACATATGCTGTATACACTCACTGGAGAAAACACTCAAAGTGTGTTGACACTACTTCTGCAGACTGGAACTCTGACTCTAATTAAACCTGGAAAGTAAAGACCCTGACCCAGAGCCTTGAACTCTGCAAAACTGTGTCAGCAGTGAAGTCAACTTGGGAACTGTTAAGTGATTCTTTATAAAGTGATTCAGCTCATCATTAGTTGGCATTCAGAGGGTAAAACCAATCATAGGAAGACAGCGTTCTGGAGATGTTTTACATGTGTTCACAGCAGCCGACAGAACGAGTCCTCTGAGGTGTATGCTGCACTCCCAGTTGTGTTACATAGCAAACTTGGTCATATGCGGTAAATCCATTGAGAGGCTTTTCTGTCAGTTTTTCTCTGTAAATCTCCCCCTTGGGTGCTCCACTTTCCTTACACTACTTAAATGAAGGCTTGCAGGTAACTGTAAATTAACTCGCAGCTCTACTTTGCCTGTAGGCGTAAGTTAAAGTGTGTCAGCTATCTATACATGTTAGCCCAATGGAATCCAAAGGAGAGCTAAACAAGCAGGATTTCCCTGTAGAGCATATACCCATATAGAGGTGATTCAAGGTGTTTCGCACAGGAAATGGGTTTAAGAAAATTTAAGAATTAAAAAAAAAGATTTGATTGGATTTATTTTAATTAATAGAGATGCTGCAGTTAAACAGAGTTCCAATACAAAGCATGTCCCCAGATGAACATTGAGGAGAGTCAAATGAATTTAATTCAGAGGGTAAAAAAGAAACATTTGAAGATAGTATTCAATCCAAGTTTTATACAAGAGTTGTATTTAAGATGACAGAGCATTGAGAGGTTTTTAAGTCTGCAACAAAGGAAGGTGCAGCAGAGAAACAACCAATCAAGGGCATAGGTTAAAAGCAGAGTGTACTCCTTGGATTACCAGGGAGCTATTGGATTTGCCTAAAGCATAGTAGATTACTCAGCCTCACCGTGTTCTGACTGGACATAATACCAACCGACTGTTTCTTTGTGATACAAATTTTATTGAGGAAAGATATATAATCATCAAAACTTACATCTTACACAACAAATCCTTCTTTAGTTCATTTTTTTCTTGCATCATAAGATAAAAAGATAAATGAACAGTGATTACCATAATGAGACCCTTAAAAGTTCCATTTTCCATCTTCCATTTTTAATCTTGCAAAGGAAGTCACATGACTGATTCTTAAAACCCATAAAGTGCAGTTGAGTTAAACAATCTATGTCACATATTTAGGAACATTTTTGTAATTCTACAAAGATTTAGTGGGATTCCCTCTCTTACACATTATGAATTTTTCCTCTTTCCTTTTCTTTTGAAGCTGTTTGTCTGTGTGTATAGCTAGAACGTTTCAAATGTTATACAGTTGATACAGCCCGTCTGAGACAAACATGTTATTTGTGGCTCCGTATATTTGATTTGAGAACCATCTGTCACTTTCAAAACGGAACGGCCACCTCACTGAGGTATAACGCCATAACATAAAAACCTCAAATTGCGCTGCACTATAATGTTTCTCCTCTCCCTCAATAAGTTTGTGTGTCTCTATAATCATCCCGGTGTGTGTTCTCCCCCTCTACAGGCAGATATCCAGGTGGAAACCATGAGGCAGCACTTTCAGGAGGAGTCACTGGACTATGTTTGCAAACTGCAGGAGATCCAAGAGAGAAAGAAGTTTGAGTGCGTGGAGCCTGTGAGTGACTGAACCCCACGGCAGTGACAGCGCTGAAGGGGTTTATGTTTCACATTAATGAAAGAAAAAAAACATGCAAAATTAGACTTGTGCGTGTGAAGTTTCTATGTTTTATTAAAGTGATTTGGTAATGCAAACATACATGACATTGTGATGACTCCTTTGTGTTGTTGAGTTTCTGTTTCACTCGTCACTCTTTTTAGATGCTGGCCTTCTTTCAGACCGTCTTCACCTTTTATCATCAGGGCTTTGAGCTCGCCAAAGACTTCGACCACTATAAAAGAGCACTGCAGATCAACATACAGAATGTAAGGAATACTGATGGTATATTATTCTACATTTTTAATAAACATGAAAATTAACCTAACTTTATCGCAAGAACTGTGGCTTTTATTAACAATAATGGTTTTTAGATTCCAAGAACTGAAATCAATTTGGTAAAAAGTTTGACTGTTAAAGTGGGGAAGTCCCCAAAGTTGTACAACACATGTGCTGTTTCAGTTTCTCTTGCGTTCTCAGTTTAAGTCAACAACTCACCCCTAATCTGATTTCACAGAAGATTAAGGAATCTACAATGCAAGTCTTTTGGTTTTGGTTTGCAGGTCTCTCTCAATTAAGGAGGTTTCCCTTCCTAGAACAGGAACAGGAAGTGACTGACCGGAGTGTGTGTTTTTTCTTCTTTTCCCTCTCAGACAAGGAGTCGCTTTGAGGGCGCGCGATCAGAGGTTTATGAATTGATGAAGAGGATCAGGGAGACCCCTCAGGAATACAGACAGACCAGCCCCATCAGCTGTGAAGGCTACCTCTATGTGCAGGAAAAACGTATGAACTTGAGACTAGAGATATCCATGTCACACACTTCTGCACATTTGACAGCCCTCACATAATAAAATGTCCTTTTTCATATTCATTTTGGTCCTTAAGCTCTTGTAAGAGTTTGTTGCCAAACACAACAGATACCTTCATTTTCAGTGTTGCAATAAGCATTACATCTATTCCTCTATTCTCTTAGGGCCGCCTCCCTTTGGCTCGAGTTGGGTGAAACGCTATTGCACATTTGTCAAAGAACAGAAGATCCTGCACATGGTGACCTTTGACCACAGATCGGGTGGCAAAATTGTGAGTAGCCGACCCGAGCAAAAAGAACTCGTATGCACATATTTCGTCAAATAACATAAAGCATTAGGCTTTTATTTTTAGTATCTTAATGTTGACAGTACCTATTTGACTAGATATCAAACTGTTCGGTACTAGAGGGATGGAAACTATTTCTTTTATGTCCACTTCATAGAAGTGAGTATTTTTCTTTTGAGATCAGCAGAGTTTGGAGTTTGGTAAAACACAGACAGAGACATTGTTCTCAAATGGTTATCTTTCAAATCCCCTTGCCGCTGAAGGGGCTGTACAATATTTTCAAGCTGCACAGTTCCAAAAATGGATAAAAGTTGACTTTTTAGTCGAGTTGGAAATGTTGGCTGTACTTTGAGAAAGGTTTGTGAGGTGTCTGCGACGTTCATGTCAGGTTTATAGGACGGGAAAAAGAAAAGACGACTGAATTGAATTGAATTGACTGTGCATTAATATTTGTATAAAGAACAGATTTGGACATAATTCTACTGTGTGAAATTACTGATGTAACTGCAATGTCAGCGGATTACTGCTTTCGTTTTTTTGAATAGTGATTATGATTTATTGTAACTGCAGTTGGTTTTTCCCTATCTCTCCTAACCATGTTCACTCTGTAGTATTTCACTTTCAAAATAGCATCCCATTCAGTGATTTTGTGTGTGTGTGTGTTTGTGTGTAACCTCAACTTCAGTTATAGTATTTACTTTTACTTTCAGGGGGAGACGGAGTCAGTCACTCTCAAATCCTGCGTCCGCAAAACGACAGACATGCTTGACAGGAGGTTCTGTTTAGAACTGGACATTACTGACAGGTACATCATTACCTCGTACTTCCTGTTAAACACACTTAAACTGTATCATTCCGGCTGGTTTACTTATTATATTTGTCACAACGGACATACATACTGTATGAAATAAAATCCTCTTCAGTATTCCTGTTTGAACACTATTTAAAAAAATCCTCTGGCACATAAATGATCCAGTGTTGTATCAGTCATATGAAAAACACCTTTAGACTCTTGGTTAAGATCTTTGACTCAGAAAACACTACATGTCTTTTGGATTGTAGAGGGCAAGCATTTGTCCCACCCTGCTCCGCCCTTCTGTCATTTTATCACACAACATAACCCTGCCCTGCCCCTGTTCTGCAGTATTAATAGAAGAGCAATACTCCAGATTTAGTGTTGAAATTCAAGTCCACACATCCATTCTGATTGGGATGCGTAACTTGATACCCATCTGCTCCCATGTGATTGAGTATCTCATAAACCAGCTGGGATGACTAATAGAGCTCATGTTTGTGCTTTCTGCGAATCCAAGGTGCTAGTGCCCTTCATAGAAATTTTTTACAAGAGTAATTAATGTTTTACATTGACACTGACATCCTCTGATGGCCCACTGTAATGTGCCTCTTAGGCTTTGCCTAACTCAGATGTGGTAATACTCTCTCACAGGCCTGGGACGGTGCTCACAGTACAGGCTTTGTCAGAGGATGACCACAAGTTCTGGATGGAGGCCATGGGTGGGAAGGAACCTGTGAGTCAGCCGCCTGATCCATGTCATCATCCAGCACTCACACTTTGCTCATTAATTTATAGAAAACTTCATTTAATTTTACACATACATACTCTTACAGAAAAGTTTTAGTAGACGTAATGAACTTTAAAAAGCCATGATAAAGTTTGTTTTCTGTCTCTACAGATTGGACACTATCTTGGGAGGACTTATTCTAAAGAAAGAGGAAGTAAGGTCATTTCTTAATTTCCCCTGGGATGAATCAAGGAATCTGATTTAGATTTTAGTGTTTTACTTCTTAAGTAAATAAATCCAAAAGTGTCATTCAGTCAAATTAGTGTAATACCTGACAATATTTCTTTTCTTCAATCTGTAGTTGATGCCCAGCTTGATGAAGTGGGTCTGAGTTTTGTGAAGAACTCCATCAGCGCCATAGAAACGAGAGGTAAGCTTCAGATGTGCAGTAAAGACAGAGCTCAGTATGTGATCATTGGGGATCGATAAAGTTCTTGTATTGTATGATCATACGAGAATGGTTTGTGATTTACTGAAGGAAATCTAACATTGTAGAGTGGTAGAATCCCTGAATTTTGAATTAGTAACAGTTTATAGGGGTGCATTATCTTTATTTGTACAGAAGGGGGCAGACTTGCTCCAATATTGGCACAAAAAGCTTCCGAAGGCAGCATTTATTGCAGATACTAAAGGCTGAAATCACTTAAGTCCCTGTCAGTATGCATCAGTCTTTGCATGCATACCTGACCTCTTTTTCAGTCAAAAGTGGACAAGCTTTTCTCAACATATAAAATATTTCTTACTGTAAATGCAACTTGCTCAAGTTGGTTCAGACTCCAGTGAAATAATCTCAAAGCTGCTGCACAGTTTCCACACACAGCTGTATATTTCTCACCCCCTTTTTGTTTATAACTAATTAAATGGTTTGTTTTCACTTAATTAAGAATAGTACAGTAAATATAGAGTGTCATGACTGTTGTTGCTTCTTAGGTATTAATGACCAAGGCCTGTACAGAGTTGTCGGGGTGAGCTCCAAGGTACAGAAGCTGCTCTCATTAATGATTGGTAAGTTTAAGTCTCTTCTTTTCTCTCTGCTCTAGAAATGTTCTTGCATAGAGAGTAGTTGAATGAAGTTAAATTTTTAATTTATATGCTACTGCACTATCTCTGTGATATTCCTTTGCCCCTAGTTAGTTGGATGTGGAGTGGAAATGGATATGTAGTATGTCGGTTGGGTATTAAAAAGATAGTGACCGACATTCAGTCCATGATTCAGCCTGTCAAAGCTGTGTTTATAACGTGCAACAAGTTCCCGGGAGTATCTTTGCCTCTCTTCATTCAGCTCTATATCCCCTGGACAGTGTGAATCACTCCCATTTGTCTCCTTGCACATTTCTGGCTTTTGCTTCATTAACACATTACCTCTCATGCTTTCCCCGGTTTTCTTTTATTCCCCTCACTTCTTCTCAATTCCTTTTCACTCAACTTCTTTTTTTTCTGTAGAGCTTGTCCTCTGTCCCTTCCACTGCTCCCCCGTCTGCTCTCTGGTTTCCTGCCGTCTCCAGCAGACACCGGCTCGCTTTCAGCTCTGTGTTCAGAATGACAACAAACTCAAGCAGCCGCCAGTCTGTCTCAGCTTCCCTCCCAAAAACCCTCCAGCCTCCCAACCTGCAGACTCATGCTGGAGACTTCCTTTAACACTCTGCTCCAGCACATAAAAAAAGTTTCTTTAAACTGTGAAGTTTTCTGCCGTCTTCACAATCCACAACTTACCGTGCGAAGAAGACGTAGCATTACTGAGCAACCCTATAGAAAACACAGGGTACTTTGATGATTCTGCCGTGAACTGAGATGACTTCTGTGTACGACAGAGGTAATACTACTACAGTGCCGAACAAACACATTCACAAACACTTCATGCATACTACAGTCCAGAGTGAGTGGGTGAGAAAAGCTTTAAACCCTGAAGAAAGACTTTTGGATCTTCCCACTCCTCCTCCTCCTCTTTTGCATCTCTCACCCACTGACATGGCCAGGGTCCAATCAGAGAAGGACAGTGCAATACAGAACAAGTCTCCCATCGTTTCACAGCACAAAGACACCTATTGAATATCATGCAACAGTATAACAGGAAGAAGATGGTAAAAATGAGCTCTGCCTGTTTGACAGTATATGGAAGGGGGGAGTGGATGGTGTCGTCATGACATGGTACAGTCTAATAGTTGCTGAGTTAGACGTCTCAGTTCTATACTTATAGCTGCAGAGTGGAGCAAATTTGAGGAACGCTGTCAGGCATTTCTGTAGAACCACTGGATATGTATCAAGTTTTCAAGGAGGAAATGACAATTAATGCATTGACCTCTGGATATTGTTGCTTGGTGGACCTTTTTTTAGAAGAAGAACTGACTTTCTTCCCTTATTGAATTGTAGATGTTTAAGACAATCTTGACGTAATTTGGAAGACGAAGAAGGTCATGTAACTTAAATTACCAAAGACACAGGCTACATTAATGCTTCGTAAGTTGCATTCATGTATCCTTTACTTGCAGCCTTTTCCCCCTTGCTAGCCCCTTCTACTAGAAATGCATAGGGAGGTGCAAGGCTATACATGTGAGATGACATAATACATCCGTTCCTCTTAGTGTGACATGGAGTGGGGCCCATTTGTGTTGACAGCATCAGCTGATTAATCCTGGATCAGCCGCCAGTCCGCTTTAACAGCTGTTCGTGTTCACACACACACACACACGTCCAGTATATGTATGTATATATTTTCTGTGTAACACACACATTAACCCCTTTTTATCTCTGAGTGAAATCACCATGTATCGTGACCTATTTTCAGGGCAGCCCACAGTGTCTGTTTAAGGGTATGTCTTATCTCCGTTATTGAACATGAAACTCTGGTAATGTGAAGAGTCAGTGATGTCTCATCTGCTACAGCATCAAGTCAGAGAGGGATATTTGTGTGTCTGTTTGTTAAAAAGGTTGCTCTTGTGTAACCTAGCTTGTGTAATCTAGCTCAACCCGATCCCCTCTTGAGCAGCAGAAAGAACTTTCGGTGCGTTCAAAGCATGGCGAAACATCACATCTTCCAGGTCATCTGCAGTATGAAGACTCCTAAAGTCGTTTCAGGATGAATCGTTGAGTTACGGTAAAACTAAGCTAGCTTATACAATGTGCTCATGTCAGTCAAAGTGCTAAGGCACAGGCGCCAAGTTCCACCCACCAACTGTACACAGATTGGACAGCGTCTGCCTCCTCACTGGGTGAAGCCACCCCAAGAAGAGCACCCTCTGGTGACAGGCTGCAGTATAGGTCATTATTCCTGCCTTCGCCAGCCATCCTTACGGAGCTGTGGACAAACTTAATAGATTCATAACGCCTGCTTGTGATGTTGACATGTAGTTACTGTAAGTCCTTGATTTAGTACAGCATTTTTACATACATTTTTAAAAGTTAGTGGGGGGGTTCATGTTTTCTATGATTGACACTTGATATAGCCTATGGGCGTATGAAGATTGTGTAACTCATCCGGGAGATACAATGTTTTGGGCCGAGCGTCATCACAGCGACTCTCTGCGACTCTCTCGCTGAATATGTACAACGCTACTGTGCAATGTTGGTTTCAGAAAATAAAGAAAAAAATACAGAATTAATAAGAGCTTTTCGGCTTCAAATCCATATACTGGCAGAAGGCTGAACCAAGTTGTCCACAGTATATACAGTCTATGGTTTCACCCTCGTTTTCATACTGATGGCTGATCAAAAAGTCTACTGGATGTGGGTGGGTGGGTCTTCTGTAATCAATTTTTCGGAAGTTACCTGTCAGTGTCAGGAGGTCTGAGTGTGGGGAATTGTGAAGCTCGAAGACCACCAGAGACACACTCTTCAAGAAGTTTAGTGGCAGCTAAAGGGGTCATGAGATTATTAAAAAGATAGAGGTGACGAAGTAGAACCGCTGTAAGAGCTGGCACCTTTTCCCTCTTCTTTTTGTCAGCTGTCATCCCTCGCTGCATCCTCTCCTCTTTTATGGAGCATAAGTAATGGTAGCATTTCACAGCCAATAGATTCAAACTTTTCATTCATAGCACCACATACTGCTACTCATTAGTGATGTTGCTCATGCAAAAGCAAGATGATGGGATCAGTTTATCAATCTGTCGATTTCTTTTCATTTAACAGTAACAAATATATCTGTCGGCAGATAATATTGGTTTGCAAGACTCTATACCAGAAACCTCTGGAGCAGCGTAAATTCTTTGACAATATTTTCAGATATAAAAACTTTTTATAGAACATATAAAACAGAAAACAATTCTCGGGGCTGATTAGAAACGGTGTCACCGAGTAATTTGACCAGCAGAGTGCCCTCTGTCTTGATGATTTATGATTCACTTAGACTTACACTACAGCACAGTCTACAGAAGGTGATGCAGTTTGTCACAGCTGGCAGATGGCATTACGCAGTGGAATTAATTGACAGTGAAATGGTAATATAAAAGTTAAGTTCATTTGTTCTAAAGCAGCATTTTTTGTACACTTAGTTGCATTAGTGCAAAGTTAAAGCAGAAAAAGTGTTTATTTTCCTCTTCAGCACGTGATAAATTCACTACCAATTGCAGAATCTGCTTCAAAATGCTGTGCTTACTTTTTTTGTCCAGTACAATAACGCATTACTGAGGTAGGTAAAACAAAGAATTAGACCCTCAGGTTTAACGCTGCTCTATGCATGGTAGTTTCATCATCAAAAGTATTCAGTCTTTTGCCAAAAAGGTGTTTTTCAGTCCCTGACTCAACCTGGATCATACCTGTTTGTGCTGGAGCAGACTACAGAGCACGAGTAGACCCCATCATTCTCAGCTTACACACACTTACAGCAGCACAGCTTTGGCCACTAACACTCCACACAAAAAAACATTTGCTTTTAGAAGTTGATATTGGACTGACCATTTTGTGGACAGAGCAGACGGAGAAACACAAACCTGCTGGATGCAGCACTTTCGAGGAAATCAAAATAACAAATTTTCTGTGTTGCACAGACCACCTACTGCCCGTGAAAACAAAGTCTGTGTGTTGACCTGAGCTCTGTACAGTACACGTGCCTGACTCGCAACATTTCACTGCCACTGTAACTCATCAGAGGTTACTTAAGGTGGGACTAAAGCCCACTGAATTTCCAGCACAACACGGCCTTTAAGTCCCAGTGGAGCCGATGAAATAGTCAGGGATTAATTAAAGTTGTAATGAGTATAGAACCAGCAGCCCTTTACTGAGGCTGTAACTTCCTTCCATATCCACTGGGGCAAACTCCACCCAAAGGCGATCTGCACTGCTTTTATCCTCATAAGGCTAATTACAAGTCACATATTTATATTTCATAGTTGGACTTTCTAGATTGCCCAGGAAAACAATGAAATGCAGTTTTAATGTAGAAAGAAGTAGGCTCTGTAGTGTCACCTCAGTCACTTGATTTTCAGGCAAGAATCTGTGAATGTTTGTGATTGATGCAGATGAGAAGAGCAACGAGGTGGATCTATCTGCTAGTGAGGACTGGGATGTCAAGACAATAACAAGTGCACTGAAGCTTTATCTGAGGTAAGACAGAAAAGAAGTTGAAGGAAGGTAAGAAACACATGCACACAAAAAAACTAGAACTACTTCTATTTGTCTAACGAAATTGAAAAGTGTCGTTTTAAAGATGTATTGTTTTTAGTTTTGCTAATTGTAATGTGAAAAACTACATTTTCTGTTTTCTGCATCCTCAGTTCTCTACTTGGTCGTATATGATGATAAACTTTGAGTTCAAGACTGTTGGCTCAATAAAACAAGCAAAACATCTTTATGGACTGCTCAAGTTCACAAAAGAGGCAAATGTTTGAATCAGTTAATACTGTAAGTCGATTTAAGGAAGAAACAATACTTACGACTTAAATAGCTCATAGCATGTCTGAAACCTATGCTGTCATTTGGTTGAAGTTTTGAGTAATGTGATTCATTCTACACAACCGAAGATGTGATTTAACAAACAGTTTTATTGATTCAATCAAACAGAGAATGTAATTTAACTGGCACACAGACACTCGTGCTTGGCATGTAGCTGTTCATTTGATTCATTTTCGGAGCCAACAAACCACACTGTTGCTCTGCAGATCCACTCCAGACCTCAAACAACCCCAGTTTTTTGACGAAAAGTTCATTTTATATTTAAGTGTATCTTTTTTTGATAAATATTTCATTGGAACATGAAACATTTCATCCATTGACGACGCTTCAACAACCTCTTGTCTAAATGGGAGTTAATTATGCTAAGTGCCTCAGGATAATTAACTCTGCAAGGTCACATCTCTTACTGTATGTCTGTTCCACATTCATCCTCTCCCCTCAGGTTTAAAGTGACAGCCTGTGTGGGTGAAGTTCAAAGTTTAACTTTGTCGTTTAGTTTGTGAATTCAGATTGTTTTAGTAACATGTATAAGTAGCAGTAAATTCAGTTTTATTTTAGAAGAAGGCAAAGTTGTTTGCGTTCTTTTTACAAACAGTAAAAGTACTTACAGAAAGCTGAAATTTAGTACCTTGAAGAGTCCCTGTGCATCAAAAACTTTGGTTAAATGATTATGTTTGGACTTAACTGTTAAATCATCATTGCCAGACTTCACAGCTTGGATCTAAATTGAAGTGTATTGTGAGGAACTTTTTGTTTTTTTATATGTTATGAAAACTTAAGTGGCTTTAGGCGAATAAGTAAAAGATCTTTATCCAACATAGAATTAGATGTTCATGATGTGCACTGTTAACTGTTTGTTTCTTCTGATGGGCTGATTTTTAGTGATGGAAATTCTGGCACTTTTTGGCGATGCAGATAGTTTGTCTCAGCTCAGCAATAAGAGGGGGGTCTTCTGGCTCCTAAATGGCTCTTAAAAGCCATTGCTATGTTTGCTTTTATCAAATTAGCCACTTGTAGCAATCATGAACTAGATCTGAGTGGCCACACTGAACCCACATTGATACAGGGTTCAGTTTGAGTGTGTCGTGCTTGTAAAGAGAAATCATTCCAGTATTCTGTCTCGGTATTAAACCTACAACTGCTGGCTCTTAAAGTTTCACAACCTCTGATTTCTAAGTTTTGATGCTTTTCGATGCAGTCTACAACCCCGTCACTTCAAAATGTTCTCAGAAGCATTTTGATGTGACATGATATAGGCTGTGAGATGCAAACTAAATGAGATATCGTTCGGAGGCTTTACAAGCGAACATTATGTAAAACCACACCGAGTTCTGCTCTGGCTTGTCTTTTAGATGGTGTCCGGCCTGCTGGAATAAAGCAGGGTCAGTCTCAGTTTCCTCTGAGGCTAAGCACCTTTGGCCACTAGCCAGCTGCAGTGTGAAAGTACCTTCAGATGAACTTGGTTATCTCAATGTGTGCACCATCTAATTCCATCCCCTGGCTCAGCCACATTAATCATTGCTGTGTGCAGACCCTATAAAACAGTGTGCAGGCTATTTCTGTCCCCCCTTGCTCACTTCAGCCCCCCTCCACTCCCCACCCCACTCCCCTCTCTTATTCTCTCTCCCTCTTTCTCTGAAGGAGCCTGCCTGAGCCACTGATGACCTACGGACTTTACAAAGAGTTTATTAGCCCTGCAAGTAAGTTTTGATCACCACTTATTCCACCTCTACTTTTAAGTACAGTCCACAACAGTGTACACAGTTAATGTGTGTGTTTTTTATGTTTATATGAAACTTCCATTTACATCCTCATGAGTATCCCAGTGCTGAATCATCTTTGTTTTGGTTTGCTTGTTTTTGGACAGGCTTTACAAAGAATATGAGAAAACTGATTATTCTTGATCCTGCCACTTTAATTTTGATTGCATCTTTGTACAGTCCAGCTTTAATTTCTCAGCATCTCAGTCAGTATGTTTTGTAACAGCCAAATATGATCAAAAACCTGCATAAGGTGTGCAGTAGTATCCTTTTCCTTATCAGGGCCCTATGAGTAAGCATATCCAGGTTTCTTTAAAACCAGGGTAAGAACTGATCCTGAATTTGGGAGAAGACGCTTACATGCACAAAAGCCTGTGTCAATTCATACTGTATTTTTGGACTGGCCTGCACCTTTGACCTAAGTTATAGAGAGACACTCATCAATGCTAACTGTTGCTAGGCTATAAAAGTTGATTCACAGCACTTCCATTTCACTCTCCTTCCCTGATATTTGCCTAAATTAATGGAGACTTTACAAAAGGTACTATATTAAAACAATTAAAAGCATATGTCTTGGCAATATCAGCATTAATAAAGCTAAATTAGGTTAGTTGTCTTGCTTCATTTTGATTTGTCAGTTAGAGAGAGGTCATGTCAGCAAGTGACACGGTATTGTAAAGTTGAAGTGTTTTGAACTGAATGTGCTAAGTGAGCACCAAAGCACGGCATATATTAAGGGTGTCCAGTGGATTGAGGATGATGAGTTAGGGCTGGGCGATAAACGGAAAATTTACCGATACTGAAATTTACGAAAATAACAGACGTCATTTCACCAAAATATATATTGTCAGTATATTCAGTGTCAAAAAAATAAATAAAGAAAAGTTGGTTTGGATGTGTGTAGGTAGGCTATGGTCTCATGTCCCTTTAAGACGCTGTCCTACATCAGAGACATGACTCCACCCCATCCAATCCATAACAAAGAGGGAAAGACAGGTGAGGAGATGGAGGACAGTTCAAAAGTTGTAGCGGCTGGAGCAGCGGCTGAAGTAGACGAAGTTAATGTGGGAGGTGGTGAGCAGCTTGTGGAGTAGTTATCATCCATTTATCGTTATTGAGGTGAACTGTTCAATATATCGTGATATTTATTTGAGGACATATCGCCCAGCCCTATAATGAGTACAGAAAATGCTGATCCACATCAGTTTTGTATTAGAAATAGGTGCTGAAAGCAAAACAAACTCATTATAAGTAGACACAGGCCCTCATACATCACCACACATCATTGCAACTTCTCTAAACACCCAATCAAATGTGGGATATTGCCCAGTTTCTACTGAAGTGTCCCAGGCAGCATGACCAGGTACCTGAAAATCAAGTGATTTTTCTGCGTTTTTAAAATCAGTGTAAGATGTTAAACTACTTTAAACAAAAACCTTTAAAAAATTCACCTCCAGGATACTGGATGTAAAAGATTTTTTACACTCAAATGTGCTATTGAAAACTCTAAATTGATTTTTAAAAAGTGATGCAAATCAAATGATTTCAACTAACTTTTTACAGTTTTCAGCTCCGTCATCAAACTCAAAGGACCTTTAGCCCTAAGTTGTATCTGTAGTTGCTACCTTATTCCTGACTCTTGACAGTGGTTAGTCATAGTATCTTGAGTATGAAATTTAAATTTTTGTTAACTTTTAGTAAACTGAACTGACCTAAAAACTTTTCTTTCCCATAAAGTTTTGAGAATGTCTTTGAAATTTGAGACTGTTATATAACAACCTGTCCATGTCCCCTTTGTGTTTGTATATCAGTTTTGACTGGCTTTTAAAACTGTGTGGCCAGAGAGGAAGTTAAAAGGTGAAAAAGTGACAAATATGCTGTCATTTTCCTGCCCTCAAGGTTCCTACTAGTGACCTTGAACAGCAAGTAGATGCTTTTATTCCCGCCCACATAACGTCATTTGTGTATGAAATGTTTTCAAAGCGAGCCAAACTTGAATCTTATTACAACAAGTGCTATAATTGGATCAGGTTGACATTTTTATCAGGCGCTTGCAATGCCTTCATAACGAGGGGGAAAAAATGGATTAGCAATGAATATTTTTTTGATGGATGACAGCATCCATAAGAGGCTTTTTCCGTGTTTAAATCCTTGTCGTTCCCATAGTAATGATATTTTGTGTGTCTGTGTGTGTGCCTGTGCGTGGGCGGTCAGATGCCCATGTGTGAGGAAATGTTTAAGAGATGATCTAGGGGGGGGGGTTTACACAACCCTTTTATACGGTAGCAACAGTAACGTAACGCTATCTCCTTCGCCAGCATAGTGGTCCCTGCTGCCAAGTACTGGGAGGCTTACAACCATATATCACTATCACACCTCTTCTTCACATACCTAAACTGGAATGTATCCTCTTAACCTTATACTGGAGGGTGATAGCCTCATTCAGTCATTCTGTCCTTAAAGGTCCATTAAACTTTAATTTTCAACATTGTGTTAAAATAGTTTTTTAGGACTTTTTGAACTGATGGAGGGTTTAAATCTTCACTAAATCTCTGCGCCTTAAAATCTGATTGTGCAACACTCAAATCATCTGTCTGTTTTTTATCGTTAAAACCTTTCAAATGTGCTAGTTTTCTGAAGTTGTACAGTATTGGATCATAGCTGCATTGGCTCTTTGCCACCTGAGCAACACATACAAATCCTTGTAGTTTAATGCAAGTGCACGGCTGCTTCTGTGTTGAACAGAGGGCGGTAGTCCAGAGTCTCGTATCCAAGCCGTCCACTGCCTGGTCCACAAACTACCGGAGAAGAATCGACAAGTCCTCGGGCTGCTTATGAAGCATCTGGCCAAGTGAGTGTTCATAGTTCCTTGGTCATAGTTCACCCAATCTCCGCCCCCTCTCCCTCTCAGTTCTCTCTCTCTTTTCTGCTCTTCCTGTCTGTCTCCTCATTCTCACTCCACATGCTTTTTCTCTCTCTTCCTCACTCCCACTCTCTTCACTCCCCCTTCCCTGCTGTCACTCCATCTCCTCTCTGTCTACTTACTGACTGCTGGGTAAGAAAATTGATGCTGCTAGCGTATTAACATTCCTTTTTGCTTTTGCTGGGGTCATTCTGGTTTACATTTAAAGCTGTTGAAGGAGGACTGTGCAGCGCACCGTACCTGTTCAGCATGCTGTCATGCAGCCCACCACTGAAATGAAATGAAATGGACCTCTCAAATTAAGCCCTCTCTTGAGATGACTCCATACACCCCTGGATGGAGCACCATTGTGCATCACTCCATTTGAGAGATTAGATGGGGAGAAAGATTTTAGAAATAATGTTAGCTAACATTACAAGGTTTTACCTCAGCAAGCTTTTTATAAACTAAATATGAGCAAATTGAAGATAAGTAAATAATCCCTCTTCCCTGAGGCAGTGAAAGTCTGGTGGATCTTATTTCATAGAAACCCGCTGCAGAATCAGGCTCTGGTAAAAAGGCAGCGCTATTGAAATTGAATTTGGATTATCCAGCGTGAAATTCTCCAGACTGGAGAGACTCGAATATTTTTCTGAAGTTGGCGTGTGTGCATGTCCTGCAGGGGAAGGAAGCAGAGCCAGAATTTCACACTGCTATCTGAAATGGTTTCAGAGATGTTATAAATGTGAGTTGTCACCAATGTTTTTGTCTTCAAAGGCATCCTTTGAAGCTATTTAAACTGTCTCTCTGCAGACACACTGCATATCATCACATTTTCAGTGTGAAATCTCCTCACCTGTCCGAACAACTTTTCCTTCAATCAGGGGATCTCTCTGCTCTTATTTGTTACTTTCCACAAGTTAAATTCACTCAATGGATTTGATCACACAACTGACTGAAAATACATTCGATTAACTTGTGAATCGTACATGTCAAGTCATCCATGGCATGCTGTGAAAAATGTGAAAATATCCACTACCTCAGATACCCACCGTCATGGTTGCAAGTAATAAGAAATTACTGATTATTGATCTCTAAAACATAAAGATACACAAAATCTTCCATTTTTATTCATGGTAAATGAAGTGTGGGCATTATTAAAGGTCACTCTCAGCAGGCAGAGCAAGTCAGTGTTTAGAATTAGGTGTAGTGGTTGGGATTTCTTCCTTCTTACTGTTGTTGGCAGAATAGTGAAATGTCCTAATATGTGCTAAATTACCCTATTCCCAGTTTTTGTCTCTCAAAATGCAGTGATGGCCCTCTGCAGCTTTTATTACCTTTGCAATGTTCAAAGTAACAAAAAATAAAAGACACCATTCTGACAGAAATATAAAAGAGAAAATACTCAAAGAGAAGAAGAACAAGACGAGATTAAAAGCTGTCCTTCAAAAATGCAAACTCTAGTTGTATTTTTGAGACATTTTGGACAGTTTGGGCCTCACTTGCTTTTCTCCAAGTTTTGCATCCAAGAAAAATCAACAAGTTCGGAAGTTGCTATCATTTTGATTTAACAGTGGCGAGCTGCTTTGCTCAAAGCTTTTTTCTGTTGTTATCATCGGTTATTACAAAATCATAGAGACCCACTCCATGTCCTGTACGTCTGTGGAGCTTTTCAGGCAGTAGCAAAACCATGGCAGGTATTTGAAAATATTCTGGGATTATAATCCTGTTGGTGTGTACTCTTGTTTTACTCTTATCTACCCTTGTCTTTTTTTTTCTTAAACATTGAAGTCAAAGTAAAGTATTTCTGTGCAGATTTCTTTGATTATATTTATTCTGTTTTAAGAGTTCAGTGGTTGCTGGTTGAATATTTATTGTCAAGACTAGGTTTTCTGTTTTACCTGTCTCTCTAGTTTCTAACCCCGCTCTTAAAAAAAAGTGAAGTGAGGTTTGTAAGTTGCTGTAAAATGTGCGTAATGTGAGTTTTTAATCCTCCTCAGTGTGGCAGCTCACAGTAAACAGAATCTGATGACTGTGGCCAACCTGGGCGTGGTGTTTGGTCCCACACTGATGAGGCCGCAGGAGGAGACAGTCGCCGCCATCATGGATCTAAAGTTCCAGAATATCGTGGTGGAGATCCTCATTGAACACCATGAAAAGGTAACACTCACGGCTTGGATTCGCCTCAGGCACCGTTCAGTGTTAACTGCTCTATTTAAGAAACAAAACACTTCGGTATACTCACTACATCTCTCAGTGGAAGTAATGAGTTTCAGATAATTTTAGGGTATTGTATTATGTTTGATATTTCTCCAAATATTTGTCTTTGATCAGTCGGATCTTGACTGCACTGACTTTCCTAAATGATTCATTTTATCAGTGTAGTTTGGGAATCATTGGGTTTCTATTTGCGGTCTAAAAGCTGTGTTTACTAAAAGCAAGGCACCCTAGCTGCACATGGTCTGATCATAGCAGGAGACGAGATCAGAATTAGGTGACATGACATCATTTTGCTGCAAACAGCACCTTTGTGTTTACCAACCTTGGTTCTGCATGTTATTACTTGATACTGGTGGATAATAAATGTGCAAGTTGAGCAAAAAGCCCATGTGCAGGTCTCTGGCACTGTGCACTTTTTGTCTGTTATCTGGTGGTTAGTCTTTTTCATTGTCTGTTGGCAGCAGTGTGCACATTATACTTAACCTATACCTCCTATACTATTTTTCTGCAGGTCCTGCCTAGTAAGGATTTTAAGAGTTGTGTATATTCTCATTAAAATCAGTTCCTCATATTCAAAATGAATCCAGGTAAATGAGTTTGAGTAAATATGTTTGGATACATGTGTTGTCTTTATTGCTCTCTTTTATATGCAGAAATAAAGGTCCTGGATAATTAGATTTGCGCCAACACAAACCCCTTTGGAGAACGCAACAGTCCCTCAGTTATTATTTATGTAGAGAAAGTTGTTAAGCAACGCTTTAGAATTTCTCCATCTCGCCAGTAGGAGGAGCCCCAAGTGCTCAAACCAGGGTCACATATAAGATTTCTCCTTATTTTCAGCAGGTTTTTAATTCTGCAGATTATCACATACATCTTATTTTATAAGGAAGATCCTTTGTCTGCCTAAGTACATTTATTTTGGTTATGACTTGTTTTATAACCTGTAGGTCATGGGATCATGTAATCTCCCCAGAATGTCATTAATCAGTGCCAATCCTCAAAGGGGGATAATTGTCTGTGTCAAAAGGGAGAAAGGGTTGAGATTAGTTTTTTAATCTGTTTGGAGCAGAACTGCACTCTGCATAGAATCAGATGAAACCAGAAGCTCTTAGCGATTATTTTTCATTTAATAGAAAGATGATGAACATCTCCACCGCGTGCTCACAAATCAGAAATGGAGTGTGAGAGAATACAGATGCCTGATGAGCACCGACAGGATACACAAATGTGATAAAACAGCAGCAGCAGCAGCAGCCACACATACACAATGTATACTGTGAGTCTCTGAGACTACCCAGAAGTATCTAACACCGTCCAGGTGATAAAGGATGTGGTGTTAGAATGCAGCAAGAGCATTTTTGAAAAGTACAGCGTGTTAGAGCAGGGGAAAAGTTGAGCAGACAGACAGGCATTAACTTCCCTCACAGCTTAGTCCCACTCTAGACTGTTGATACCCCCAGATACCAACAGTAGACTCTGTTTTACATTCACCTCCATCTGCAGAGAGAGGCGAGAGGGAGAGAGCCAGGCAGCAGAAAACTCTCAGCCATATCAGATTTCTCACTTTTTCTATCTGCCTCTCTCAGAAAACTTTCTCTCTCTCTCTCTCACTTTCTCTCTCTTTAGCTCTCGCTCTCTCTCTCTCACTCTCTCTCTCACATGCCCCTCCTTTGTGTCTTCCTCTCCCGTTCACACTCTCACTTTCTCTGCCACTTTTCTCTCTCTCTCTCTCTCTCTCTCTCCTCCCTTCCCTCCCTCCCTACCTCCCTCCTCTCCTCTCCTCTCCTCTCCCTGTCTGTGATCCTTTCTGAGGCTCTGCTGAGACTTCCTCCTCCTCTGCAGCCCTATTCTCTTTTAACTCTACATCTGAAGTTTATATGTAAACATGGCCTGGTGTAAACAGGCTGCAAAAGTTGGCCAACCCTCCTCCAGTCCGAACCCTGTTTATTTTACTCTCCTCACTCTAAAGAGTGGGTCAGTCTCTCTGAGGAGGAATGTCACCTTAACTTAGACTCCAGATTCCTGGATGGGATGTGATTGCGTTACATGCAGAGCTGTTTTTGTTTATTTTGGCTCTGACTAAATCTTCTCACATGCAGATTTTAGGGTCCAATCAATGAGCTGCTCGGCTCTCCTTTGGTGAACATGCTGTGCCTGCAAATGGCCTTTTCCATTCATCTACCTCCATATAAAGCTTTTTAAAATCCATTCACTAAGTGAGGTCAGCTGAGGACATGCTGCTGCTGCTGCTGCTGCTGCTGCTCAACTCTCTCTGAAAGTTTCTGCACTGTGCTTTTGGTTTTGGTAGAGACTCACTATTATTCTGTATTCAGATCTTTGCAGATGCTCCCGAGTCGTGCCCTCTTTCACCTGCTGCCCTGGTATTCTCTGCCCCCACGAGGCAGTCCAAGAAGCTGAGTCGGCAGAATCGGCCCCTGGCTGTCTACAACCCACAAGCCCTAGACATTCAGAATGGTAAGACAAGCTCACATCTGTATGCTTCACATCTCTGTGGCATATGGTTGAAGTTCCCCTGGACTCAAAATAGATTTCCTCTCTGCACCTGTCTTACATTGATTGTCATCTTTATGTCAGGACGTAGACATCCATAAAACGAAAGCATCAGTTTTTAAGTATTGTAAATATTACTTTAGAGTTTGTCATCAGAATGATCATTCTGAGGAATAAAAACTGGTTCAAACCAAATCTGGATCTGGATTCACTTATCATTGCCTCATAGCAGTGTGTAAAGATAACACACTAAACTTATCCACCTTCTTTCACAGTCATACTATGAAGATCAATCGGCATCTTTGTTGTTTACTTAAAAATTGTTTAAAATCCACTTCCTTTTTTGCTCGAATTTATCACCTGAACTGGTGATCCTGTTTCCTCCAGTGATCTTTGGCCAGTCAAATCCCTCCCCCCTTGATGCAAAAAAATCTAAATCTGCTTACCAGATTGCCTCCTTTAACCTCCCTCGCACCAGCTTTTACCCCGGGGTATTTTAATATCAGGGATGAAAGGCATAATCCCTTTTTAAACTTTGTGTCTTTTATATAAGTCCCACATAATGGTATTTAAAGTACTTTGTCTCAGCATTCAGCGGGTAAAAGTGATTTTAAGGTTGATGAAATGGAAAAAGATACCAAAGCGTCTCAGTATGCAAGTCTTCCTGTGACACTATGTGTTAAATAACCCCGCAGAGGTGTCACAATGTTTGCAGCAGCAGGTTCGAGTGATAAGTTGCTGCAGGGACATCACTAAGAGCAACTCCTTCTGTTCTGTCACAATTTTACTTGATACATTGTAATATTAAAACATCAATTATGTCTGTTCCACATTTTGAAATGTATAAAAAGATTGAGTTTAGTCAGGAAAGGACAATAAAATAAATTAGACGGACAATTAGCAGTGAGTGATTAGGATGTCAGTGAAACATTACGACAGTGACAGATGTGACTTTTCTAACAAATACTGGAGTCATTTAAAAAAACCAACAAAGTCACTTAGCAAAGAGGAGTACAAACATCGTAGCTTCTAATGTCATTCTAAAGAGACACATCTGTAAGTGAGCAAAGTGTTTCTAACAAGCTGCTTTAAAATCACATTGAAACCCACTTAACATGAATGAGTTTATTCAATCTCACCCAACTGTTGCTCCTTTGCAAACGAGAAAATCATCATTATTTCCCTTGATTCATGAAAATTGAAGCTCCAGATTTACTTAATCTGAGCAAGATTCCAATTAAAGATTAGAGATGGGAATTAATACGTTTTTATCGATATCAGTGCCATTATCAATTTAATTCTTTAACGATTCCCTTCTCAATGACTTTCTTCAATTTAAAAAAGAGTAGACTATAGATTTTTACCGTTGACCTAAAATTTTATTGAGTCTCTGATAACAGAAAAATATGTTTGCCACCTTCAAGTGAGTCTAAGAATAATCAAACGCTGAACTACTTGTACAGCATTTACTTCGGTCAGTATTAAGTCAAATTACGGTGACCATATTCTGGATCCCCCAAAAAGAGGACACTACTACGAGCAAAATTTTGAGGGCTTTTCAGGTCGGGTCAAGTGTTTTTACACGCTTCTAACTCAGTTAGTCCACGCTACTCAAACTCAAAACTTCCGTACAAAACCTGTTGTTGTCTTTTTTAGTAAAATGAAGCCACGCTTTAGATAGTTTCTGCCTACTTTTTGTACCATCCACCATGTTTTTTCCTCTAGTTCGCGTAGATCTGCACTCGCGATTCCGTTTTTCTAGGCACCCAGAAGAAAGGAATCTTTAGGATAAAATGTAAATGATGTTGATGGATTGAACCATTTGGAGCCAGTTCTCAACAAGAGCCGGTTCTTGATTTCCATCCATATTAAAAACAGTTAAGAATTACTGTGTGCATGATCAGGGCATTGATATTCATTCAGTTAAAAATCACTGGTAACATACTGTATACCAATCAGCCAGAAGGTTGTGTTCACCATCATGTAAAGTCAATAAAACTGAAGATCACTTGTTGGCTAGTGGGATATGTTAGACTGAATCTTGTCTTCAGACTTGATGGGTTGGAAGCCAGACAAACTGTAGTGTCTTAGATAGAGAGCAACTTTGACAAAGGACAAATTGTGATGTCGAGGTGGCTGGGTCAGCGCATCTCTAAAACTGCAGCTCCTCTTGGGTGTTCAGGTCTGCAGTTGTTTGCACCTATCAAATGAGATTAAAGGAAGGAAAAGCAGTGAACTGGCAGCAAGGTCATAGACAGCCTAGGCTCACTGATACTTGTGGGCAGCAAAGGATGTGGTCCCAACCAACTGAAGAGTTACAGGAGCTCCAGCTGCTGAAACAGCTAATGCTGGTTCATGTGAAAAGGCGTCACAGTTTAATGCATATGGGGAATGTAAAGGTCTGATGTCAACTCCTGTCCACAAGCTGAAAGCATCTAAAATAGGAGCATGAGCATTAAAAATGGATCACAGAGCAACAAAGGTGACCTGGAGGAACACAACGGTGTTGACTTGGTATGCATATTTAGATCTCAGTCCAACCAGGCGTGGTATTATTGGTTGTCCAGGTATGTGCCGAACAACCAAATCCAATTCACGGAGGCTCATCCTTACAGCTTACACATTAGAGAACCTTTTTGGCACCAGATTGCCACAGCATACCTCCAGAGATCTGAGTCCATGTCTCTTCAGGTCCAGTAGTGATTGAGTTCATGTCTAAACTCACTAATAACAAATGCTTTTATTTGATCTAATATCATCTCTGCAGTCATGGTCAAATGGCCCCTTTTGGTCTAAGAGCTTTGATATATGTTTTCTGGGGAAAACAGAAGAAATTTTCCAAAAGAAAAACTTCATTTTGACATTTGCTTCTGTTCTTCTTCTTCTGTCTCCCTAATGTATGATCTTTACTTGACAGTAAAATTGAAATAAAATAGCTCCAGGCTCTCTTGTGTTTCCTAGGTTTCTGTCTATAACTGAGGTTGTGTACTATTATGAAAAATACAAACTAGTCTTGCCTGTTTTGACAGCAGTTTGATTTTAAACTCCTCTGTCGATGCAGCGTTGCCTTACGTATTGATGAATTATTTAGCTGGTTTGTCAAGCAAGCTTTCATCAGAGAGCCAGACGAGGCTGAAACTACATAGTAGAGTGTAATTAATGTAAAGATCTTGATAATTGAAATAAACACTGTTTTTTTTTTTCTCTCTTATCTTAGTACCAGCAGTGGGAGACGGCTCCAGCATAGCTACAGATGAGACTTCACTGGGCAGCAATGAGTCTATGTCCTCTCAGTCATCATCGGCCTCTGCCTCAGAGACTTCGACAGAGAGGAGTGACCATGCACCGCTGAAAAGCAGCCTCAGCGCAGGCAGCAACTCTGGGTGAGTCTACACTGAATTTCAAATATGTGACTGTGCACCACTAAAAAATGAAGGTCATGGAGGACGAGGGAATAGACCAAAGGGGAAAAAAGTAATAAATATGGTTTAAATTTGGAAGAGGACAATGTTTCATCTGTAGGCTGCAAATGAAGGTGAAGTGACTGAAATATTAAATGCAGTATTTCATTCCACATTTTGATATCTGCAGTTAGTTTGAAGAACATCACAGATGAACAGTCTAACCGATCAGTTTGTTTGATTTAAATGTGTTGTGATAAACTGTTTTGCAGTCACAATGCACTACTTCATTTATGCCTGATGAGTGTCGCTCGGATGTGGGTGGCATTTAACAGGTTGAGGACGAAGCTACATATCTGTGGTTTCAATCTTATTCATTGTCATTACAAAGGCTGACATTTTTTGCAGCATGAACAACACATTTAACTTTTTTTATGGCTGTGTTACAATTATGGTGAATACCACCCCAAATCCCAACAGCAAGGTAGTTGATTGAACACACATTTTAATGGTTTGCAGTTGATATTTTTCTAATGCTAGAGGACATTTAGTGAGAAAATATGTGCAAAATTGCATTTTTGAGTTTTTCTGCCTTCAAATTGCTGTGAATCTTTCACAGACCCAAATGGCAGGTTCAGAGTGTTCAGTTCAGTGAGATTTCCTATGTAGCAAATCGAAGCCCCACCCCTGGAACCCTGGAATCTGCTATGCAGGCCACACTTGGAAAGTAAAGGACGATAGCGGAACAAGCGTGTGCGTTAGCAGATTGTAATGCTCGTAAGAAAGCTAATTATGATATCAGCTTTCATCGTGTCCCTAAAGACATTTGTGTCAAAGAGCTGAACAGCTCCTATGTTATCCGGCACTTCTACTACACCAGCAATGTTAGGCTGCAAGCTAATATGAAGACGAGTGTGCAGAGCAGCGCTGTCTCCGCCCACGACTCAGGTGAATTGCTAATGAGCTACTGGAGCTCTGCAGAAGAAAAGCCCTTGAAAATGACACAGGTAACATGATTTTGGCTAAAAACTTCATAATCACAATTTAAAGACCACTGAGAACACTTTGAATAGTTAAAAAAAAAAAAGGTTGGAGTGGGAATTTTATGCTTAGCAAAATATGCAGGTTTGGAGCAACATGTGCTGCCATCTAGACATCCTTGCATAACATGGCAAGAAGATGATGAATCACATTTTGCAGGTATTGTACAGTAATAGTCCTCAGCGGAAGAGTATGAATGCTAAACTGGTCTTTATGCAGTCACCCTTTAAAAACACTTAATGAAATAAAAATTATATCTAAGGAGACCCTAAACTGTAGGAATGGAACAACATTTCACTCTGGAAACTCCAGAAACTCCTTGGTTCCCAGTCGTTTACGGAGTGTTAGTAAAAGGTCAACATGCCTGGTCCCAAATTTTTAGAAATGTGTTGCTGGCAAAGTAAAAATTCGCATCTGTATATTATAAGAAAATAAAATTTGAATCATTCAGTTAGTCTCGTTTTGGTACAATTTATGTAATCGTGTTGGTTTATTGAGCTAATTTCTAGTCAGTGGTTTTGTTGCTGAATGTGACTCTGAGAGCTGTGCTGGTCATTCTACTCACCCAGCGAGTCTGATTTAGCTATTTTGATTTAGCTGCCTGTTATGGTCCTATTGCAGCCGACAAGAGTGGCTCTAAAATGCCGCAGACTCCTGTAAGAGCCTGAAAGTTTGAGTCTTAAATCTTGCTCCCAGTTCCCCAGGAGGTTATTACATCGGAGCTGCAGCCACACTTCGTCAGGGGTTGGCTTGTTGTGTGCATTCTGTAGTATTATTACCTATAACTCCCACTAATGTTTATTCAATCAGTCATATATGAATTGTTTGTGCTTCTATCTCTTTCTTTTGTACTAAAATGAAGCTGCGAGATTTTGTTACCTCGCCTCCATTTAGTTTCCCTCTGTCTTCACTCTGTCTTTTAAGTCCTTGGTCCTTTTTGTTGTTTCCAGCCTATGCCTTGTCTTGAATGCTGATGTGTGAGGGATGAATTATTGGGTTATGCTGCAGATGTTAGACGCTCTGCTGTGTCATGTCTACAGATTCACCTTGAAATAGACTTTTTCCTCATCCACTGTCCCCTTCTCCCTTCTCCATCAGCTGAAAAGAGCCGTAAAATACAAACAAATCCACTTCACAGCCTGACAGAGGACACTGTGATTCCTCTCCAACTTTGACCCCTGTGGGTGTGTGCCCACCTGTGTGTAGGCATGTTTGTATCAAGTGTTTTCTCTAAGTTTCTGCTTCACATAGACAAGGCTCTATATAACTTATGTAACCGCCAGTTTTTTTTACCCCTGCGGGTATTTTTTTTCCTGCTTTCCCACATATGTGGCATCATGTTGGAGGACGGAAGGAGCAAGCAGGAGGAGGTCGTAAATCTAAGCTCTTATTTGTTTGGGAGACAGGTGGCCGAGCGTTGGCCGTGTAAATCCTATTGACATTGGGGAGATATTCATCTTGTTTACCCTTATAGCCGCAGCCGCTGTCCCTTTATGAAGACTTGCGCCATATGTCACAGGGTGTCGCCCTGGCTTTGTTCACTCATAAATCTTAGCATGTGAGATAGCGGAGACCTGTTAGCACAGCACCTTTGGCCTGGAACCCAGGGATTCAGCTTCTGTTCTGGCTAAAAAGAGGAGTCGAGGTGGCAATTGCTGTATTACTTTTAGCCACTGTTAGAAATCTGCACTCTGGTGAGCTCAAAACTGCACCTGGAAGAGGAAAACGGCAAAAATAAGCCGGTTTCCTGCAGAAAAGGCTGCAGCAAATTCTCCCTGGTCATACACAAATGCATCCTGACTCATGCAGTATCATGCAATAACTCTTGGTGGACCGTGGCGTGATTTATCATCTCCGTCATTTTCGATGTCTTGCCTCATTTCTCCTTTTCTCCCTAAAAACTGCGTCTCCCTGTGGTTCTGCTGCCCAGAGTCCTTCCCAATGAGGTTACATGTTTTAGCCACTTTTTTTCCCTTCCTCCCCTGCCTGTCCTTCAGCCCTCCATGCCTCTCTCTGTCTGACAGCTGTGCCTCATAAACTAGTGGATCAGAGTTTATTTCCTGCCCACCCAAACTTGAGGTGGCTGGGCGGGCAGCTTGGCTGTAGGTTTGATCCTGCTTTTCAGCTAGAAACACTTCAAAATCCTACCGCTGCACTTCTCTTCAGTAGAAAGAGAGTCGATAGTCTTTTTTGTCTGCATGTTAACTCCTCGCCAGGATCATCGAGGCCTGGATGCTGCAGGGGGAAATTCCTGCAGTAATGAGAAGCAGCGGTTCACTTCTGTTGATGGATTTTTCCCTGCTACTAACCTGGCAGTGTGAGATAATGCAATGATGCTGATGGTTAAAATAATAAACTGAGTGACCTCCTGTTGCATTTCATTTGGATATTTATTGCTTTATATTGTATGCCTCACAACTTTCCACTTAATATACCGAACAACTTCAGAAATAATACAAACAGAGTGGGATTTTCACATATAGTGCATTTTCACAAGAGTCCCCATTTACTGTATTTAATCATATTTAGAGGAGAAGCTTAGCTAGGCCTGTGATGGGTAAAAACAAGGGATGAGTAATTCAAAGCTTGATGCTATTTTTGTCAAAGAGAAATGGCAAACGATTTCCCTCGGTTTGGCTTAGCTATAATTGTGAAAGCAATTTTGGGATGAATCCATTTACCTCTGGTACATTAAGCAAGTTTCTAGGGCAGCCGTGTGGCATTCACCGACTCTCTCTATCAATTTATCCTAGCATCATTTCAGTATGTTTATTTTGGAGGCATTCACTGCCCTTTATAATCCTCTTGGAGCTAAAATAAGGAGGCAAATATGTGGCTTCTCTCAGATGTATTTGAATGCACTCTCTGTTATTTCTTCTATTGTACTTTTATTGTATTTTGTACCTGGTTTGGTTCACCTGTAGGCGGCTGAGGTGTTGTGGCTACTCTGCTTTCCCTTATCTTGGCTGTGACCCAGGCAGACAGTGGTTGTGCCTGGGTCCAGGTTAATGAGTGGATTTGCTGCACTGCAGCGCACTGTCCCCCCATGCTGATGTGGAGCAGCTGAGCACCACAGTGGCCCCACACTGCTGCAGAGCTATAAATCACCCACAGTCAGGCCAGGCCCCGAACGGAACAGCCACCGCTGGGGATGGACAAGCAAACTGAGAGAGAGGCTGGGGAACAAATGGAAGGAGGAAGTGATACAGAATGGGGAATAAAAGCAAGAACCTGGTACTGTGTGTCCACCTCCAACTATGTCCACATAAGATCCCCTACCATGCCCCCCCTCTCTCTTACAGCCAACTTGCTCTCTCACTTCCATCAGTGCCAATGTAACCACTATTCACAACATCCTCTCAACCTCCAGCCCCTCCCCAGCTGCTCCCTCTAATTGCTTTTATTAACGTCTCTATGGGAGCGGCAGCTAGGAGCAATTTGCTCATTATGTACTGTATTAGCACCGGCCCTGGGGCAGGCATGGAACACAGAGGGATGCCTGGCTTACACTCCAGCTCTCCTCGCCTCCACTCTGCCTTTACCAGGACCCCTGCCTTTATCCCTCAGGTCGCCCATAGACTCATTGGCCCTTGAACCAGCCAGGGTAGCACACATCCACCTCTGCTAAAGATCAAGCTGATGGTTAGAGAGCTAAGAATTATGGTTGTCATGACACATATTGAAGTCTCATACATTACTTTGAGCTTTAGATGCGCGGGGTGACAAATTGAGAAATTGACATAAATTGGGTCACCATAAGCCTCCAGAAGGGATTAATTTCACCTTGGCGTACAATCTTCACAAAAACTTGGAACAAGACCATTATTTTCCCAAAACATATTCACTCATTTATTGTTTTGTGGGGGATGATGGGGCTGTGGGCTGTCAAATATGTCTCACCAAAATAACTCATCAATGAGTCAAGACCATGACATCTGATACATGTCAGTGACAGGCTTATCGAAGTTTTCAGAGACCCACTGTGTTTATTTTCTATTTTACTGAATTAATTTCCCATAGTTTGTCCTCTATCTTGTCACATGCATTGAAAGTAAGCACTCATTGGTGGTCAGCTGTATGGTCCTGGCTCTTACAGCCCACGTGTTGATATTTTCTTGGGCAAAAACATTGAACTCCAGAGGGTGTAGTAGCCATGATAGGTCAGTACAAGTTAGCAGCCCCGCAGCAGGTGATACATTTTTTTCTGTAGGACGGTAGGGGAAAGTCCCGCCTCCTTTGTCTCTGATTGGCTAGAGAAGTTGGAAACGTCATCACACGCTCAAGCCAAACGCGGGCTGTCAGCTCTGTACATAGAACGCAACACGACGGAACATTATCGCACTTCTGAATCTCCTAACCCTAACCCTAACCCGACAGACGATGACGTTTCACAGCCATAAGGAATAACCAATTGGGGCCCAGCACTTCTAGCCAATCAGAGGCGAAGGCGGGCGGGACCTTCCCCTTCTATCCTACAAAAAAAATTTAACGCCCCGCACTTCGCAAAGCAGCCTGTCCCAAAGTTATGCCAACGGGTCAAGTCTGCATGTAGCGTAAAAGGGCTTTTAAGGGGTCAAAAGATAAGAAAAGCGCTATGCTAGACATTTTAAGAAGCTACTTGTGTCTTAGAATTTTAAATTCAGGCTGGCCAACTTGTCTAAAAAGTTAAAAAATGCTCAAAAAAAGTCCAAATTTAGCACATTTATTTGACATCAGTATACTTTTGCTCCACCGAGCCGCGTTGTCCCCCACCGCAGAAGGGTTTGCCATCAGAGCCGGAAACCCCCCCCCCCAATAGTCGATTTTTGGTCGAATATTTCAGGGTTTTTGTCGACCTAGAATTTCTTTGGTTGATTACAGCCCTACAGAAAACAATGTCAAATGAGTTTGCAGAGTGTGGCTAACATTAGTAGAGCTAGCACCTACAGCCTTTATTCTTCCTTACAGGGTTTTATGCCAATTTACCAAGCCACGTGTCCACAATTTTTAGATCAAAATCCTGCCAAACCACTCCGCTCTGTGAGTCACTGTGCTACAGATTAGACACAACAAATGACTGGCATTTTGGCCCCAAAACAGTCAGCAAAGAAGCCAGGGTGACAACGATTGCTTAACGAGTACATCCCTATTAGTAGTGAAGTTGTCAGTAAAACTCAAGCATCCATGGAATTCCTTATATTGGCATCTCTCTTTGCTCAAGTTTGAATCACAATTTCACTTTTGGCTGTCCTCTGAAAAGAAAAGCAAACAACTGGCATGTACATGAATATTCCTCCAGAATTCAAACTTCATGTTTTATTCATGACTGTATGCGTCCGTCAGTCTGAATCCTCTCCCTCTAAGTTTTATAGACACAGACAGTCCAGATGACTTAACACAGAGAATTTCATGCTGTCTGTTTATTTTGGACATTTGACAAGTTAGTGTTAAAAACTGTCTCAGTCAAAATTTTGCCTGATAACAAAATAATAATGTTACTGTCGAGCCTCACTAATGGAGCGCAAGAACCCTCCAAACTGTGATCTAGAGGGCCGTATAAATGTCTTTTTATGACTTGAAGTATCAGACCTTGAGATAAATATATCAAAGTAGCTCTTGATGCTTACCTCTCAGGTTAATACGGGCTGCTGTTGAGAGTCAGTGCTTTTCAAGAGGCTTTTTGGCAGATAGAGTGGAATAGATAATTTCCTTTATGAAGCCTGTTGTCCTCGGTATTGGGATAAGTGTCCAGCCTGCTCACGATGAGAATTCAGAGGTCAAGTCTCTTCTGTTTTAACTGTCTCTCAATAAAGTGAAATAGGATAGCATTTTTTCCCCATCATAAACAAGTTTTATATGAATACACGTGTAAGTTAACTATTTAATGTTTCACCAATCCTCTGCTGCATGATCATATTCATCAACATGTATGACTTCAGTGGACTTGAGGTTCCCATGGTTGAATCATTCAACTTGACGTGATTTCTTATGACATTACATCAGGAGTCAGCCGCAGAGATTTATGGAGGTGTTGAAATCTTAACACTGAAAAGCTGCACACCCCATTTTAATTGTAGGTTTGAATCTCTTCTCACAAGACAAGACTGCTTTATTTATATATCTGTATCGCATTTCAAACACTGAGCTTAGTTTAGAGAAGAGGTATAATGCTTTTTTTTTTCAGATTCTATACTTTCTTTCTGATACCTCTTTAATATCTTTACATGATTTTCAGATTAAAAAAGCCTTGTGTTTCTCACTCTGGTGTATTTGAATATCATTATTTCAGCCTCTGTTTGAAATGCTTCGGTTTAGCTGCCATGTCTGCCGTCCCCTTCCATGAACCTACTTCCTTCTGATTGGACGAGGATAGAGGACAGAGCTCGATATTCTGGCCCTGCCCCCTCTATTGTAGTCGATCAAGTTGTGCAGCGGAACAGCGATACCCACATAGACTGTATATTTAATGGACGCCGTCTGCCTTCTCGCTGGGTGAAGCCACCGCGAGAACAGCACCCTCTGGTGACGGGCTGCAGTATAGGTCATAAATCCCGCCTCCTCCAGCAATCCCTATGGAGCAGTGGACAAACTTTAGAAATTTATTGTACAGAATATAAATTTTTCTTCCCCCTAGTTGCGATGTTGACATGTAGTTACTGTAAGACTGGTTTGTTTGTCCTCCTTTTTTTCTGTACAGCTCCGTTTTTAAAAGTTATTAGGGGGTTCATATTTTCTATGATTGACACTTGATCTGAGCGTTCAAAGATTGCGTAGCTCACCTGGGGGATACGCTGTTTGTGCCGAGCGTCATCACAGCGACTTTCCCCATTAATGCGTACAACGCTGCTGCACAAAGTTGGTTTCAGGAAGTGCAGAAAAAACCCAGAAATACCGAGAGCTTTTTGGCTTCAAATCCGTATACTAGCAGAAAGTGGAACCAAGTTGTCCATAGTATATACAGTCTATGGTTACCCTGCACTGCTGTGGGTGTCACCTCACATGCAGGCCATTCAATACAGCACAGATGTACTAGTAAGGTGAGCCTTTTGCGATGACGTCTGTTGTTTGGTGAGTCTCATAGCATATACAAATAATATGGACACCAGACATTGTAACTCTGAAGTTTCTGTTGTAAATATGGGAAAGAAAGCATACTACCTCCTACAATAATACCTTCTACATAAGCATAGACATCTCAAGGTTGGATTTAAAGTCAATGAGACAAAAAAAACCTAATTAAATAGATTAAAACAGAATGAAATAATTGTTAAAAATCTTGACTTTCTGGGATGCTGCTTCGACTCAGTTGGTAGAGTCATGAACTGTCATTATTGTATCTTGACTCCTGGTCTTGGCCTTATTTTGTGCATGCCAACTCATATTTACTATCACTCCTCTCCTGTCTCATGAAAGGTAAAAAGCCAAAAAAAAAAAAAACCTTCATAAGAGCTTGTCTTTTTTCATTTTTCTATCTGAAAGACATAGTGGCAGCGGGGGAAACAAACACCATGCTTGGGTCTTCTGGGCAAACAAACCAAAGAAACACTATTTTCAGTCAACAGACACCACCTTTTGATACATGGGGACTTGGTGTGTTTTATCTTCAGGGCCCCCGCAGCAGGAGCCTCCTGGTCCTCTGCTGGAGCTCCAGGAGAGACTGAACCTGCTGCCACCACAGCTGCTTCTGACAAAGAAAAGCCTGAGGAGAGGTAAGAAAGAGTCCCTCTCTTTGAATCCTTTGCCTGTTTTCAGCTCACTCCTTTTTTCCCACTGTCTTTATTTCTGTTTGGTTAAGTCATTTCACACTACATACTGGTTAATGTCACACTTTCCTATTTTGCACTCTGGGTTTTCACTCACTTGCTCTATCACTAGCTTGCTCGTTTTATCTTGCCTGTTCACTCAACAGCATCCTCACTCGTCTATCATCCACTTGCAGTTCTGCACAAAAATATTTCCTGACTGTCATGTATTTTCATCCATAATTTGGTTTACCTTCGAGGCATCTCGATACAACAAAAGTATTGGTTGGCGCAGTGGTAGCAGCCTTTATGTCCAACCCTGGATCCACACATGGCTATCAAAAGGGTCCGGGTGGGATTGTGTAGTTTGCCCATTTGACTCTCATCCCAAATGATGAATTCATTTTTTAGAGCTTTCAGGCCTTAGCGAGGAAATCACATACAGTCATTCTATGGGCCATTCATTTTTGATAAACACAAACCATTATTTTTTCCAAATGCATTTTTTTTTTTTTCTGTGAGGGTGCCTTCCAAAAATTTTGATTCCAGGAACTCAGCTTACATTGTTGTATTGACAACTCTGTGACCACAAACTTTTTTTTTCATTCAGTTTGTATATCCTCTTCCTCCTCTCTCATCCTACATTGTTGATGCTCTGCAGAAAGAATATGAAATATTTATCAGGGCGTAGTGTGTTGAAGGTACAACTTCTACATGGTAATGTTGCTGGCATTCCAGATAACGGTTTTACAATTGTGGGCAAAACAACCTCTCTGTGAAAACACTTTTATTATGTTTTCTTCGGGAAAGCATTGGCGTAAATACGTTTTTTCCCTAACCTTTGCAGAGTTGTGAATATGGTTTCTTTGATGGCGCTCCTTTACATCAAACTGATTCAAAATGTGGCTTCCAAGCTCACAAATGTGAATTTAAAAGCTGAAGCGCGGTGCAGAGAGATTTCTTTTCTACTGCAGTTTGTGTGTAAACCTGCTTTAGAATCCCCCCGCCACTTTTTAATTATCTCACCATTGATGGTTGTCTGCTGTGCAGGACCTGATGTGTGCTCGCCTATTTGGCTGTACAAACCTGCTACAAACAGCGCTGCATCATATTGTGTTTGTGCATGCACACGGGTGCATGTGGGTGTGTTTTGACTCGCTCACAGTTCTGTCTAGACGGGAGATAGTGCAAAACAAGAGTGTGTAGTGGCCCCAGCTCCTCTCTTGGTACTTTTTGCTTATTTTTCAGCCTGGCCCATTTCTGCTGTTTCAGGCTAGTGAGTGAATGAACAAGCAGGCCCCAGGCCCAGATTGAACTGTGCGGTAATCCTCCCCAAAGCTCCGCCAGCTCACTGATTGCCTTCATTTTTCAGTGTCACCAGCAGGAAAGCCAAGGCAGTGTACCCATGTGAGGCTGAGCACGACTCTGAGCTCTCCTTCCAGGTCGGTGCAATATTCAACGCCGGTAAGTGTTATCACCTACACCAGTCGCTCACTCAGAACCAGCCCTGGCATATTGGATTTGGAGGAAAACCGAACACCCAATCTGATCTTCAATCGAACACAGAGATGAGCCGAGGAGAGGGAGAACGGGAAAGTGTTGGCGGGGGCGAGGGGAAAAGGAGGAGGGGGGGGGTTGGAGGCACAGATTTGCTCTTCAGTGAGTCTGGAAGAGGCTCCGCTGAGCTTTAATCATTCTCAGAGGAAATGAGGATTTTGTAGCTCCTATTTTTTTTGTCCGGAACACTTTTTTTTTTTTCGGTGAGACTCATACACTATAGAGATACTATAGTCCATACAGGGAAACGCACGTCTCTCCCAGAGTGCTTCACAGTGCGTAGGTCATATGGCAGGTTTTTAATTTTTTTTACGCACATTAAAAAGGTTAGATCTGATCTTTGTGTTTTTCCCATCAAAGATATAAGTGTTGTAGTTCATGTGTTGTGGTGTTGTCGGGTAGTCCTGCCTAATGTGAAGCTGTGTATGGTCGTTTTTATTATTTCCCGTCTACAGACCAGACTACAGTCTTTGCCACAGTGTCAACAGTCAGAGGTGAAATGTACTGGGTCCCCTTTCTAGGGTTGGTTTGATGTGACGCGTGTTATCAGGTTGTCCTGGTTGCTTTCGGTATTGAGAATAAATCACAGTTTTTGACCTATCAGAATGTAATGCGGTTGTACACGAGGATGGATGCTTACAGAAGGTTGATTTCTAACTCCTGAATTTGAATTGATATCAGCATTAATGTGGATATAAAATACCTGAAGTATCTAAAAATGGATAGGATTATATACTACATCCCTTTCTTTTTTTAATGAAATTTCATTTTGCACTTACCTTTTTTGTTTGAAAAAAGAGCCACTTAATGGTGATGTATGTTTCTGTTATACCACAGCTTGAATATCCACTTCCATTCAAAGTTTGGCTGTGTTGAGTGTAACTCTGCTTTCATTCTGTGCCCTTGCACTCTTACACAATGAGGTTCTCATTAACAAAACATCTCTACCAGTTCAGAACTCTCGATAATTTTCACTTTTCTGATTTTAATGTATTTTTAGTCTGAACTATGTGCATAACAAAAGGTCAAGAGGTTCGAATACTTGGGTGAGCAGCTGTGCATACAGTTTGTCTTGTGAAAAAAAAAAAAAAAATCAACATATGTTGATTTTTTTTCCATACCATTAAAAGTTCAAGACCAAGTTTTCATTGCTCGCTTATTTGGATGAGAAAATGTAGTAACTTGAATGTGTATATTAAGGTGCATTCACAGACGGGATCTATTTAATAGTAATCTAGCAGACTCTATACATGGAATACTCAGTGATAAATATACTTAATATACGCAGTTTCTTAATTTTAACTTGAAAAAAACAACAAAAGGTGATAAAAAAATTCTTTTTTTTTAAGGGGAGAGTTCGCCAAGAATGGATGGCAGCTGCTAGTTGTGCTAAAAAGTTGCAGATCATTTTTACGTCTCAAGATCCAATGCAAAAAAAGCAAATAGGCAAATGATTTTGGAGCCTTGTGAAGTGGCAGCATTTCCACTCTCTGCTGTGATGTGCACTCTTATCTCAATTGCCCTAAATTCTATCCATATATATGATGAGCAGGATGGAGAGGGGGGTCCTTACCAGTCTAAGGAGGGTCGATTAAAGCTAGAAGTGATACATATTGTCCCGGTATTTGCAGCTTACTTTCTGCAATTTGCAGCTTATTAATGTTCTCAGCTTGTTTGTGGTGCACTTCGCCCTTTTCCTGTGCTTTGTGGATCAGGTGTTCCTATTGGTTTACAGGCCGTAAAAGCAATGCAAGTAATATGTGACTCAGGCTGTGCGTGGATGAAAATAGTCATGGTGCTTTTTTTTTAATGGTTTTTTTTTATTTTTTGCTTGTCAGGAAAATTTTTTGATTGTTGGGGGGTTCTGTGTTTTGACTGATGAATAAAAAATATAGAATTAATGAACAAAAACCTATTTTTGGCAGTAAATATCCTTAAATGGCCTTAAAAAAAATAATCCCACAGCAGCAGGCCATCGAATTTGAAGTTTGTTATTGAGCTCATACATATGTATTTACGGGTGTAGGGATCTTGTTTCTCTACTTAACATACACAGTATTCAAGTGTTCTCCTTCTGGGAGAAAACGAGAAACAACAATAAAAGACATTAATAACAGAGAATGAGTACTTTTCTGCTGGTTGCTCTTCCATTAGCCGTCCTGTCAGTCACTTTGAGGATAAAAGCTGTTTCACATCCTGTTTACTGAAGTTTGGTGATGGGTCAAATCTTTGGTAAACTCAAGGGCTTTTAAGTTCTTTGACACAAGCAGAGTGCTGCAACACATTTCTTTGTGACCCGAGGCAGGCTGGGAAATGTTTAAAGAAGAAATCTGAAGTATTAAATGAGTTTCATCTTGACTTTGGCCAGAGAAATTTTCCCTGACAATTTATTAATGGGAGTATTGACCAGCAAAAGCAAGAAAAGCATTTAAATTTGCAGACAGTTAAGAGTTTTAGGAGGAATTTCCTAAAGCCAGGAGGCATGGCACGCTTTGACACATCTGCTCAATTCTTGATGTAAAATTATGGATAAAATAAATCACAGTAGGTTAACCTACGCTTGCCTGCTTACTATTTTCCCTTCAGACCTGTTCTTTGTTAAATCATAGACTTTTTCTGCATCCTCTTTTACCCTTCCCTGATCCACCCTGTGGTGTTGACCCTTCTGCTGACGCTGTGTCCTCTCCCACAGTGACCCAGTCCAGGGAGCCGGGCTGGCTTGAGGGCGAGCTGGAGGGGAAGAGGGGCCTTATCCCTGAAAACTACGTGGAGATCCTGTAGCCCTGACAATGGAAATATTTATGGACTATTTATCACCTTCTCCAGGAAAAATGCACCATGATGACAATCACACTAGAGCCTTGTTCCTCCAAACCCCTGAATCCTCCCAAAAAAAGTGACTGTAAGAAATGACTGCTGGATTTCTGATACCAAAAGTTAGCATTCTGGTTGCAAGTAGATCATTTGTTGCATGTTTCTTTAGTTTGGTAGAGAATCCACATGAATTTCAGCATATAAAACTAAAAATGGGATTGCACTTATGATATTCTGCTGTTAACAAAGATGCTGTAGCCTCCAAATATCCAGGTCACTTTGTTAGCAGCTCCAAAGGATGAGTGTCGCTCTTTAAGGCCAGTTATACATGGTATCCATGAGCTCCCGAGTTGAAGAATGATCCTCAGAAACTGTAGGGATCATTGAATGTCAGAACTCAAGCTTTCTTCAACACGTTTTACGACAAACCCCGCAGCTTTAAACCCTGTTTGACAATGATGCACAGTTTGTCGTTAGCTTTAGAAAGAGACTGTACCTACCGTGCCTTAAACCACCAGCTAGTGTCATTGTATGTACGGGTAAGTAGGGAAGTGGAGTGTTACTGCTTTAGCTTTGAAAACATTTTTCTTTCATTTTAAAAATATTTGAATACTCTGAATGAGGCACATGCTATTGTAATTTTTATTTAATTGGCACATTGATTGCATGACTTTTATTCATTTTTGATATACTCTTTACTTTTATTGTTCTTGGTGCACTCCTTTGCTGAAACACAGAAACGCCTCTTTGATGCTTGATGAACCTCTTGTGTTAAGCGTCAGACAAAGTCAGCAGAGGTATATATGAAAATGATTAATTATTCATACCAAGTGTTTTATTCCTGTTGAATGATCTGTTTTGTTTGTTTTTAGAGCTTATTTTTAACTATGTTCAGCTCTGAGCAGAGTAACAAAACACTCCGACAAAGCAGAAATTTTACGTTGTTTTTTTTTTTTTCTTCAGTGTTTTTAAATAATTGAGTTTAAATCCAAGCTTCTTTATTAATAAGAACACGAATGCAGTATTTCCAAGTATTTCAGAGTTTTACACCTGTTCAGCAGATATCTTATAACTATTCAAAGGGCAGTGTCTACCAAGTATGTTTTACAAGTCTCTGTCGAGTAAGGGACAGATTTGAAGTTTCACTGAAATCAGTTTTAGCATGTTTCACCTGTTCCTTTACAGTTCCTCATCCAGCTGTTCAACCAAACACCTTCATATGTCTGAGAGCTTTGATTTAGCAGACTGTTCATCTAATTTAAAGCATTGATTTACAACATTTGTAAAGGGCCTTGACTTCTTTCATTTTTATACCTAAAGGTATCCACTTGATCAATGTTAAACAAATAAAGATGTGTTTTTGTTCTTCACTGTGTTATGTATTCTTGCATGAAAATAAATGTGATAAAAGATCATTTTAATTTAACAGATTGGAGTTGTACTATATGTTGCGTTGTGTTATAATAAAAAAGGAGTAATTCATTTTCAACAAACGCACTGGGTAAATAAGATTTTCTGTTTACGAGACATGAATGTACATTATGAACCTAACACCTGAGCCTACTGTTGCAGAGGCAGACAGGCTTCTCAGTACTGCAGTCCTTGCCCGCTGCATGTAAACTGGGACAAGATTAGTCCAGATGAATTGTGTAGCTGAACAATGACCATAGCTTGACTTAGCAATATATAAAAGATGGGTGCAGCCCCATTGGTTTCTGAAGAGGCAACATGATGCCCAAAGATAACTGAAGCTATAGTAACAAAGCTGATTTAACTCAAATTTAAATAATGCTGTGTTCCAGTTGTACTCGGAAGTCGGAATATCCGAGCTCCGAGTCGGAAATTCATCTAGAACGCCCCCCTGAAGTTGGATTTCTGACTCGGATAGTCGGACAATCCTCACCAACCCCGACTTGATGAAAACATCATAATCCAAGATGGAAAAGCAGTGCATCATCAGTAAAGAGTAACAGTGAAAGCTCTTGTAATGTTTTATTTTTTAGCACTTCTGTTTTGGTTTTGTGAAACTAAATCAGTGGTATATGTTGTACTGCCCAACGTGTAACTGTGAACACAGCCATGGTGTTTGTGAAATACTGTGTTATGCGTCTTTCACAACTGGTATTGCTAACAACAACTAACGACCGCTGACATTGGCCAACAACAACTGACAACGGCTAACGACAGCTGACAACGAGTAACTGTAGGCGTCCATCTTAGTTTTCAGACTTGTTAACTGGAACGCCCTCATCTCGGGTGTAACGTCATTCCAAGCTCCGACTTCCTAGGTAACTGGAACGCAGCAGGAGTCTAACTACAGTCAAAGTTGGAGCTGAGACAGGCCATAAGCCTCCTGACAAACATCTGCTATGCATGCATAACTGGGGTATCCAGCATACAGGTATATGCTGGATACCCCAGTTATGCCAATACCAGTATATCTTTTAGTTCTTACACAATCAAAACTGATTAGCTCAAAATTTTCACCCCACCACACTAGTCCTGAATGGTAAAATGAGCTCAGTCTTTACATAAAAATGGTACCTGCATGTAAGCATGTTTATTTCTGCTGTAAAATGTGGCTTACGTGGGGAATTCCCTTACTTTTTGAACCAGCCTCCTGTGGACACTTTAAGAACTGCAGTTTTTTTGCACCCCTGCCCCGTTTTTATTTTTTATTTTTTTAGCACCTCTTGCTGTTAAGTTTATGCATTTGGTGATTAAATAAATATACATTTTTTAATTGTAAATGTTTTATTTACACTTTTAATTATCTTGACTTAAAATGTTTAAAAAAAAAGCCTTTTATTATGCAACTGGGAAGCACATAACTCTGATCCTCTCAGCTACACTTTGACATGTGTTGTGCCCTTTCCTACCAGATTACTGTTTTCCTTCCTTATCTCTCCTAAAGAAACAAAAAAATTTGATCATGTGACTTTCAGGATGATGTTATCAGTAAGAAACCACAAATATTTTGCACATAGTCTCATAGGAAACTAGGTGATGAGGTTAGGCTTTATTCTCCTTTGTATGCTGACCTCCAATGATCCATCTGAATCAAAGCTCAATTTTTCACTGAGGAAACACGCTCTTATCCACCTGTCTCCCTTATCTTTAACATCAGGGCCTCACATGTTAATTCTTGAACTACATCTTTATAATTAATATGAAAAATGCCCTTCAGACCAGTCTGTTTGGCCTCACTCACCAGCACCTCCAGTAAGTGTGCTGATGGCCCGTTTAGAAGCACAAACTGAAAGACATCATACTGCACCTCGATAACATCAGTGGTTGGAGCTGTGTTTCAGTGTCACAAAAATGTCCTTTTCCTCAGACCTGATGGTTACATAATGAAATGAGGCACAGCTAATGAGACGGGCAAAATATTCCCCCTCTATCAACCCCCACAACCCACCCCCGGGGGCTCTTCATCATCATCATCTTCCCCCTGCCAGAATACTGCTGAATCATATAGACATCCACCCGCCTGCCTCTCACTCTGCTTTGGACTGTCTGTCAGAAAGCATGCCATGTGGCTCTATCTGCCATCCTCTTCCTCCTGCCTACCTGTCTGTGTCTCAGGAGTATTTAAAACCCAAGCGTTGTCTCTGCTACCTTACTTCTTCCTCTTCCGCTGTTTTTCCAGTGCTCTAATAGTGATTTGTTACGCAACCAGTCAGCAACTCATATTTCTGAACTATTATTTCCCCCAAAACCTGAGAAGACGATGCATTAATCTGGGTGGGTCAGATTCATACTGAAGGCCTCCTTGCTGCCTGAGATTCCTGTGTCTCTGCATACATTATGCATCCCTGTCTCCTACTCTCGGATGATGTATGTGTAACTGTCAATTTAAACTCAATAAAGGTGTGTAAGGTGAATAAAAATCCAAATGGACGTTTTCATTTTTCATTTCCCAGAGCCCTGGCGGTGTGCCAGCTGTCCTCTGCCTCTCCATGACGCAGTGTCCTTCAGCCCCAAAACATTGTTCCTCACCATGACTCAGCTTAGATCAAAGCTTACAGCATTTTACCTTAAACTACGAGGAGGTGACGCAGCTCAGTGCTGCAAAAAAAAAAAGTCTCTGAAATACAAATTTGGTGCTAACTTCACATATTCATGTGTCTTCAGTCGGCTCTTTTAACAAATTCCTTCTCTGGGAAGTAATCACAATAAGTCTTGATGCATTATTAGGGGGGAAAACTTTGTAAGAATTTGAAGAAAAGTGATTTTCAAACATAAATGAGAAAGTGTGGAGGGGGAAAAAAGCTTCAACTCAAAAGAGTGAGCCACAGAAGCCGCCATGTGCGCGGGCGCAGCCGTGAAATCAGCCTGATCCAATAGATTCTGTTTATCTGGCACGACTACAAGTGAAAGCAATTGGAAATCTGGGGGAGATTTGGAGAGGGCTGTGGATTCAGAGAGAGAGAAAAAATGAGCAAAAAAAGTAATACTGTCTGCTCTACAGTCTGGCAAAGCAGGCGTATTTTCAGATCAGCTTTTAACAAGGTTAATGGTGATTTTTCTCCACAGGCGCCGTTTTACTGTAAAAGTCTCATCCTCGCACGCTTTATCTCTGTCATTCTTTTACTCTCTTCCCTTTCCCTTTGTCTCCATTCCCTTCATCTCTTCTCCCCGTGACGGCTCTACCTGCTGCTGCTCCACATCATTTCTGTTTTTCCACGCTAACTCTGTGTTTTTTGGCTCATTATCCTCCCCAGCCACCAAATGCAGCTGTTTCGAATTCACGCAGATCAAACAGCCCATTTTTAGGGCATGGTTCCTAGCTTCTGTCTGTTGGTACAATTTTTATTGCACACACTTTCTTTCACACGCAGCCTATACATAGACCTACATAGACAAAGAGACCCCACACCACTTCATCAGTTTAACAGTTTTATTAGAATCTTGCAATAGTTTTGCAAACACAAGTATGGCAATATCTGCATCAAGATATACAGTAGTAACAGGTTCAAAGATGTATTGTAGGTTTATGTTGAAGGATGTCTACTGTTTGTTTGCTGGATAGTTGCTGAGAAATATTGTACAAAGCATCTGAGTAAAAAGTCATTTTTGGAATTGGAAAAAAAGCATCTGTGTATGTCTATATATTAAGATAAAATGCACTGCCATGGCTGTGGAGATATGGCTTAGTCTCTCTGCACCCGATTCATCACCGTGAAAAGAAAATGGCAATGACTTGACTCCACATACAGTGACGCAATAGTGTACGGTGAACAGCAGTAGAACACATTCTGAGTCTTTCATGCCTAAGAGGAGCTCAACGAGAGCGGGGCAGCTGCTCAGCTCTCTTACGTAGAGGAAATTATTTTTTATCTTAGAGTTTGTTGCTGGAGGATAAAACGAGAAATGTCTTTTGTTTTGTTCAGCATACGGGAAAAAAAAAAACAAACACAAAAACTTTTTTTGACAGTTAGATGAGAAGATTAATATTCCCTTAATGTCACTGAGAAACTGTTAAGGTACAGCAAGGGTCCAGTTAGACTGTAGGAAGGAAAAATATCTAGCCTGGTTCTGCTACAATATCTACAAAATCTAACATTTTCTGTCATGACTTACTTCAAGAGAAAAAATTTCAGTAAAATAAAGTAAAATTTTGGGGAAAACTGAGGAAATGTAATTTCATCTAAAAGGGTAATTCTGTAAAAAAAAGTTAAATTACAATTTTTAGAAGAGGGTCCACAGATAAGTTTGTTTATGCAAAATGCTGTAGTGCCGAATTCGTCACTGTTTTTACCAGATCAGGGTCTTAAAAAGCATTTATTAGTATTTTTTCTGATATCCATATAATGACAAAGGAAAGAGGAGAGGGCTGATTTTAAACATTTTAGCTACATTCTTAAACAGCTTAAAGGAAAAATAGGTGACCTCAAGTTAGAGAACTTCTTGATTTATTATTTTCTCACCTCTGGCCCTTAAACTCTTCTTTACTTGTTCAATTCTTACCAAAAAACGATAAGTAAGTAACAAATGGTTAGCCTAATGAATTGTGCATTTAGCCTATAGCGCAGCGACAAGTTAGGATAGAAGGCTGGGCGAACCTTTTATGGTTATAAAACTAGGGCTTGCCATATTTATGCGTCTGTGTACCAATGAATCAAATACTCTAGATGCTTGTTCATAATTCAGCATAAGAAGTGCTAAGAAGTGAATCTAGCCAGGCTAGCTTGTTACCCTTTATTTCCAACGAAGCTAAGCTAACTGTCCCAGGGCTGTAGCTTAACCTCAACAAAAGTGACAACTGTAGCATCAATCTCCTCTTCCAACTCCTGGCAGAAACTGTAGTTACGTTTCCAGAAATGTTAACTTAACCCTTTAAAGATAACATAAGTATCAACTCAACAGCCAACAGTCAAAGCCTGGATATCTGGAGTGCAGAAAGGTCGCACAAGCGCTTCATGTACAAGTTTAAAAAACTGTTCATCAGATTTCATTGTATCCATTCTTTGGGACAAATATGTTTCTCCTATGATTGAAACTTATTTTGGCAGTTAGTGCAAAATGTCCAGTTCATAACTGGTTAAATCAAGGTCAAATTTGAGGTCAAACCTCAGGTCATCAGTCTCTCCGTCACTTTTTGTGCATTAGCATTCAAAATTTGAAAAGTTCAACACTTTCTCTCACATATCCCACTTTCAGTAGTTTGTGATTTCTTGGTTTTATTATGGTGCTCGTCAACAATACCGCCATGAGTTAGGAAATCATTTCAACAACAACAACTCAAGGATCCATCACTTGATACATCTCTTTACAAAATCAGAAATACTTTTTTGATTATTACTCTTTTTTGTTTTGTTTGAGCCACTTAAACAATGATGCAAAAAGTTAAAAAAAATAAAGGTGCAAAATAAAAGAACTTTACTCAAGAAGATAATAAATGTACTCTCTCTAACATTCAGGTAGTAAGTTCCATAAATCTCTCACATCGTATGATACATTCAGTTCTCTATTTGGCCCTTTCTGGCACCCTTACTGTTCATTCTTCCTCTGTGATCTGACACACAGAACATGGCGAGTGGGGAAACACACATTTTTCCAATATTCCAACAAGATGGTTAAAAGTAGAAATGTTTTATACTATACTCAACATAAGGACTTGTTGTATTATTTACAATATATACTGTAAAATTGTAAATCAGGTGAGATAAAAAGGCACAAGTTTCCCTTTTTTTAAATACAATGTAAACATCTCATCAAAAAGCATGCATTAACATTTCATTTTACAAAAAGGATATCATTTTTAGACAAAGTACTTAAATATTGTTTTCCAGCAAAATATAATTCTCTCAAAAATACTTTCCCATTCATTCTATGAACCTTTAGACAGTTATTTTATTCCTTAAAAAGGACAAAAAAGGGGGGAAATAAAGAAAACAGTGAGAGATTTAGCTGTAGGGTCCTTCAAAACTTTAGCACAACAATGATGGACTGTAAAATGAGGCCTTTCTGCTAAGGGACTGTCTGAAAATTGGCAGGAATTTATATTTTACCGGATATCACTTGGCTATTATCGGATCTACAGCAAAGACTAAAATTGGAATTTAGGACTATATTGTCACTGTAAATTAACTATCTATTTAACCAGTTTGTTGGGTACAGAAAATGGGGTAATGAATGCATCAGAGCCTGATACCGTACTTTCAAATGGTTATTTTTACCCTTAAATGAATAAAAGATGCACAGTAAGGGAAGCAGAGAGGTTCAAAAACTCTTCTCTACTCCCCCTTACAAAAATAGATAACCCTCCCATGTGCAAAAATTAAAAATACATATTCACCATCTCTGAAGCGCCTGAATAACTTTCACACAGTCCCTTAAGACAGTCGCGATCATGCCACTTTCACATCCATTTGTACACCAGTCATTTCACAATTAACACCACAGAAGAGACCTCATTATGTAGCACAGCTCCACCGTTGTGACGTGCTGTAGCCACAAATACAACCCACCAGCACCCCGCTGTGCTAGTGATGTCATGTTGTCTAACTTTAGGCTGGGTGACCATGCAGAAAGTCTTTTTCCCCGCATCATCACAGTTGCTTATCAAAACAGACAATTCCCCGCTAGCTGCACTAATGCCTCATTTCACATTGTATCTCCTCTGTGCAAATCTAAATGTGGAAATAGGATACGGCTAATCCTATAACATAAATGCATAATACCCACACTGAAAGAGCAGATCAACGATGCACATGCTCGCCAGGAAAATAAAAACACACACATATAAACTTATGCTCCATTCACACATGTAAAATACACACTCACAGGGCACAAAATAATAATAATAATCACACGCCTCCACTGTTTTTCTTCCCCAGCGGCTCCATCGCTTTTCAGTAGCATCATAGTAGTGTTCCACAACTACCCAGAAACAAGTGAGGTGTGAGAAAACGTAATGGTCCAGATGACTGGGCCTGCCTAACTTAAAAAAAAAAAAGTAGAGTACAGCCCAAAGAAATTAGGAAAGGTGAACATAGCAACAGTTCTTCATCAAGCATTCGTCAACATGTACCTCAAAACATGGTCTGTACAACAGCTGAAGAGAATGTGTGTAAGAAGTTGTTAATACCTGTACACATTTGCCTGGTTTTGATACATTAGCCGTTTGCTGTAAGCACTGCAGATTAATGCTCCATTTGGGATTATATCAACTTTACAGAGTATGTGTGTTTAAACTGTGTGTCCCTATACACAACGTATTGTCAGGACGGTCTACGAGTTACTGTACATGTTATGTTTTGCCTGTTTTTTTTTTTTTTGTAGAAATGAAGCACCTTAATGTAAAATGACTGGCTTGTCAAAAACTAAACCTTTGCAACACACTTTTATAAAATGCTTTTTTTATTATTTCTGGGAATAGTAGATAAGTGTTGGTTCACAAAGGGCTGGTTTTGCTTCATTGTGAGTAAAAACAGACATTTGGACAGCTGCTCTGGAGATAACACAAAACACAATTACTATGGATGCACCTCAGTCAAATCCATTACCAGCGGACTCCACTGAAATTGTTTCCGTAAAAGCATGATGTTTTCCAATCCCGCAGCACTCCTGGCCATTTTTGCAAAAAGGTAACTCATCAATGTTGTCTTAATTCTACACCACAATGCCTAAAATGGTGACTTTATGACATGGTAGCTTCACGTGCAAGCTTTCTCTACACAAGAGAGACATTTTTATGTTAGCTTTGGACTTTTGCATATTAGTTTTGATTGTTTTACTACATATTCGATTTAAAAAACTCAGCATGTTAATGTTGAAGATGGCTGTTATGACACTGATTGAAATTCAAACTAGGACTCGTTAGCATTTACTCAGCTTATGATGACGCTTGTATAGCCCTTTAAATATAGATTCAAATAGACCTTTCGCCTTACAGTCTAGTATTTCTGTGCCGCCTCTTTATCTTCTTTGCCCTGTACTCTCGCAGTATGTTGCTACACTGCAAAGCAAATTCTAAGTACTGGTATACTGTTATTTTTTCATAGTGCTATTACTTTTAAAAACTGCATAAGCCACAGTTAATATTTGCAAAGACTTTTTCTCTCTAGATTAGAAAGGGAATCTGATTTTAGTGCATGTGGAGTGCATCTGTGCGTTTATGTGAAGGCATGTGGAGAGCACGTGTCAATTTCCCTCTTTCTGTGTGTGTGTGTTTGTGTGTGTGTGTAAGTGTGTGTGCAGTGAATGTATCTAGCGCATCCTAAGAAATGTATGGCTTTATCTCCATAGAAAATACTGTTATCGTCTTTGGGGGGGCGGGACACAGGGGGGTACTTCGGGGTGCTTTGTCACATTTGTCACAAGTCCTTCCTTGACCATGTCGTGCTCTCCTCAATGAACTATTGACAGCTCTGACCTGCGCATGTTGACTGCAGGGTCACATCAATCTGGCCCTTTTTCTTCTGTCACCACGCAGCTTAACCTTCCCATCCGAGACGAGGACGCTGGCACACTGGGCGACAGGGTGCAGGCCAACTGGAACAGGCCTTCCTTGCAAGTTTCCACCTCTAGACTGGCAAACCTTTCTCTTCTTCTTCTTCTCTTCCAGTTCTGAACAACAGCATCTGTCCAAAGTGTTACGTGAGTCACTTCTTGTGGAAGTAGATTGTGTGAGTGAGGCCTGACTCCACCTTTGGTATCTGGTCACTGATGATCTCCACCAACATCTCAGGGAACTCCACCTTCAAGGACTGGGATTCACGAAAGGTGTAGAAACAGAAGTCCAGTAGGTTCCCCACCAGCTGCACAACACAAGCACAGGATTTAATAAGAAACACACTGAAGTTGTATCATTAATGTATCTTTGTAATGACTTTTTATACAATATTATTGTTCATATTAGGTTTAAAAAAAGAACAATAAGACCATAAATCCCTATAAATGAATAATTTTGAAATGATAGGAAAATGGATCAATAACAGCTTATGTATTTAAGAGGTGTTTTCCAGTTCTGGAGGTGGTACACACTTCAAAAGTCAGTCAAAATTTAAGAAAGATACAGTCCATACAACTGCTTTTTTGAAAAATAAATAAATAAAGAAAAAAAGAAAAATATCCCCAAACTCCATCCTCAATTTTTTCAAATCTTAAATTACAAACAACAGGACTAGTTATTTGTCGGGCAATCTAAAGATCCATGAGGCCAAGTGATTGAAGTGAATGAGGTTGACAGACTCAGGAAAATAAGAAAAATGTTGGTTTTATTTGGGCTGTAGAGTATAATTTCTGTGAGGAAGACCATCCGGCTACTATTTTGATTATTTATTTGTCTAAACTCTGTTTACTTTTGTGCAAATTGGGAGATTTCTCAAACAAAGTGGCGCATAAATATATGGTAAAACACACACACAAAAAAAGGTTGTTTGCTTGGATGTCAAAGTAAATCTAGACATCAATAACTCACCTTTACAAAAAAAAAAAAAAACAAACAGAAAAAAAAAAATCTCCCCATGGATCTTGATTTAAAAAAATCCAGCATCCTAGCCTCTAAGTTTGTTCCTACTCTGTTGGGGCACACTCCCCTTCCCAGCAGCTCATCTGCTCTCACCACTTGAGGGCAGCACTGATTGTTTCAGCACAGCCCTCATTTAAAGTAGGGTCATCCTTTCAGCACTGACCCCATTCACTCAGTCATTGGGGTCAATGGATTTTGGTGATTTATCTTTGTGACCTCTCGCTTGCTGGCTGTCATTTCTTTGAGCTGAAACTACACTGTGGTTACGCCACATACCAGTTGACCCCTGCGTACAAACAGAACAGTGATTTAGCACATTTGCTGCAGCGACCACTGTGCCACACACATTGATCCCCTTCTGTTCCATCCACCGATACAGGCCGGTCACCGCCTCTTTCCAAAATAACCATCCCCGCAGGGAGTGATTGGGATGCAGTAAGCTTTAATCCAAGCCCCAGCGCTATTGAACTGCTAAGTAAATGCATCGTCCAAATTCACTATGCTGCCATTTTATTCAAATCCAGTGATGTTGGAGGCCCAAAAATGCCACTGGACACCTCTCTGCCTGTGTGAAGGCATGGCATACCGACAGGCTGCCAGGGTAAGCCTGTGCCTGTGTACTGTACTGTAGGCGATTGGCATGGGAGGCAGACAAGATGAGGGGACTTACATCATGCATGGCGTCCAGTAGCTTGGTGAGCTGGAAGAAGCGCTGCCAGGTCTGGCCAGAGTTGTTGGTTGCTTTTCCCACCGAACGCCGGAGCTCCTTGATGTAATTAACCCTCATCTCCTCGAATGCCGCTTGGTTCTTCAGACCCTCTTTGGGAACTGGAAACAGAGAGACACTTCTGTCATCGAATGGATTAAATGAATAGAAGTTCACATAAAACTGAAGCAACATTAGATTTCAGCATGCATTTATCTGATAAGTACAGGGACCTGATCCATTATAATAATAACAATAAAAAATACATATATATATATATATAAAAAAAATAATATAATAAAATAATAATAGTATGATAAAAACAATAAAAACAACAACAATTATGATAATAAAAAAAAGAAATAAGAAGAATACTAAAAATACCACCACCACCAACAGCAACAACAACAACAACAACAACAAAAATCATAATAATAATAATAATAATAATAATAATAATAGTAAGAACAACAACAATAATAAAAATCATAATAATAACAATAACACATTAAAAAGGTGAAATAGTTTAATTTTGAACATTCAGTCACAAACACCAAAATAATCCTCATCTCTTGTTCTGATGCGTTGATATATATAACAATATTCTTTTAAAATGTAAACCAGTTTATGGTTGGCTGTTAAATGTCTTAATTAATGTCTTTATTGTTTTATGTAATTACAGTTAATGTAAGAACTACTAATTATCAAGAAACCCCAGACTTAGTTCTGAATTCAATAAAACTCATTGGACCAAAAGAGAAAATGAATTAATTAGATTTCAATAGGCTCTGTTAAAAAATAAAAAAAGGCAAGATTCAGACAACTAAAAGTTAAAATATTTTTATAAAATACTTTTCCTGTAGCCAGAATGCAACTTTAAACAAAGGGATTTAATTAACACAGAAAAAGAGAAAAAAATGAATAGATTATTTTTTCAAACACGTATTAAAGTCAGTCCCAAAGATTTACAGGCTATGAAATTACCAACTCCTTTAATCTTTCTCAGAAAAGTCTCGAACTCTTTAATTTTTTCTACCATAAAAACACAAGATAAATGTATGAATATGTGTGTGTGACCTTGTATATTTAAGTACTATAACAATACCACACTTTAGAGGATAGTTAGTATCTGTACAGCAGTTACACTTGACAGGCTGAGCCGTGCACAATCACCAGTACTCCTTAAATGCAGAAACGTGTATCTGTGTGAAGGGTAATTAAAGGTACTCAGTGAGTTACACACTCTCTCTCTCTCACACAGCAGCCTTTTTTTTGGACATTTTCTCCTGTGTTGATGGCCTGAACCTATTTAGCAACTCATTACAACCACTTTGACCATTTCAAGAGGTAATTAGTCATGTGCTGCCGCTGATTCATGAAAGACCGCTGATACATTGATTCAAAGTTATTGAGGAAATGTCGGCCACATAAAAAGAACAACAAAGCTCAGGTGTATTAAAAGGAGATAAATCGTTTTGTCAACAGCATTTATCAAGTTGCTCACTGAATCACTAAAGCTGCTAAATGACTCTGCAACCTCCCATTCTTCACATTATGATGACTAGGATGTCAGCAACAGTGCACTCAAAATATAAAAGAGCTTTAATAAGAGAGATTTAGACAGATTTGAGAAAGGAGCTGCGCTGGGAGAATGCATCAGACTACAATTTTCTCTCACTCTTTCTCTGTCTCTGTGCGGGAGAACAAAGTCACAGATATGGAAGTTTGCCAAAGCTGTGAGATGACATTCAGCTGCTGGATTCCACATTAAGAAACACCTCACCTCTCACTGTGTGCAACTCAAATCAGTCTAAGGGACACACCCCCTGGTGTCCTCCAGCCAGCAGATATTATGCTGCATACCATGACACATAGTGAGTTTGACAGATATCAGGCATATTCATACCAAGGGAGCTACGCCTTAAACATCTGAGGGAGAATTAGGTTATTTAAGGGAAAGGCTAAAATTCGCAGAATTGACTTGGCGAAACTATTTGCGCGTAAAAATATTAGAAACTGCCAGCAAAGTTAAGTGCAAAACTAAAAAATATATCACCTACTCCTGTTTTGGGGTAAATTATTATCAAGAAAGATGCTTTCTTTGTTGCTGCAAGTGAGCTGCAATGTATAATTATTCTCTTCGTCAATTGACAGGAACATAATTTCACCTTCTTTTCTGGTTGGTATTTTTACTTTATTTTTTTATCGTAAAAATTGAGAATAAATTAGTAGGTGAGACAACTTTGACCGTGATTTTTCGTGTTGGGGTAATTGTTCCAAAACAAGTTCTTGAAGCACATGTAGCGTGGTTCACTTCTGAAAAAACGCTGTAAGTCATTTATCAACAACAGTAAAGCCAAACAAGATTCCAGTAGCATATATCAACACAGGGTGAATAATTTATCGTCTTCATGGAGCGCACAGTCACCAGACTCCTCTATACTCAGAGCACGCGGTGATGCTACCGTAAACTTTTATATTGAAACATAACAGAATTTGACATCTTTACAGACTCATACATGCAGATCCCTTAGTTTTCAATGAAAACAAGTCACATCAACTCAATTCATCAAACAATGAGCGTGGTCTAGACCTGCTCTTTTTCTTTGGAAGGCGCCTTGAGATGACGACTGTTGTGAATTAGCGCTATATAAATAAAATTTGATTGATTTATTGATTGATCTACTTTATTCACCTGTATCAAAAAACAGGAACTGACTGGACTTGTTGGAGTTCTGCAGAAAGAAACTTCATGAGCCCGCTTGTTAATCATTGGTGCTGCATCTTTTCTGTAACAGCTAATCCAGGACAAACGCTCAGAGAATGTGTGCTTATGTGCCTTAATCACACCTCTCTCATTCTGGTCTGCATATATTTATCCTCATTTTACTTTAACGCTGAGACACCTTCCAGCATGACACTCACAAGGCTGGTGAAAACAGCGAGACAAAAACACTGAACCCCGCTGTGGTGGTGGTTGGGATTTCTTTGCTCGTGGTTCATGGCCGACTTGATGAGAATGTGCTAAAACCTCAGGCCACATTTGGACCTTTTGTCTTTCTCCCACTGACCCACATTGGCCCTGATTAGAAACTGGCCTTTCATTTAAGGGCTGTGAACATGAGCAACCCCCAAAATAGGGCATTTATGCGACCACAAACAATGCCAAACAGATCTCCCGCTTCAGTTGGATACAACCGTTTTTCAACTTTGTGTTATTGTCAGAGTGCATTTGCATTATTATGTGTACAGAAGGACAGGAAAGTTAGACATGAGTGGCAGACGTATCTAGAGATGCTGTTTTGTGGTTCAAAGACATGCTGCTCCCTGCTCGGGGTTGTTGGTAAATACCTTACTGACAGGGCTATAAAAACCTGTTACTGTTCCAACGACATCCTGAACATGGTTACAGTAACATCTTAGGGAAGCTTTAGGGGGTTGTCGAACAGGAAATTCTATTTTTGTACACAAACCACTAATAACTGGATGGAATGTAAATTATCTGATTTCTTTCGTAATGGAAAGCAATTATCGAGCTGATACGTGACTGAACTGTTAAAACGGTCCCACGAAATGCACCCATCACCTGATCGCGGTGCACACATGGTACACGCATCATGTTAGGAATGAGGCTGAACAGGGATGATAGTTTGGTGAGAGAGCAAGTGAATGAGATGATCCAGCAATACTATGTGTGTGTCTGCGTATGAGGTGAGGAGTGTAACTGGTATGAGCAGGCCGCTGCTCCCGAACCAAATCTAAACAGGGTCATGAGACACCGCAGGCTCAGTGAAACCTTAGCCAAGGTCAGAGGGAGAATAACAGCGCCTCTCTCTTTTCTCTTTATCCCTCTCTCTCTCTCTCTTCCTCTTCCCTTCTATCTCTCCATTTCACTTGTTCACCACGACACACACATACATCTTCAAAACCAGCCCAAAGGCGCGCGCACACACACAGTGACTCCATAGCACTCGCTCTGCTGACAAGTTCTGACAACTCCTCTGTAAACATTTCTACCACTGCTGCTTCCAACAAGGCCGAAGCATTAGCACTGAATGACTGTTACAAAGAAAGAGCTCCTAATATTACCTTGAGTTGCAATTATTTACAAGAGCTGCTGAAAAATAACGTCCCTCCAAAATACTGTGGAGCACATTGTCTTCAGCCTGCAGTGTCAGGCCATCAAGGGTTAAATGTTAACAATGAAACAGATCTGACTGTGGCAGCTCGGCAGCGGGATCTTTAACCGGCTGTAATGACTCAAAACAAATGTCTGAATTTTCAAATGTAACCAAATGTATGTTTTTTGTAATTGCATGAATACCTACCACATTTAACAAAAAACATCTTCTTATGCACATGTTGTTATAGCAAGAACCATGGAGTTAGAGTTTGGTTCACGGGCCACTGTCTGCCTGTTTTTTAAGTGTAAAAATAACCTTTATTTTTCTAACATTAAGTTAAGGAAAAGAAATAAAATAGGGTCCAAGATATTTGAAATCCCCTGTGAGAAGCTTTTAGTGCTCCCTGTGGACAAAGTGGTATCTCTTACATCTTTGCTGTGATGATTTCAACGAGAATAACTGCACAGAGTTAACCTATGTCAACACTTACAGTCTTGTTTGGTTTAAAAAGGTATCCATATGTATTGGTCTTATTCTGTGACACAACCAACTAAAAGACACTTCACTGGCGCTTAAAAAGACAAATCATAAATTAAAAACATGACTTTAAAAAATCCAAACCCACACAGGACAGTTCCTCCATCATATGCACTTAGAATTGGCAGGAATTTCTCCGCTGCATAATAAAATGAAGCTTCTCCTTCACTCCCTTCATTTTTAACCCCTATATTTTGACTGAATCAAATAACCAAAGCAGCTTTAAGCACCTCGAATTCTTTGTTTTGGTTCTGCATGCTTTTAACCGCACTCTCTCTGTCAAAAATTCCAGCTCAGGTTTGAAGGAAGTGGAGAAAAATAGCAGGTCTTGGAGCACTGCCTGGTGCTTGACTGGCCTTTATTAAGTACAGCAGGACTCTCTGGAAAGCCTCCAGAGAACCAGCGAGGAAGAGGAGAGGGAGGTAACAGCAACAGAAGGATCAGGTCTGCCAACACCCCCCACCTCCTTCGTCTCTTTTGTCTTTCTCCCTATAGCTATGCACCTGTCTCTGCCTCACCAACACTGACTCTGAGTTTCAACATTTGTCTGATTCTTCTCTTTAAATCTCCCTCTCTCCCTCTTGGTTTCTCTATGTTTTCTCTCTCTTTCTCTTCTTCATCCCTCCCAAACATCCACTTGCTGGGGTCCAGCCGGTGCCCCCCTGCTTCCAGATGACTCAACACCAGAGTTTATATCAGGCAAATGTGTCCACAGACCGCCTCTTCCATATGTCACAGTACTATGAAGCCAAACCAAGCCTATACCATTAGCCAGGGTTATACTGTACGTTTAGAAATCCACTGACAGAATCATTCTTCATTTCTATGAAATATTGTAAGTACAGCAAAAAACTGAATTTCAAAATATTTTAAGTTTTAAACATTTAAATACATATATCACATAAGTTTTTTATCAGTAACTCATAGAGGGAGCAAAACTGCATTTATATTTCTGTGTAAAGGACCACATTCAAAGATCAATCAAAATTTTTTTATTGCAAAAATTTGTCCAAATTGAGGCAAAAAAAAAAAATCTGCACAATTACAACATATTCGATTCTGATTGATTGAAACCCAATTATAGAATTTATAGTTTCCAAATAGCAAGAGTGTTGCTGTCTGAGAGGAGTCAGACACATTTTTATATAGTTTATTGTTTCACTTTTTCTTTTCAACAATGTGATAAAAATCACTGTTTCCACTAGTAAAAAGCGACATCGACCAAACTGAAGAAAACACACATCAAGCAAACCACAGACTGCAACATGGAGCAGTGTTTGAGGACTCACTGAGTGGACAGAAAGAGCCAACTGGGTTACAAATTATGAAGAAAATGACCTTTTTAGAGGTGCTGTTACTATTTCCTGCATTTGGAAGGGATGTCATTAAAAATAAAACTAATATTTAGTCTTCACCCTGAATGAACATGTTAAGCGTAATGATGTTTATAACAGTGAACAAGATCAAAATTGAGCCATTGTTAAGTCTGATTTCAATTCAGTCTCAAAGTAGGTTGATACTCACTTCCAGCCTCTGGAACTCACTCCTTAAACCCATCAGAGATTGTACAGACCCCCATACTTTCAAATCACTCCTAAAAACACACCTTTTAAAATTAGCTTTTAACCAGTGTACTGTTCTTTTATTGTCTTTTCATATTGTGTCTATTTTATCTTTCTACACTGTTGGTCTTATTACTTAAAATTTTCTGTATTTTAAATTATTATTTTTTTCATAAAGCATCTTTGAGCACCTGTAAAAGCACGTTATAAATAAAATGTATCACTATTATTATTATTATTATCAGAAAACTGTTGCAACAGAAGCGTAACAACCATCAAAACTGTGGGACTATTGTTTTAGCATCAAATGTTTTTAATCAATAAAATCATTTTCAAATCAACACCTTGAGTTTGTATTTTTAGTTGGAAGTCAGACAATAAGCAGGAGAATCATCAGTGAGCGGATAATGATGTGAAATAGAAACCCTCTGGGGTGACCCCTCCGCTTTGTGTCTCAGGCTTGTCTAACCCTGCTGGGACTCTATTTATCACCTGCTCAAAATACATTATCCCTAACATAGTGACCCATAAACTAATGTTAATGATGCAGAACTTGAAGCTTGTTCTTTAATTCCACTTTGGTTAACGCCGTCTGCTCACTTGTCTAAATGTAAAATAGATGAGCTTGTGGTGAATGGATACAGAAAGAGCTTACTAAGGATGTGATTTCACCATCGGAGTCCAGCACTGACACACCACTTTCAAAGGCCTCACTAACTGAAAAATAAATACTTTGCCAATGAATATTTCCACTGATTGGCACTGAAGTTCAAAGAGACTGAAGTTTGGCCAGCATGCAGGCTCCTCAAATAGCTCCCCAAAACTCCCCCTCACCCACCTTATCCTTACTCCCTCTCTGACTATCTAGCATCAATTGACACACAAAATTACACAAATGATTCCCCATGCTGTCATTAATACAGTACATCTTACGTGGGTGTGGGTGGTGGAGTTATGACACAGCTGCCATCATGGAATCTATAACTGTTACTATTGAACTGACAGCAGCGGCTAAAACACAGCATCGAGCTGGTGGAAAAACTGCTTTCAGTTTCCAAATGAGCAACTTGGTCCAACACATCCTCACTGCGAGGCAGCAGTGCCTGTGGGCGCAGTTTGGCAACACGGTGAGCCCTTATTTAGTGAGTGATAGACATATTCTGTTTATCCACGGGCAATTAAAAAAGTAATACAAGACAGAGCAGCTTACACTTAGAGAATAGGAAATAAAATCTCTGCTCTTCTTTTTAGACATAAACTCCGTGTGGCTGCACAAACAGGTGCATGCAGCATCAAGTCTATTTCCACACTTGTTATGCATGTAAAAGGATTACAAAGAATGATAATCTAACAGACTTTAAAAAAGGAATGACTGTGGGTGCCAAGAAGGCGGTTAACAGCTCTGCCAACGCTGTCTCAAAGGAACAGAGCACAAGGCACCTTATCAATAAATTCCCCATGTGTGTGGCAGACTTTAGGCTGTCAAATACGGGCGATATTGGGCGCTTCAAGCCAAAACACAGGTACATGATATGGCAGACACAGCTAAAAGTGAGAGGTGCTAATTTGGGGATACACAAGGCATCACTGCTGACTGTATGTGAGTTTAAAGTTGCATGAAGGCTTAAAAATCTTGGTGAAAATTGCAAACTATCTTGAAGAAGTAAGATTCATTCAGATCAGTTCTGAAAATATTTCTTTGATAAAATGCTGTCTTGATCTTAAAAAATAAAAAATAAAAATGCTGCATCATCTGTTAGGACTACTCTGGAAGCAGCATCAAAAGCAAACCTCAGCCACCTCTCATTGTAAAGAAAAATAGAAAAAACAGACTTTGCATGGTTGGAAATTCAGGAAATCTAATATACTGCTTTTATATAACAACTGCGCTGTTATTCACTTTCTAGATACAGTGGCATAAAAAGCCAGAAACACCAGGCTCAAACTCAAGGTAAAACAACATATTAGATGACTCCTTTGTCACCCTTTACTGTATGTAAGATATAAGATATAAGAAGAATATTATTTATATCTTAAATATAAAAAGTAGAAAGAAGGGTGACCATATTCTGAATCCCCAAAAAGAGGACACGACTACGCGGGGGTGGAGTCCTGCAAAGTTAATTTTGAGAGTTTTTTGAGTCGGATGGAGTGTTTTTTTACACCACTCGACACAAACTCAAAACTTCCACACAAAACCCTGGACATTTTAAGGATTTTATAAACTCCCCGGACAAAGCTGGACAAAGCTGGACAGCCCCCCAAAAAGAGGACATATCCGGGTAAAAAAGGACGTATGGTCACTCTATAGTAAAGGGTACCAAAGGAGTCAGAGGAGCACACTAGGTCTCTATCTCTCATAACGAAAATCCCCACAGTGGGTGCTGACATCTCGCACATTCGGAGCCTTAGTCTGATATAACTAATATTTGGATGTAAAATATCGTGATAATAACTGACTATCATGTTTGACCATATTTGGAAAAAAAAAAAAGTGTTTTATGGTTTTAAAGTTTGATCCATTTCTCATCTCTTAACATGGAGGAGTTAAGCTTTGTGATCTCTGTTGGAACCAGTCGGCAGAAGAAGTCTCAAATAGTTTGACTTCACTCTCAGATTGCTATCTTGTCGCCCATCTTGACACACAGTCTACATCAGTTACCAACAGCTCAGCCACGACAAGCTAATGTTCGCATTCAGCCAATTTCGGGTCACCATTTCCATTACTTAGCTCGTGTTACTTTTAGATGCAAATGTACCTCTTTCCTATTCTGTAATGCAAAACAAACAAACGGCGGTGTACACCCAAATGCGGTTACTCTAATATTAGCTGCTGGTGATTTATTGCTAATCAGCTAACAAATGATTGATATGATTTTATAAACCACAATCATTTGTTAGCTTACCTCTTGAGGTCTTTTTATTTGGTAATTAATTAAGGTGCATGTTGATGGTTTGTCAGATTTGTAGTAACTGCATTTAGGCTTCTGACTGTGAGTATATGTGGTTGTTGACTGAATGTGGCGGCTTACCACGCACGAAGGTGGTTCAAAGCGGCACAGCGGTATATACTTTTTGTTTTATGTCTTAAATAAATGCTTTCCAAATGACATTACCTCGCACAACGATTAATTTGTGCTTGCAGGGAAGTTTGGGACAAGGTGCAGGCATAGCATTCAAGTGGGTATATATAATAAATAAGTCACAGGGAGGTGGGTGTGTATAGTGAATTAATAAATAAGTGCTCTTGCAGGCCTGCAGCTCACTGCCTACCTGTGCTGAGAAGCAGAAGGACCTTCATGGAGAGGAACTCGTCGTAGGTTAGCTGCAGTCGCACAAACTCCTGGCTCACCTGCCTCATGCCTAGACACAGGTCATACATGGCTGACTGCTGCATACGCTCCCTGAGGAGAGAAGAGAGAGAGAGAAAGTCAGGAGGAACATTTTTAACTTCACTTTTGACGTATTAGCAAAAAAAACCTCCTTTGTGCTCTCTCATCCATATACTTGTTTATTGATATACTTACCAACCCAATCTGACAATATATCAAAGCTGAGTCACTCATTCACTTTCTAGCCTCATTCCTATCACACTGGTTCGGCTCAGTGAAACTATATTTCCACACAGTGCAGAGAGCATCCTGCTAGTCTGGTCTGAGAGCAGAATACCAAATCCCCCCAGATTGCAGAGGGCTGCGTACAGTATCACAGCACAGATGCACCACTGAAAATAAGGCTATAGCAGACTAAACCTCATATCTAACCCCAGCCACCATAAAACCATTCTCAAGAAGGACTTTTACAACATATGTACTCAGACACAAACGACACACATTAAAATATGTAGACCTAGACATTCATAGAAGTAGTTAATAGGTTCATATGCACATTTTTTAATAATATACTATAAAGCATTTTCGGTGCATTTCACTTCCCTCTTTTTTTACACATTTTATTGCCAAAATAGTCATCACAGAATTCCTCAAAAACAGGAAAGCAACATTAGACAGGATAAGGCAACAGCCAATCAGAAGTGTGCCATGCAGATGCCGCAGATCCACAGAGATCTTTGGGTTTAGATGCGGATTCTCTTTTGATATAAAGTCCCATCACATTGAGGCTATAGTAATTAAACACAAGTGGTGTGGCTTGACATGAAAGAGGCTGGAGCTTTTATACCCACAATACCGTGTAACCGCATCATTACACACGCAGTGAAGGAGGAGATTCTACTCCGATAACTACGCCGAGTATTTTAGGAAGGGGACACATTGAAAACAAGTGCATAATGTTCCCATTAAAGCAAACGACAGAATAATACCTTACAGTATTTACCTTATGGCTGTGTCTGCCAGCCTAAATAACTGATAAAGTGTGACAGTGTCTGGGAGGGGAGCAGACCTGTCTCCCCTCTGAGCAGCAGCGTGTATGTGAGCAGTTTTGCAAAGTGCAGCATAACATCATTTGAAACAACTTTGGGCTGGAGTTTCTAAAGTCTCCACACGTTTTTCTCTCCCTCTCCTTCCAGTCTCGCACTCTCTTCCTGAAATCAATTTTTGCTGAATCACTGCCCAAAATGAGCTGCTGGTTTTGGGGACGAAGGAGGAAGGAAAAAAAAAACTGGCAGCCTGGCATGTCTCTCCTTCACTCCTTCTCCTTCTCCCTCCCTCATCTCTCTTTATTTCTCTGTCTCGCTCTCACTCTTTCTCTCTGTCTTTCCTTCGCTGACTTGAACTCGTTGCCTTCTTCTGTTTTGATGGTGAAATATTCAAGAAGAGGTGAAGCTGAGTGAAAGTTCAAGTCCACCTTTTGGCACCGAGTGTGCAACAAATTTCTATTTGTTCACAAAAACATGTCCAAAGCAGTACATGGAGTCATCAGGAATGTTACTTTACAGTCTTTAAGCCCCTGTGTGGGTGGGCCGGTGTATGTGTTTGATTGACAGCTCAGCTGGCAGGGTGACAGTGACACAATATAAATCATCTGGAAACAGTGACTGCAACTTGCAAACCAAGGACAGCATTTCTTAAACATATTGAAAAATAAGATCCAAACCTCATAACATCTGAACTTACTGATGTTTGCAGGTCAAATCTAACTGGTTAACTGGCCTACTGCTTACATTTGCACTTTTCAATGGATGTTTCTGCTTTTGAGGGATGATATTAGCATTCTACTCTGTATGACTGCAACTGTCCTAAATGAAAAATAGGATTTTTTTTTTTTACTCCTTGAAGGCATTTATCATGCATCCAATAGTCATCATAGATTACGAGAGCTTAGCTGCTCTTGAATGCAATTTAGCATTCAAGAGCAGCTTGAATTTATTTAGCTGTATTTACTCTCAACCGCTGACATATTCTCCTCTAAAAGCCTTGAGAGAGGACATGCAATGATGCCCGAAGTGAGCAAACACATATGTGCTGCTAAAGTAAAACCCCCAAGAGACTGAGTAACTCTGTAAAGTGTCGGATAACTTTTTTTTTTTGCTTACAGTCATTACCAAAAAAGAGAAAAAACTTTATACTGCTTTATGTTAGAAATAAGCAGGCAACACACTTTGACTTGAAAACACACGATCAAAGAGACAAACCTAGGGTGCATGTACCGTCAAGGTTGCCTTGCAGAGCAGCAAGCATGTGACCAAAATCCATGCCACCCCAATCTCTGGCAAGTCTATATCTTATCTGCTCTATCAGACTGAATACCAGACCCATCTGTCAGTGAATGCACCACATGCAGCATTGGTAGCCTGCTGCACACTATCTTAATTTAGCAGATCATTTTTTTTCAATATAGAATGAACACACAATTATTTATTTCCTCTGCTAGAACTTTTCTATACATAAACCGCCAAACGGAACAAACAGAGGCTCAATAAACGTTTATCTTTACACATAACGTTACATAACTCTTAATAGACTATTATTCAATTGTGGCTAAACTGATTAAAGGATCAGAGGATCTCTTGTGAGGTTAAACTACTACAACTGAACCCAGCTCACAGTGATGCAACACAGCCTCACAGGGTCTGACGCTGTGTTGCACAATGGCATTTGCGCCACTGCTTTCAATTATTTATTTATTGGTTGGGAACAAACTGACCTACTGACACTGACTTACACAAGCTATTAGTCGGAGCGTTCAAACCTGTCCCTGCCTGAACCTGCATCTCTGCAGCAAGGTGCCAACAGAGGTTGCTATCTAACATATTAATTCATCACCTGCCTTGCTCTGCACTTCAAACTGGAAAGGCCCACATGCACTTCCTTTCCACTTGTTCTCTTGTTCAAACATATTAGCAGGGATGAAGTGGGCCATTGACTTCCTTGTTGTGCTTTGATTGCCTGCGCCTGCAGCAATCAAGAAATAATAAAACAGTGTTTTCTTGTAAAGTGCCAGAAATCAGGGACAAGATTATGACCTTGTTTTAAGTGCGCTTGCATCTAAAAGTAACATCATTGCCACAAACACTGACTTTGGCCCTTGAAATAAATAGATTTCAGGTATGTTAATGTAACGCTCAAAATAGTACAGCAGAAAAACACACTCCTTACTCTCCCAATTCCACTGGCAAAATTGATGTTTATGCATAAATTTGCATGTGATGAGCTGCTGAAAATAGCAGATGCTACAACACGCTAATAGTCAAAGCCTGACTGTTTAACCAATTATTGTATCCACTAATTACATACTCAGAAAAAAAGCAAATTATTCTCTTTCACATTTGTATTAGATTATTTTTGCATCCTAGGAATCCAACAGGACATCAGACAAATCCAATGTATTTCAATACTGTTAAACCATATGTGCATTTACACAAATTCCCAGAAATGCATAAAAAAAACAGGAAAAACATCCTGTGTTGGTCGCTCCTGTCACATTTAGATAAAATGAGTTCTGTGCATCAAATAAAATTTTGAATAACTGTTCGGCCTTTAAATGTCAGAACAAGCTGAATCCAGTAAAATGAATGTTGAGTGTGTGGTATACTGCAGATATGAAACCCACTCGTTAAAGATGAGGTCAGGGGCAAAGTAGAGCATCTGTCCGTTGGTGTGTTTGTAGGAGCGCCAGCTGAGGCAGAAGGAGGACAGGCACATCCATGAGTACTGGATCAGGGTGATTTGGTCCTCAATCGGCAGCCCCCGGAAACCTTAAACACACACACACACAGGGAACACAGATGTAAATGTAGCAGGCGTAGATCTAATGCATTTAGACTTAAGTGCCAACTTAGGATGCACATGTGTACCTGGGTGTGCGTACGTTCATACGCGTACAACATGCTGTGTATCCTCACTACAGTGTGCTTTCCTGTGCCAATATTTGTTTAGACATGATAACCACTGTGAGTTATTTACCTATTCTTGTTTTATGCAAATCCCACAAGGCCTCCAGTTATTGGCACTTTGTCCAGTGAGCTCCAAAAATAAAGTCAGATAGGAAATTTGCCAAACTCTCAATCAAACTCTGGCAATTAACTCTTCCTCATGCAAAACAAAGGCCAACTGAGGACAAGCATGTGAATTATCAAGGCTTTGAGACTCAATATGCAAAACACAGCTGTTAAATAAGAAAAGGTGGAACAGGTTTATCTGATGCATGTTTACAAATAATAAAGTAAAGCGTGCACAAGGTAAGCTGATAATTAAAATGTGAACTCAGAGTTTGATGTCTTTGTTATGTGTCATCGGATAATTTTACAGGTAAACAGACTTCAAAAGAGGTATGTCTATTAAGTCTGACTTTCCAAAGAGGATATGGTATTAACAACAATGTTTAATTCCTCTGCATGTCAGCTCTGCCACATCCAAATGGTATCCGAATGCAGGCAGCGGCATATCTGAAAGTCGAAGGTACTCATTTTGACCCTTCTGTCTGGCTCTCCTTCTATTTATATGTCCGGATATGGCAAGCAGACACCGTGGAGGTATCAAATATTTGCAATACAGCAAATTAAATAGCCTCAAAGAGCTACCTGTGAGGCATCTTTCAAAATGTCTCCTACTGACGGGCATTTAGGGGGAGCTTGTTTATCCCTTCTCAAACATTTTCTTCTTCCCCTGCTGTGGTTTATAGGTAAAATATTAATGAGATAGACACAAGATCTTGCGTTCAACTCAACATCTTACAACCATGATGTAAATGAGGGCTGTTTGGGAGTATAAATCTTGATTCTATGTAATGGTGAAATAGGATTCCCCACTTAATCCTGTTGACACTTTACGGAATAATTTCCTGACCTGAAATATAAAATTAATGTTACATGCGCCTAAAATTCTATCAGCCTGGTATGCTCAAAATATAAGGATCTCAAATAAAAATGTAGACAGGATAACCTCCATAAGAATCCAAGACAAAGATTACAATACAGAACACTGTACCCCAAATTAGATCCAACATTTACTCCTTTAACCTCTTAATTTATCACCCAAATATAAAAGTTGGCTGCTGTATTTGTCTGCATACAAGATAAACAGTAAATGCAATGGTAACAGTGTTCATGGTCAAAAACAATGTTTGACTAAAAACAGAAAAGTCGACACCGAATTGTTGGATTTCTACTGCAACACAATTTCATGATTAAAAAATTAACCCATACAGCTAACTTGTGTTATGGGGTTTTCATTTCCATGCATTAAGGCTTTAAGAACTCTGTAAAACAGCATTTAGACGCTCTTATGGTCACTAACCTGGAAGTACTTTGGCCCACTTCACCATGCGCACCATCTGCTTTCCGGCCAGGCGGTTGAGGCTAGACAGCAGGTGGTCAGTGGTGTCAGGCTGCGTGTTGTCATAGCCTGAGTACACCTCTTCAGGCTCAATCAGCTCCAACACGCTGCAGATGGAGGGCGGCAAAAAAGGTGCCACCACCCCAGGCCCGTGAGGCACCAGAGCACTGGCAGCGCTGGCGTTCAACTCCTTCTCCGAGGACAGGTAACCGCCTCCAACACCACCTGTGGCAGTTTGGCTGTCCTTAGCGCCCTGCAGGTCCTCACTGACTCCCTTCAGCTTCCCTAACTTCTTGGACTTTCGTGCTGTGGGGAACACAACAGTCCTCATTAACACGTTGTTGATGGTGGCATCTCTAACTTTCACAGTCTGAGGTTATAATTGCTATATGACGGATAGTGTAAAGACATAATTGCATTAACACACACATTTATATATAAAAGTGTACAGTTTAACTTAAAGGAAGCCCTCATGGGTGCAAAAATTGTTGGATGTGCTAACAATGTCAACTGTTAACTGACATTTAATGGGAATAATATATGGACTGATAACACTTTATTTCTAATATTAATACTAAAAGCGTGGAGATGAAATTTCCACATCGCTATTTTGTATAAGCCGTGTAAATCAAGGAAAACAACCCACAGATATTATAACTCTCAATTTAAGAGGTGTGACTCATGGTCTTTCTGAAATAAAGTCCAACTAAATCAAGAGCAAATATTTGACAACACAATAATAATGTTTCTTTTTTCTTCTGTGTATTGATCAGCTGTGCACAGACGGGACTATTTGAGGGATAATGAAAAAGCAAATAACAAATAAAGACACATAAATACCAATATACTGTGTATCTATACAATTCATTAAGTGAAGCCTGACAGCTTGCTTGGGCAATCAATACCAGGTGTGCTGCTGGACTGAGCAACAATAGTAACACATGTACATTGTACCCCAAAGTGATCACCTTCTGGGATAAAATGCTGTCTTTGCAGGCTCAATGATATGTTAGTATCACTGCTGCTATACTGGTTAATATAAACTTTACTTACTGGTTTAAATGACAGCTACTAGTGATATAGCATTCCATTGACAAGCTAGCACTTTGCAGCTCTCAGCTTTATCTGCAAATGCTAGCTGCTGCTTCGCTAAATCAGTTTGCCACAAGTAGTTGTCAGATTCCACTTTCTTATTCCCAACTTCTACCGTGAAACAGGAGACTGAGTTTCCCTCCCCTGGCCTCTGTGTTTGGCACAGTTAAAACCCCCTAAAACAAGGATTTCTCACAGTTTTAGATCCCTGAGATATATCGCTTAAGCTAACCACAATGAGTGACATTTCTTGCTAGCATGCTATGCGGCTGATATTCCTGTTGATTACCTCTGTGTCTCAGCTTGATTTCTGTGCTTGTGAAAGGTAAAAACTTTGCACAATGAATGTCTTTTACAGCTTTCTGATCATAACATTTGAACTCCTGTTAAATTACAGCTCTTATTGTTAGCACTGGCACTGTGACTCATCTTGCTAGCTTGTGACTGAGGGGTTGGAAATGTACCTAAGTTCCCATGGTTCTTATGTTCCCCCAGCTCAACAGTACTATAATTTGACACATCGGGGAAATATTTGCAGGGGTTTTATGTTCTTCATTGTGTTTCTGGTATGTGGTATTTTTGTCTACCACAAGCTAATACCCTTCTGATGTAACAAGCCTACATTTTGAAAACCTACGCTCTGAAGTTTGCTGGTATGGCCGTTTTTTTTTTTTTTTGATTCCGCAGTAGCTGGTGCTACTTCACCATCCAAAGTAAATTTTAAAGTTTATTTCTTTCACTTGTTCAGAGTTTTTATGAACTAAAGCAAAGAAAGGTAGGACTCATACAATTTAGACTTAAATGTTTAATGTAGCAGAGCTGCATTTGTGTGAACCGGTTTCCTTAGGTCAGATACCACAGTAATTTGTCAGCTGGGATATTAACATGAAGGCTTCAACAATTGATTTTCCCTTTTGTTTCCTTATTATCTTGGGATAAACAGCCACATTCACTTATTTTCTGTCTAACATAGCAAGATAACTTATAAATTCACATTTCCACTTTAAGAATCTGCCACCTTTTTTTTTAAAAAACATGCTTTCATGTTAGAATTTACTCTGAACAGCTCAGCTTCAATGGGTTACACTGCTGCTGGTCTAATACGCATCAGCCACTCGCATTGGCAACCTGAGGCTTTTATTCATGACTCATGGTCATCTGCTGCTTTTCAACAACACAGAACATTTCACTGCAAAGAGATGTTTACTACAAGACATGTTTTTTTTTTGCTGGTATTACCAGTAAGTAAATGATTAGCAGCTGCTTCACCGCTGTGTCCATTAATGATTGACACACGCTGGATTGTTGGTCTTGAATTACTCATTTCACTTCAATTGTTGGTGTTGCACTGACAACATGGTCTAATTTTTACTCTGAGACTCTCTATCTTCAGTGGTTTAAATATTTTTTCTGCTTCCTTCCCTGTTTTCTTCCACTGTAACATGAGTGACATTGCGGTGAGCACATTGATGTGTCTAATTTCTACATATTTTATAACAACTGATTGAATTATTCTGTTAACAAAAGTTTGTAATATTTGTTTTTAACAGACAAGGCTGTGAGGGGAGAAAGGTTTCATAGTTGTTGTTATGTGAGGTTGCCAAAGGATTTTTATGGTTGTCTGGAAACACTGCCAGCTATCCCATCTTCTTCAAAGCTTGTCTCTCTTATTGGCTTTTGTGGTCCTGCTTGTAAACACTGAAGTTATCTCCATCTAAATGTTTACGTTAAGAGATTTCCTATAGTAATCTGTATTTCAATGCATATAAAACATTATATAAAAATGGTGGATGACTATTCTAAACCTCTGCTAAATTTCAAAGCATGGGATACTCAGAAATTGGGGAAAACTCATGGATGTGTGTTTCAACATATTGCGAGACTTGGCCTAAACCTGACATCAGGTTGGGCTGTTCGATTGGATGAGCCATAACATCCAAAGCCATGCCCACCTGGAAGATCTTTCAATTTTTCTTTCTGAGAAGGTAGACTTCACAAGTCCACTATTTTTCCACTCAGTTGATTTATTATATCTTGATATGTCACGTGTGCTAAGTTGTGTTAGCTGTGTAGGAAAGTCACTTTTTTTTCATGTCCTAACGTTAGTCTCGTAAAAACTGCGGAAAATTTAGTTTTAGTTTTCAGGCCAACAGCCACAACAGCTTGCTCTGACCACAGACTGCAAACCAAAATAAAGGGTTGCACAGGCTATATATAAAATTAAGGTTAAAGGATACTATTACTCAGTAAATAATGTTTTTTGAGCTGCAAATCGTGCAAAGCTTCTCAGATTGACATAATAAAAGGGGAAAATGTTTATACTAGCTCTCTTTAACACATTGTAATGATTTTTTGATTTTTATTTAGTCCTCTTGCACTTTATGTCATTTAAGAATAGATTTATACACCCAACGAATGATCAAACAGAGCAGGCTGAACATACATGGACATATTCAGAGAGTGGCCAGGGGGGTAGAAGTTATTTTCTGAATATGTCCAAAACTGTACACAACTACAAAGTGAATGCTCTTAATCTTTGTGTGTGTGTGTGTGTGTTTGTGTGTGTGTGTGTGTGTGTGTGTGTGTGTGTGCGCGTACATACTGGGGCTATATTACTGCACCTATTTGATCATCCCTGTCAAAAGAGTCAGGAAATGCCCCTTGAAAACTCCTACCTGATCAAGGTCTTACAATAAATTTTTCTAAGAATTGTTAGAAAGGTTGAATCCGGATCAAATCCCATAAATCCTAACTCCTGTAATCAGAGTTTAGCTTCGACCACAATGTCTGCCCACAGATTTTTTTTATAGGATTGAAACACTTTATACTCACTGCTCTGACACTGCTGTCTAAACAGATAAAACCGCTAAAATGTGAAATGACAAAAAAATGTTGATTTCTGTCAAAGTGTCATGGGGAAGTTAGAGAAAAAACATGAAAATAACGTGACGATCAGGAAAAAAATGCTGACCGTTATTTCCTTAAATGGCTTATTTTGGCTGTAAGTCAAGTAAACCAAGGAAAGTTGCAAAACTAGACTGATAATTCCATGTAGGTTTTATGAAAGTCTGAGCTCTTCTCTTGTGGCGTACAGTAACTCCTCTGCCCCTATGGATACATATCATCCCAAAATGCAAAAATGTCACATTTGGTTTGTTAAGAAGACTCACAAATAATGCATTACACAGAGAACCCAGTGTACTTTCAGCAACAGCAGCAGCTGCATAAATGTTTCTTCCCCTCTGGTCACCCTTGTTTACTTATAGGGGAGATCTTTAAAAAATACTACGACAGACTTTTCTACACATTTACATTAAAACTCACATTATCATTCATGGCATTTAAATTCATGCTGTATAAATTCAGATAACTTGAGGGTATAATATTAGGAATAATTTGTAATTTCAATAACTCTTATGGTCTGAAATCCTATCAAGTACGCTTTTAGCCTTGTGCTTGCCACAGCAACCTGAATTAGAATGAGCCACTGGCAACAAATGAATACATTACCACATCCCTCGCAACTACAAAGTCTTTCCTAAAAACCCGACACTGTAAGTTGTCTGCAGGCTCTGTCAGCTGGTATTGTGTATAGTACAGTAGACCTACACCTTCTGTGGATGCATTATGCATATTGTGCCCAGATATAGCATATGCACACACATACACACAAACATCTTATGACTCAGCATCCTCGGGCCTCTTGTGACTATAACCAGACCCACTTTTTCATAGCAACAATTTCTTGTAAGCAGAGTGAGGCTGACTCAAATGTCACGTCTGAGACTCGTGACAGGGCAAATCTGTAATGAGTTTGTGACTCCTCACCTCCGAGGTTCATGCCGGCCTGGAGACACTTCCGTACGCGACATGCCGGACAGTTTTTCCTGCGGATCTTGTCAATGATGCAGTCGTTTCTCCCTGCACAAAGGTAGTTGTGCTGACCTGTAGAAAGACAAGAAACAGAGTCAGTACGTGCAGACTGATGTGAAACAGCACTGATATTTACAAAGGGGTGTGAAGCTTTGAGAAAAAAGAAGCTTAGCTGATGCGGTACTGAATAATTTTTGTACACTTTTGCCAACATGAGGAGGAGTAAATATTTGAATTAACGGCGGAGAGTTTGCTGCTTGCCTTATGTAGGTCAGCATGGAAGCAACGTGAGCTCTCTGGAAATGTAAGACATCTACTTTACTGATCACCTCTACGGACATGGTTGAAATAGTGATTATTCTGTCCTCACATTACGTAATACATAACTAATGGTGTATTTTACAGTATGTGGCATGGGAGTATTAATATTTGCCAGATCCAGGACACTGGCTGCAGCTCGACTTTTCCTGACAGTGATGCTAACATGGCGAGAATCCCCTCCTGCCTCCTGCCTAGCCCTTAGCTAAACCCAATGATCTCCCATTGCAGAGCGCTTCCTTCCGCTCCACTAATTCTTCACTGTACAGCTCCTCTCCTCCTCCTCTTCCTCCACCTCCTCCTCTTCATTCCCCACTCTTTCTCCTTCTGTACGCCTGCGTCTCCATCCCTCCTTTTTCCCTTTTTCCACACGTCCGCCAGCCTCAGAGCGCCATCCGCCCACACACAGGCGCACACGTACAGTCATTCACTCTCACACTTCCATACACACACACACTCGCATACACACAAATGCATGTACATACTCACACAGAGCCGATGCTGCTCTACTTGGCAATTTTGAAAAAAAAAAGTGCAAATCTTGTATCTGCTTCACAAACTAATACACACTTATGAAAAGCAGGACACAACCCAGATGGAGCAGTATAGTACGATAAATTGACCCCAGTGACCCCTGTACATGGCTTGGTTCCATAAAACTGTGTGTGCATGTCTGGCTGTATATAGGAATGTATGCATGTACATGTTTGCATTACCGTTCACATCTTCTTGCATCTTGTATGGTTTACTTTAGAGATTTCTGGCTCATGCTCTTCTGTTTTAGCACCAAAGCCTGTGTGTTGTTTACATGCACTGCGCTCGAACACACACATTATGTGCATTGCCTTTGTTGCATCTACAGTACAGTATTTGTGTTTGTGTGTAGGACTGAGCAGAAGTTGTTTTCTGAGTGAGCAGGACTTGTGCGCAGTGTGTCTGTCTGGCTGCTGCCAAAAGCCAAGGAACCGAGCTGCAGGAGGAGAGGCAGCAGCTGTAGCCCCACCACTATTTCTGGCTAAATCACATGACCGTTACATAAGCCCATTTTTCTTGCTCTAAAAAACAGTAAACTGCGACACAGGAAACACAACGCAGCCGTCCCCCTTCTCCAACCCCCCCTTGTTCACGCACAAACACACACATGAACACACACAGACACACACACATGAATCAAATGGACACACACACACACTCTCGCTCGGATAGGCCTGGCCAAATGGCAACTCTGCAAACTCTGGGGCCTTCATGTCAAATATGTTGCTCATTCCTGTGAATCTTGTTAATAATTGTAGGAGTGAAATGCATTTCATGAGACAGCCAAACTCACAGCATGATGCTGTGTGTGTGTGCGCGCGGGATACTGTGTGTGCATCTGAAAGGGAGAGAAGTTGTTTATCTATGCACGGTGTGTGCATACACTCACATGCCCTTGCACAGCATGTTTACCTCTGCATTTGTGCATTAGCATATCGCCTCAGCACATGGGAGGCTTCTGGTAGCTGGAACTTTTTTTGGTCCTTAATTTCTTAAAAATCCTTATCTCTTGTGCAAAGTGAGGATTATTTGATCTCGCAGGTCCACATGCATGTACAGCATCTTTTTTTTACAGTTGGGAAATTCAATTTTGCCAAATACTTACTTGACATTTGTGAATAACTCCTTGAAGAAGATAAATATCCCTCAGAGATTATTTTGAACTTGACATCGCTCAAAAAAAATGCCTGTTTTCTGCTACATTGCACTCTCTGTCATCATTGGTTATTTAACGGAGTACACTCATGTCTACTTTAAGAGCAAATGATCTCACAATCTGGCCACAACCGACTAAGTAGTCCCTGTTGAATGTCAGCTCCAGAAAGTTTCACTTATGAGGACTTATTTTTTTAAAAAGGAAACACTCTCTCCTATTGGTCACTCACTTAATAAAGATTTATCTGCCCTGCAGTAGTTCAGCTACCTGCACAGCCACACCGCATCTGAAATCCGAATAAAGGCTTTGTTAAAAGCAGCCTTTAACTAAACAGTTTTAAAAAGCCACAAGACACAAGTGGTGAGCCCTGTGGTTGTGAAAATAGCCTCTCAGAAACAGTAGCTGACCCACATCAATAATACTACTGTGAGAGGGAATATAGTGGTGGTTTCAGATCTCTCAGTTGCAAGCCAGTAATGCAGACAACACAGCAATAAACCTGTTGGCTGATAAGTTGCACAAATTCATTGGTAAAAATACTGCAGTTCCTTAAATGACCACTTGGCGCTAACTCCAGAAGAGACTTGCTCCTCGTAGATCCTCATATTAGAACGGCAAACTCCACAGCAGACCCAGACTTTCAAAAGGATCTGCTGAAAACTATGTCAGCCGCACGGATTATTCTAATTTAATTATCTCCTCACAAAGCATTTGGTCAATTTTGTGGCTGCATTCAGGAAAACCTAAATTAGAGAGAGAAGAAAATACCAAACAACCAAAAAACAGGCCTCTCAGAGACGTAATTGTTGTTACCACTGAGCCTGAGGTATGCAAATCACTGCCTTGCAATAGTTGTGCTGCTTCAGTTCTTTGGACAACACACAAACAGCTGTGCTGGATGAGGCTCTAAATGATTAAGTTTTCCTGGATCATTGTAAAAAGAGGCTGCAGAAGTTAAATATGCTGTAAATAGAAGCTGTTATTTGTTTACAAATGCCTTCGCTAATAATAATGTGTTCTATCTTAAACTGTTGTCCTACACGTTGCCTTCTCATTTCTAATCAGCTGCCTTTGTGCATTAAACATTTAATCGTTTTTCATTATATGAAATGTAACAGTATAGTATTCTTGAAGCACTATAAATCTCCCAGCAGAAAGCACCACACTAATATTTGTCAGGTTATTCTGGCATGAATCAGTGCAAATAAGAAAACTGCATGTTATCTGATGGATAAATTTAGGTTAAAACTCTTCCAGCCTCTTCTCTAAAAACGTTTTATGTTCATTTAAACTATAGGTGAATGCCTGTCCGAGAGATCAGAATGAAATAATTTGATACAGGTTTTGATTCCTTCACCTTGTCTTCCGCATTATTGTTTTTAATAGAGCAAATGCACATGGTTGTATCATTTAAAGCAGAGTTAATGCAGCTCTGCAAGATGTCTGTGCCAGTATAACACAGTAATGTAACAACCCTTAGCTTGTACTGTGTCTTTTACAAACAAATCCCCAGTGGACATACTGATAACCCCCATCAGATTGTCACTGCTTATTTGGTTGAACACAACAGGTGTGACCCTCTGACTGTACTGGATCCTTTTTGCATTAATGTCAAAGAACAAAGGTATCACCGGGAGCAGGAAGAGATGGAGGTCAGATTATATCCTCTGCAGAGCCAGCAGGCCTGCAGGTCGACCCGGGTCAGGGCAACTGAGATCATGGAGGAAGTAGTGTGTGCATATATGTCTGAGTTATGTCATCCTACCAGCACTAAACATACAGCATACCTTTCATTTTAGAAGGGAAGAAAAGAAAGTTGCCATTTGTAGAGTATAGCATGGCGCCGAAGGCAATTAGGCTGAGCGTGGATTACGCATTTAATGATGTAAATAGATATGAGAGACTTGCATAAGTATACATTTGTGTAACTCATTAAACAAATATGCAAAAGAAAGGCTACATACGTCTCCTTTATATAACTGTAAATTACACTGACACACAGGTAGTTTCTTTGCAGGTTAAAGAAACCACAGCAAAAAAAGCAACGGGGAGATGTGCTTGTTCAGAAGCATAGTTATTAACTGCAGCTCTTGAGTTTATTGCTAAAGCAGTGGATGAGCTCACACTCATACTGTAACAGTAAATAAATATCCGGGCTGCCGTAGAGACCCTCCCCAGGCTGCATTCTCCAACCTAAATGCTTTAGCAATGTAGGTCACACACATACTTACAGTGAGCTTTACAGATTAAAGTTCTACCTGAAGTTGTGCACCTGAGTACCTCTACTACCTATGGAGAGGTGAACACGTGCATGCTTCCATGCTAATGTGTTCCTGTTAAAAAGGTGTGCCTATATGTTGCATAAATGCAGTTTCTAATGAGAGGAGCTTTTATATAAGGCATGTGTCTGGGAGCTGAGATCAGAGCAACACTGCTTTATGGCAACACTCCAGTAGTTGTTACATGAGCTGCACACTCAAATGCACACATAAACACACACACACACACACAAACACACACACATGCACACAACCTGAAGCATTCACTCTGCACTGGAGGGAGGCCTTAATTCCCCCAGCCTGAGCTGGGAGGAATGTGATTGGATGGCTGAACCGCCACTCTAAGCAGAAACACAGCAAGCCGCGTCCTCAGATGAACTCTCCCACAGAGGCGGTACCAAAGAATGGGTTCTTAGATTGACACCAGCACTATGGAAACCACGACCCAGTCACATTGCAGGACACAGTGAGGCCATAACAAGGCTGACTTACGTCTCTGTAAACCCCTCAGTTCAATAAGAGAACAGGAAAAACAACGAGCGAGCTAAAAGCAGGACCTTGTATTATTACAAAGACCAGACATGCCAAGCCACTGATGACATGTGAAAAATAAGGCTGCGTTCAAGTCTTCAACTGCGCTCCACATGGAGTCCATTATTGAGTGCAGCTGTCTTACATCAACAAACTGCTCTTTAGTGGAGTGCATGCAGGAAAGCAGCACATATGAATGCGTTCAGCTATTTCCACATTTCATTAGTGATGTAACACACATTTATGAACTGTCGGTGTGTTTGAGGGCATTTTTTTTCCCACAGTGATTGAAATTGTTTGTACTGAAGAATTCCTTCATTTCAATAGAGCCTGTTCACTGGCTGCATGTTTGCATGAGACGGTTGAGTCAACAGTAGCGAAACAGCTGCAAAACTTGTTCGCCTCATCGAAGTCATAACCCCTTTTCTATGTTTGTTTAGTTTAGAAAAGCATCGAAAACGTTCAAGGACTACAGCTGCCATACTGCATAAAATAAAATGGAGCACTTTAAGGGGTTTTGATGAATGTTTCTTTTATGAAATAAATGTGTGTGCATGTGAATTCTCCAAGAATAAATTGAGGCCAGCATGTTAAAGCTTGCAGCCAAGTGAACACTGTGCATAATTTAGTGCTTCTATATGTTTCCTGGGACCGCGGTTATAGATTTTATAGTGTACAGTTGGCTCTGCCTTCTGGTAGATAAGACAAAAATTAAGTGGAGTGAATATTCATCCCCTTGAGGAGGACTGTAAGTGCACAGATTTGGACATTAAGAGGCCCATGTGGCCAGTAGATATTCCAAACAGATGGTCCAAATGTAAACCTAAAACACAGACTTTAAAGAATAAGTGTGCCAAGCTGCGGTGATGTCAAAAAAAAGCTACCTAACAATGCTTTGTTTGGTCCTGGTTTGAGAGGAAAGCAGACCCTCCGCAGTATTAATGGTTTGTTTGACTCCAGAATGCTAACTAGCTCTGTAGTAAAGGCTGAGAGCCAGTTAGTCGTCTAATGAGCTACAGACGACCGAAAAGTTGTGTCCCCCGGGGCAGGGGGTGCCAAAATAAATTAAGTATGGGCTGGATTATCCCCCTTGCGCAGATGCCCACTTTCTGCAGTCTTCTTTTATATCTTACACGCCTAGTCTACGTTTTTAACTTTGAGAGGAAAGAGGAGGAGAAGGAGGAGGAAATACCGGGATTTGGGAGGAGTAAAACGTCTCCTCACGTCCTAGCTTACACCTCTCAGGCACTCGCTGCTGACACATCGCTTTCCACCCCTCTCCCTGATTCTTCCTCTCCTCTCTCTCTCAGCTCCTCCTCTCTTTATCTCTCTGTCTGCGTCTGACTTTTTCTTTGTCCTTCCTCTCCCCACCTCTCCCCCCCGCCTTCGCTGTATCTGTTTCACTGTCCTCTATCTCTCTTCACTTTGCAAAATCCTTCTCTCTCATCCTTTGCCTCCCTCTACCTCCTACCTCTCTCTCTCTCTCTCTTCTTCCTCTCTCTCTCTTTCTTTCCACCTCAGCAGCAGCTGTGGAGGGGTCAAGTAAGGTAACAGCTCGCTTTGCACTTCAGAAGGGCGTGCACACAACCTTGATGACATCACAGGCCTGTGTGGGCCGCCCTTATTACACTTACAGAGTTTGCACAGTTGCAGTCGTTTGGCGGGGCGGGCCAAAGAGGAAATCAGAAACAGATACACACTTGCAAAAAGGTTCGAAATGAAGAGCGCTGCCTTTAATACGAGGGCGTCACGCGATTAATGAGTCGATTTAAAAATAATAACGTTCTACAGAAGAGTCATGTAAGAGTTTGATAACATAATGGAAAAGCCTTTAGAGATTTGAACTCTTCAGAGGCCGACGATCTGCCAAAGGCTATCGCGGTCGTGCTCAGAACAAGAGCGATGCCATGTCTGATTGGATAACCCCAGACACGTAACCTGGTTTCAGGCCTCTGTAATAATGCCGCTCAAATATCAGCAAAATTAAGGCATGATCTGATTGTGAACAAATGCAACTCTTCCAACGGTCAGGAAAACACCTAGAGGGCCTGACGGCTGGCTGTCAGGCGTGTTTGCTTTCTTCCCTCCGCCTGCACCGCCTGGATCTGTGAGCGGCTGTTTTGCATTCAAACACTCCTCTTAATGAGTTAGGCCAACGCCTCAGGCAACAGGCACCAAATGAAAAGCACATTATGGCTGCTGCTGATTTTCCCCCAGCTAAATATAACAGAAAGGGCCTGTAGCAGGAGAATTACCCACTCAATGTTTTGATTTCATTCAACACGCCACTCAAGTCTATAAATCTAAAGCAGCAAATGTTTTTGGTTATTTTAATGATCTTTCAGAGAATATAAATGAGTGAAAAGTCCACTGACATTTAACAGCAGTTTTATTGATCAGATGCTGGTGTGAATCTTTTAAAATCACTACTTTGCCTAAGCGGTGGGGATTCTTATCACCATATTTGGATGTTTGATCTCTGTACTTTATATTCTTGCAGAAAAAAAAGACTTTCTTGAAATAAATGAATGGGCATTTAGTCAGAGCAGAGTTAACTGTATATGCATATTTCTTATTTTCTGGTTGGGAAAGCTGCAGTCTTGTCCCACAGATTTAGACTTACTTGTTGTAAATCGTTCTTCACAGACAAGTGAGCAAAACATGAGACAATCCAAACGGCCATAAGTGTGAAATCAAGTGATATTACTTAATATTCACAGAAACTATTTTGGCAAAGCAACTCTACAAGAAACTTGCTACAATACAGAATAAATTGGGCGCAGAAGCTTTCTCCTCTTACAGTTACACAAATATTAGTTTTAGATGAAGAGTCTGAGTAAGTTATGTCATTTTTTTCCAAACAGTGAAAGTCAGAAATGATTTTCTTTTCTTTTAACACTTGTCTTTAAAGTGGCTGGTATGTGCACTGTGACCCAAGAGAGAGAAAAGGCAACTTAAAATAAATTACCTCTCATTTTACATTTATAAGCCCAAGTAAATAAAGTTTTACCACTAAATGACCCACGCACCACAAACAATGACATGTAGTACAATGGAAATTATAAGCAAATGCAGAAGGACTCCTGGTTCAAATAAATGGAAGTTTCTGCACTTTAAAAATCTACCTTGACTACTTAAAGTCATTTTTCCAGCCCTTTTTATTCCAAAGTAAAAATGAGTCAAAGTTTGGCCCCACAGCCTCGCAGCTAACCCTTGTATTTGCACAATTTTGAAATTACACTCATTCAGCTCTTTTTCAGCCTCACTAGAAAAGACATGACCCATCATTGCTTTTAGACAGTTCTTGTCATACCTTCCACCGCTCTCTTGAAGAAGACTTTGCAGCTCCCGCATGTCACCACACCGTAGTGGCACCCTGACGCCTCGTCTCCACAGACCAGACACACTTTGGCTGTCGAGGACGGTTGTCTCAGTGGGGAGCTGAAAGACACAAACACATTAAATTGTTATTATTTTTTGGACACATTAAACTAACATAAACTTAACATTGGACTTGGAGAAACTTGGAGCAGACTGTCCCCTAACAGACGTATACAGCCTGATGCAGACCATGATACATTCCTGGACTTTACGACCAGCAGTACAGTAGCAGAGCAATGAGGCTAGCCATAAATAAGTCTGCCAGCCAAGAGCAGGGGGGGCTTTGCACTCAGCTGATTTATAGCATCACCGAGCTCACAGAGATGACAGTGACAGATTTATAAAGGAGATTATTCAAATTCAATAAGCGGAGAGACACAAAGCAGGATGTCAAATTTAAGTCGGATCCAAAACACTTGTCCCCTTCTCCGGGATAAAAAGAGGAAGGCACTGAAAAAAGGAATTGAATTAGACCACAATGAAGTTTACTGTGTTATAAGTCAGAGTTGAAGGTTAATATTTTCTTGAGCTTCTGTACTGAACGTAGCATGGCATTAGGTTGTTATTTACCCCGACCCACTGCCAAAAGGAAACTTAATTGATCACTCAAATGTTAGCTGAAGTTTTACCTGATTCCAGTCAGTGTTTACTTTGGCATCATGAGCTGCTTTCACTACTGACTGATCAGACCATTATTACATGACCATTAAAGCTCGGGATGTGCAGCCTGTTCTCACTGATGCATGGCTAAATGGGCGAATTAGTTAAGAGTTACAGCAGCTGCCAAAGGTAATGGATGTCTCTCTGTCTGTCTATTTAATCTGCTATCAGGTGCAAAGAAGGTGACTCAGAGCCGTTTACTGCAGTGTCTGAAGAAATAAAACACGCTCAAAGGAGGGCTGAATAATTCCACCTCAGATCTGTATATGCTAGTTAATAATTACATAACCTTGATAGTTCCTACTTTACAATCACTCTCATACAGTTTGACTTCTGCTTTGTCTGCCCTGTTCAACTTGGGAAGACAAGTGACAGAAACAGAGTTATGTTAAACTGTTTAAAGACCAGATGTCGTTGGTTTTGGTACACATTACACCAAAGTAATATAAGCATAATAATGATGGCATGCTACTGAATGATAATTGAGTTTGATGTATAAATTGGCAGCCCAATATCACCAGATTAAATTGATATTTTTAAAGGTCCTGTAAGGAACTTTTATATTAGGTCAATTTGGTACCCCTTATGTGGATGAAGCAGGCTTTATTATATTGTCCTCTACATGCCCTTGCAGTGTCTTTTGACAGAAAAAAAACGGTTGACCTCTGACAGTCAACTGTATCATTTATTGTGATTATTTTAGGGCTGTGTCTTCAGCTGCTTGGTTGACATTTACCCCTCCTCGTATCAGTTTCGGACAGCAAAAATGGTAATTTAGAAAGTGTCAGTCTTGTTGCTGATGATCTTGTTTGCGTTTGGAAATCATAAAGAGGTATCAATGGGACTTTAAATCTGTTTCATGAAACTTTAAAAAGCTTCTCACAAAAACTTTAAATTCACACTTAATATTAATCATGAAACTGTAAAAACGCCAAGAGATTTTTGAGTAAAGTCAGAGAAAACTGTCGCCATTAAGAATATTGTTCCAAAGTTTGTTTTGGAAATTCAAAAGGCTCCAAAATAAACCCTACGCACGATGTTTCATCGAAAATGTTCAATACTTCTGCAAAGAGGTCCTATTTTAAAGCCATGGGATTGTGTGTTTGTTAGTAGGATCAGGAAAAAAAAAATAAAATAAAAAGGGCAAAAGTGATAAATAAAATTAAAGGAAGTCCCTCTTTAACCTAAGTGTGGATCTGAAAAACAAGGAGGCAAGATAATTGGCCTTAGTGTGGACCTTTAAGTCATTTTATAGTATCAGTTATCTGCTATGTAACTGTTAACAATGGAAGAACAGGATCAACCCTTTTTAGCTTTTAATTGCCACCCTTTGTTTGGATTTTTCATTTATTATGGGGCATGAGGATCTGCTTATCTTTATTTGTCACTAAATACAGTAAAAGATATTTTATTTAATATTTTATAGAACATATATATTAATGATGAGGTGTAGCTGCAAATTATTTGATATTAATTTGTAGTTGCAACTCTAAAAATGACAAAATCTAGCTGGTGAGTAGAGCAACAAAACACGTGAGGAATAAGGCCCTATGTATAAAACTAGGATTTAACAGTTACATAAGAACAAGCTACTAATCTATGCTACTGTCAAAGAAACTATACAGAATTATTTAGTATTTACATTTTTTTGTCAACACACTTTTACCATTAAGACATGAAATTAAGTTTATGTGTATGTTATTGTTTTGGAAATGCAGTTTCTAAATTTGAACATTACCCTCCATATTGGGTAACATCCACACACACACACACACACACGCACAAAAACAGAAAAAAGACAAATATGTAGATGGGTACAAAGTGAGAACACCTTGTATCAAAACATTGAAAGTGGCCTCAGCTTCCCCTTCTTTTCTGTGCTAATTACCTCTCTCCCTTCTCAATCAATAACATGCAAGGTGATTGTCTGGTTAACATTCTCCTTACATCCTTCATCAAACCAGCTGCCAGGCTCTCTCTCTCTCTCTTTCTCACTCTCTTCCCTGTCCCTCTCTTTGCCTCTCTCTCTCATGCACACACATTTCCTCCAGGGGACTTGCTGGAAAGGGGTACAGCTACAGCACACTCAGATACAATCAGGACCACTGATCTAATTCCCTCTTGTCCATCTACACACACATTCAATTTGTTAGGACGCTTAGAGGAGTCTCTGGTGAGGTGTTTGTCTGACTGGATCTTTCTGGCACCGGGCCCCGTGGTTTCAGCTAATGTGAGAGCCTGTGTATGTGTGTAAACCCAATCCATGTTAAGACGTGTTTTTAGCATGTTAATCCCCTGATTTTTTTCACTTACCTTTTCACACTGAAACAAATCAGCCAAGAAAAAAAGACTTCATGATTATTATTATTATTATTGTTAAACCAAATTATAACAAGTGTTATCTCTTGAAACATTACTTTAAGGGCAGGTTTAGATCAGACCCTATACTATATAAATGAACAAACAATAAGCAACCATGGGCGTGAACTTTACAACAGCGAGGAGGAAGAAAGTGTCTCACAGGCAGAAACCTCAAGCAGAACACGAGTCATGAGTGATTAGCCGTCTGCCTGCTAAAGTTTGGCCAAAAACATAGGAAATCAGGAGGTAGAGAAATCGGCAGAGACAAATAGAGCAGGACAGAGCAGGACAGTGGAGATGGAGACAGAAAGACGAGGTAAAGGAACAACGTGGGAGAATGCAGATGCAGACCAGGAGAAAAAACAAAAACAGACTAACCAGAAGACAGACTAGTGATGGTAAGAACAGTTCTTTTGACTGTACTGAATCTTTAGAATCCATTCATTAAAACGATTCGTTCAAAAGATTTGTTCAGTGAATCAATCAGTGCTTCGGAGCCCCATCTTGCTGGTGAAGAACACCAGTGAGTTTGAATGAGTCCCTCCGCTCCCCTGCTGCTGGAGTCACAGCATCATTCATTGTCGTTCATTCGTCAAGTTCTGATGGAAGAATCACTCCCCTGCCCTGAAAAACGTAACTCTCTGTGTATCGGCGTTCTTTTATACTTGTTATACTCGTTTACGAGTTGTCATACTTTAATGCCGCGGAAAGTGGGAGATTAAAAATAAATAAACATTGCAGCTGTCGCAAGGATTATACTTTTATAATAATACTTATACTAATACTTTTGAAGATATCAAATAGTGTATTTCTTTAAATTGGCCAAAATTAAATCCTTCTTGCAGGAAAGTGTATACACATGTATTAATGCAAAGGCACTATAATGCAATGTTTTATCTCAGCCTCAGTGAATGAATGACGCTACACCCCTCCCTCCTCTGCCTACCTCAAATCATTCAGAAGTCGTTTATTTCGTTTATAGACTGACTGATACCTATCATTTGTTTGCTGTGAGCAAATCACGAGACTCCGCCCTCCCGCTCGCTGGCTGGTTGCTGTATGTTGTTCGCCAAAGAGTCAAAGGCAGCAGTTCCACTCCCGACCGGCATGTCAGGCTTGTGGGCGAGCTCAACTGAACTGAGAAAGGAACGAATCAGGTCTCGGAGTTATTCCATTTACGTCGTTCACTCAGCAGTTCTGCTCTTTGAACGAAAAGTTCATGAACGACACAACAATAAGACAGACATGGAGACAACAGACAAATCGAAAGGCAGACATGGAGACAACAGACAAACCATGAAGTAAACATGGAGACAAACTAGTGGACGAACATGAGGACAAAAGACATACCTGAAGGCAAACAGACGGGGGAGACGTTTAGACTAGCGAGAAAATTAAAAGAAACACGGATGGATGGACAAAAAGATGGAGACAGAGGGATGGAGCAGAAAAACAGTCATACAGACAGAAACTTAGACAAACAAAACGACAGATCACTGGATAGGTAGGGACTCAAAGTGATGGATAGTTGGACTAGAGGACAGACATGAACTCAGACAGAAGGAAAGACGGACAGGGACCTCAAAAGAGGGAGAGACAAGAAGACAAAAAGGGACCCAGACCATTGAGAGTTGGACCAGAAGACAGACAGGGACCTTAAGGGACAAAGAGTCAAGAGGACAGAGAGGAACCCCTAAAGATAGACAGACCAGAAGACAGTCAAAGGGACCATATGAGAGACAGACAGACAGACAGACAGACAGAAATACTCAAAACAATCAGGCAGACAGAGGATCAAGGAGACATGGAGACAGGAAGACTGGTAGGCAGACAGACAGACTAAACCAATGACAGACTGACACACTTGGAGACAGAAATACAGAGAGGGAGGGAGAAGTATAGGAATGCAGAGAGAGACAGAGATGCGGACACAGAGACATACATGAAGACAGAAAGGGAGTCACAGTGGAAAACAGAAAACAGACAGAAAGGCTGACCACCAGGAAACAGACAGATAGAGTGACACAACTATAGAGAGGTTAACACAGCAGCATTGATGACGACAGATTATAGTAGAAATCTGTCAAGTCTCGTCAATAACCATTACAACTGCAAGTATGACTGATAGTGAAACTTGGAGCATTGAGGACAAAAAGACAATCCACTCAGAGGCGCTGAGTTTATGGCCCAAAATTGCACAAGCAGTTCACAGGAGGTCTCGCTCCAGTATTCCTTTAACATCCAGTCAGTGCTCAGCCCTTTAATATTGCCACACATTAAAACCTTGTCACTGCCTGCCAGCCTGCCTGCCCGCTGGTCCACCAACAAGGTGACTTCCCCTCCCTCAGAGATCTATATAGGTCATTCTCCCTCTGCTTATGAAACCAGAGCAGACAGGCCGAGCTGCAGTGACTGTGCACCCAGCTCTGCCAGTAGCCCAAAACTAAACACACAAGCCACCAGACATTCCCAACATGAGTTTTTTTTTTTTTTTTTTAGCCGAGCTGCTAGCCCTTTGTTTGTCAGCATTCAGCGTGTGCAGAAATTATTACACAACTATGTTTTAATGAGACGCCGAAATAAAGGGACGACATGCGCCAAAGGTCTCTAAAATTGGGCCACTGTGGTTAAATGGTGTGCATCTTTTTAACCGCTTGACCACGTGGAAAATCCAAATAAATCCTCTTTTTGGTTGTGGTAGTCATTTTCTCTGCTTAAAATAATCTGAGGTTGCAATTTCTGTCTGTTTCAATGAAGGCTGAAATGATAATTTGCAAGTGGAAGACGCATTGTGTTAAAACTGGCATGTCAAGCGAGTCTTCTCACAGGAAACCGGAGACAGGGTGAGAAGAAACTCTAAATTTTTTCTTGATAACTCAGTCACAAGAATGTGCGAGCTACCCCATGAAAGTCCTGAAGCTGTGTGCAGACCACTTTTGTGAGCCATCTTTTTTTTCTTTCATTGACCCCATGTGTTCTCTATTTCTGGGTACCGTCTCAGACTAACTCAATGGAACTGACTGCATGGATCAAAGGTCTCATTCTTCGCTCCAGTTGTTGCTTTTTTTCCCCTTCATATGAAAGCCCAGGGCAGCGGTTTCATTGTTTTCAGTGTCCTTTCATCTTTAAAGATAACACACAGAGCTAACAACTGATTTAGTTGCTGTTTATTTCCCATGGGGATACAGATGAGTCAAGTACACAATGCCTGTTTCTTTCCAACACATTGTACAAGTAGAAATATGTATCATTCTCAATCCTCTTTGTTGCTAAGGGAAGTTATTAATGAAACAATAAAGGATAAGAAAGATGAGAGAGAGAGAGCCCACTAAAATGTTTGAGAGCCAACTCCAGGACAGATGTTTGGGCTCAAATTGGCCCAAATTTAGTTGGATGTCACACTGGGAGTATTTTCCAAATAATTCAAATATCTCAGCCCTCTCTCAGCTGTGCAGGGGATGTTAAACTATGAAGGAGTTGACATACAGAATAAAGATATTTCAAAATCCAGAATAGCCTTGCTTTATTTTAATGTATTCTTAGTGACGTCATCCGTGTGTTTGTAGCCGGTCAGGCTAACACACAGGCAAAGAAGTGAATGTAGCCTCCAATCACCTGTTTACCGCCTAGGCTGTAACCCACAGCTCTTCACCTTATCTCATAAAATGGGATAGCTACACAAACAAAAATGGTATTTACATGTTTGATGTTACACCAAAAACGTTATATTTCAGCACAAGATATAATGTGGGAATCTTGGGGTAGAAGTCTGAATACAACACTTATTATGAGAATATTAAAGAACGTGTGTGGGTGTGGCAGACACTTGTAGTTGACTTGAATTACACTTAGGGATGCACTGATCCAATATTTGGATATTCGGATATCGGCTCCGATATTGACAAATTAGCTGGATCAGATATCTGATGAATGATGCCGCTCCAGTGTTCCGATCCAGTCTTTTTTTCTTTTAATACATGGAAGTCTTACTTCTTTTTGCTGTGTGTTAATGTGCAATTTGTTATCTGTTAATAAATAATATTAAGTAAATTTACATCTGTGTTAATTTGTTACCTTTTTTTAAACGAGACTAATGTCAAGGATGATGCCTTCACTCACAGGGCAAGGTATACAGTTTATTCAGTCAACAGTCGTATTGGATCAGTATTAGATATCGGCCGATACGCTCAGCCCAGGTATCGATATCGGATTGGATTAGAAAAAAATGGATCGGCGCATCTTTAATTACACCACACCCAAAGACATTTAAATCTTCATAACAAATACAGAAAATTGTGGAAAGAGGATGGCAATCTGGAAGGAAGTAAAAACTGTTTATACTACTCAAGTACGATTAATGATTTCTAACAATGCAAGTTTTAAGCTGTTAGCCTCTCTCGTCAGGTTAACATGGAGTTTAAATAGTTCATGAAATACTTTTTGAAAGGGCAGATTAAGGATAGTTAAGCCAAATTCAAAGTGTAGCTACTTTTGTGTGTTTTGCAATACTTCACCAATAAATACAACAAACACGAAGAGACATTTGAAGCACAGGCGTGGGTGTGGCGGGTACTTCAAATGACTCGGACAAAACCACAACCAAAATACATAAACAAAGCAATACAAACATGCAATTACTAATCTTAATACCATGGTGAAAAGAGGGGATTTTGGTTGGGAAAAAAGTAGATGTTTCTCTTTGCTGTTTTTATTATTCCAAAAAAATTAAAAACCTTCCAGAATAAAAGACCAAGATACTTCATTGAAAAATGACCCGGGGGCAGTTTTCCACAAAAAGAGACAAAGTTTTTTTTTGCGGCTTTTTAGTGTGGTTGCTGTTTAGCTGTGGATCATAAACTAAATAAAAACTAACAAACAAAAAGGCCACGTCTGTATGAAAGATGTGCAAATTAGACCCATGTTAATCTTGAAAACGACCATTTTACTTAATAGGTGCATTTGGAACGGCAGATCCAGGAAATGTCTGATCTGGTAAAGTGTTTCTGCTGCATTTGATAATAACTGTAGTCATTTGAAGCTGCTTTTTTCTGTTCTGTTTTTGTCTTTATCTAGAGGTCTCTATTAACTATAAACAGGTCACAGCAAAAGGTCATTAGTCACCCAAGCATGGCATGACCAGAACAAGCTGCCATGGCAACAGAGTGTGAAGTTGTAGAAAGCTGACAAATTAGAGGTATTGAAGAAGTCAAGGGGTGCTGTAGTTATTGTGAGGTTATTAAGATAACATCATTATGGGTGAATAATGGGCTGTGCGATGGCTGCATGATGGAGGACAGCGGAGGGCACAGTCCCGTGGTTTATGAATGAACCCAGTGACCCTCAGAAATACATTAGCATGATTGTGAGTGTAAACAAGCAGCTGGACCACAGGGAGACTTCTGTTGTATAGAAAAACAAGGCCCGCGTCATGCATGTTACACTGTCTGCAACAAACACGCACACACACACTAACTGTACTGTATTTACAGAGTAATCCACCCACTGCAAAGACAAATATGTGTGTGTGTGTGTGTGTGTGTGTTTGAGTAGACACACTGGCTCACTCATTCTAGAGGCTGTTAACAGAGAGATGGTTCAGACAAGTACCACAGCCTTCCTGAACCTGCACCTCATGAAAGAGAAGTATCCTTGACCCTGAAAAAAAAACAGCATCCAAGGTACAGTACTTCTCTCCAGTCTGCCCTACAATATTTATGTAACGCACACCCCAGTATGCCGAAAAACCTTAAGCTAGAGCCGTTCAAAGAATCTTTATGTAACACACACAACTCGGCCAGTTGGAGAGGTAAAGGTAGATTAGTTTAAACAAGTGGAGGGAGATGTAGAGGAAGAGAAAGAGGACAAAAATGGCTTATATAACCACAAGCAGACAGTATAAACATTAGGATAACACCCACTCACTACCCATAAGACCTCTCTCTAAGAGGAGAGAGGTCTTATGGGTAGTGTGAGAGAGAGCCACCAGGGATTTATTTTTCCTGGTGAAGGTGACCCTGGCATTGGGCAGACTACCTGAGCATACAGAAATGTGAGATTTCCTCTTTAGTAGGCTTGTGTTACACTCGTTAAGGTTACAGTATAATCTAAAGGGACCGGCTGCTTCTTCCTGCTACAGAAAAATCAAATCTGTAAAACTTTGTGCACAAGAGTTACAAGTATTCCAGATAGAGGAAAAATAATTCTCTCCTGTAAATTCCCTGATAATTCCAGGTAAAATATTGTCAATAGGATGTTGAAATGCAGGGGGGGGGGGGGCAATTGAGGCAATTCAAATAAAATGAAGTTCACTCCAAAAATGGCACATTTGTTGATGAATCTGGTATCCCAGCTGTGATTGCATTCCTTGTTTTAAATTCCAATCTGTTGTGTTGTCTCTCCTCCAAGGCTTACGCCTGCAAACTCTTGGTGACCTTCTCCATAACGGCAAATCACGATTATCTTTCTGCAATAAATCCACTGTTTTGAGTGTAAACAAAGAAATGAGACAAGTCGCAGACACACACACACAAACACACACGTACAGTCTTCTTTATGGAGTTGATAGAGGCTCAGTTGTATGTGCAGGAACAGACTATGTTATCTTTCTAATCTGCACACAAGATCCAGATTTTCCTCAACATGTCTGAGACTGTACCTGCATTTGATTTTAAATAAAACAAACCAACTTCTTAGCCACCCTTCAAAGTCTCAGCGAGATGACCAACAGTCTTACAGGGAAACTTTTCATGCAGCTGGAGAGTTTCTGAGCTCATGTTTTACTCAGATCAGTCACTGTCACTCATTATGAATGAAATGAATCACCTGAAATATTGTGGCTAAGTGGTAAGGCACACAGGCATGAATCTTAGGGAGCGGTGGCAGGGTGTTATTATCTGGTGAGGAGGATTATCGTGGCTGGAAAGTCCCGTAATTCATGCCTGTCAAGTGCAGTGAGGGCCTGATCACATCCATATAGTATTAAATTAGGCTCAGGATGCTGGTGCGTACCCGCAGCTTCAGTCAGGGTTTCTGTGCTGCACAATATACTCTGTAAAAAAGGCTCATGAGGTGTTAATGAACACTGGCACGCACATTTTTAAATACTTCCTCAACTTTACTCCAAACTTCTGTGCAGCCTTATCAAAATTCAGCTTTTCAACAACACTACAATAAGAAAAATAAACAGTTCCTACACAGTTTATGGGGTCAACACACCCACTTGTTCATCTCCGACCATATGCAGTCCATTTAGAGATCATTTAAACACAAAGCATGTGCCGGGCCAAAGATCTCCAATAGGGCGAGGAACTCAATTTATATGGATCTTGTATCTGAGGTTTGGATTTAATGTATGTGTACAAGGCTGAGGGAAAGGTTTCTGAGAGTAAATCAAAATCTTGAGCAAAGTTACCTCAAAAACTTTATCTTCTTATAGAGACTTTTTTTTTCTTTGAGACTGAGAAAAGCATAAAACTTGAAAATTACTATCTAATGTAAAAGAAAAAACGCAAAATAATCTTAAATTTAACATAAAAAAAACAGAAAATGAAACATCTAAAACATTTAACTGACCCAACTTTCTTCCAATTAAAACCACCTGGCATTAAAGGGATATTCCGATGTAAAATTTAAGTTATGTTCAAACACACTGTCGCACAGAGTTAGACACTCCCTCGCGAGATGAGTGTTGCCGACCGCTTGCTTCTTTAGTTATACCAATTTCAGCAACAACGGCACGATAGCAATACACAGCGGTTTACGTCTCCACGCGCAAACCTCAACCAAAACACCACTCTATAGCCACAAATAATGATCAGAACAGCACCTAACTTCATCAATAGTACATATAGGGGCCCAGCCACAGTTCTAGCCACCAAACATCTTTTTAACTTTGCCTGATTTCTTTAGCAAAAAGACCAAACACAACTGACCTACTCTCTTCCAGCAGCCGCTTGTTTGTGGGGGAGCCCTGATAGTTTGTTCACTGTTCTGAGCATTATGGTTGAGGTTTACACGTGGAGAAGTAGACCGCTGTATATTGCTATCGTGTGGTCGTTATTGAAGCTGGTATAACTAGAGAAGCAAGTGGTCGGCAACATTCATCTCTTGAGGGGGTGTCTAACTCGGTGTTACGGTGTGTTTGACCATAACTTAAATTTATGCTGGAATATCCCTTTAAGTTTTGAACAAAGACACTTCCAAGTTAATGCTAACTATTGACTCAGCATTTTTTTTTTTTTTTTTTTTTTTTGCAGGAAGGACACATGCATTTTAATTTGACATAAACAACCAACCTTGTCAGTGAAAATCTCATTTTACTATGTAGGTGATAAAGGGGGAACAAGATAGGAGTGACACTGTTGAAAAAATCTATTAAAAACCCCTCACAGAACCGTTCAGAGAGCGTGTTCAATATGCTAGAACTGCTAGCATTGGGCTTCAAAATGTCTACTTACAGAAACAGCCTTACTGAGAATGTGTTTTTTTAAATTTACATGCAGTCTCTGTAATTGGTCCAGAGAGTGTCTCTTTTCAGTACCAGGTTAAAGTTTGTGTACAAGAGAAATCAGAGAAGACAAGAGTCCAACTCCATCGTCGGGCATCAGGTTGATTTTCAGGCATGGGAAAGCAAAAAATAATGTGAACAAGAGGCATGTGATAAACATTTTTCAGCACATGAAGGAAAATGAAATACCAGCCCGGTGATTTAAATTTACTGCCCTCCTGAACATAAACCTTCGTGATAACATCACAAATAAGCACGGTAGTTGGCTTAGATCTAACTAAATACACACAAAGAAGCCTGTTTTACCACCTTTGTGAAACATGGCTCAGACATTTATCCCAATCTAGCCCACTGCCATGAATGTAAACACAAACGGACCACTTCAAAGCCATGCTGCTAAAACTGGTTTTGGTCCAGGGCCTAATCCTTTTGATGTCAGTGGCATGGATGAACTCTAGACCCGGCCACCCCTGGTGTTCATGTTTCAGCTCTATTCACAGCTTACTTTGCTTTCACCCCGCTATCCCCGCACATTACCTGCTAGGCTCCTTGCAAATGCACCTAATAGACATGTTCAGGTCATGTTGCCTGTGCAGCAGGTGACCTCCAAACTCAGCTTATAGGCCCTGGGTCGAATGAGAAAAACAAATCCCGAGAGAGGGAGATTATCTTTAAGGGATCAGCCCTGACCTAAGCCACCTCCACAACGCATACTCCTTACTTCAGTCCCACACTTTCTAGACACAGCCTGCTCCTGTTTACATTCACCTTAGAGTACATAGAGGGCCCAGTCAATAGGATTAGGGCATACTATGAGCTAAACATTGGCATTAAGTCTGAAACCTTAAAAAGCCAAATGAACTCAGCTTGTTGGTCCACAGAAATGAAATGTGCCAGCTAATATCTTATTCAAAAGGCAACCTTTCCCTTTCATGGGTGATTCAAAAAGGCCTCAATCTGAATGTAGGTTAATGTACACTGGCGCTGACACATGTTGCCAGCAACCCTACGCATTAGCTGTCACATGTGATCATCCTCAAGCACCCACCAGTCATTTACAATTCAGCTGAGATGAACTAGGAGGAGGAGCAAGCAGGAGCTACAGCATGTGCAAAAAGGGAAACACTGCAGTGCTAGCATACATACAAAGGAAATACAGTTAGCCATAGAGCTGCCAAGTGAGCCTAACTGGGGTGTTTATTGTATGTCTAGTTTATATTCCGATGGCTCATTGAAGTCACGGGATATAAAACCACAATCCCAAGATGTGGGAACCAAAGCCAAGTCCCTGGTTGGCCCAGGTCCAGGTGGTTAGCGCTGTGGTCGCACATTCTGCATGGTAGCTCAAGGAGTGCTGAGAACCGCTCTCCAGCCAGCCCCTTGCTGGTGTTTGACAGGTTGAATCAACCAACAGCTGGTTGGTTGAAAGTGCCGAACAAAGTCAAGCCTGAGCTCAGCAACATGTGAAAACATGCAGCGGGAATAATGTGTTAGGTAATTATGAAAACTGACAAAACAACACACTAGAAACTGAGTTATTTATATGAGGTTTTTAGTTTTTCATAATTAAGTTCCCAAATCATAAAATACTCTCAGTTCAGTTGTTTAGTTAGTGATTACAGTTGTGAGTATATCAAGGGAAATTAAAATTCAGGTGGAGCAGCATAGAGAGGGGGAGAAACTTTGAGGGGTTAGCAGGCATGGGACGCTAACCCTCTGACAGCTTGTAGATTCTGCAATATTACACACACATTTTTTTTTTCCTTTTGAAACCATGATCAATCTCCTAATTCAAATAGTTAATCACTATTTATCACATCTGAAAATGCCATTATTTTGCTGTGTAACAGTTTTTGAATAAAAGATTTGGTAACTTTTTTGTTTCATGCAGGTCCTGTTTGGGTGACATTGATCCTGGGACAATAGGGCCAGGGATAAACTTACTGTCAATTATGTTTATGTGAGGGCATGATGGCTGCAAACTCCAAAGTAGTATATATGATGTCATGAGTGCTAGTAAACGCACAAATTATTTGATTGATAAACCCAAAACTCTCCTTAAAAGCCTGTCAAAACACAATGACCAGTCTGACGTTATTATGATTACAGTTTGTCCTGAACCATCAGATCCGCTCATTGTGAAGCTCAACATTATCGCCCCAAAAAGGTCAACTTTAAGATTTTGACCTGGAAAGTACAAAAGGTCCCTCACATGTGGTACAAAATGCAAAAGAAAAAGAAGGTTAGAGGGCAAAAACATACACACACATTCACACAAACACACGTACAATGACTGGGTAATGACCTTTTTCAAATTCAGTGTGTTCACCTCTGCAGGATTACAGGCCCAGATGGCCACTGGATGAACAATGCAACACCTGCTGAGGGACACAGAGCAATTAGAGTCTCACAAAAAAGCTACTGCAATAAGAAAAAGCTCAGTCCACAGTGAACTATGCGAGGAACACGTATGTACTGTATGTGCTGACTAATCGAACTGCTGGCTAATCTACCTTTGACCACATCCAGAGTATAATCCAACCCTTAATCTCTACTATATCTCCTGTTCACCTCTGTTCTGAGAGCTGTTGAGAGGGTAGTAGTCAGGGTAGTATTAGTGGGATTGAAATGTGTTGATTGTTAAATCTAAACCTTAAAGCCCTGTACTAAATTGGTCTATAAGTGGGAACATCACCACTGACTGATTTGGTGCCGAAAAAAGGACATTGACAAATAATCTCAAGTGCTGCAGCATGGATAGATGTTTGACTTCTTAGAGATGTATTTCTACTATACAGATATTGTTTGTAGTGACACAGGAAAAAGGACTGAATGTAAAGACAATTTTTACCAACTGTTGTCATCTCTCATCTATCCCGCTCATCATTACTGCACGTGACACATTTTGTAGCCCCCAAACACAATTTCCTGTTCAAAACAAGAGGTTAAAAATAACATCAGTCACTGTAACCTTGGCTCAGGTGAGTGCTGCCTCACAGGTATGGCTGACTACTGATGTATATTTAATAAGCTGAAAGATTTGCAGTGGTGCATGTGGCTGCCCTTTCAGAGCGGGCACTCATGTCACCTTCTTTTGGATGGCCAGTACTAGGGATGTCAGAGGTGGCGAAGCAGGCTGAAGAAGAGCGAGGGGAGAGGAAAAATGGGAGGATAAAAAGGCCAGAGCAACACAGGACCAGACAGGAGGCTAGAGAAAATATTCAAATAGCTTTGTTACATCTACTTTTGGTGACCGATTCTGACAGGCTTCAAAAATACACTGATATGGTTCTTGCACAGCAATAAAACGGAGTATAAGTGAGTTAGTAGAGAGATTAACTGTGTGGAAGCTGAAAATAGATAAGACTGTAAAAAAAAGGATAAAACTTACAGGTCAGTGGGGTCGGACTGCATCAGTTATTCTGACAATCATAGCATCACTTATTATAAATATTTTATGTGGAAATTGTAAAAACAGGGGTGTTTCTCCAGCAGCTCAGCTAACACCTACCCCCCTTTGCACCAGTTTTAGACATTAAAGTTAGAATTAAAAAAACATCTTTTTTTTCTGACGGTCTTTTTGCTTTTGGATATCATGAAAAGGTTTCAGTATTATTTTTAGTCTATTTAATACACATAAAAAAAAAGAGAAAAAAAAATTAACATAGGCGCTTCAAGAGAGCCAGTGATAATAAGAAGTCAGTATAAAAAGTAAGACATCTCAAAGTTTTGAGATGAAAAGACAAAATTCAGACATAAATAGACAAAATAATGAGAAATTTAGTAATAGAAAAATAAAAAAGTTAAAAATATGAAATAAATGTAAAAATTAAAAACAAAAATGAACTATACTAAACAGATAAACCTTCAGTTCTGACTATTCATCCCATAAATTTGACTTTTTATTTCATAACCTTGTCTTTTAACCAATCAATGATGACTTTTAGCTCATTAATGTATATTTTTCCAAAACTTTTTACTATTTAATTTGATAATTATGACCTCTCCTTTCATGATTTTGACTTTTGATTTAATAACTTCTGCTTATTTTCACTTGATAATGAGTTTTCACATCATTATAGATTGTCTCATTATTCAGACTTTAACCATCAAAATTCTAACTCCTCAACAAAAAAAATAAATCTTTTGATCTCATATATACTTAAAGTCAAGTTAAATAATAATGACTTGTTAAAACAAAAATCATCCAATTCATTTTTTAGAAATATGTGTACGCTCATTTCAACATTTCTTTACACAACTTCAGCATCATGGGTGAAGCGTGTTCTCAGTGGAAGAGTGGTTCAGTGAATGTTCATTGTCTGAGTATTTACCTTTTTTATGAAAGCCACAGGTCACATGTTCATTATATTCATTCATAAGTAAATACAGAAGCCACACATTTATTTACTAGTGTCCATCGTATCCTTTTCCTATTTCCTTCATAGACCCTGACATTAGCCCAAGACAGTTTCAAGTTTTATGTGAATTCATGGCATCCTCTGGTTATGGTTTAAATATTTCAGGATGGGTGACAGCAGGTCAGTGTACTGTAAGTAGGTGAAGGTTTTTATTAGAATTAAAGAAATGAAACAGTAACTTATCCTGTTTTTAAAAGATGGATCACTCCCTCCTTAAGGAAAATACACACTTTCCAATCTGAGTGGACTTAAAAAATATTGTACTTATTTTTTAGCAAGCAGGAGTTTAGTCTCTGGTGACACACTGAGCTTTTAAACGGGAGGCCATGGGGATTTACACAGTGAACAAAGGATTCCCTATTGAAACGCAGGCTTTGTGCAACAGAAAAGCAGCTTGTAGCTCTACATTTGCTATCTATTCACTGTTCTGCTTCATGTTGCGAAACTCGTCAGTGCTAATGAGTGGCTTTATAAGAGGAAATAGAGCGTAATTGGGGTTTTTTTCTGGGCAATACAAAGACGTGGGGTTGGAATTGGGAAAGATGCCTGTCAATCTCCCTGCAAGCAGATACCTTCTACCGTGACCTGACTGGCATCCTACATCCACATTTCTGACACTGTATACTGTGCGGCACGTTGACAGCTTCTCAATGTGCCACTGACTCGTCTTTATGTGCTTTGCCCCCCGGCGTCTGTCTGTCCACAGAGGCTTTATATGAGAGAGGCTGTCATAATAAGAGCCATTTTAGAGTGTGAGGTTTGCCTGTTTCTGGCCAAAGCACACAAACTCCAGTTACTGTAAATGCAGTACAAGTGCCAGGCTACTCTGAACAGATCCATCAGCACCAAACCTGAGGAAACAGAGGTCGTAATTTCCATCTAACACCTACTGCTCCTGCACACACGTGGTACAATTAACAGCCTCACAAGAAAAACTCAAAAGAGGCATATTCGAGTGTGGTTCACTGACAGATTTAAGGGGACCTTATGCAAAAGGGCACAAGCTGGAGGGCCTGCTGCTGGGCCTCATACAATCCTGGAACCCATTGGCTACAAGCTGAAGACAGTATAGCTCAGAAATTGATGGCCAACTTCTTTTTTACTGCACTACATTGGTCAATAAGTAGCAACTTGTGCAGTGTCCATGTTTTTAGATAAAAAAACAGATATCAGGATATATCTGCAACAAAAAAGCAACTTTCCTAGTTGTGTTACATCCTCCAGAGGAGCACTCATTTAGTCTTTCTTTTTTTTCTTTCTGGTAGGATTCAGTTTCACGGTAAACAGTAGGTTACATAGATACTTCACTTTGGCGGATTGAGCTTCCAAGCTTCTTGTGGTTTACTTGCGATTAATGGGTTTGCCAATCGGTTGAGGAAATGTTTCACTTAGGTTGCAAATGTTGAACCAGAACAAATTGTAAGGCATGCTTCCATGCAGATACATGTTTATATATGTTAGAAAAAAGTTGTTATACAAGCGTGCATGGCAGCTAGGATGACACTGTGGCGGTGCTTTTACTATTCACTGGTTGTTTTTCCTGCTGGTATGTTAGCAGTCAATACTTATCAGACTCTAAACCAACTACAAACAGAAAACAGAACATTTAGATACTAAAGTCTAGTCCTGCGTTTACAAATTTCACAATTTTATGTAAAATTAGTTAATCGAGATTGTGCTGAACATAATACAATATTCTGTGGTTTACTTTATGAATCAACCACATCATAGAAATGTTCTTGTGTCCCTGTTTGTCCTCAGTATCCAACCTTAGCGAACGCAAAATATTTCTTATTTCAAATAAAGATTGTGGTTCTTTGTCAGCAATAATGAAATATTTCCTCATAAGACTGAAGCCTTGAATCTTTCCTGTCATCAAATATCCATGATATGACAAATGTATGACGTTCTTTCATTGTTTCTGTGCGAGGTTCCTATTTTCAAACTCTGTAATCCTTACCTTTTTTAACCTGTTGAACCACTTTGCCATCATATTTCAGTTTCTTCCCTTCCTTTCCTGCTGATTTATTTCAACCTGCTTCTTGTGCCACTTTTTCTCTTGAAGCACGCTACTAAAAGGTCCTTACCCCAGCTGCTGCCTTTGTAAACACTTCTGCTCTCTCAGTCAACTCTCTGAGCTTCTCTCCTCCTCTACATCCCCTCTCTTTTTCCCTAAACACAAACTCAAACACACATCCTGCGTACATTATCCCCTGTAATCTCTCCCTCCTGCCGAGCAACGTCTCCTAATTTATGTGGATTAAAGCCATTTGTTGCAGAAGGCAAAGTGTACAGTCGTGAAGCCTAACGTCAACATTGGCCTCATGTTGGAGACGTACATTGTCTATGAGAGGCATTTAAAGAAATCCATACATGTTTAGTCAAACTGTTTGCACCCTGCAGCCCTTTTGAGCCCTGGCTGAACACACACAAAGGAGAACTTGCTTTAGTGGTGATAGCATCAGTTGTTAATAAAAAGAAGCAAATGCTGCATAAGAATCCGTCTGCACTCCTCGCCTTTAGCCATCAATCAGAATTAATCACACACTGCAGATTTAATGAGGTTAGAATGGCTGACCTAGTGTGCATTGAAATGCTATAACACCACATATCATCCTTTAAAAACTGTTTGTCAACAGGGTTCATTTTATAGTCTCCATTTTTCTTCCCTGTATTTAAAACCTGCTGCACAGACGACAAAAAAGGAAAAGATCTTCCCTCCGCTCCAGCCACAGCTTATAAAGTTCTTCCAACAGACTTGCACCCTAGGGAGCCATCCTAGTCGCAGCAAATCTATCCAGAGAGACAACAGTAGACTAACAGAACGCATAAGCTCGTTTTGGGTCTATGTTTGCAGCATTAGCATGTATTCCCTTGGTCTTTGGCCAGTGTAACAAGAGATTCAATTTCCCTGTTTCTGGTCCACTGAAATCAATTGGTGCTGTTAGGAACAGCTGAGTTTGAGCGATACAGACTAATTCTCAGAGAGAGCGAGGTTAATGTGAAGTGCACAAGGTCAGTGCGTTTATAAAAAAGGTAACTTCGCCTCTGCCTGCAACTTTCTCCTGTTTTTCCGCCCTCCCTCCACCCCCTTGCTCTGTCTTTTTCTTTCTCTCACATGAACACACACGCAGCCTCAGAGTCCCTCGGTGGTTTCCTTTCTCCTTCACTCTCCCCTTCTACCTTTCCGTCTCCGACTTCCCTCCTCACTCACTCACTCCCCTCCATCTCTCTCTCTCACTCTCTCTTCTTATACTTCACAGAGGCTCAGAGAAAGCTGTACTGCAATAATTGGATTATTGAGCAATCGGCAAACAAACATAAGACACAAAGCAGAGGATCAATATGAAGGGTTGCATCATTTGAGGTGGTCAGAAACAATCAAAGTGCAGGCGGTGAATAAAGCTGTCAAATAGCTTGCTGCTGCTCAGGATTAGAGAGTTTGAGGAGAAATTGTCAATAAACGCCTATTAGACATCAAAGGAATCTTTCCTCCTCCTCCCCCTCATCCTGCTCAGGGTGCTTAGTTTGGATGGATGGATGTCGCCAGGCTTAAAATGAAGCCAGCAGTGAACAACACAGTCTGTCTGTGGCCATGCAGGGAAACAGCTTTGGCTTTCTATTGTGTATTAATGTCCAGATGGACAGTTGTGGAGTAATCTGCTGCACTTCCTGTTTACAGCCAGGTAGTGCTGTAAACTGGCTCAATATAACAGCAGCTTCACCAACAGGCAGCATGTGGACGACACTCAAACTTTTAGCCTTTCTTCACACACAAACAAATTAAGGTCCCTAAAACTGAGATTTTTGACAATTCCCACGCCCATTATTGGTTTAAATCGTGCCGTCTACGCATTTTAAGACTTAGCCAAGACTTTTGAAAGACTGTCTTCTGACTCCTAAGACAATGCGTGAGGAAAAGTCCCAAAGTTTTTATTCACAGAATGAAATTTCAGAGCAAGACGACAAATGAATTCATGGCCAACTAGTTCACCAGCTAGAATTTTAAGGCCTGCTGAAATTCCTGTCCACACACATATTTTTTTCTCCTCTCTATCGAGGCACCAATGGGAGGACATGTCAGCAGGCTTTCTTGTTCTTTCCACAACTCCACCAGCATCTCCCCCTTTCACAGAGTCCAAGAAGACTGTTTTTTTCCGCCTCCTGGTCATATTTGTTTCGCTAGTTTGGAGCTTCCTATTTAGTGTTGGTGAAAATGCATCGACTGGTTGTTGACAATGTTTAAATCATTGAACATCGTGCAGACTGCGATAATATTAAACATGCATGATTTGTATGTAACACTGAGATAAGCCTGTCTTTAAATAGCCTGGATTGAGTATTATGAACACGTCACAACAAACAAATTAAATCCTAGGAGCACGCCCTGATTCAAGCAAAACTCATTATTTATTCCAAATTCTGAAACGCATAACTCAGAATTATTTTATTTGCCTTAACTTGAAGGTTTCTTTGATGAATTGTTGGAATACACTTGAACATAAGTTACATATTCATCTCCCAGGATGTCCTGATGGGGCATATAAACTCATTTTACAATGAAGCACAGCTGTGCCCATTTCTGGTGTAACTGTACTTTAAATGATGAAGCTAAAATTTGATATTTCCTGGCATTTTTGCCCAAGACATTTTCCTTGAAAGGATGTTTAAATGATTAATTCATTATAAGAGTTTTGGCTTGTTGGCTTCCCGCAAACTCACAAATTAATCAGTTTCAGCATCAACAACATACTGCTTGTCCTTGCACCAGTTAAACATGCAATAATTTTTAAGTGTTTTTATGTATTCACAACATACTTATTCATTCACATACTTCACTATTATCATTCCAACACACTGCCTTATGTACTGTGGAAGCCTATGAGCCTAAAAAACAAACAATTTTCTCCCTGAAGTCCTCCGAACCAACAGCAAATCATAAAGTAAATAGCTCAGGCAGTACACAGTGCCTCCACACACTGTATACAGCTCCGCTATAAAATCAAAAATGACTTGTGAATTCAGAATATGTGCGCTGATATACCAAGAGCTTTTTCTAGGTCAAGTGAATAAACATTGCCAGTCTTGCATACTTCCCTAAGCAAAAGACAACAGGATGAGAAAAAGACTTCCTCCAAAGTTTGCCAAGGGAACCTGTTTCACTAACCCTGAACTTCTGGTGTGGAACGTAAAAAGTTGAGCTCCTGCCTGCCTGTCAGGTTGTGGCGAGGCGGGTGTCGATAAAAATGTTACATCTGAATTGACACGTTGGCAGACTTTCGAACAAAGGCCTGCACTGTCATCCTGCTTTGCTGTCTCTCTGTCTGAGACCCTCTCACTGTTTTCTTTCTTCTGCTTCCTCACCCTCTATTTCTCCCCCCTCCCCTCAATCCGTCTCCCTCCCCCTCAATCTCTTTCTCCCTCTCTCTAAAACCCTCATAACATCCTCTGGATTTAAAAGCTTAAATGTCAGTCCCGTGGTATCAGTGCCATTCAGATTAAGCGCCTTAAATACGATGTAAATGTATAAATGTGGGCCAATGAGTGGGCACCATTCAATCCAATTAGCCGTAATGAAGGCAGTCTCAAGGAATCTCTAAAGCAATAATTTCTAATCATTTTCTGTGGCTTATTGACTGCAACGCTCCTCACACACAGACAGCTTTACATACTCTACCGTCATATAGTATTTTATATAGACTTCTCTTTTGTGACTGTATTTGATTAGAAAAGCTTTAAAAGGGGGAATTTCAATCATTTAACCTTGGAAAGGAGCAAAAATCTGGACATCTATATTCGGACATCTGTTCATTACCAAGAACTGAGACTGAATCAATACTGGGCTTGAAGAAGAAGGTTCATTAGTGAGTGTGGACCTGCTTAGAGTACTGGCACATGAGCTGCTAAAGCCATGCACATGAGAATGACAATATAAGACAAGGAAGAGTTTTTACTTGACTTCACAGTAACACGAAAAATGAAGAAAATTAGTTTTTCTCTGACTATGAATCATAATATGATTTAATGAGGAAGGGAACTTCCAGGGAAGTTTGGCTGTAAAAGAATAACATTTACCCAATGGCTATTGAAGCAAAACACTTTGAATACTTAGTGTAATTACTTTAATCTTGATGTGCTGTCAGGAGAAAGCATGAATATGACCACTCCTTTATCACATTACTGGTAAATTTTAAAAGTCACGTCAAGTAACACCACAAGGTTGCCAAAACCTTAAACGAGTTAATGGGACAAGCAGCCAAAAAAAACTGGAACAATGAGACCACGTATCAGTTAATAAACCAGGAAACCTCACCAAAAACTACAGATATGTATATTTAAAATGTCTATTATCGACTGGGCATTATATTTCTTTCCTTTAAACTCCTGCCTGTCACACTGGGTCTCATTTACCCTGTAGATTAGATTAGATTAGATATACTTTATTGCCCCTGGGGAAATTTGTCTTGGGCAATAGTGCTAAAAGAACACACAGTTCAGAGCTGTGTTTGTAATCTTGTTAAAACTGCAAATGTGACATTAAAATAGGGCTGTTCATTACCAGATTTACACCAAACAAACCTTAAATTAACTCTGACTTAGTTAATTTCACAGTCACTTAACACAAAGAGCAGCACTTAAAACTCCCACACGGACACTTCATGAACAGAGTTGAGAAATCAACATGATGTTTTAGGTATTAAGTGTGATCCTGGAAGGACTCATTTGCAGGGCCACATCCAGAGAAATGACAAGGGGTGGAAAAACCCACTCCTCAAATTTAAGTGGCCACCTCTAGTGCCGTTCCAAAATCTTGAAATATGATCCGCTTTGAATTTAGAGAGACCAGTTAATTTAAGGAGCATGTCTTTGGATTGGGGAAAAAGGGTTAAGTGCTGCATGCACTGGGAGAACATTCACACTCCATGCAGAAAAGCCCCTGTCCATTGAAAACTGCAAGCAAAGTTTCCTCATAGCTTTTCCTCTTTACATATTCTTATGTATGTATACGATATATTCTTTTTTGAATCATTAAAGAATTGAAGAAAACCTGAAAATGTATTAGAATAATTAAACACAAATGCTGAAACTCTGTTGTGTTCATTTTTAAACTGTTAACAACTTGTACACTAGAACCAAGAAGGATGCATTTGCAGTCAACTAAACATATATTTCTATAACCTATGAATAAATGTGACATTTTCTTGTTTTTAAAGTAGAGCAGTTTAAAATGTGTGCAAAGAAAGAGGGAATATTTCTCTCTTTCCTACATACCAAGGTCTACCAGAAAAGTTTTGTTTCTGGCACATCGAAATCTATCCAGATTGATAAATAGAGTGTGAACAGAAAAAAAACTAAAATAAAATAGCAGCACAACTCCACAATATCAACACAAGAAAATGTTATAAAGGTACATCTATGCAGAAAAGTATAATTCGCCAGTTTGTGTTTTCATCTATTTGTAATTCTCATGCAGAACTTCTTCAACATACTGAGTGACTTATACCTGAATTTTTACCACAGCAGCACATGCAGACAAAAGATCTTCCACCGAAAGAGCAGACACTCATCTGCAATCATAATGCAGCATTACATCATGTTTTAAAAAGATATTGGTGCATGCCTTCGACCTGGTTGCAGCTTCTCTACATAACACTTTTTTTCTTGTAGTCTAAACACTACAAAGAGGGTGTGATAGTTGGCGAGTGGTATGCAATGACGACTGTTTTTTGTTCCTCTAGCGTAATTGTCGAGGCTGCTCTTTACACAAAGGTGAACTTGAGCAAATATATTTAGTTTTCAGTTACTGTAATTTTGTTCTGTAGGTGATTTCACCATTCATTCACCAAGGACATTTTTATGCATACACCAGAGTGTACTCTGTCTATACAGCAGTGTTTGCTGTTGGTGTGTCTGAGAGGGAAAAAAACAAGCGAGTGTGTGCACAATGTGTCTGCCAATGGGAGCTTCAATTTTTGGAGAATCAAATATTAGTAGGCTGCATTGATTTTGGAACAAACCTCTACGTTCTTGTGTGAGCTCAGTCTTCCTGCCAAGTTTGTCTGGTCTGTCTGCTCACTCTTCCTTTCCAAGCAGCAGAGTCACCTCCCTGTGCTGTGTGCGGAGTAGTGATCGCTCTGTGTATCTGCTTTATTTCTTGAATCTCTCTGATAATATTAGAAAAAGCTCAGACGTGTTGATAAAGAGACAACCCAGGGCTTGTATTTTTCGTCTTGTTTTGTCACGCTCTGGACACTCGACTTTAAAAGTGTCAGAATGAAAGTAAAACCAGGCCTGCAGTGCTGTGGCTGAAGTGGCAGGCGCTCAGCTAAAGCATGTTCAAGATCCCAGTCTGATGCATACAGGGAGTGGCGATGTCTCCCAAGTGACTGGCTACCAGCCAACAGTTAGAGATGACAGGAAGGACAAGAGACGTTTGCATGCCTCACTCCCTGCAGGCATCCACTGTACAGGGTATTTCCCCTTTGCTGTTTATTCTAAACAGCGCACTGTACATGACTAAGAGCCTTTTGATTCGTGCTTCATATGTGACCCAAGAACAAAACAACAGTTCATTCAGAGTGTTCGGATCAACTATTATCACATTAAAGCAAATGCAGACAAGTCCCCTCTTATAAATGCAGCTTTGATTCATTATTTCTCTAAATTTTTTGGATCCATTTGTTCAGTTTTCCATTATCAAAGACAACACTTTAGTACAGTGCGATACGTCTGGATGTGTGGGGATTAATTATGGCCATGTGCTTTTTTTATTTAGATATTTCCCTCCAGATTATGTCATCTGCTGTTAACAATAAAGAATAAATTGAAAAGGGACTTAGACATGCCCTTTCCCTCTGCCCTTTTGTTCCTCCTCCTGCTTATCTCAGATCATCATCTCTCCCGCGCTGTCCAATCCGACCCCCCTGTGCAAATCTTTATCTCTTTTTGCCTCTCCTTACTCTATTTCTCTCAGTTTTCCCTTTACTGTAAATCCTACATTCTAAAAAAGGACGCTGACACTAACCAAATATGACAATCTCGCAATCATTTAGTAATGTGTTGACAGAAAAGAGCCTTTAGTCTACTGTACACACAATGAGTCAATATTTTACTCTTGAAGAGATCTTTTATCTCCCTTTTTTTTGACTCTGAAGACAAATTTTAAAGCAAGCTGTGGCCTACTTAGACTAATACTAAATACTTCTTTCTCCTTTTGCTCTTCAAAGTCTAAAATCTGAATGTCAAAATATATTAGTTTAATCAAATAAGCTTACTCAGGGCAAAGAAAATCCAAAGTTATATGTATTTCAGTTCAGGCTTGTAAGGCAGACACTGGTCCAGACACTTGCTACATCATGACCAACACAGTTAGATGGATGTCAGAAATAAATGGCCCACTTTTTAATTTGTAGCAACAACACAAGTCTTTATATGTCCTGTCAATCACACATCCATCAACCTGACAAAACATACACTGTGGCTTCCGCAATAGCTTTGCAGCAGGTAACGTTGAGCACGACAATCACCATGTTTGGACCCTCAGGTCATGATTGATTGATCGAAGCGAGATTTTATAAGGTTTCAAGCTCTGAGATTCAGGACTCTGGTTGTTGTTGGAATCTATCAGTGCATGATGAGCTGGGTTCTCCTTATTGTTGCACTGTGAAGAATTTGAAAATCCTTTACTATGCACAAGACTAAAAGTCACTCGATACAGTGATGGAGGATAAACTCGTTGTTGTTGGTATAATTGCTTAAAATAACCAACTTTGAAACAAAAACCAAAGAGGGTTTATGAGAAAGCAAACTAACAATGTCAAAGTGAACAAAGCGTCATGGAGTGCTCTACCAGGTGAATTCTGGATACACACTTTAAAAAGCACAACAGTCATGTTAAATGACACTTTCATGGCAGAAATCATCAATAATTTGGTTTGATCACACCTCAACACCTGGACTGTTAAGGGAGGGAATGGTTTAAAGTTTTTAATAGCTGCCATGGGCACACTAAATGAACTATCTTCTGGAAACTGAGGACACCACAACCACCAATCACACATTTTCAGAGTCCTTTCATTAGCTGAACATGATAACATAATACAGTATAAAGCAGCACTGATTAAAGAGTTTTCTTTCATTGTTTTAATTTCTGAAGGACATCAGGGTGAGGGGTCATCTTTCCGCCTCCTCCTCTGTGTTTATTCTTCCTCCTTCTTCAGCACAGAGGTGTGTCGTCACACGTGAACAGACTGTAACCCTCCCTTTGGCACGCTTCTTTATATACAAGAGCCTAATCTGATTTTAATACACTGCAGGGTTAACAGCTGCCTGAGGCAGAGCAGGCTCAACTGTGTGAGGACAGATCCAATCAATTACCCGATCCATCTATAGGTAGTGAGCAGAAACTACCCCGTCCTGCCCCATGAATTTATTCTCCTTTAATCAGAGTCACCACGACCTTTCATCAATGCCGTCTTCCCTCTGACCAATGAGGTGTGAAGGGAGGGGAGTTGACAGGTTTGAATGTCCTTCAGTGTCTGTCCTGTATCATTACCCATCTCTTAAAATAGATCGAAGCCATCCAAAAAAAGAAAGCCGTTGTCATGCATTTGCTGTACTCAGTGGAGCTGAGCCCTCCGACCAAATTTAATGCAAGTTGTGGTTATTGTACATTCATAAGGACACCTCGGCATTAACAGTCAGAGATCAATTTATTCTTAACCAATTAAATCTTCTTATTATGTTCAAAACATGTGACGGCAGATTTGAGGTTTTCTTGTACGCAATGATTTCTTGGTTAACGCTTGAAATACTTGACTGAGCCTTTATGGCAAAAGAAAAAAAGAGTCCGTGTAAAAATGAAGAAGACTAATTTACAAAAGTATTCATGAACCTTTATCACGATTTATGAGGCATCTACAAATTAAAATGGGTTTTATCTGGCTGTTTCTCGTGAGCTAATGAAAGAATCCACAAATATAGACATGGAAGCAGGGTTCTTATTTGTCTTTTGCTTTTTTTTTCCAAGTAAAAATACAAATAAATCCAAAAGTATTGCGGTAAAACCCAACCAGGCACCACAAATTTCCTTCAAGTTAACGTGCATCATAATTAGTATGTTTAAGTCCGAATAACACTTTTACAAATGTCCCCGAATTATGGGGTTGAGATGTAACTGTGAACATCAACAGTCATTCATATAATTTTGGGCTAAGCAGATTACTCAAGATTCACCACAAGTTAGCAGGAGAGGATAATGGCATTAAAATCATGAAAGTGGTGTTCTGTCTAATTTTGCTGCTTGGTCAAAAAAATAATATCCTGTGTGACAAACAAAGACTGTCAGTGTAGGGTGACGAAAACTATAAAAGCTGTGAGACTGTCTTTGACCCTGCTCTCCATTATGTTCGGTTTTTACTCATCTGCTGATACTGTGGATGAGTTTAAGACTCACCAGCGGTAACTCTGCAAACAGACACATGTAACAGGGGTTAAAAGAGAAACAAAAATAGAGAGAGTATAAGAACTAGAGTTAATGTAAAAATATAATAGGGTGAAATAAAAGGATCAGAAGTTTATATCTTAGACAGGATTGTAAAACATTACACTCAAAAACTGCAGCATCTGCTGGACATCAGGTCCAGCCTGAGACCCTCCATGCCACCCTGTCCAACAGGGGAGATTTAGTGTGAGAATCTCAGGAGGAAAGACATGAAATCAAAAGCACAAAACATCATTACTCCACCTCCACTTGTTGTCCCAAATATTTCTGCTAGATTTTCCAAAAAGGTTCATTTGATCTGAGCATGTAATGAGTTAATATTTCTTAAACCTAGACGAGTGAAAATCAGCAGACAGACAATGGTGCAACATCACGTGACTCAGGAAGTTTGCAGTCAAACCATGTCCAGTTAGAAAAAGAAAAAATAAAATTAGATCAATTTGAGAACTACTAATGTAATTCTTGTTGTGTTCTCAAATGATCTAGCCCTCATTTCAGGCATCAATTTTACGAACGGGTTAGCAGGAAACAATCTAGTCAAAGTTGGGGTGAAAATTGTTACTGTTTGTGTTCACATTTGAAGCTCATGCTGAGACTGAAAGGAAGCTTTTTGGTACTTTTGTGTATGTATGTATAAATGCTGCTTTACATGTAAAAAAACTCCAGGGCTGGAGAGTTCATGCACATTCACTCTGTGACACCACGATAAAAACACACGACTCATATCCTCTCAAAGCACTAAAAAATAAAATCAAAACATAGAGAGACAAGCCAAAATATCAACATTTCCATCTAACGGATGTGGTTGTTTACCAGCGCGCATCTATGCGTAACTTTTCTGTCTATGTGTGTGTGTGTGTGTGCGTGTGTGTGCATTTGTGTGTGTGTACAGCCTAAAGGGAACCAAAACCAAAGGGAGCCTGCTGATGGGGAATTAGTGTCCCATGCAGCCCGCAGATGTTGGTTAAACGCCACAATGAGACAGAAAAGATGGACCCAAAACTGTCAGATTGTCATGTGGACGTGGTATTCTGTCTGACCAGTGATGAGCATGAAATAGACAAATGTGGGTCTAAATCTCAGAATCCGTGTCAGTCTGTCTGCAGCTCCATCAGATGTAAACTAAACAACAGGAGGACTGTAAGCCCTACACAAACCCCACACAGGGAAATAGCTGGTATCCTCGCGCTCCTGAAAGTCCTGAAGTAAAGTTATTTGAGAAGCAGCATAATCCAAGATAAAAGGGTCACAAGCTGACATTAATTCATTTGAGCAGCTTTTGTGAAATTGTATTTATTCAAGAAGGATTTGTTTTTAAGAAGTGAATCAATGTTAATAAAAGTTGTTTAATTGCTCAAGTGCTTTTGAAGTTAATCAAGACTGTGAATGAGTGGAAATCCCCATAAAAGCCTGTACCAGTCTTTCTTTTCCTCCAGAAAATTAATAATTACACTGATTTTTTTCTTCTTTTAACCGTAGGAGGCTGTGTCGTGTTGAGATAGTACAAACAGCAGCATGTACACTTGTCGAGCCTTGAGGCGTGCTCTGCTGATGTCGCTGCCCCTCCCATCGCGTCGACACATGTGACATGCCCTCATTTTCAACACCATTAAGCAGAGGAGGGTGTCAAAGGAAGAGGGAAGGGGGAGTTGAAACATGATTCAGCTCACAGAGTGTTTGACTCAGCATTTTGTCTTGCCATTCACTTGGGGATGGTGTAAATGGTGTGTGTTACTGCCCAACTGTATGGTCAGGTTAGAGTGAATCATAATCTGACATTTTATGAAGTTGTGCGCACAGTCAGTTTGATTTCTCTGAGATTTTACGGCAAAAAAAAATCACAAAAAAATCGCAAAATACATTAATCAACCTCTTATTTCCAAAAGCAGCCTGTTCAAGTTCTTTCTAAAACTTGCGCTTTGAGTCGATTTTTGCTTATCTTCAACTAGTTATCCTGCTGATATTTGACAGCCAAATGTATCATTTATTGTGAATACTTTATGTGAAATTGTACAAAAGCTTTAACAACACATACACAGGATACAGGATATAAAAAAGGCAGAGTCTGAATGAATGATGGCTGATTTGGCTTTTCCTCAGCGCCATGTGTTACAGAACATTTTTACAGATTCAAGAAGAGAGTGGAGAAAGAAATTCAAGTGACCAAAAAACAAGTATGGTGCAGCTTCTTGTGGGAATTTGACTTGGCCATTTGCATTTACAAAAGTGCTAAACTCTTAAAATTTTCACAAAACTTCATTTTAAATTTATTTGAGACAACCAGAACAGCTTCAAAACACATGCAGAGAGGCATGAGTAACTCAGTCTGGTTCAGTTTAGAAATTCGCTGGTTGTTGTACTCATTTTAGTAAGACTGACAAACCCCATAAAGAAGAAATTTAAGCAAGTCACACAAACATAAGCGCTGTCTTGTGCTGGACAAAAGTTAAGAAGTTTACACCTTACTGCGAAAGAAGCAGACCAGGGCTGAAATCACCAGCACATTAACATAAACACAAGTGCTGTCAGTACAGTACCTAAATTCTTTTCACCCTATTGCATGGTGTATTTCAGCAAAACATTTAATTTGTTTTTACAAATGACTCTGAAGATGTTTGTATGGTGCGATTTAGGGCACAGAGTGAAGTAATCTACAAACTGTGGTATAATTCTGGAGATTGCTATCCTTAGATCATGTTCAAATCTGCTTTATTTCTCAGAAATGGCAAATTTGCAGAAAAGACAGCTTTGAATCATAAGAATTTGTTTTTTGTTTCAGAGAAAAAACAACAGCTTTTTAAAGTGTGCCTTATTTCTATTTATACTGTTGTTAAGGCTCTTTAGAATGCTAATTTCATGTAAGCAGCACTGACACTCGTACCTGAATCAGTAAACTCTGCTCCTCCCTTATCCCCTCTCACAAGTATTTTGAAGAATGTGACTTTTCTCCTTCACAGAACTGTATCAGCGACTCTGTTTAGAAATATTCAGTTATCTACTGTCTTCCATCTCTCTCTCGCTCTGCTAATCTCTGTGTAAAACTCACACACACACACACGCACACACACACATATACACACTGAGCTGTACTTTTTAGAAGGTTTTGTCGCTCTCTCTCTCTACAGTATGGTAATTTTCCCCCTGTTCAGTTTCTGGCACCTCTCCAGTGTAATCACTGAGGGGAAATCACCTCTCGAAACACTTGTGAGTGTTTGGCCCTTTATTCATATTGCATGAAATGAGCATGCTGCTTTGTTAACAGAGAAAAATACAACATGCCTTCAGTGGAGCCTGTCGAATACAGCCCACAGATGGAAGCTAATGCAAAAACCAAGAGAATAAAACTGAATAACATGGGACCTGTATCTGATCTGAGAGTTATTTTCAGACTGAGACACCTGGTCTTCCGTTGAGAGGAAAAAAATCCCCAAATGGGGTAGTAACCAACCCGTTCCTGCTCCCAATTTGTCAATTAAAGTCGTGTGATTTCTGGCTTCAAATTATAAGGATCTAGGTACAAGTTAATCCTTGGTTTGGCATGATGAGAAGTAAGCTTTATTCAGCTGCGTTTTCCAAATAAATACTGTTATATATCATGTTTTACATTTTACGCCTTCTGAGTGTAGAACAATCTTTCATACATGGTTAATGTCCACAACTATTTGTCCAGTCAGCTCCAAAACTTGAGACAACAGTGTGTCTCATTTACCCAAATCTTTGAAAATTTTTTAAAATTAGAACCTTAAAAATGTTCCTCAGATAAGTCTTAGGTAGATTCTTGAGTTCCTAAACTGCAGAATCGTTCACACTTGTGTTCTTAAATTGATAAAAAGAATTATGTCCTTGCAGGTTTGAAGCTCTGGCAGGTTGTTTAATTAACAGAGGGAAAATGTTCCTCGAACGGCCACATAAGGGTATAAGATTGCACACTGAAACCCCACAGGAGTGAACAAAGAAATAGAGAGATATTAACGCAGAAATTACAATCAGTGGTTGGGGCCAGGAGGTTGCCAGGACTGGACATTCCTGTAGCCACCTTGAAATCCCAAACTATGATTGGCTGTTGGCCTTGTAGGACTCAACAGTAATATTTAGGTTTCTTTATTAACAGACTGTAACATGGAATATTTTCTTTTGTCGGTACATTAAATGAGGACTTTGGCCGAACATCCTCTTGGTGAGTCCTTAAATAGCTTTAAGTCCCTCAGATTTAAAGATTGCCACTTGGTTGAGGTGCAGTAAAAAGTTGACAATCATATAAAAGATAGTGACAGCCTGGCCACTCCTTCTTATGACCCTGCCCTAGTTTGTCCAACGTGATCAGAAAACTCTGGCGCCACCACTGATTATGATCTTATCTTAGTGCTGGAAGTGAATCACAAATGCTAATTTATTACATTTAATTTAGAGGGCAATTACAAATCAATTGTAATAAATAAATAGAAAAATGCCCGGGACAGAGGAGATAAGCTACAGAATTTCTCTACATCTTTTTTTTAAGCTTAATATAATCTGACAGTGAAAATGAGTGAACATGTGGTAGATTAGTCATAGCTGTCTGTAAGGGCAAGTAATGATCGGTGTGGCTCTGTGTTTCATTTTCAACAAATATTGCTACAACTATAAATAACCCAAGTTCCAAAGAAGTTGGGACAATATTCAACAAGTTCATCATAACAGACTTTGATGGTTTACATATTACTTAGATCCTATATTGAACTGAGAATAAGGTAAAAACAACAATCCAAATACTGCAACTGAAAAAAAAGTATTTTTGTACATTTATGATAAAAATCGAAGAGTTGCTAGTTGCAACTTTTAACCTGCAGTTATGGGTTCATGTACTTTGCTGCATTTTGTACATGATGTCCCAGATACCTATGACACTCCAAATAAAAATAACTTGGAGTTACAGTAAAGTTTGTGACTTTAGAGGAACTACTTTGAGGGGGAGACTTCCATTTTTAATGAGATATTTTTCAAATTATCACTTACATTACTGACAAGAAAGTTCATATAGCAAATAAATGTGTAGTATAAACCACTGAATACTTTCCACCGGTTGTGAAGGAAACAAAAGGAGATATACTGAATAGCCTCTCTATACTGAATACAATCACAATTATGAAGCAATTTAACAATTAAATGCAACAGTGTGTCGAGTTGAATGTTACTGGTGTTAAACTTGCAGTGACTGGTATATCCTTGATTTCCTTGACCCTTGATACCTGGATGATAATCTCATTTACTGTTTCTAAATCACTCAGCTGATTAAATCTGATAAACGGTAGGTCATATGCATAAGTAGGTCATCACTTCGCTTATATGCTTGACTCTCCCCTCCCATGTTGATGTTGTTCAGGCATTCACAAGTTTGATGGCGCTCCAATTAGACTGTGACAGTCAACCAATGAGCTCAACCCGTCAAACAGGCAATCCTAAAAGCTGTTGGAGCGGTATCAGCATCACACCTGAATAAGAAGCTTCCCCTGGTGAGACTGAAATACCACAAGGCACACGTGTCACTGGCACTAGAGTGAGTGGGTGTAATCATACTGGAATGAAGAAAGAACTGAAGCCATGTCAGCTACGCTTACAACAAGCAGGATAACATCCTCCTCCAGCAGCAACCCAAAAGAAACCCGAGGCAGGAGTCTGTTTCTCCTCTCAAAATCACACCTGTTACAATACGTTTGTTTTTGGGGTTTTTTAAATTTTTAAACACAGACTTAATGTAGAGGTTTTCTAAGATCGCCAATTAAGCTTCTCAAAGCAGATAAAGCTCTTTCCCAAAGTCTCACAGAATCCATTTCCTTGGGATAGTGGCAGGGAGCTCAAAAAAGGTCCTAAAGCTTTGTTTTAGGTTTGAATTCACAAAAACACCAGGATCTGTAAAATGCTATCATTTAACCCCTTCATTATCTACAAGAAGACAATCGATGGGGGAAAAGTCAGGCTATATTTCAAGATCAATCATGGTAACTCATTGGCTGCAGTGGACCAGTAGCTAACCTTAGCTATCAACAACTGTCTCAATTGTCGTACTAAGTTTGTGAGACCATTTGATATTTAAGTCAAAAATTCATAGATTAAAGTAATGTAAGCTATAAGAAAGAAATTTTAAAGCAGGCTAGCTCACAGTCATTTCAGCAAAGTTAGCTGGTGACATGCTAACATCACATGCTAGCATGTTACTCAGTGAATACAATGAAATGTACAAGGAATTGAACTCCTGTACATAAAAACATTAAAACACTAAAAGAATCAGACTTGTTTCCTGCTAAAAAAAATAAAAATACTAATAAAACAGCAATGAGAGGAAAGGATTGTTTAACTCTGCGGATACTCTCACAGCTGGCAGAGCTGCCTGCAAGCTAGCACAGCAACAAACCAGATGTTTCCCCTCCAGAGTCAGGAGTACAATAAATATCAGGGTGGATGTACAGTAGAATGATTCAGTAATGATGGTGGTGTCCTTGATAAGCACCGTAATCCCTAGTGACGCCTCGTCACTGTTATTGGCACGTGTCCATTGAGGTGTCCTCCATCAACGTCAGTTCAGGTATTTTTTAAAACCAGAATCTAGGTCAGCGAGAGCAAACAACACAACTTTTGTAAGGAGTGCAGTGGCCTTAACGGAGAAGAAATGTGATTAAATAAAAAGTAATGTGTGAACATTCCTAACATAATGCATTAAACAACAATAAAAAAGCTAAGATTAGTAATAGCATGGAAACTATATCGCTCAGGATGCCACAAGTGTTCGTAGAAGAAGCTCATTTGCTTTAGTAAGTTTTAAACAGATGTCCCTCTAAATGTGGGGATTTATTCCTCTAAAGATTTACAAAAATAATGCTAAAATATAAGGATTTCAAATCACTTTCTTTTGGTAGTGAGGCATATAAGAGATTGGGCACAAAATCCTTAAACTTTGCTTGGTTAAAAGCTGCATACTTGAATTCCCACAAACTAATGTGAGGCTTTAGCAGTCTAAGTTGGCAAGAACATGCTGGTATTAAGTTTATAATAAAATCTATTAAATACAGAAATTGCTATTTGTGTTTCCATAAACTACAGCAAATGGATTTATTGAAGTGAATTGACAAAATATGCTGTGATAGAAAAAAAAAAAAAGACCAGCTGTAATAATCGTGAACTGTTTAAGCATTATTGACGTTCATTTTTTTTTTTTTTTCATTTTTACCTCAGTGTGGCAATAATTTCTTTTTATTTGGGCCAGAGAAGAAAATTCTGGGACTTTCTCCTTCAGTGTAAATTGACCTGAGAGTATTGAATTGTTGAAAAAAAAAAAAAAAAAACTCAAGGTAAAGTTGTGAAGTGTAAGATAAAGATACAAGCACTGAAGAAGTAAGGTCAGGATCTGTTGTATAACAACCTTACATGACCTCTTTGACTCTTATGTTGGGTGAAAAACAGATAATTGAACGATAAGGGGGAATGATGGCACCGCAAACCGGGAATTAACTGGATAAACCTGAACCATGACCTACATCTCTCTTAACTACCGTCAGTCTTTCATTATCTTTAAGTCTCTATAATAACACAAAATCACAACAACAAAGCAGCCGATGTGCGAACATAGTTTGAGAAATGATGGATTAATCAAAGTACGTAAGAGTTCAAAGTGCTCGGCTTTTCTAATGGCTCAGCATCATGGTATGCAGTTGCTTCAGATTCTTTCACTTTCTTCAAGGTCCAGCAGCCAAGCAAGGTTGTGAATAAAAGAGAGCGTTACTGCTTAACAGTCGGAACCTTAAAAAAAAATAAAAACGCTCCAGACTGTCTCTTTTCGAGAGCAGAGAGAACCGAGCAGAAGCAGCCAAATCAGGAGGAAGGCAGAGGAACAAAAAGCAGAAAGTGAACAGGGGAATGTGTGCTTGTGCCAGGTACAGTAAACTCTACAGGGAGACAGCCAGATCGGGGTATTCACAGAGCAGTGGACTGGACTGAGATGATGCAATCATACTGTTGTATCAAGATAAAACTTGAGCTTTTTTTACGGATAGGCCAAGTTCCCAACCTGGAGATTATATGCACAGTCACTATTAGAAACAAACACCATTTACCATTTAATACTTAGAGAAAATATCCTTCGAGATCAACGTCTGTCTGGATCTATGGTGACACAAAGTTTCATGACATTTTTCTGTAGATTTGGTCCATTTACATGTAACTAGAAAAATATTTTTTCATTAAGATGATATTTGACCTCACATCATTTATGACTTAACAACCAATATTTATCCACCAACAACCAGGATGATAAAATAATCTCTTAGTAGCAACTTTTAATCATTAAAAAAGCAACATATTCTCATCCCAGCCTTTCAAATATGAGCATTTTCACTCCACAGCACAAGTTAACAGGACACTTATATGTCATGGTCAAAACAGGACAAATAGGAAATTATTATGAACTTTTGAGAAACTTTAACTTCTGCGTTCATTTATTTTTCTTCATGTTTTAAACAGGTGTGTTGGAAACATGCTTTAGATTCTCCTGCATCTAATAATAATAATATTTCCAAAATGTTCGAATTGTTAAACATAACAATTCAAACAAATATAAATATTGTGAAAGCATAACTGTTTTACTCAAGCCTTCGTCGGTTAATAAAAATGAGAACATGCTGTTATCATTACAATAATTTGTCTTGTTTATTGCTATAAATCTACTCTTGCACAATGTTTGTGTTTTGGATACTCATGTTTAGATAACAATAAAACTGTGATTTATTGTGCGGCCCAGACTGACATACTTTGCCTCTCTAACAATTTATAGTCCAAACGACTAATCCACTCATAAATGACAGATTAATTTAAGATAATAATGATCCTCTGTTGCACTCCTGCTGCAGATAACTGAAGTTTAAACTGACTTTTTAAATGTTTAATTTGTTAAAGCACAGACTGTCTTCAAAGGCCTCCATAAAAATGACAAAAATATGGAAATTTTCTGAAAACTTGATTCGAATAGCCCTAATTTCCCAAAGATCCTAAGACTGTGACAGATCTTGCATCTGTAGGTTAAAAATGTTTGTAGGTGCAACATAAATCAAATCGTCTGTATCCACTGCCGCCTTGATACTGAAAGAAAATGGAGGTTCACCTCTATTCAAAACAACCTGCCAGAAACACTGCCAACAGTTTTCTTCTGGGGCTGGAAAGTATTTTCAAACGCCGTTCACAGTGATTATCTGGAGTAATATAGACATCAGTTGTATTCAGTTTAAGCACCACAAAAATTTCACTCACTCCCAGTGTACAGGAGGAGGAAGTCTGAGGCAGATATCTGAAAACCCTCCTCAAGGGAAGCAAAAACTGCCCGCATGACTAGACAACCTGAGGTTAGAGAGAAGAAGTATGTGAGTGTGTAGTTTAAGAAAGCTGACCCTTAAATATCTCCTCAATTATGACCATTCTTCTCTCCTTCACTGAAAACAGAAATCATATTACACTTCCTGACAAACATGTTTACCCCTCTTCAGTGTGAGGTGAAGACCTGATCCCTCAAAACAGGTTCAGGGTGGCAAAGTATCGCTTTCTCTGAGCTGTCACTTGATCCTTGAAGCCTCCTTTAACATGCTGGGTCAGTGTGTCATGGGCTGCTGCTTCGTTACATACATGATCTGTGCGCCTGGAGAAACTGCATTATGAATGGGTCGATCATTATCGGATTAAAATAATTGTTGACAAAGAAAGGTAACTATCTCGATTTTTCCCTACAGCAGAAAAAGAGGAGACGCCTTGAAATGTTTCATTTACGTAACCGTTTATGCAATTCTCAAAATTGGCTATACTATTTTAGATCAGGTGCATAGTGCGTATTGGAATATTGTCATATCATTAAGCAGCCGGTCTAATTTTGAAGTGAAAGGTCTAAAGTTATTCTTTTATTGTGTGGGCTGAATATTCTGTGTGACACACTTGATACTTTGCACGTGATGAATCATAAGAGCATAATAAGAGTTTCTCATTAAAAGCAGGATCTTGAAAAACCACACACTGTAAGCCATGAAGCCAATTAATTCATTAAAGTTTCTGTGGGAAACTTTTCATGTTTGTCAATTTGGCATCTCCTGTGGACATGTCAGTATGTGTCATCTTTTTGCTGATCTTGGCCTGTCTAAAACTTCCTCCTTAGTTCTTTCAACATTCAAGTATCATTCACTGTGATTATTAGCTGTTTATGCGGTAGACTGTTTATCACTTTCCCTGGCACCTAACCTGCTGCAGCACACAAGTATGAAAACAACATCATAGAATTGATCAACCCTGTCACCAGAAGTCCTGTGTGCTCGGAAAAAAAAAATCCCATTTTACATCCACCTCAGATGTTTTTTTTGTTTGTTTGTTTTTTTAACCTGTTACTCTCTTTTCTACATTTTAGTTTGAAATTAAGTGATTAAACAATTTAATTATAAATAATTTTTTATGTTTACACAATAGACTAAAATTTATTCTGATGCCTTTTCATGCTATCCAACAACAAACAAGACTATAGAAGCAATAAGACAGACCATTCCTAAAATTTGGTAATTTTTAGTACCAAAAACCAGTGTGACAGGAAGGTGTCAGCTAATGTGCTGTAGAAACAGCCCTGACCTTTTTTGACTTACTTATAAATATTCACAATAAATGATAAATGATTTTACAGTCAATGTCAGCAAGATTTTCTTCTCCTTTATAAAAATTCATAATTCAATCATGTAGAGGACAAGATAAACCTTGACTGCTTTGACCTCAGGGGGCACAAAGTTCCTCACAGGAACTTAAAATTATTAAGTCACAGTTGGGGGTAGTGTTTTTCTAACTCATAGGTTTAGTTTCTTTATGATTTTGAGTTAAAAATGAGCAATGACAATTGAAGTAGCTGGATTACTGCCACCTCTAAAACATCAGTGGAACATGTCTTACTAACTGCATGTCACTGACCCCTCTGAGAAATGGTGAAATACTCCAAACAACGCTGACCCGGGTTGTGCATGACACGAAACACAACAAAACACTGGTTCTTGTAAATGACAGTGAACTGGTTCATTTTTTTCAACAGAGAACTTAGTTCAAAATTTCAATTATAGACTTTGAACATGAACCAGTTCCTTATAATCTGTGTGAACTGAACTTTGAGCCAGCTTATTTTTCAGTCTGAACCTGCTTCATATTTATATATATATATATATGTCACAGATAGCAACTGGTACAAGCTTGACATTTAATCTATAAAGTACAGTTTATTATAAAACTTTGTGTTCACTTTGCAGGCATTGTGTAACTGCATTGTGTGTGAGATGTCCTTATTGGAGGGCCATTTGTTGCGCTGCTCATGCTACTAAACCAAGAGGCAATTTTGAGCGTGGCCAATTTAGATAAAACTATAATTTATTTAAGTTCATAATTAAAAATATTATCTTAACCCCGTGGACTGTAGGCAGAGAAGCAAATAGGCACATAAAGGAAGAACAAACCTGGAAAAAAAACTATTACCTAAAACTAATCTTTGAAAGTTAATTTAATCAAACATAAAAGAGGAAGAGTTGTTTTTTATTTTTTAAACATGTGATTCTGGGGCCTTTTTGTTCGGAATAATGTTCTCCACAAAGTTATGAATGATTTAAGAGAGCGTTTTATAAAGTCATGGGTCTCGCTGATGTGAAGTTGTTTCTGGATGTGTGCTGTATCCGTGTGTGTCCATGTTTTGTGTGTTTGCCAGTGAATAAAAGTGTTATGTAAACCAACCCGGAATAACACCCCCCACCCCCCTTTTTCCAACACACACTCACACCCTTGACTATATTTGAGCCAAGTATGCATGACCTACTTTGGGGACCTTTCAGGCTGAACAATTAACATTTTTTGAAATGTCTTCCTTCATGGCATCCTCCTTTTCATGGAGGAACTGACAAGACAAACACTGGGTTTTAAACGTAAGCACTTTGGCATGAACACTCGGGCAAACTCTAATTAAACATGAATGATAAAGACATGCCTTGTTTGCTCAGTCAAGTATATCAGGATACAAGGGGAAGACAATAATTCACAGGGAGAGCCGAGATGGCTCCTCTCATCTTTGCAACTAAAGAATAAAATATAGATCTCATTGACTTTTTATAGCTCTGAATGAATAATGTCCAAGCGATGAATTAGACATCTGCCTGCATTTAGCTCAACAAACACTTCTTCTTAATTTATGACAAAAGCGATGTAGACTCTTACCAGTTAATCTCTGTAATTTGTGATTTAATATGTGCATCATTCTTTGTAGTCACTTTGTATTACTGGTACCAGCATGTTGCTATATTATCTTGGGTGACAGTGCATCTCCTCCATACAAAAACCTCCCAACAAAGCAATGACTCAGGCCGTTTTAAGACCACTTGTGAGAGATCTTTGAGACTATTTTCACGCAGGTAAACATAGCTGTGGGTAGACAAAAGCCTGCCATTCAATGAGAGCATTTCACGCTGTAAAAATCAGGGCATTCATCAGCAAACTGAAGCGTGCACTCTGCTTTGTTGCAGCTCTGGTATTCAGTTTCCGCCTCCTTTTATGCCATTTTTTTTTAATGACCTGAACAACAGAAGGGAAAGTCAGCAGTAGGTAGTAGCGAGTGGATCTGCAGCTCCAGCACCGGCCTGGTGGAAATCTGGCCCTCTGTCACCAGACTGCGCTTCAGGAAGAAAGTTCAAATGAGGACAACACAAGCATTCAAATCCCAGAAGCCCCGGCCAGCAGTAACCACACTTTTTATTGGGGTGTCAAGTCCGGCCTAGAATGTGTGCTGCTGTTGTTGTTGTTGTTGGCGGCCACCGTGTAGTGTGTATGTGTATGATTGTGTGGCTGTGCGTGGGAGGAGCAGAGAGGAGACTTTAAATGTTTTTTTTTTTTTTTCTTCCGATCATTGTGCCACAGTATCATCTTGGTTCCTTTAAAAAGATCACATCCACTGCAGGCATTTACTCCCACACTGTAGTAGCACAAGGTGAAAAAACATCCATTCATAAAGCTGGAAAAGAGAACTGGCTCTCACTTTGCCCTCGTGGCTAAACCTGTTATGATAACACTGTTGGATATCCAGATGAAATGTCTCTTTTTTGGTAAACGGCTTGAAAAAAAATTCACACCACCATGGCATCAAAATATGCTGAAGTTTTACTGTAGCTCCTTCAGTAGTAAAGAAAATGAATTTGACATTTGACAGAGTTTTTGTGGTATTTAACAGAGCTGCAAAAGAAAACCAAAATGATGAGAGCGGTGAAATTTTCCTCGAAGCACTTAAGCACAAATAGATTTTTTGGTCAGTGGGACAAGCAGTAAACACATCACTATCATATTATCACCTCATTAAGTTATTGTGGTGACCTTGTTAGATGGAATTGCTTTTTTTTAAAAATCAAATTGAGATCTTTTTGGGTCTCCACCACCTACTGAGGTAAATATGGATGTTTCTGGCTGCCAATATATAATCATTTACTTTGTCTGTCTGTGTCTATGTAGGTATTGTAGTGTGGTTTTAGTTTGGTAAATAAATATATATATATATATGATTAAGTCTCCTTCTACGTTTAGGAACAAGGATGATTAGCTTTCATATCACCTGAAAACCACAAGTATGCACAAAGATACAGCACAGACGCTGCACACATACTGTGTAAAAACACTTTTGTGTAAATATGGCGAATTTATTCTGACTGATTTATATATTTCTGGCGATCCTTTGAGCCACATTTTCTCGTCTCTGACTGTAGTCATTTATAAATGATTACCTAATTCTGGGACATCTGTGTAGTCCCAGAAAACACGTGACATGAGTTTGCCCATCCTTTTACGACTTTTAAAAAAAAATCTGTTTCATCTTTGCTTGTGGAAATGACTCATTGCAGTTGACTAATTTGAGACCATGCCAAAAACTCTTCATTACACAGTTGTTAAATGGGCCTGCCATTCACTGAGACGAGAGTCCTGTCAGTGATTCTGAGACCAAATTGAGGATGTGGATGGTGTAATCTAATAACAATTTGCTGGAGAGCCAAACTAAGCCAAAATTAGATGTACTGGATCCCAACACAAGTCTATTAATTTCTATTGGCAGTGTTAAATCAAGATCAACGACTATCTTTACACAATCTTTGCACAAATGAAGCATGTACCCTTAACCGAATAAATAAAAAAGCACCATCAAGGCCCATCCCTATACAGTACCAGGTTTTCACCTTGCAGCCAAGGTCTAAAGCTCCACACAGGGAGCTTTATCTTCCCTTGGGTATTCATTTTTAAGGATCAATTCTGATATTTTAAGAGCAGACAGCAGAAATTCACCATCTCTTACTAATACTGCCTCAGCATTCAGCTCTGCAAAGCCTGCAATCCACCCACACCAACCAGTGACTGGCTGCCCAGAAGACACAAGTGAACTGGATCCTTGTGGGATCTATGTATTAATATTTTCTTTTCCATTCAGGTGTTTTAGTCATTTTTTATTGTCTCCAGTGGACGCTAATCTTCTTTTTTTCTGACATGCGTGCATAACTTTTTCTCAGAAAAGATAATGGTTGAAGAAAGTCCTGTATTTCAGGTGCTCAGGGTCTGTCCTTGAGTATTTCATCATGCTAAAACTGAACTTTCTGTGCTCAAGACAAGGCCATACTTTTATTTAAAATGGGATTCACAGGTTTGAATGCTGTGACTATAGCAATGGCTGACTTTATTATTGTGCAGGATGTTAAATTATGGCTAATTTCTGCTCAGGGGAACAAGCCAGTTTTCGTCTCTGAGCGGTGACTTGACCACTGCATTGAGAGGCGAGTTTAAACTGCCTACAAGCCTTGCACTAGACTGATTCAAGATTTTAGCTTTCTTTCAAAGCATGTGATTTTTACTCAGTATATCATTAAAAACATCCCTTTCATGATTTTTTTATTGTTGAAGCTTGCATAAGCGGGTAGTTTTCTCCTTATCTACTTATACATAGTGATGTATCTTTAAATTCAATGGCAAGTCCTGGAAATCATACTATGTTGAACATGTATTTTAATCAAGTAGACCAGATATATTTTGGCCTTGTTATACTGTTGTACAGCAGGGCATCTAACTACTAAGAGGAAATTGTGCACTTCCTTGTAAGTATACATTTTTAATTATTCTTGTCTGAGATCAACTTTTCCCTGAATCCTTCAGCGGACTGTCAGTTTTCTTTCAGGGATTTAATCACATTAAAAAGCATGACCTCTCACCCAGTGTCCTCTCAAACCAGCAGTACTCTGGGTTAATCAAAATAACATCTTTTCAAACTTATGGATGTACAAGAAATAATCAAATAAATACACATTTTCTTTTGAAAGGCAGTTACACTTCTACAGTCGGAGCTGAAGGGATGTGTTCTATACTAAGCGCATGATGACTTTAACCCTCAACCAGTTGAACCCAATTTATTCATTAAGTGTGGAAAGGTCTTAACCTCCTTGCTGCTTTATTTTTAATCAATGTACTTCCAGTCACATATATTCAGTAACAAGAAGACATGCTGTGGATTTAACACATTTGTGAAACACTGAAAGATTAACCATCACATTAACAGATTTTCATGCTAAAGGTGACTGATAATTATAAATTAATCATGGGTAAAATGAGTCATAGTTACCAGTAGGTTTTCTACACTTGACATTATAGAAAAGTTCTCAACAGTGAAAAGAGGGAGCTAAAGAAATGTGTTCATGTTTTTTTAAAAGTCGCCATTGTTGGCCAAGGAAAGCTACACAAAGAGTGAAAACTCATAAAAGGCACAACTTAAAGTTCACCACCATGCCAGCCAGAGATAAAAACACTGCGCTACTAAACCGTAGTCATTGCATACTGCAAACTGAGTTCAATATACTCTACATAAAAACCAAACACTTGTTATTCCTGCTTTACACACAGCTGACCCTCCACTACCATTCCCCAACACCTTTACTAGTATTATCCTCTTTTACAACTCAAACACTAGCCTGCTGCCCGCCTAATAGTCAGGAACCCATAATGCACTGGGAGCCCCTGTGCATGCCTAGTGTTGGGTTTTAATTGGATATTAGTATCCAGCAGTGTCTGAATTAATCAAATCATTTCCATCCATTAATTTAGTGGAGGAACATACAATTAAAGCCTTATTAGTGTGCTCTCAGGAGTATGCCTTTTCATCCCTCTGCAGAACATTGAGAGTTGGCCAGAGTCCAGTGCAAAGCATTCTGCCCGCTCGAATCTGGAGCTTCCTCATGATGGGCACTCTGTGGATCTGCAGAAACTGGCTGCAGGGAAAAAGGTCAGACTGTGAGGTGCCATTTCTCCCAAAACTACAGGAAAGGCAACATTTTTAATGAGAGCTTATCTAGATGAAAAAATGCATGGTCTGTTTCTATTTTCAGCTTGTACCATTTGTCAGATTATGCAATTATTAGGTCAGAGAGCTGACAAGTTTTAGAGTAATTCTATTTAGTTGAAAACGCCCTAAATAGGGTGAAAAGAGATTTTGAGATTTAGGCAAACATAATCCAGAGCACTAATGTAGGTCATTTTATAACGTTTTTCATATTTATATCATTTTACACAAAAGCATATTGATTTGATACTCAAACCACAATGAAAATCTTTTTACATAATCCTCGTAAGAATCAATGATTTTCTTGTAGAAGTCAAATTTTCACAGCACCCAAAACTCTAATCATGTACAATGCTCCATTCTGGCCATCAAGTTTGTCTAAGCATCAAGTTTAAATCAAACACCTCCTGAATACAACAATAAGCGCTAGGATGACTAATTTTTCTCCCTCCTCCTCTCTTGCGAATCTGAGTTAAAACGTTTTTGCACAAAGTAATCCAGACTGCTCAGATGAGCAGCCATTTTTAATTAAAACCATTTACAGAAGAAACCAAAGTGAGAAAAAAAGAGCCGAGGGATTTTACACTCTGTCATCCAAGGCTTCAGCGGATCAAAGAGTTTTAGTTGTGCTTTTTAATGGTTACGTAACATTTTTTGCCTATGAAATATTGGGCCCGGGTGCAGTGTAGACGGTCCAAAGCTCGACAGTGCCACAGATTTCCTGCAGAGCACTTTCAGATTTCAGCCGGGATACAATATGCCCATGTTTATGTCCAAGTATAGCTGTCAATCAATACAATACAAGTGGTGTAAGAGGACACTGGAAGAAGGCAGTAACCTCTAGAAAATCAAAAGAGCCTACTTTTTTCCAAACACTATTATACAGTGTGTATCACAAGTATGTAGGTGTATTAATTGTATGTTTATTCAGTCTGTATGTGTGTGTGTTTGTGTTTGTCTTCCTTCCTGCCTGCCTGGCTGGCTGCCATGTGGCCCACCTCTTACTGTCATCCTGTCTGACATTAGGGCTAAGCTGGATCTCATTAGGACCAAGGTGGCAGTGATCCCGTCAACATCGCTTTGGCTCCTGCCATATGGGTCGCCTCCAAGGTAACAGGGCTGTATCAGTCTCTTCAAGCCTTGTTATAGCACACGCACACACACACACACACACACACACACACAGACACACACTGTATCTACTCTCCAGATGAGTGCATCTTTTATGTACAAAGCTGACCAAACACGTCAAACAAAGAAGATATACTGGCGATAAGATAACCGGGTCAGGCCTTGAGGAGAGATAAATAAAAACTCAGACACACACTACATTTCCTACAAGTGTTTTCCATTTGTAATAAAAATATGATCATGACTATCTTGTTTAAAAGGAAAATTAGGCCACATATCTTACGTTCCTTTTTGAAAGTTTTTAGATGAAGTTTGCATAGATGTTTCAACTCTTTTCACAAAAATTAACTTTCACTCGAAATGGCTTTAATGATATAATACTGAACCTTTCTCCTGCCTCCAAACTTTTCCCTGCAATCTTAGAAAATGTTTTTAAAAAATCAAAAGCATATCAGAGGGGCCTGTGAGGTTATTTTTTTACAAATCTAATCAGGAAAACGTCTTATCAAATAAATCTCAACTTTGGGATTCTGTGCAATATCACTGCGCAAAGTCAGTCTCAACTTGTCATGTTTGAGTCACTGTGAAGTGTGGGGAAGCAACGTAAATCAACATCCCAGCAGCCACAGCAGCAGCCAAATACCGCTCTTTTCTCACAGCCATGCAAATAAACAGGAAGTTGTTTACGACTTCTTTTAGTACTCTTTTGCACCAAGGTTAATAAAACGTAAAATTTATAACATCCTATGCTTAAAAAGTGATGGAAGTGTACTTTACAGATACCAAGAGATGGCAAATGCTTTTTTAAGTCAGAAAAACCGTATCACACCCAAACAGCAGCACAAGTGTTCCTTCTGAATGACTGTAAATACACAGCTGGACCTCTCTCTGTTAGGTGACAGTAAATACTTCTGTGTTTTCAGCAATGTTACCAAATGTTTCAGGGTCTACATATGCCTTCGATATTTACCGTCATTAATCCTGTTCCAGAAAAATGTACTTCCCTCAGCTCCACATGCAACACAGACATCAGAGGACAGTGGAGGTAAAGCAACTGTGTCAAAGTTGCACTTTGCCAGATTGGCTGCTCTTATGGTTTTTTTTTCTTCTGAATGTGTCTGTTTGGTCTCGGCCCCCACCCTCAAAAAGCAACTGTTTATTTCATCAGTTTGGCAACAAAAGTATGTGATCAATCATTCATAATTTATGATGCTGTCAATGGCTCAGGGCCAATAAAACAGATATTTGCATTACACAAGGTCTTCCGATAACAGACCAATAAATTTTTGTTGTTGTACGTACACACATGACTGTGATAAGAGGGAAACTTTGCCTCTGTGTTACAGTAGAGCACAGTGCAGAACAAGCAGGGATGATGTTGTGATCACATGCTACTATAACAATGATCTGGACCCTGTCCTTTAATTCCTGTTCCTGCGGCCTGCATCCCGCTGCCTTTCCCAAGCCCTGCTGTTGTTTTTATTTTTGTACTATTCAAAGCAAACGCCCTAAATCCCCAGTGAAATATGAGTCTCACTTTAGCAAACCCGCCCTCCATCCATCTGATCCCATAGATAGAAAAGCCATTATACAGGTAGAAAGAAAAGAAACGTTATTTAGGAAAAATAAAAACAGCTTGTCTTTGTAAAGCCAGAGTTTAATGTTGCACTTGGAGTACAACAGTTTTAAAGCCAGCGATCTGATTCAGAAACACAGAAATGCACTCAGAGACTTCGAGGGAAATCTTAACTCTGCTTACCTTGTCATGCCGTCCGTGAGGCAGTTCTGACCCGGGTATCCTTCACCTCTGCCTGACAGTGACCCCTGCGACATGCCCGGCCGGGTTTTCCATGACTCCATTAACGCTGTTACGGGTGAAATAAGATTCAATAAAGCGTTGGACTGGTCCCGCACATCATGTCGTGTGAAAGCCATTGTTCCTTGCGCTCCAATCTGGTAATGGAATGAATGTCCGCCGGAATTAACTCCCACAATAGCCGATGTGGGCATGCTGTTGTTCTCTTGGTAATAGCTGCCATCAGTGGACTCCTGCTTAACCCCCTTGGACAGGACATTGTTGGAGAACACTTCGGGCTCATAGGTCCCATTCATGGAGGCGACAGGGGGGCCTAAGATACCAGAAAGACTGTACTCATCAATGTTATTCCTAAGGGACAAGTAGGTGGTCTCAGATGCAGGAAAGAGGCTAAGAGAAGGTGACGGTTCGCCATACGGCTGTTGATTCATACATCCTTCATTGCTGTTGGGCTCACTCTTTATCTGTGTTATAAAAGGTGTGCTACTCGCATTACATTTGGAGCTGCCCAAACACATGCTCCTGAAGTCAGTCCCCGGCTCATTCTTGATGTACTTAACCATGCCCATCTGGTCTAAGCCCACATTGAACACCTCCCCGTCAACCATCTCTACTTTAGGGAATTCAAAGTGCTTGAAGTCTGTTTCCCTGGTCAGACCTGCTGCTTCAGGGCTGTTGATGTCGTTCTGCACCAAACCGAGCCCGCCAGCAGGGCTGGACACAGGAAACCCAGCAGAGCAGGGGTTCTGCGGGCTGCTTACTGCCATTGTGCCCCCTGTGGCCGGACTGGCAATGGATGGCCGTACTGGGTTACAGTTGTTTGCTGTACTGGTGCAGCCGCCACCTGCTGGACTTGAGACCGATGACCTGATGTTGCAGGTGGCGCTGCAGGACGGAGGTGATCGCACACTGCCCATGCTCTGAGGACTGGACATAGGCGACCTCATGACATTAAGTGGGCTGGTTAGTGGTGGTGAGCCAACCGTGCTGGACTCTACAGGGCTACATGTGGCTGAATTCCTGCGCTTGATGTTGGCCAGGGTTGCAGCACAAGACGTCTGGCTGACAGGACTATTGACGGATGAGCAAACTGGTCCAAAGCATGAAGGAGGGCTGGTGGTTGACGACACCATGTTGTTGCCGGGGCTAGAGATGGAGCTGGAGGTCTGGGGGCTGCATGACAGAGACGAGGCCAGCATTGAGGCAGTCCCGGTGGGGCAGTCTCTGGGAGTGGTGCTTGGCTGCGGGAAACCAAATGGCTTTAACTTGGGGCTCTTTGTGGAACCACACTGGGTCTCCTCTAGAGGCCGTCCGCACGCTGGATACATCTTCCCGGGGCTGGTGCTGCCCCCGTGCTGGTTAAAGGCAAAGTCCGCCTCCCTGGCAGCATTCATATACAGGCCCATTGACTCAGCCACAGTCTTGGAAAGCTCCTTGGAGTCCATTTCCTGCTTATGACCATGGAGGGAGTTGTTGAAGTGTGGGAGAACAAATAGCTGGTTCTGGCTGAGCCGGAGCATTGGCTGCTCCTGCTTCTTTGTGTTGTTGTCTTTGCAGTCGGTGGTCGGGCTTCCAGCAGGGCAGCTCACATTAACTACGTCCATCAGGATATCGCTGCTGGTCAGACCTGAATCCTCTGTGCTGCAGCAGTGCTCAATGCTGCTGGGGACCTGCGACCATTTGTTCTCTGTGTCGCTACCATCAAAGAAACTTTGGTATCTTTTGGTCTCCATTGCTGGCTCATCGATTCACCTGAATATTAAGACAAAGAAAAGAAAATAATGAGAGCTGCTGTCTATTTACTCAAGGTTTTGCAGCATATATAATACTGGTTGAGTTGCGGGTTCTTTCAGGATATTTACCTTCTGGCTTAGATTACAGGTCTCATGTGAGACTAAATTATGTATTAAGGAATATTCAAATTAGCCTTGAATTCAGGGTGTAAATAAAGTCTACTTGGCTTTGTATGTGTACTTTACCTACTCTAACAGTAAGTTCTATTCACTGAGACAAAAAAAAAATGATCACATGAAAGAGACAGGGCTGTAACGATGAAGACGAGCTGTATCAAATTATACCTGTTTCCCTAAGTTTGATTCTGTAATGACCTACTTCTACAGAGCGCCAAATCAAACACATGAGCTATGCAGTGACAACAATATGTTTAATCTGGAAGAAGTCCAAAGCAAGTCTGTACAGTATTTCCCTCCGTAGTCTCACAGATAGAGCCTCTTATCACTGCACTACATGAGATGTACAGCCTGATAAGTGGAGGGAAGTTGCACTGCAAGAGTTAACATAGCAACGTGACGTCGGCAGGGTTTATATTCCCACCTCTTGCTCCGTTTCTATTGGACTGCTCAGCCCGAAATCCACCAGCTTTTACAGGCCGTGTCCGGATTGGTCGGAGAGCTGTCACTCAATAGTTATTGCTCTTGCAGTCACAACATAGCTGCGACATAACTTGAAATGTTGCTTTAACACTCAGAGGGGCAGTGTCATGCGTAAAAGCAACAAAAATACTGTCGATTATCTTTAATTTGACCTTTCTGGTTGCGATGTTACGGTATAAGTGTAGATGATGTCTCCACATGCATTTCACACGCTGCGGTGCACTCTTTAAAACGCTCGCAGCTCTGGAGTGGCATGGAGATTTGAGTTAAAGTTGTCCAGGTTGCATGCGAAATGACCTGCGCTCATCATAAACACACAACTTAAACACGACATATATATTGGCATGTTACTTCCAGCCTCTTCCCTCTGCCGTGATTGTCCTGCCTCTGAACACCGTGCAACTCTCTCTCCATTTTGCGTTTGCGCAGAATAAATTCTAAAAGGCGATTTTTGCTTTTGTGGTTGCTGTTGAAGTTATTTTTACTGGGTTAAAGTCGTCTTTTCGGCCAATCTTTGAATTAAAAACGGGTGGTAAAGTGGAGGGAAGACGATATATGCGATTTAAGTGACATTTTAGGAAGAAATTGACAGCACAAGCCCCTTATCAGCACTTCTTGACAGGTGCGTGGAGAGATTTTGAAACCAACCCACCAATGATTTCAATCAAACTGTTGTTGCAGAGAAAGTGCGTAAACTTTATGGCGACTTTTATGAAATGTGACAAGGGGCGAACGGTCCCGGTTGAAAGTTATTTTATTTCTCTCCCTTCTCAGCAAATGGACTGCGGATGCAAGCTTGTGTTCGGTTCTATCCGAGCGAAGAGTGAGGAGTTTGCTTTGATTCTGATCCCAGAGCCAGCGCGAAATTAAAAAATGTGCAGTAGTCAAACAGCGAGCTCCGTCCTCTCCTTACCTTAATTACGACATTCAGAGTTGTCAGGTGGCCGTGTTGCTGGGCAGCGAAATAATCCAGAGGGCAAAAAAAGAAAAGCAAAGCAAAGTCAATAAATATCAACAAATGTGTTGCGTCTACTCTTCCCAATACATAGTTTTCAGTTTGACAGCTAGACACAGTGGAGAACTGCGTATTAATCCTCCAAAGCGAGCCGCCGCTCCTGACAGGACGAACCACAGCGACGGGTCGGACGACAGCCGCAGATCATCTCACATTATGGCCGCAATTTTGCAGATTACCGATTCAGGGCCCCGGATAAAAAGAGTATTAAAAACAAACGAAGGAGTCGTTAGGACGAAGTCAGAGCGACGTCATTCTGTGCACATGGACCCTCCTACTGCAACGAGCTACACAAACTCCGAGGAGGGGAAGGAGGAGGAGGAGGAGGAGGAGGGGAGGCAGAGGGGGGAGAGAGAGAGGGGAGGGGCTCGGCGCAGGTAGACAGAGCCGCCTGGAAATAGGGCACCACGCTCAGTGCGGTGTGTTTGAATCCAACTCTCAGGATAACAACGCGAGACACTTTCATTAATTTAATGTGGTTATCTGCGGAAAGAGTTCTGTTTCTGTTTTTTCTTTGTCAAAGATAAACCATCTGTCCTCCGCCTTTTATCATGTTTTTATTCTTTCATTAATCTTCTCTCACCCCTGACAAGGTCTGCCAAAAAGCTCGTGAACAGTCTCCAATACACGCACGCGCACTTACTTACAGTGCTGATTAGAGAGACGGGGAAGTAGTATCCTCAGCCTCTTTTGAGGTTTAGCGTGGATCTTCAAGAACCTTTTAAATCGACTGCCAGTATACTTTAAATCGAGTGTGACTGATGTCCACCTCATACTATATCGACTGTCTCCACTAGGTGGAGCGGTATTTCTATTGCTGGCATTGAATGGTCAACATGTCATTTCATTCACTCTATCCAACTATGTTCAAAGTCTATTTCTCATGGTTTTAATGAAGAAAGTCCAAAAAATGTTTGTTCTTTCTCAGAGTTAAAAAGAATATTACCTAAAGTCTAGAGGCTTACATTTGAATCAGAAGAAAACCCACTATAATTGCACGCTTTCAAAAACGTAGGGGAGACCAGGAATGGTTTTAACATAATTTATTTCAGAGCCTGTAACTGACTGAGTTTCTGAGAGTTCTAGACTTCTCAGATGTTAAATCAAAGTACCCATGTCTGTTTCCTTTAAATGAAACAAGTGAAATGTCTGAGAGAATACTGACAACTTCATGAGACAGCGTCAAATAGTTTTCCTGTAGGGGTACAATGTAAAGATGAGAAAGAAAGAAAAAACTTTAAACTCAGACAACACCATGTGATATGCTTCAATAAGAAGTTTCTTGGAATCAAAGTATATCCAGATTAATCTGTCCCTCTGTCAGTGACCATAATTTTAATCTTCTTTCTTTTGGCAAAGAAGTGTGTGTGTGGATAAATTTGTCTACAGGATAAGACTTTCTTAATGTCTATACGCATTGTGACCAATATATAAATACACACAAATAAATATAGACATAATAGAGGGGATAATTTAGAGCTGTTTAAAAATCGACTGTTTGTGATATGCATTTCTATGTATGGCCTAACAGGGGTGCTATCTTAGTGATGGTTGTGTTACCTGAGTTTTAGACGTATGTATAAAATTATTCATGACATGATAACTCCCAAAAAACGTAGCCAAAATATTTAGGGCTCCCCCTTCTGCCTGGCTGCAGTATAGCTCATGAAGTTTGTTTTCTTAATGATGGGACATGGGTCAAACTACCACATGTAAATGCATGTTAAGGATTTTTTTTTTTCCAATAAAGATTTTGTCATTTTATTGTCCTTCTTTTGCAACCTCATTAGATGTCCCAACCACAATGATTTTCCAAAATAAAGGAGTTGTAGGGATAATTTTTGAAATTGAAGCAAAAGTTTTTACTGATAATATACTTTGATCTATTGGTGTAAGCTTAGAAAGCTGTTTAAATACTTTTTGTCGTCCTAGAGAAAGATTGTTTAATTTAATAGCCATTGTAATTACAATGATAAGATTGATTACTTTAAAAATCACGAACAGTAAAACTACAGTAGTTTGGAAAGACGATTAGTGTGGTGTCCATGCTTTGTGTAACACCACAACAGCTCATATGGCTGCAGCTTTTTCATTTTGATCAAACTACTTACCACTTTCCAGCATGCCATAGCACTGATGTGCATGTATACTTTGATTTGACTCCTGCAACAACCAATAATTGGTTTGATCTCTAGAGTTGTCACTCAATTGACTCATATTCTGAAGCATTTCACGTGGCTGCACAAGACAGGATTTAGGCCTTTTTTCAGAGAAGAGTGCCATACACTAGTTTGGATGTTTCCCCTTATTGCTTGTTTGCAAGCCAGCCTGTGGCCATTACCCGAGCAAGGCAGCAGCAGCAGTTAGATTAGTCAAAGCCATCCAGGCAACACTGCCCACCTCCCTGATCTGCCTGTTAATCACCCATGAATGGGGACTTGCTTCAGAAAAAGCAGCAGAATTGAGATATAACCCAATGTTTCCCTCCCTCATTCATGCAGCCCCCACTTGTCTATTGCACATAATGGGTGCCAGTCAAACACATCATGAGCAAATCTAATTTAGCTTCGCATCACATCATTTTTCCACAGTGACAGAGGCATAAGAATTTGCAGACTGACAGCAGAACATGGCTGATATGAAATCAGTAATAATTGCCTCCCTCATTGGTAAGAATACATAATTCAAGGTCCACTGAGTTTCACTGAGCCTTCAAACAGTTGAAAAAAATGATAAACTGAATGCTCTGTATTTGCACACATACATGTTTATGTTTATACATATGTAAAAATGTATAAGGGCTGTAAATAGTTATATTTTGAGAGGGAGATTCTTCTCCAGTGAGTGACTGCTGTGATTAGGAGCAGACGTCCACTCCGGTTTAGACTCACAGCAGAAGACTCAAGGAGCTGACAGGGCCAAAAGCAGTACAGAGAGGTGCACACTCTTCCTCGTGGGGACAGGTGAATTGGAGCATGTTAACTCTAAAACAAAACACTCGACAACTCAGCAGAAGACCCTGTCCCCATCGAGAGTGGTAATTACTGGGGTAGTTTTAATCAGGGTAGAAGTCTGTCACTGACATCCTCCCTCAGCTGCCCATTGCTCCAGTTAGGCAGTTATTCTTGAGCTCCATTAACATCTAAAATGGCAAAAACGCTACCCCAGAAGTGACATTTACATAACTTTTTTGACAGGTTGAATTATTTTCAATGGAGATTTTGTATGTCACATAATGTTTGGATGTAGCAGTGACCTCTTAGTTTCAGTGTTCTAAGTGCAGTACCTGGCATGGCCACGTGAGGCTGGTCGCAAAAGTGAGTCGAACCCATACTTCAGCCTCTCACAGCTTCATTAATCTTATAACTAGCTAAAAGATGGATATTGAGCTGTATTCTCAGTCATTGGACTTGATTTCTGGCCCGCATTTGTGGCCTTAGACATAGTATGTTGAGGATCTGAAGCCTCTCATTCTGTCACTTCATTATCAGTGATCTTAAATGATCGGGAATTATATGATATTGAGTATTGCATTGATTGGCTGTCTGAATGTTGACTGAGATGGTAGGTAACATACCTGTGCAGACAATCCAGAGCTGAAAGTTTGTGGAAAACTCAGCTTTGTGTACTAACCAATCAATTTGCTTCATCTTTAAGTTCTTTGAGCTGATCATGACATGATGAGGAAGAGAGGCTGGTAGGAATTTGTGTTAGATTTTACCTTTCTTCTCTGAGTAACTGTATGTGGTTGGCCCTTTGTTGCAGAAGCAGTCTGCAGCAAATTGTTGACACAAGTAAACAAATTTACTGTAACTGTAGTGGACACACTGCTGTTAAATGTGAAAAAAAGAAGAAGAAAAAAAAAACTATTATTGTTTTTGGTGCGTGTGCTGGACCAGAATATTTGTGTTGGTGTTTGCAACCAGCAAAGGGAAAAATGTACATGCCTGGCCTCTAGCTTTTGACATGTTTATTCTGCAATGCTAAAGCTAATCTGCAATAGCATGGCAATTGGGATGTCAAAAGATTTGGAATGGTTTTGCATGCCCATGTAAATTACTCCTGTCATTACATCACCAAAGGATCAAATTCAAATCACCTTTATATGCTATGTTTTCCCGGTAGGTGCGCCACAGAGGTATTGCAGAGGCTTTCCAGCCTCCACTTGCTCAAGGTTGCTAACCTGAAGGATGACCAAAGTATATGTACAAGCAAGGAAAATGGGTTTGTTATTGTATTGGAACTTTACGTTTCAATCTCCAGTGGGCACCCCCCTTAAAATTAAAACTTTGAGTGTCATCACAAACAGTAAAATGTGAACTGGTAATCCAAAAATAATGAGCTAGGAAACACTAAAATGCTATCAAGTCATTTGGGTAATGAAATATTTAGTGATACCTTTCTCTGGGTTTGACCTTTGGTTTTGGGCTCAATATACTGGTTCACTAAAACTAAAACAAAGATGACAACAGAGACAACATTCATCAGCAAAGATGAATAACAGAATAAAACCAAATAAGTAAATCCCAGCCTTTTTCATAAATATACCTGTTTTAAACTAAATGTAATTGTCCCTACACTGTGATGGTATGTTAGGGTGAGATTGAGACCCACACATCATTATCAACTCCCCATCACTTAAGGCTTCATGTAACTTAATGTTACATTTAGTATATTTCAGGCTTAAAGGTGGCAAAATTACCAGCCTGTTATTCTTAAATATGCTAAAGTAAAAAAAATTCTGTTAACAAGTATCATCATTGGATATGTTGGTTCGTACTGAATAACCTCACAGTTGAATGACATGACTTGTGCTAACGAAGGTTAGAGATCTGATGTATGCTATTGAATTATACATACTGTTGCTATGGCAACTAGTATGTTTTGGAGTCTGCATCCATGGTCAGTGTCAGGAGATTGGTAAAGAGCCTTGGGCTACAGAAAGTTTTGATAAAAATGAATATGAAAAAAGTGATTGTGAGGTGAAAAGATATCTATTTTCCAATAAACTTCCTTACATTTTCTATCCATTAAGGGGGACTGCATTGAAAGAAATGCAAAATGGCATAAAACTTAATCTTTTTTAAAGATACAGTTTGAATATGGTGAAACTACAAGTTAGATCAACCTATAGTGCACAGTTTTGTTTAACAGTTATAGCATTAATGATGCACAGTGAAAGAAATGCAAATTTGAAGAGTTACGCAACCAATTGCGAGGTTTTGATTCATTCGCCCAGAGGAAAAATTACTGACAGCATCACTCAAGTGTGACTTTGGGTGTGAACATTAACACATTTCAAATAAAGGCATTTCGTCTCCAGTCAGTTAAGAAATATGTCGGTAAAACTGCATAATTATGGGTAGCTGCTGCAGCCCTTA